TGTTGGGACAAATTTCAATGATTTCATATCACCATTTCATCTTGGTATATGTTAATACTCTCTACCATGACTTAGATTCTAGATGTGTGACCATATACAACATTTATAACAAGAATCAAGAGAAGAAAGAAAAAAAAGGATAGGAAAACAACATCCATCTTTACTTCAATCTTTTATTTGGGCGGACAGTTACTTGGTGCTGCATACTCTTGGGTTACCAAAGGACCCTTTGGTTCTGATAAGGTCAGATTGACCTGGACATCATTAGGGTTTTAAAAACACAACTAAAATAAAATAAATACACGTAACAATCTTTATATATAAGATATTCCTGATTAACTCTTGCATCATGTTTAAAAATGGAAGTGTCATTTATTTTTATGATAAAGTTATAGCTGGTGTAACAAAATATACTATTATTATAAATTTAAAAAAGCTTAAAATGGCAAAAAGATTTATTTTGTAATTTTTTAGATGATATCAAACACATATGATGAACAACAATAGAAGTAAAACATCAAAGACTACAAAATGCAGCTTTAAAAGAGAAGAGAAAATAGGGTTTGCACAACATGTAAATCTGGGAGTATAGATTACAAATCTGTACTCACGATTACAACCGGTTCTAGTAGATGTAAAGGCTCTGTGCACTGATTTGTCATTGGTACCCACAGATTCTCCATCATGATGCCATTCTCCATACCAAATTGACCGGACAAAACCCGCACCAATCAGTGAAAATTCTTTTATGGTACAGCACATCATGAATAACAATAACAGTAATGGTAATGACGGGTGTCCACAGTTCATGAAATTAAGTTTGTATATTTAGTGCTGACCCTTCATCAACTGTTTCTAACCTGTTTCTAACCTTTAATCACCTGTTTCTATCCCATGTTAACCTTTTATCACCTGTTTCTAATCTTTTCATTTGATGTTTCTTTTAAGTTTAATTCATCATATCTAAAGCATATGGTAGACTATTGTCTTTTACTGATGAGAAAGCCAGTTTTCAAACAACAAATAGGGATGGCACTGGCCACTTGGTGGGCTCAACACTAAACTCGCTTAACTGACTTGCACAGTAGCATTATATGTAGGCATACTGGTAAATAAAATGAATTAGATATTTGCCACATATGGCTGCCGTGGAAATTATCCAGTCATTGTAATATGAAGAATGACATCATTATAGTAAATACATAAGTATAGATTTTTAAACCTGTATGCATAGATTGCAGATCTGCAGTGTGTATTTTTCAGATCCAATCCCTCAAAACTGACATAGCATATGATAACCTATGTGTTGATTTTTTGTAAAAATAAAATGATTTCTATTGTTAGATTACAATACTAGGTAAAGGCTGCCATCTCTGTTTTGGTCTGTTAACCTATCAGAGCTTGCTTCTGGGATCAGCTGAACGTAAAGGTCAAGTAAGATGTCAGTGCAGCCAGAGACAGACCTCACAGTCTGTTCACGGCACAGAGGTAAGAAAGATGAAACTGTTCTGAATGGTTGATTGAAAGTGACATGTGATGTTGAAGAATTTTCAGTGGTCTGAAAACTAGAGACAATGCTGTAAAAACATAGTCCAAAGGGATTTAAGGTGGATTTTATATGTGTAAAACCCTCAGCGTTTATTAGAAAGATAAATTATACGCTGACTTAAAAACATGTCAGTCTGAGGTCAGAAGTCTTTAACAAACTACCTGTTTAGAGTGCTGAATTATCTCTGAAAATCTGCGAAGACATTGTATGAGAACCACCTTCTGGCTGTCGTGCCTATTTTTAGTGTCTTCTCACAGTCATTATCACCTCCTCCCTCTGATCCTCAGCTGCTTTCTTTCAATATCAACAGCTTCTCTTATCTTTCACATCCTCATTATACTCTCGCTTCTCTTTTTTACAACAATTCTCCCATTCCTCTTGACTACGTCCCTCTGTCTTGCTCACCGCCTCTGCAGACCCTCCTCACCCTCTCCATCTGCATTTTCCCCTCATCTACTCCCCCAACCCCCACCCCTTTCCTGCAGCGCTACAATAACACAGACAGAGGCCTCGTAAGTGCTGTTTTCCTGGCCAGGTTGGAGTACCCTCCCAGTAACCAAACAGGGGTGCCGTGCTCATTTTACTTTCACCCGGCCGACACCAGCCCAGTCCAGGCCAGAGAAATACAAAATACTATAAGTTTGAAAAAATGATTCAGGAAGGCAGCTCTGCTGGTCTGTAGTGGTCAGCTAAAATCAGCAGATTGACATGCAGGACTCATGATTCAGTGTATTTGCAATCAGAACAGGATGAAAATATGGTGTTTGCATTGTGGCTTTAAGGGTAACTACATAGTCAAATCAATCACCTGTCGCTCAAAATGGCTGAAAAGGTTTCATGGATATTTGATACAGTGCCATAAATTCATGTTTAATTGTCTTTGCATTTATCAATCTGACTGACTCAAATTATTTCCCAATCATTTATTGAGAACATTTATTGAGGTTAATATTTGTGGTTTTGAATTATTGGAAAATTATTATCAAATCTGATTTAAATCCAAGTTCGTCGGAGGATAACTGTGTAATAATTCATCACAATAGCTGGATTACATTCACAAAATTTATTTAAGAAAAAATCTTTTGGAAGATTATTAGAGACTCATATACTGAAATATTTATTTGAAAAACTTACAAATTTTCTTGAGGTTATATAATCCTTTATACAACAAACTCTACACATGAAACTGCTACTGTTCATCGTAGGTAAAATCTTAAATGTTCATCAAATCCAGTGTTTATTTTGTTAAAATCATAGACTGTATAAAGAATGGACAGAGTCTGCCTCCTCGCTGAGTGAAGCCACTCCGAGAACAGCACCCTCTGTTGATGGGCTGCAGTACAGGTCATAAATCCTGCCTCCGCCAGCAAAGCCTATGGAGCTGTGGACAAACTTTAGAAATTTATTACACAGAATATAAATTTTCTCCCCCCTGCTTGTGATGTTGACACGTAGTTATTGTAAGACTAGTTTGTGCTCAAGTCCTCTTTTTTATGTAAAGCTCCATTTTTAAATGTTATTAGGTGGTTCATGTTTTCTATGATTGACAACTGATACAACCTATTGCCGTTCAGGAATTGTGTAGCTCACCCTGGGGGATGAGAGAAATACACAAGGGAATTCAGGGAGTCATGTTGTGTTGAAGTGTTGAAGTGCACTGAAAATGCTTTATATTTTTAGCCTATATGCATTTGCATTCATACATAATAAAAACATCATCAAGTGAGTAATTACCTCAGAATGAAGTTACTTTCTTTGTTCAAATAATAATTCCTTTTTTTCCTTCTAGTAATGAAGCCTTTGCATGGAGGCCGATTTAGACTCTTCCTGTAATTATGTGCCATGCCATTAAAGTTGACACGAATTCTGAGTCATTTCCCCCCCTCCTTTTCTGCAAGCTCAAAAAAAAAAATCACTGCAGATGAGGCTCCCTTTATAAACTGTTTTGCATCTCTCATAAAAGCTGCATGTTATTATGAGATGAAGATAATTCAGCAGGAGAATTATTTAGGCTGATCAATGCCATTAATCTTCTCCATGTTTTCATGCATTGAGATTTATTTATACTATCAAAGGTCAGCGAGACATGATGTAGAATTGGGTGGGTTTTAGGATCAGATCAGCAGAGGTTCTCCGATATCAGATATGCTAGTGCTGCTGATATGGGTTTTTTAAAAAAAGGTATAAGGAGGTTGAGTAAATATGCTCAAAACAAAATGATTAACATACATGAATTAGCCTACTTTCCTACAAAAAATTTGATACTTATTTGTCTGTACTATAATTCACTTGTTGTTGATGAGAAATACTAATTTTTCTAGAGATTATCTAGATCCCTTTGACAATACTTTTGTCAAGCTGCTACAGAATTAAAAAGCTTGAATATTCTTGCAGATAATACTCTATTGGATTTTCATACTCTCTTTTTTTAAATTTTTTGTAGAGGAGAGACACTTTGCACTGCATTTTGACAAATCAATTAGAATTCAGCTTTACCCGCCATTACCTGTGATAATTGGTTGTAAAATTGTAAGTCCATTCATTATCATTAAATCCTCAGATTTGTGCAGGTCTGAGCTTTGCTGAATGAGGGAAGCAAACAGTGTTTATGTGACTCATAATAACAATTATTTCCTATTTATTTATTTATTGTTTATTGTATTTATTTTCCTATTTTTGTTGCTTGTTGCCCTAAACTTTGGCAACTCACTGCTCTGTGACTTACTTTATTCTGTCTGTGCACCTGATGATTCAATAGTGACTTTCGGATGAAACCAAATGCAGAGGGAATGGGTGGTTTAAGCATCCTTCTATTGGCTAGTACATGCATGCGCAGAGTTACACATTCACTGAGAACACTGACAGGTATGGTAGGCTACCTGGTTATTGTAAAAGGACAAAAAATACAATATGGCTCCATTTATCTCACCATCAAGATGACAACCGCTGGTGACAGACAGGAGGTTATTAAGCCCAGCTATTTGAAGCAGGAGGGGTGTTAACACTTCAGTCATTGGCACTAACCTAAAATGAAAAATAAAAATAATAAAAGTACCTACAGAGAACCATCAAACCCACTCTTCATCAAACTGAAGGCACTAAAGTCTAAGGATTTGGTCTACCTTAAAACAATTCAGATCATGTACAAAGCAAATCAGAATCAGTTACCACGTGGCATCCAAAAGTTGTTTCAAATAAGAGAAAACAAACATAATCTCAGGGGAATATGCATTTTAAAAAAACAACTTGTATGTACCAACACAAAAATGTACTGTATATCAGTCAAAGGAGTTAATCTGTGGGACAGCCGCAGCAAAGAAATGAAAACCTGAAGATCACGAAGCAAGTTCAAACTTATTTTTATAAACCACATTCTGAGTAGATATAAGAGAGAAACATGAATTCATAACAATGGTCAATGTGCCTTTTTCTGAGTTATTTTCTCTCTTCTGTGCTGTTATTCCTTCACACATGCTCTGACAGATTAAATTATAGTAACACAACAATAAAGGGGTAGAACAAGGTAAGTTTTATCAACTTCTTTCTACACCCTTTCGAACAAAGTATGATTATCTATATCGCTACAGAGCTGTCTCTTTAATTGTTTTTCTGCCAAAAACCATTGTATATTGTATTTATTTTGTTTTTCTTTTAACCTGTTCGAATAAACAAAATGAACTAAACTACTTCTATTTCTATTTATTTATTTTTAAAAACGGGAACAGCGAAATGGCTAATTTCCATCCTCAGTCCCATTGGCAGGTTGATGTTAAACATAAAAGCAATAATGTTAAAAGTACAAACAACATGACTAAGACAGTAAAATGATGCACTGACTACATACACATAATATACAAAGTAAGGGGACCAAAAAGATTAAAAGAGAATTGTAAAGTGCTAAAGTGCTAATTAAACTGTCATATGTTAAAGGTGTTTAAAGTGCCATTTGCTACAGTACAGCTTGTTAAAGTGACGAGTGCATAAGTGCAAGATTGAATTGAATCACGCGATTGCACGAGCAGATGAGTGTCTAAAATTACATATGGTTTATATACAAAAATGTATTATTTATACCCTTTAGTAACAAATTTGCATACATGAATGAGAATATGTATGCCAGAGCAAATTAAGAGTGGTACCCCAAACAATTTTAGACATGATTATGATGGCAGGTCTGGTTTTCCAACAGCCATGACTTGAGATGTTTAGTAAAAGAAGTGAGGGTTGGGAGTTCAGGTATGGTGCTAGGTATTTGGTTCCAGGATTGCGATGCACGAAAGGAGAATACAGCTTGACTAAAGGCACTTTTCCTGAGCGGCACAACACAGTCACAGCTTGCTGTGGTTCATCTGGTTGGATTTTTTTTAATAAACTCATGGAGTGGAGGTGGAGCTTGACTATGGATAATTTTGTAGATCAATACAGAGTCTGTGTACTTTATTATGTGGTCAAAATTTAGTCACTCATGTCTTACAAGCTCTTGCCCAGCTAGCAAAGCATGTGTGGCGTAATCATTGCATCGGGGTATAGCTTAGCCGATTCTGGAGTCAAGTTATTTCTAATAAATCTGAAGTTAGATAACTTAAATCTCATTCTGTGCACGATCCTTTTTATCTGCTGCTTAAAAAAGCAAAGTTGTGCATCTAGAATGATTCCCAGGTATTTAAATTCTTGAACTACCTTGATTTTTTGACCTTCTACAAATACATCAGGATTATTGTTGATGCTTTCTGTTTTTAAGAAATACATACAGACAGTTTTAGAAATATTCAGGTGTAGATGTGAACGCTCAAGCCAGTGATACACTCTGGTCATAGCATCAGTCAGTGAGAAACCTGAGAAAGAAAACAAATGAGAAAGGATCTGCAGGGGACAAATAGATTTCAAGTTTAGGCCCCTAATCTTTACCCTCTGCCTCTATCTTTTCTTAATGTGACACATCTTTCAGACATTTTTTCCCACAAAGTAGACCTATCTGTGGATGAATTGATTCCTCAGCAGGCATGATAATGGGCATACAGCTGTGCACCTAGCGGTGGCTCTGGAAACTGCATGAAGGAAAAGGAGGAGGAGAGAGGAAGTTCTCCAAAAAGTTTTTTCCCCTTCACAGGACTCAGGAGAGGCTCCGTTAGATTTTCAGAGGAAAGGGATCCGAGCCGAAAGAGAAAGAAAACGCAGAGGAAAATAACGATTTGGAGAAGTTTATCCCTACTTCTATTCGTTTCTTCTCACATGAAATCCGCGAGAAAAGGACGCGCGTGTTTGTCTTTTTTGTGTGATTTGTCCCTTCCAGACAGAGAGGACTTACACCATCAGAGGCCATGAGATGTGAGTGAGCGATGCCTTGTGGAAATGGACAGACTTTATCTAAGCGAAAACATGGCGTCTGCGTCCCGAGGTTCAGCTTCTTTTCCAGTTTGTTTTTGGCGCTATGCTGCCTGGAGGTCTGGGACTCCAGGGCGCAGGGGGACGGCGGCACGAGCTGCAGCCCTTGTCCCGTTAACTGCAGCTGCGCGGTCGCGGGGCCCCTGCAGTCCTGCGTCGTCAACTGCTCCAACATCGGGCTGGAAAGGGCCCCAGCAGCGGCCGACATCCCACAGGCCACCAACGTGCTGTAAGTAGAGAGCACTGATAGAAAGTAAGAAAGCAGAGGAGAGTTCTGACCTGACTATCTTCGCTAAAGCAGGATTTAATGGATATCCTTTTCTTGTTTTAAATTTCAAATCACAAATACAACAAAACCCCTCACAACACGGGCCCCCCAAAGTTTGATACTATGGGGAGCAAAGGCTGTCATTAAAAACTTACATCTTCGATTTGGCCTTTCTCTAAGAAGGATTCGTTTTTGACCAACAATTTGGGGCCACAGGCTTTTCAACAATGTTTTTATTTACTCGTCTTTACCCACTTCCTGACCGTGAGAGACTTCCTTCTACTCTAATGGAGTTTACACCAATTTCAGAGACTAGATAAACTTTTGAATTGTGACATTTAATTAGACAATTATAGGGAAAAAAAAGTCTGTTTAGCATTGCAGAACACTTAATGGAGTTCTGTGACCCTTAAAAACTTCCAACATACCTGCACTTCTCTACCAGCAGAAAAAAGATAGAACATTTAATCAAGTGTATAAATAGAGTTGAGAGATGATTAAAGAAGTTTATATTGAAGCATTGCTTTCTAAACCTCAAGGTGACTTTTTTCTGTTCATGCAGGCTGCTGTTAAAATGTGGCACTGTGTTTGTTTGTGTGTGTGTTGTAGTGTGTGTGTTGTAGTGTGTGCATGTGTGTCTCAGTTTGGTAGTTTAAACGGAGTTGCTCACCAGAGAAGTGAAGCTGGTGTTTGTGTGCAGATCAGTCTTCAGCCTGTGGTGCTGCTGCAGCAAGAACATTCTGTTCCTTGCAGACAGACGACATATGTTATCAATTATTTATTTCCCCTCACACCGCCATCTTTCATTTAACCTAAAGCTTGACTGACTCTGTATACCAGCATTTTCACAAACTCATTTTTTGAGCTTGCTGACCGTGGAGAATGTATTGAAATATATCTTCCTACAAGTAATCAAACGCCAATATCAGCTGCAAATCTTCAAGATTTAGTTGCTGTGTTAATCATGCGTCCCTGTCATCTTAACAGGTTTCGTTATAATCTTTGATATTGGCTGATAGAATTTGCATAAGAGAGGAAGAGTGCTCTGTTAGGTGTCATGTTAATTGGAGACAGACCCTGCAGCTGGATCTGTCTCTAATCACGTCAGGCTCGATTGGAGAGCTAATTACATTTGTGTATATCTCCTCCTTTCACAGCAGGAGCTGTGTGTGGAGGTGTCCAACTGTGAACATGGCTGTCCTTCTCACTTATCTGACCTCCTCGCTGCTGCTTTTGCTGGAGAATAGGAGCATAAAATTAAAACCACATTCTCATAAATTTGATTAACTCTGATGTCATGGCTGACGGTGGCAGGCAGGTAGAGTTTTCAACCAGGCTCCTGCAGAGAGTGTTCGCTTTATAAAGCTAAAGGAGGTGCGTGAATTATACCCTACTCACCCGATATTAGAGGGACTTAAACTTCTTACTGCCGGACACACCATTAATCTTTACAAGGTGCACTCACAGCATGTCTTGCAGTGCAGTGAAGTTTTAGCTCTGAGAGTCAGTTATATGGAATGTTATTCAACCATGTTTTTCTAATATGCGAGTTTCTCCATGTCAAGGCTGTTAAAGGTGAAAAGACAGCCTTGAACCTTTTCTTTTCCATCACCAGGCTTCATCTCAGCAATTATAGATAGTAACACACAAGTTTTCTATTTCTGCAAATTGAGTTCAGCAGCATCAGCACTACCATGTGTGACTGAGAGACCCCGGAGAAGTAAACAAACCATGTATCTGACTTTGATTTGTTGAGTCAAAGCTCACAGAATAGAGCTCTATTTTAAAGGCAGCTTGGAGTGACGCTGTTAATGAATGATAAAAGTTAGAGTGTTGCTTGTGTGTGTGTTTCTGTGCACATGTTCATGTCTCTTTATGTGTGTGTAGATAATTATAAGTTTCACCGAGATGATGTTTACACTGTGAGCCTTTACGCTGCTCTTGAACCCAGATAATCCCGCTGTGATTTCAGACACCAATGTCCCCAGCATCGGAAGGCTGGTGAATAAGTTACAAACATTGTGCATTCTTGATTCTGTTGCAGGCCTCTTATTGTTTACTTGATAAATCATCTTTGTTTACCACATGGCATTTCTGTGATTGTGTTTTGGAGCTATTTGAGGTACTTTTGAGGTACCAATTCACTGTTTCATCCCCAAAAATAGATGAATTTCTGTGGGAAAATGATGAAAGCCAAAATCTGGTGATTGTTCTCTGCCTACAAATTTAGCAACGAGATGGGAGAAGCAACTAATCTTAGTTTAGACAGAATTTTAAACTCTTACTTATCTACAGGTCTGTAATGACAACAACAACAAAAAAAGAACAGTCATATAACAGTCAAAGTTGAACCCAATTTAGTTTAGTGGCTTAACACTGGACCCTTGAGTCTGCGGGTAAACAATGTCAGATTGGTTTGTGTGGCTAGTATTAGCTTTTAACTCTGTTTCCTAGCTCAAACAACTTTCACACACTGAGACTTCGTACGTCAGCTGTTTATGTTTACATCCTGGCAGACAAGCATCATAGCATTGCGGTAGTTGGCATTAAAAGGAGCTACAACCCTACAGCTAGTGATGAGGGTTCAGAAACAACAAATGACATTTCAGAGCTCAAACAGTAACAATCAAAGCTAAGGTAATTCATTGTTTTGTTGTGCACATTTCTGGATATGACCTTTGTGTGTTTCAGTGAGTCATTGCCATTTGGTTACATTTGGGAGCGAGGCGTAGAAGCAGAGGATGAATCAAAGTTAAAAGATCACAGCTTATCTTCCCTGATGATGTTTTAAGTCCACTGTTACAGCTTCTTAATGCAATAATATCATTACATTAGGATTCAAAGGATGTTTATTTTTTGTGCTGGACAAGTTTCTTTTCCTTTGGTCTTCTCGTTTTTCTTTTGTAATAGATATCTTAGCTGAGTATTGCATTGGCATATATAATATACTGAGAAATAACAACTTATTAAAAAAAAGTCCTGAATTCACTGATTGGCTGATGTGTTGTGCTGCTGTGCTTAAATGATTACTGTATATATAATGCCTTAAGAACAGTAGAATATCCTTTATGAAACAAACAGGAGCTTAATGAATATATATTAATGTATGAAAATTCATTGTTCATAACTTATCTTACTGCTTTCCCTGGTTTTCTATCTTTTGTCTAATTGTAACGTGACAATATTTTTGTCTCCTTAAAATAAGGATTTTTGTCCCTTTCTGCTGAGATTGTGAATGTGAAACTGAGGAGGCTTTTGGAGCTTTTCTGTTTTCAAATAAAAGTCATTTTATGTGAAAAATAGTTTGACCAGGCATTGTTGAGCACATTTTGTGCTTTTTCAAAGATAGTGTAATGAAAGCCAGAATGATTTAAATGTTATTTACTCACATATTCATGAAGATTAATTTGTGTTCCTCGCCCAGATGGAGTGATTAATAATGACAACAACAACAACAAAACCATTAACTAAAGTAAAAACAGTCTGTTTTAGAAAAGAAACATCTGCAATGGAATTAGCTATGGGAGAAATTTTTATTTTTGAATCAGAATCCTGACTGTCACCAGTCCTGATTTTCTTAATTGGTGCATTCCTTGTTCAGGAAAGTTGGGATTATTTGTACAAAAAAATGAATAAATACTGAGAGTTACAAGCTTGTGTTTTGTTGTTCTCATATAGGCACTGGTGCTAACACTAGAACAGATGCTAGAGATCATTTACACTCTTAAGACACCATGCGTGCCTCTGTGAGGAGACCTGAAAACCTTGAAACAGACCAAAACAAGAGTCTGTTCATAACCAACCAAAGCAAACAAGACTATTAGCTCCAAGAGTGACTGTATCTCTACTGTACTATCTGATGACTGTAATCTTTGTAAGAATGCAGTAAATGTAGAGATGTTATACAGCACACCGGTGAAACAGCCCTTTCTATTTTCCACATAGTTGATTGCTACTAGAAAGCAGGATGATGTTTTTTGCTTTTAAAACTACTGCTTTCACATGTACTGAACAAGACTGGCAAGCATATAACATACCACTGCTTTATCCACAGTGGAGGCTATGAACAATACGCACCTAAAAGACCTCACAGGGTTTAAAAATGCACTGTTCTGCAACTACTGAATATGCTTAAAATGCTGGTGATGTATTATGTTTAAACTGTATCAGCACAGCCACCATTCGTGACTGTAGCTCAGTTATTGGCCACTGTCGTACAAATGACACATGCATGTCTTGTGCTGCACAATTTGGCAGTATTTTCATCTGAAAGGTAGATAATGTATTTGTATATTTCTATATTTAAAGGTAATCTTAGCAGACAGGTATGCGCAGCGATGTGTATTAGCACCAACATAGGAGTGTTAATCTACTAAGGGGACCAAAGGGTGGTAGTGCTTGCTCTATTATCTGCCATTGTCATTTCAATATAACAAACACCAACATTGGACATACCACATGAGGTACTGAGGTATAGTTTTCCTTCAAGTACAACACCACAGAAAATTACAAAAAATATTAAGGAAACAACCAGAAGCAAAGACATGTCATCAGATGAGGTCAAAAGTCACAGTGATGCTGAAACATCTCTTTCTCTGTGCCTCGAATCAAAGTGTTTCAGACACACCCAGTTAAATAGGAACAGCCAGTGGTAGTGAAGTATTTGAACATACTGGACAGAGTGCAGCTCGGGGAAAAGCCTTCCCGTTACACACCAGTCCATCTGCTCCTACCCACACACATAATAAAATTCTCTTAGCACTTCATACAGACAGTTTATGCAACTCTGAAGTCACTTCTGGGAGAGGCTTAAGGAATGAACTCTGTTTTTTTATGTCTCTATTCTTTGTCTAGCATGGTGTCTGTCCTAGGAAGGGTGAAATACACAGATTCAGTCAACATCTGTCAGGTAGACTGCACAACAGTCTACCTGACAGATGTTGGTTTAAACCCTCTGTTATGTTCTGAAACAAACGGTGGGATAAAGATAAACACGTTCGCATGCTGTGGTGTTTGACCCAGCAGTAATTTCAGTGTGAAGGATGACACTTTCCAAATCTCTATTGAAGTCCAGAAAAAGTTTTGAGAGTGGAAAGAGGAGCTCATCGGTGCTCAGATTGTGACAGGAAGCTTGAAGGATTGGTAAAGAAGTGAGGCAGACTAAACCTCAATATTAAATAAATATTTTACATCAAAAAAAGAGGAATTAATGGATCGAAAATGATGATGTAACAGTGTTAAACTTTTACCACCTAACCTCTGGTCAGAGTCGAGTTTTGTCACGGACAAGGTGGACAGTTAGTTTGTCATGGCTGTTACTTTGTCTTTACTTGGCTGGTCCATTGGATTCTTTATTCTTTTCAAAAACCCCAAATGCTCCCATATCATCCCTCCAGTTCCTCATCCATGCTTGTTTGTCTTCATTTAGCTGTGCACTGCATCATGTGTTTTTTTTTACCTGCACCAAAGATGACGGGTCAGATTTACTTTCATAGCATTTGTGACTGATAAAATCAAAAGCATTGGACTGATGCATGTATCAACCATAGACTGTATATAGAACGGACAGCATCTGCCTCCTTGCTGGGTGAAGCCACCCCGAGAACAGCACCCTGTTGACATGTAGTTACTCTAAGACTGGTTTGTACTTAAGTCCTCTTTTTTCTGTACAGCTCCATTTTTTAAAGTTGTTAGGGGGTTCATGTTTTCAATGATTGACACCTGATACAGCTTATGGGCGTACAAAGATTACGTAGCTCACCCGGGGGATACGCTGTTTGAGCTGAGCATCATCACAGCCACTCTCTGCGACCCTCCTGAATGCGCACAATGCTACTGCGCAAGTGGTGGGGTGCGTAGAAAACGCTACTGCGGAATGTTGGTTTCAGGAAGTGGAGAAAAAACGCGGAATTACAGAGAGCTTTTCGGCTTCAAATCCTATTACTGGCGGAAGGCGGAACCAAGTTGTCCATCGTATATACAGTTTATGGTAACAACAAAAGAAGAGAGGCATCAACCACACAATGAAATATAAGCCTTTTACATTGCCTGTTCAAGGCAGGACTGAAACAGTATCTCATTGAGCAGTGGAGCCAGCTGGATGGAGTAGCACCTCATATTTATATACAGTATATGTATTTTTTGTGTGTGAAGTTTGCTTTTTCACTAGCATGTTGTGCCACTTTTGCTTTAGTGTGTAAAAACAACTCACACTGGGCACTATTATTATGCCATTAAACTGTGGTTCAGATTTGAAGTACAAAAGTTAATTGAGAGCAGATCTGTTGCTAGAGCAGAATCATTCTCCAAAAAGGACTAGTGTGTGGGGTTGAACGATATATCGCAATTGCAATGTGCACAAATGCAACAGCCTCATTGTAGGACGTAGGATATCTGTTATATGACCTGAGACACATCATACACTTAACATACTAGAAACACACGAATTTGTAGTTTTCCATTATGACACCCAGTGCAGGCGTGGCAATGTGTCTTTTTTCAGGGAGCAGTTTTGGCTCTTCCTTGGGTCATGAGGCTTCACAGCTGTCAGACCCAAGACTCTAATTCTTCTTCCTCCACTCTTCTCACTTCTATCTCCACTCCTCTCCTCCTCCAGAGGTCGAGGCTGACACGCACCTATACCCCCCACCACCCACCCCCAGCACACACTGACTGTAATGAAGTGGGAAGGGAAAGATTGAATGTGCCGGCCATATGTAGGGGAGAATTTGTTGTGTTACCATGGTGATTGTAACCAATGACATCACTGACAGAAGCTCTGACATTCCACAAGGTCATAAATAAGAGAGAAGGAGCAGGAAGAAAAGACGGAGAGGAGACGGCTCCCATGTTGTCCTCCCCCGTTTGTTTGTGTGTGAATGAGTGCGTACATGCGCTCAGTCATTTCTAACTGCTGGTGATAGAAATGTTTCAGTTCATCATTAACTCACTCACTGAAGTTAAGTCAGTAGTGTAGGTTAGCAGGAACTTTATCATGGAGGAGGCCTTTGTGCAGCTTTTGTGAGTGAGTGTGTGTGTTGTATAAACTCTTCTCTCTCACACTCACCTTTAACACCAAAAAAAAAAAAACACATTAACTCAATCCTCTGTGGTTTGTGGTCTCTTGACCGAGGAGTGTGGTTGTTTAGTCTTTGTTTTGAACTATAATTATTTTTTTTTCACTGTGTTGTTTTGAATTTTCACACTTTTTGTGGCACTTTTGGGGTTCATCACTGACAAATGTCCCATATAATAATAAAGTCAAACTATTTAAGACTTAAATTAAATTTGAGCTTGATGTTGCCTGACCAATTCATCTTGGTGAAAGAGCCTAGAACCGTTCAGTGGCATACTAAAGTGCCAGTGGAACTAATGAACTGATCAACAATCAATTACGTCAACACAGCAGGTGACGAAGCACATAGCAACAGTAATGTGAACAAACAGAGGCATACAGAGAAAAGAAACCCCCTTTTCCCTGCTAATGAATGCTGTGCAGTTGTTTGGTCTTGTGCTGATGACAGGTTTGTTTCAAACAGCCGTCATGGTGGCTTCTCTGGATCCTCAAGCGGTGGAAGCCAATGTCTTGCCTTTTTTTCTGCTGAAGTGGAGCTCCTGTGTTGTCATCCTAAACAAGCGATTGTTTAATTGGTCCGTTTTTTTCTGACACCAGTGAAAATGATTATGAGCTGGCTGATGGGTCTTGATACACTTGGCTGCTAAAATTGAGCATTTTTGACACATTAAAACTAAACTTGATCTACAAACCACCACAACACACTTACTGTAACTTACTACTGTAATCTACTGAACTGAAATTAAAAGGAAAAAGTCAAAAGAAATAGAAAAAAATAATTTGTGAAAAATCTAAAACTGTTTCGATACCTGTGCAACTGTTCGTATACCAAACTTCAGTAAATTGGGCTGCAAATCATTTTAACTCTTGTACTTTTTAGAGTAATTACCCGCTGGCTCTCAAATCAATGTAACCAAGCAACTACCGCCTCACAAAACTCATGTTTGAGTATCTCTTAAGGATAAAGAGGCATAGATGGTGTACATGATGCACCATTGATTTAAAAAGACGGACAATGTATGACTTAAATGTTGAATAGACATTACCTGCCACTCCTGAAGGGCTATCAAATCACTGTGTGTGTTCAGGCAGTAATGACCTGCAGTTGTTGAATCCAGTAAGTACTTAGAGATAAACGATGCGACTAATGTAGAAACACTATTTATACTCAAAAGCATGTTTGTTGTGAAAAAAGGAGAAAGAAAAAAAACATGCTGACCAGAAAAATGCATAAATGCTTTTTTAAATGCTTAAAAAATTTCAGATGTAGAACAGATCAGAGCAATTTATCATGGCATCTTTGGATTATGCAGCTGTGCTCATTACATTTTAATGCATGTCTCCTGAACTTGAAGATTCACAGTAATAATATGGTAATATATCCAGGGTTTCCTGCTTTAGAAATTTGTATTAGCATATCAGTAGGGTTGGCTGATTGCACAATACTTACGCGCAGAACACAAACAAGTATGTTTGTAATCCTCAACTATCTGAAATGTCCAAATCACACTTGATATGTGGGTTCAGATTAAGCTCTTTTGGTTGTTGATTCTTTTCATTTTTGCATCTTCCTGCTTTTTGCACTTTTTCTTCAGGGTCTTTATACGCAGTTTATCATGTTGTTTAACATAGGGCGCTTTGGTCCACTGGCAATGTTTAAATTTACTGCACAGAAAAAAATCATACTCTACTGGAATGATCTAAAATGATGCCACTGTTAATCTCTCTAAAGTATAATCAGAGCGATATGTGTTCATGTGAAGACAACAGTGTAAGAAAGTCAAAGGTGATGAAAAAAAAGGACAAACTTGATCACATTTACCTTTTTGTTACACATTCTACACGTCCACATTCTAACACTCGACCATCACACACTCTATAATATTAAAGCTATGACCTAACTAGTCGGAAATTGAATTAGAAGACAAAGAAGCTGAAATCTGAGAGTAAGTACAACAAAATCAAAGATCTAGACAGAGAGAAACAACATGTGAAAGTGCCACAAACTGCCTCAGGTGCAGTCAAACACAGATGCTGATATGCAGCGTGAGACGTCATGCACTGAGTGTAAAGAAGCAGTTTTAAAAAAAATCTATATAACCATCAAAGCATCAGCAACAATGTAATCTTCAACTTTAGTCAACTTCAAAATAATCTTTATCACTGTTATTGTCACCTACATGATCTCCAGCACCAAATCACCAGGTGTATTATTTCACATAGCGCTAGGTCTATAACTTAGAAACTAATTTCCTCGATTGGGACCACAGAGGAGACACAGCTAGCTTAAGTGTGAAGGTGTTCCCAAAAGAGCTGGATCCTAAACTTGTTCTCGAAAGTGGAAGGAGAATGGAATCAGAGCGAAGCGAAATGGAGTGAAGATTCTCTACTTAGTTCAGACTGATCAAATTAAATAACCCTGTTATGTTAAATACAGAACACTTAGGTGGCATGTGCTGTTGCACATGTATGATCCATGTGTTTTGAGTGTGTATCACAGTTGGTCTAAAGGGACAGAAAAAAAGCTCGCAAAAACTATTCATTTTTTTCCTATGAAATTGCACATGGACAAAATTTAAATGTACTGAGAGTCATTGATTTGTGTTATTTTTACAGTGTTTTTTACATAATCCAGAAAGCCTGTTTTGTATTTCACTTCCAAGCAAAGGAATGCACATTATCTGCTGTGACTAATAAGCAAATATCCATGCTGTCCACAATCTGTGTGGTTTTTTTAGTCACAAAAGTGACATTAACAGAGGTGTCATGAAGATGCATTTCACATTTGAAGTCGTGAGCGCATCCATATATGCGGAACTGTGGAACTGGAGGAGGCTTTCAAGAACTAGCATTTAAGTCTCATGTAATACATGGAAATGACCCTAAAGGTCATATACTATATACATACCATACTATACACATACTGTAACTTACTATAGTAATGCAACAGAGAAAGCAGACGGCACCATTAACAGCATCCTTTAGGTCACAAAAGATTAACAGATCGCAGAGGTCACAGTGTGTAGGTGCAAGTTGCATGACTACAGATTTCAGCCTCCCTTTGTGTTAGTGAGTGCGATTGAACTTTGCCCTCACTAAAGGCTCATCTAACTAAATGAGAATGTCTCGTTTGTCACTGATTTCTCTCGTGGCTCTTTTTATGTTTCACTTATGCCATTTTAGGTCGACTTTCTATTTTTACTAACTTAAGATTAATTATACTGCCGTGCTGCAGACACAACCTAATTGTCCAGAGCCATATGCATAGAAAACATGTTGACTCAGGGCCAGAAATATACTCTGTGTCATTTTGGTGCAGGAGTGCTCACACGTGATTATATTTAATGGTTTTAAAATACTATTAAACTCTGCACATGCCAGCTTGATTCACACAAAGTCTGTATACAGGATGCAGAAATTATCTTTGTTGGCATAACACCCATACTTAAACCAACTTAAGACCTGACAATGATAAGCAATACATTAGTGACACCTAACATTAAATGTGGATGTGGCATGAAGCACTGAACTCTTGCATGCTAAGAATAACATATAACAACTAAGCACTTTGTGTCCTGTACCAAAATCTGTGTCACTTCAATTCATAACGTGTAATAGGATCAATAGGAGCACTACATTAAATATAAGATTAGATTGTCATGGTCAAGTATGGGAACAAGCCGGTTATAGACCTAATATTGAGTACAGCATGTTGGCATCTGCATAATTAACCAGCATACGGTCATGAGCACAAAGCTACAACAAAGAAGTGACCATTGGTTCATATTTATTAGTTTGAAGTGTTTGGTTTTATCATAATATTAAGGGATTTGGAAGTGTGTTGGTTTGCTGTCACTTGCTCATAGAGCCATTCCTCTGATTCATGGTGTGGCTAACGTGCAAACTATCACTAAACAGATGGCTGTAATTTTAGTTATGTGACATATATGATAAAACGAATGGTTATTTTGGTTGCACAACGTTGACATCCAACCGTAGACTGTATGTAGAATGGAGAGCATCTGCCTCCTCACTGGGTGAAGCCACCCTGAGAACAGCACCCTCTGGTGACGGGCTGCAGTACAGGTCATAAATCCCGCCTCCACCAGCAAAGCTTATGAAGCTGTGGACAAACTTTAGAAATGTATTACACAGAACATAAATTTTTCTCCCCCTTGCTTGCGATGTTGACATGTAGTTACAGTAAGACTGGTTTGTGCTCAAGTCCTCTTTTTTCGGTAAAGCTCCGTTTTTAAAAGTTATTAGGGGGTTCATGTTTGCTATGATTGACACCTGATACAGCCTATGGGCGTACGAAGATTGCGTGGCTCTCCCAGAGGATACACTGTTTGAGCCGAGCATCATCACAGCGACTCTCGGTGACTGCGCAGCCGAATGCGCGCATTGCTACCGCGCAGCGCTGGTTTCGGGAAATGAAGAAAAATCCCGGAAATAGTGAGAGCTTTTTGGCTTCAAATCTGTATACAGGCGGTAGGCGAAACCAAGTTGTCCATAGTATATACAGTCTATGCATCCAACTGATGCTGCAGGACAGACACGGTATTTCATGATCAATTTTCAAATAAACTACCCTTCAAAAGTTCAAATGCATATTCAGTTGCAGTCCTTTAAATTACTCAATTATTACTTCAAAAGACCATGGCCCAGATGAATGAATAATGCAAGCATGCAGAAAACAAACATTGCATTTTATGAACAAAAGTAGTACGTACAAAAAGAAGTAGGCTTAGATAATCCACTGAATGGAAGGGATGGTGACAAAGGAGCCAATTTACATCATCCCACTTGTATCTTATGAGCCTTTCATTTACTATATACAGTCCATAAAAACCAGTCTACAAAAGACCTTTGAAGATGCACATATTCATATATGTGTAACAAAGGGCAGCTTATATTTATTTCATGCCCTTGTCCTTCTTAGCGAAGATGTTTGTGCTTTGCATTTTATTTTATGTGATTTAAGTGATCATGTTCTTTTCATTTGATGTTTGCTTTATTGTGGTGCACTCTGTGACCTTTGTCTCAGCGTGTTGGCTAACTTTCCATATTGATGACTGGTAAATGACTTATTATGGCTGGTTCTTGCATAAATCCAGAGTAGGGATGCACTGAAATGAAAAAATTCTTGACCGTAACCGAAAAGGAGACCAAAGCCAAAAACTGAAACAAGAAATAAATTATTATGCCAATTATTAGTACCATTGCATTTATGGCTCTTGTACTAAACTCACTAAGATCAAAGCATTGCAATTGCGTAAATTAATATTAAATTAATATTGGTTTATAATAAATATTAAATGAATATTAATTCATGCAATTGCAATGTGAGTTGCAGCAATATTAAACAGCTCAGGTAAACACGTCTGAGTAACGTCGTCTGCTCTGCATGTCATAACTGCTCAATTTGCTCGATCAGCCGTAGAAATCCCACATCCTCTACAATAGAGAGCAGCTGATCATGTAAGGCGATAAAGTCCATCAATTTTTGTGTAATGCTTTTTGCCATGGCACCATCACTGGAAAACTTTCTTGCCTTTTAAAAAACATCCACCACAGACGGAGTGGGTGTGCTCGGAGGGATTTTCCTGTTCTATGTGGCGTTCCTCTCACGTGCAGAATGGCGATTGGGATGTTTGGATTTTAGGTGATAAATTAAACCCAAAGTAGAGATAGTTTCTGTAGATGCACCCCCTCTTACACAGTATGCAAATCGCTATCCGTAGTTCTCAGATATATTGAAATATGTCCACAGAGCAGACATGTTGGCCAAAATCTGCAGACAAGCTCGTGCTGGCTGCGGTTTTTGCCGGCGTCATCACAACATCTGATGAAAGTCTTGTAGTCAAAAACCCCAAATAAACTTTTGGGCCATTTTTGGTAGCCGAATTTTTGGTGCATCCCTAATTCAGAGACACGTTGGTCTCAGTTATCATATTGGCAAATCACAGCAATGTGAAGAAGAATCAACTGCACTGTAAAAAAGAAAAACAGGTCAAGTTAAAATACAAACAGATCCTTGTGACATTGTTTATTCATTTGTTCCCATTTGTTGCCAAGTTGTCAAGGATTTTTTACTTGTTCTCTTCAATCTTGGCATTGCCATTCTTTGTTTCAAGAGAGGAAATATTTTTAACAGACAGTTTCCTCTTTTCTTTTTTTACGATCCTAAAAGTGAAATATCTTTGAAATGGGCACAGCTATGTCAGTGTTTGTTATCTTATCAGAAGCAGACACTGCAGGTCAGACGCTTTTTGCTTTGTCACAAAACTTGTTGGACTCTCTGAAAAAGAAGGAGCAGTGAGCTCAGAGTAAAACTGAGTTTTTGTTTTGCCTGCATGCATTGACAGCATGTAAAAGTGTGTGTTTAAGCGCGCGCGTGTGTGTGTTCATGCATGTGTGTTGATCTTTGTGTGAGTGTGTTAAACCGCTGCACACAGCTTCCCTACGATTGCCAGCTGGACACCAGACGACCCAGGCAGCAGCAGCTGGAAAAATGGACAGAATGTTCTAAAGAGGAGCAGAGAGGAGAGTGTTTGTGACCCAGCCGGACTGAAAAGCAGAATGTTTGACTTTTAACACCAAACCTCTTCAATAAACACCCCGCCATCCTTAGCTGTTTCCCCCATTCCCTGGATTTCATGTTCTTTCTCTTGGTGCAACAGGGAAGTTACCCGGCGACTCCAGTCCCTCAGTTATGTCCCAATTATGTATAAATTGCCAGCTTAGCTGAGACGAGTCGAGCAATGACAGACTCTAGCAGCCCACATCAGGGGAGCTATTCTGCAGACCTGGCTCATGTGGCTCCTCTAACACCTCCTCCCCCAACTCTATCATTCTCAGTCCTGACTTTACTTTTGTTCTGCTCAGAGACTCAAATAGGCCGGCCTAGTCTGTGTATATAAACAAAGCGGCTGAGCTAGAGAAGGAAAAAAAAGGGGAAAGAAATCGGGAGAAGTGACTGGGGGAGGGAGGGAGGACGCAGAGGAGGGATTGGTCAGGGAGGCTGAGGGGGGATGAAAGCGACCACAGAATGGTCTGTGTTTAGTGGGTTAGTGGAGCGCTGGCCTTCACTTGCAGAAACTTGGACCACTTTGCCACCATGATGCTGCAGATATGAGTGAGTCCTAAAATCAGACCTACATCGCAGTTGTCATCGCCGTGCCACGGACTTCACTCTTTTGAGGAAATCAATCAGACGTCGTCTTTCTTCGGTTGTTTTCTTTTTTTTCTCTCCCTCATTTCCTCCATCTCTGTCTCTCCAGATGTATTTTTTCCCTCACAAAGCCTGTGCCCACTCCCCCTCTGCTCAGGCACAAGAGTAGTCAATGAGGACTGTGAGTGAGTGTGTGTGTATATGTGTGTGTATGTGTGTGTGAGTGTGTGTGTTCTCATCCTCTGGCTCAGAATAAGTGGCACCAGACAGGCCTTATAAGGAGTGGTTAGATCATTGGCCACACCGTTAGTAAAACAGAACCATATGTGTGCAGTGCGTGTGTGTGTGTGTGTATGTGTGGCAGTGTGTGTGTATGTTTGTGAACAGGCCTATACCCAAAGTGTGCTCCTCTGTGTGTTTATATGTGTGTAAGTAAAACCATGTGTGTCCAGAGGTAGCTAAGAGAACAGGAGCCCGTCACTAATAGACATGGTGAAGGTCACATTATATGGTCGCATTAAACACACACACACACACACACACACACACACACAATACACTTTCTCCCCTCTTGTCTGTGTTATCTATGAGGTCAGAGAGGAAGATTAAAAGTAGTGCACACAAATATGAAAATACACACACACTTGGTTTGGATGTGGAGAGTATTGCATGAGGTGAGGTGCGAGCCTAATGTGCAGCTCCTCCGTGTTGTCCTGTTTCATCTCCTGATGGTTTTAGCAGAGGAGAGAGCATTTCTCTCTTCACTCTCTCTCTCTCTCTCTCTCTCCCTCTTTCTCCTCCTCTTATGCTCTTTCTGTCTTTCTCTCTCTTGCTCTCGGACTCCATCGTTCTTACACAGCTTGTCTGGAATGTACAGATGTTTCCTTTTGGGAATGGGCGTCCTGCTCTGTTCACACACATACACACAGGAGGAAAGAGAGGGAGAGAGGGGAGAAAGGGGAGCTCATTCTCCTACACTCACATACACATTTCTCTCTCTTAACTTTGAACTTCAATTAGCTTCTAAGACACTTCAGACCAGCAGGATCTTCAAATAAAAATCACACAGTGATTTTTTTTCTGGTCCTCTCACAACCTCTGGCTTCTTGTCTCTTCTTTCTTTGTTTTTCTTTTTCTCTCCCTTTTGTTCTCACGTGCAGCCGAGATTTTGCTCTGCAGGCACACGGAGGAGTGTCCCTAGATACTTTCCTGCCTCCTTCTCCTTGTTTTGGCATTTCAAGTCCACACTTAAGGCACTACAGTTTTCTCACTTCCTGCTTTCTTCATCTGGTTTTGTCTTAATGACTCAGGCCTTTGATTAGTAAGTAAGGATTTTGTACACAAAGTTAACATTCATTGTGCAGAGTAGGTGCAGTTACACTAGATGCAAGTATGGCTGTTATTGAAATTGTCTTTGTGATAGGCACAAATTTGGCCGTTGTGTAGAAGTACCAAAAATATTTCAATATTATTTTTAGCTAAAAATGTAGAGTTTAGTCTGTGTGGTATTAGATTTTAGGTCCTAGCCATAGCACTAGCCACCAAACATCTTTTTAACTTTGCCTGATTCCTTTAGCAAAGAGACTAAACACAACTCACCTACTCTCTTCCAGCAGCCGCTTGTTTATAGAAAGACCAGTCGGGCCAGTCCATCATTGACCGTGACGCTAAGGCAGAAGAACTACTGTGTCTGCAGTGCAAAATGATATATATAGTGATTATTACTTCAATGAAATGATAAAGTAATGATCATAAATGTTCTTCCTTGAGCTGTGTCACCCCGCTGTAGTCAATGATGGACTGGTCGAGGTCTCGCTAAAAACAAGCGGCTGCTGGAAGAGATTAGGTGAGTTGTGTTTAGTCTCTTTGCTTAAGTAATTTGGCAAAATTGAAAAGATGTTTGGTGGCTAGTGCTATGTCTGGGACCCTATATGTACTGTTGATGAAGTTAGGTGCTGTTCTAAGCATTATTTGTGGCTTTTGAGTGGTGTTTTGGTTGAGGTTTGTTTATGGCTCCTCAGACCACTGTGTATTGCTATCATGCGGTCATTACTAAAGTTGGTATAACTAGAGAAGCAAGCGATCTGCAACATTCATCTCTCGACGTGGTGTCTAACTCTGTGTTACGGTGTGTTTGACCCTAAATTAATTTTACGCCGGAATATCCCTTTAAGTAATTAAATATAGTTGCCATCCTTAAAACATCAGTTATGGATGTGAGTGTTGCTCAGGTTATAATGCAGTTTCTCTCCGAAAAGCTCATCAAAAATATATTACTGCTGGTTGTAAAATCTAGTTGATGATAAAGCATAAAGCATTACAGTTTAACAGCCTTTTCAGCAGTGATCACAATTTATATTTTTTTCTCTGAGGGTGCTCAATATTATCGGGCATTACAGCAGATGAAGCTTGAAAAGTAAGTTACTGGTATAGACAGATAGGCTCTGAAAATTTAGCAGATGTGAAGCTGATAGGTTGACACATCAATGATGCACATGAGTGTAGTCCTGTAGACAGTGAACAGGCACTAATTTCATGAAAGGGTTAGAAAGGTATTGGAAATTACTGAGTGTTATTGAGCACTGTATGTCACAACAGCTGAAGTCAAACATACGACACCTGCCGTCTCTTGGACCTGGCATGTAGCAGGTCTGGGGAAACCAGGTCTGTTGAAGGTTTTAAGTAGTTTTAGAGAGGTACACCTTTCCAAGACTGGAGAATAATTCACTTTTATTTTTGTTTGATCTGTGTTTCTTTGGCCGCTTGATTTCAGACGATATGAAAACCATCTCTTATCCATAGTCAGTTAGATTTGACTATGGGATTTGGGTCAAAAGTTGGAACCTTGAGTCAAATTTTCTTCCACCAGATGAAAGTTATTTCTAAGTTTTCATAACTGCAGATTTTCCCCAAATTTGATTGGTGTAACACATAAATCTCTTTGTTTTTAAATAAAATCTTCATCCAAGGATCAACAGTAGAGTTTGATCATTTTGTTTAGGAAATGTCTTTGACCGGGGATCAGGAATCGAAGTTTAGGAGCCTCCGCTGATTCATAATTTAGGTGCAGCTGAAACAAAATAAATTAGTTTGATTTATGGACCATAAAATAAACCAAAAAGCAAGGTGAATTAGTTTATTACGATCTGTGTGAACCAAACTATGAGGTAGCACACATTTAGGGTAAACTCACACAACACTGGACTGCTGTTGGAAACAGATAATCAGATGTGTCACACAGAGTAGCTCACTGCCTCTAAACCTTTCAGCTTCAACACTGACATCCCTGTTTTCTTTTACTTTTGTTTACAGAGAGATTTTATGCTGTTTTAACGAAAATGGCCTCTAGTGATTGTCAGACTGCTTCCTAAAATTATTAATCAAAGCTCTTATCAGGTGATACATTTAACCTTACTTCTGCTTATATTCATGAGCAGTTCAGTAGTTTTTACATAAGGTGATCATTGGGAGTAATAATTCAATAACTGTACGATAAACTGTATGAATATGGTTTTATAAAAAGAATCAGAGCTCAGAGAGAGATAAGGACATGCTAGGCGAATGGAAAGTAATTATTGACTCTGGTTGCATTATGGGAAATATAGGAGCCAGTGTACTGGGAGCATGACTCATACCAGACACTGAATGTCTGGGTGTCTCAGCATCCAGCAGCTGAGGTTAAACCCTCATAAAAGAAACTCTCATGTGATTCTCTATCAGCATATGCCTTTTTGTCTAACCCTGTAAAATTCTCCTGTTGAATAGATGGTTAAAAAAAAAAAAAAGGAAAACAGCCATGGCAGCTGCTGAAAAGACATTTAAAACTTATTGAAAGCTAGAAAGCTTTTTACTGACACTTAAAGGGCTTTGTTAAAATGTTTATGTTTTAGACTTTATTTCTCCAGATGACATCTGTGTCTGCTTCTTCACACACTCACACACAAGTTGCATCTCTAATACAGATGCTACAATGATAGTGTAAGTGAGCTGTAAATCAGTCATCACCTCAAATCAGTCATTATAATCACCACCAGCCAGGGAGGCCCCGAGCGTATTGCTCTCAGTTAGATATTAACAAACACGCTGAGCTCCCGGGGTTTCTTCCACTCTTCTAGTCACAGACTAACACAGCTGCAGTGCCAGCTCATGGTCACTCTTTCTTTTAACTCTATTCTGTGGTGAATGTTAAATGCTGCTCACTTTGCAGTATCTCTGAACGTCTCGTAAAATCACACAGCTCATCAAGTGCTTTTATGTGAAAAAAAAGTTAAAGTGGCATGTTTTCAAGTGAAGCTGGAAAATTACTTTGGAGAAATAGCACCACAGTAATCATTCCCATCCTCTTCGCACCCTGAAATATGTGATTTATCAAAATTATACAAAATTGCATCGATGTCTTGACCATATTTTAGCATTTAAGAGAAGTATGTGTGGATGTGGGGGGGATTTGACACATGGGTCCTCTGACTTCACCCTGTTTTGAACCAAATATCAATATTGAAATCCCTGCGGGTGCCTACTGGAGAGGCGATTTTCATAAATTAGTATAAATGAATGACAAATTAGACAGGAACTGTTGAGATTAACACGTGTATGCAGCACGTAATTATTTTGACTCTCTGGCTGTTAAAAAAAAAAAAAAACGTCCTCTGCCATGAACACAAGTTTTTACTTAAGTTCCTCAAAAGTCAATATTGATGATAAATGACATTTTCCCCTGACAATGACTGTGTTATTGTGAGTCATCTAAGAGAAATATTACCTAGAGAGTCCTTTATTGTTCTGGGTTTGTGGTCTTGGCACATCTTCACCCTGTTTATGGTGTCTGGATTTCATTATCTCCACATTTGTATTAGCTGAATGTTTCACTCTCCCTCCTTGTTATCATCCAATTTCATTTCCAGCACTTTTGCTATTGCATTTAACGCAACATTGTTTGTTACTCTTGATGATACTCTGTGTGTATCTGTGTGTGTATCCGTGTGTGTTTGCATGCCATCATTTAGCGCTCACGTGTATTTTAAATCAGGATATGTTGATTTTTCCCGCAGAGATCTCTCCAAGAACCACATCTCCTCCCTTGATACCAGCCTGCTCGACCGTCTCACCAGCCTCCGGGAGCTGTGAGTACACACGACATGATGTTTTTATGTCCTCGTATTATTTCACCCACAGTACACCCAATTTATCTACATCCATTAAAGCTCTCTATGTCTTTATTTTCCTTCAGCTATCTTCAAGGGAACAGGATCAATATTCTCCCCAGAGGCGTATTCTGCTGTGGGCCAATCTCAATCCTGTGAGTACAAAGTCAAGAGGAGATGAGGACCTGTAATACCCAAGGTCACAAAAAAAGAGTAGAGGAAAATCAAAGGCAGGGTTTAGTCTGGATTTCAGAAGGCAGAAATCCCCTGAAGTATTCAAACAGGACCAGAGAACGTTAAAAGAAGAAACACATACTGTGCGCTGCACATGCACACACACATGCACACACACACTAATCAGAGGACGATTAAGTTCAATTACAGCCTACTGCTCCAGGCTCCCACCACCTCCTTCTAGTCCTCTCTCCATCTGCCTCCCTCCCTCCACCCCATTACCTTATTTCTTCCATCCATTGAGTACACGTTGAAGCACATGTTAGTGTGCGTATGTGCGCGTGTGTGTGTGTGCATGTGTTTGATGGGAGAAGACTGGTGGTTTCCATCAGTTCCTTCCAAAACCACCACACAACGGCTCCATTATGTAGCCGAGTGGATGGAGTAGTAGAGAGGGAGGGAGGAGGAGATACAGGAGAAGGAAAGGGGAGTAAAGAAAAAGAGAGAAAGAGGCATGGAAACTAAACAGATTAGTGGAAACAGGAAAAAGAAAGAAAGAAGAAACCAGTGTAAGCCTGGCCCTTTGTGGTTACTCAGTGCTTCTGTTATTTGTGATCAATTCTTTAGAGCCTGTGTCATTTATCTAAGTATTGTGACTTGTTTTTGACCAAATATGAGGTAATAGTGTCTTTTTCTGTGACAAACACAAATCTAAAAGTCATTTTGCATGGCTGACTCAGTTCTTGTTTGGATGATGCTGCAGAAGAAGCAGTCACACTCGGTTGTTCATTCATTTAATGACTCAGTTTTTGGCTCCCATGTAAACGTCTCCCTCCTGCCAGTTAAACAGAATGACAGAAAATGCTGCAAATCAGTTCTGGCACTGAGCGATGGTGAGAGACCCACTCTTGTTTAAAGGCAACTCTGACTCGTTCTGTCTTTTTTCCCCCAATCAGTGATTTGAGCAACAACCTCATCACCACCATAGAAGAAAGAACATGTGACAACCTCTGCAATCTAACTCAAATGTAAGTCAAGACTCTTGAATACTACTCTGTATTTGTTTTTCTCTTCACTGACCAACAAATAGAAACATATGAATAGTAAATCTTATCTCCACCTCCAGAAGCATATGCACAAGCGAACACACACATCTCATCACACATGCTTAAATAGGCAGGAGGGTTTCCAGTTCCTTGCCCACACACAAGATGAAGCTCCGAAGCTCTATTTCAGACTAGAGTGGGAGGTAGTGAGTGGTAATTATTCCTCAGCAGCTCTTTACGTTCCAAAAGTTTTCTCCTCTTTCAGAGTCTGTAATACAATGAAGCCAAGTTTAGCATTCCTTCTAATCTATGGAGGATCATTAAGGGCAACTTTGAAAGTTTATTTGAGTCCTGAGATTAAAGTCTGTCTTAAATTGACATAAAAGGGATGATTAGAAGATGGGCTTTTCTAGAAGTTGACTCTTTAGAGATGAATGGCTGGGTTGGAATCAACATTTGAGGCAATTAAAACAAGCCAAGTCAAAATCCTGAATTAATTTTTTATAACTCTGCCTTTTTGGCCTTAAACGGATTTTCAACTTTAAAGAAAATGTGGACTTCGAGGTCTTACGAGACAGAAAGGACTATTTTTCAAAGTTCTGCTTTTAATCTCAGCACTCCAGAGTCATTTCCAAAGACAATTAGTACATGATAATACACTTAGTGCTTTTTTAAATAGAGTGTTGTTAGAGTTTAGGCACAGCTCCACCATTGTTGCATAAATACTTGGTCTCGACAAAGTGATCAAAGTTTACAACCCAACTTTAGAAAGTTTGGACCATGTGTACAATGTTGATTACAAACAGATTTTGATGGTTTGAAAATCCTTTCATCCCTCTATTTAATTAAAAATAGTGGAAAAAAAACTTATCAGATGTTGAAACTGAAAGATTGATTTTTTTTCCAATGAAAAATAAATGTTCACTAAGAACTTTGATGCCAGCAACACATTCCAACAAAGTAAGGACAGGAACAAAAAAGCACTAAAAAAAAAAATTGAATATCGCCAAGCAGACCACCAAGAGGAACACCTCCCAGCTCATGACGTGGATGTGCAACGGGTCAGTAAAAAGGGCCTTTGCACAGAGGCAGAGTCTTGCAGAATTACACATGTGGAAAAGTTCACCACTGTTCACCATCGTTTGAAAACTTCAGGATAATTTTTCGCAGCATCAAACTTAAAGACAAAGGATTTCATCGTCTGCAGATCATGATATCAGTAAAGATCATGATGAGAAATCTTTACAACAAACACAAGGTTGAAAACCAGGACTGGATTTGTCAAAATGATACCAAGCCCCGCTTAGTGCCGAGAGGGCTGCATTTGATCATGACAGTAGTTGATTGCTTAGTTGACTGAACATGTGTTAAACATTTACTATATACCGTCTGCATGAAAAAACTACTTAAATGTTTTTTGTGAATTCCTGGTTTAAGCTAAAAGAAGATTCAGACTCGTGCCATCTCATCCTGACATAATTTCAGGAACTGTTTACCAAACAATGCACCGCAAAGTTTTCAGTTTAAAAATTCCCCCACCAAACTCTGTCATTTGACTATTATTATATTTGACTATTTATTATTTATTATTTGATCCAGAGACCTGAGTGGTAACCCCTTTGAGTGTGACTGTGAGCTGTTCCGGCTCGTCAGCTGGCTGCGCGAGAAGGGAGTACGAGTTCGACGTCCAGATGCCATGCTTTGCAACCAACCTCCTGAGCTCCGCCACCAACCTCTTCTTAATGTCAGCCTGCACACCTGCGGTACGAAGAAACACACACATGGATTTTTTTAAAAACCACATAAACAGGTCCTCTCTTTGTGTATCCAGTCATTAAGTGTGATGTAAGCTATATTCTGGTCCGTTACTCAATTATCAGCTAATATGATTCTCCAACTGTCAGTTTTGAGAAAAGGAGTGACATGCTCAGTATTTGCTTTTACTTCTTTTTACAGAAGAGGTAAACATTTATCTGTATATGTTTACCTAACATAATGGTTATCAGTGAACCTCCTTTAAGCTCTGCTTCTGAGTTGGAAGTCTTTTCCTGTTTTAATTTTTACAAAGTTTACAATTCATTTGCTTCCTCTTCAGGTCCCAACTACGCAGCCTGTCTTGAAGATAGCAGCAGTGGAGGAGGCGGGCGGAGCGAGCTGGTTATCTTCTCCTCCTCCACACCTGGAAACTTCACACGAGAACAGTGTAACAGTGTGTGCTTCGCTGCATCACACCGCTATGGGGGCCTGGGGACGAAGCACGAGTGTCTCTGCAGCATAAACTCTGAACCAAACTTCATCAGCGAGTCCCAGTGTTCTGCTGCTTGTACAAACCCACAAGTTATGAAGGTACACAGTTGACAGAGGTTCTGGATGGCGACTAATGTCATGTTAGATTTTCCAGTGTCGAGTCTTTTGTCTTGGAGAGCAGCTCCTAATCAAGATCCTCTATGGTCTTTTCTCTCACTTTCTTGTGTCGTAATCACACTTTCAGGATTTCCTTTAAACCTTCCTGTATCCTTCCAACAACTTCCCTCTGTGGCTGGAATGACTTCCTTTCTCAGAGTCAGTTTCCTGCAGGATGGCTGTGCAAGCTTTGGGAAAACAATACCCATAACTTTTTAATTACAGAACAAAAAAAAAAAGAAACCACAAACATCTTAACAGTTTATAAAAAGGAAAGTTCTTGAAATTGAAAATACGGTGTAAATTTAACCAAAATCCTCCCTCTTTGTGCAGAAATGTGGCTGGACTTTGGCTCATGACGTGTTCGCAGTGGACTTCTCGGTCTCACTAAAGCCTCTCCCGCTCCAAAGTGTTCACGACACCATCGGTTTCTCTGCCGTCCCCTCTGTCACACCAGTGACGCTGTCTTGGGATTTTGGTGACCTTTCACCCCGGGTTAACACTACAGGAACAGGAGTCACCATGGCAACCCACAAATATGGACTCCCAGGACATTATGCAGTCAGTGTGGTGGCATGGGCTGGTCATAAAGAGGCAAGATAAAATATAGGAACTATTTTTTTCGTTGTTTCATGGATTTGATCTAAAGAGTTCTTACAGTTTTATAAAATACCTCTTTTAACGTGTAATTTTCTGTATTTCATGTGTAAAGGTCTCAACACGTGGAGAGGTGACTGTGGCGCTTCCTCCCAAACTGGAGCTACGCTGTCCAGCTCTTGCTGTTGCCAACAAGAGTCTGGAGTTCACACTTGTCAGCTGGGGGGCTGTTGGCTTAGATGTAGACTGGGAGATCACAAAGGATGGCCTCCAAGTTGCCAAAGGTAAGACTCGCCAACACACAAGCTCTGAGCAGCTAATAATAACAGCCCGTCAACACGCAACACAGCAGCAAAGTCAAGATCTATAGTTTATCATGACCCTGTTATCAAGCAATGCTGCTGCTGTATATCTCTGATATGGTCAGTCTGGTGTCTCTGAAGTGGGGCTTTTAAAAATAGACATGCAATACGAGGTGTGAAAATCATGTGAGTCACAAAAAGACAAAGGTAGAGATGAAAAGTCAGGAGATGTCACTGTTCTTAGTCAGAGTGTGGGTGTTTTTGTCCTTGGTATCATTTTTTTCCTTCATCCTTTGGGGTATTTTTCCTCTGTACACTGATCCACTTCTTCTGCACATCTTTAGAAGCTGACGGCAGTGGTTGGTGTTTTTTTTTACCTACAGTTTCGTTCTGAGCTGGGTTTTTCTTTTTTTTTTTTGGTAAGGACATGAGCTGTAGAAACATATGTCTACTACAGGCTGGGTGAGTGATGTAGTTGCAACACTTTCTAGCATATGGTTTGAGTTTCCCAGGTGGCTGTATCTCTCTTAAAGTCATTAAGCACAAATACTTGACTCCCCTATAGCTATATATGCTATTTTCTCTGGACATGGATGGTAGTTTCATTGCCTGCTGCAGCTCATTTGGTCTTGAGTTGATTCTATTTTCGCAAGGACACAAGATACAAAGGAAAGAGAACAGAAAAGTGTGTGTGAGTGTGGTAAAAACTAGTAAATGGTTTTTACAATCTCAATTCCAGGAGAGCTGAGGCATTGTAAGATGTTAGTTGAAACATATTGTGATGGTTAGAAAATCTTTCCTATATTTAATTGAAAGAAGTTTAAAGAGAACTTTTTAAAATGTTAAAACAGAAACTTTTATCTGATAAGAAATATATTCTAGCTTTAAATCTGATACCAGTAACACATTTCAAAATAGCTAGGAATTAGAGCTATAGAATTAAAAAAAGATGAAAACAGCAAGGGATTAGTGTTCATTACTGCGCAATATTCTTTTTTAAATTGACACTCTCATAGTCTGGTTTTACCATAGACTGTATATAGAATGGACAGAGTCTGCCTCCTCTCTGGGTGAAGCCACCCTGAGAACAGCATCCTCTGGTGACAGGCTGCAGTATAGGTCATAAATCCCGCCTCCTCCAGTAATCCTTATGGAGTTGGGGACAACATTTAGAGATTAATTTCACAGAATATATTTTTTTTCCTCCCTGTATGTGATGTTGACATGTAGTTATTGTAAGACTGGTTTGTGCTCAAGTCCTTTTTTTCTCCACTTTCAAAAGTTATTAGGCGGTTCATGTTTTCTATGATTGACACTTGATACAGCCTATGGGTGTACGAAGATTGCGTAGCTCATCCAGGGGGATCTGTTTGAGCAGAGCGTCATCACAGCGACTCTCCCACCGAATTCGTACAGCGTTACTACGCAAGTGGTGAAATGCGTAAAATGCTACTGTGCAAGTGGTGGTTCCAGGAAGTGGAGAAAATCCCAGAAATACTGAGAGCAATTCGGCTTCAAATTTGTATAATGACAGAAGACAGAGCCAAGTTGTCCATAGTGTACGCAGTCTATGGGTTTTACACACAGACAGTGACACAATAAGTGATTAAATATGTAATCTTATTCCAGGGAGAGCTCTAGGATAATAATGGAGAGCTGCCCACACAGTTCTGAGGATATTTTTATAGTATGCTCACCAAGTATGTAAGCTCCATCTCAGCCAGCCTGATGTTAAGCATAACTCAGGGTTAACTTTAGATAGGCTTCACTCTCCAAGGATTTCATTTATTGCATGAAGGGGAATTAGCATGTGGTCCATGCCTCACTGGGTCCATCCTCCCACCTGCACAAACATGCTCCATAAATGCGTCATAGCTTTACATTTGCTCAGATGGCACAGAAGCATTACATTACCAGGTAGCATGGGGAAAAGAAACTGGAAAACAACAGGAAAAGTACTCTTTGAAAACCACAATTTTTCTCATTGAGTATGAAGAAGAGAACAGAAGGAAAAACTGCTTTCTCTGCACACAGAGAGGTATGTGAAATAGAGTGCAGACAGCTCAAGCGCTCTGAGAAAACACTCAGAGTCACAGTCACACAGGTGATGGAGCACAATGACGGAATCAATGATCTGGAAAGTTAGAAAACTCAGAAGAGAATTAAGGTTACAAAAAAAATAAAAAAATTCAAACCAAAAATGTGACTGAACTTCAGTAAACTTTAAAAAATACGTCTGATCTTACAAAAGCAGAGCTTTCACTAATACAGGTACAAAAGTGGGAACAATTCAACAGTTTGAGAACAGGGTTGTCCAGAATTTTCTGAGGAACTTTTTAAGAACAGATTAAAGAAGAAAAATAAAGAAGTTACAGTATCAGTGAACAAGGTCCAGTGACTTAAATTCGAATTCCTAATCCTTATTTATACCAATCTCATTAACATCAGTAAATGCTCATCCTATGCCTATATATGGGCACAAAGACGCAGTGCAGTCGGTGAAATCTAAAGATGGTTCAACTGGAATACTTGACTAGTCCTGAATTGGAGGTATTCTCATTAGAATCAATTTTAAATTTCATTTGATAATGTGCAGGTGCAGGTTTAAAGAAATAAATGTAAGCAGTTATTAGGCACATGCATTTTAGTACTCAAATGTGCCTGTGTAAACTCTGGAGTGTCTTGGCTGAGAATAAACCTTTGATGAAAAAGGTGTATCATACGAAAACATCATTATGTGTGTCCGAATCCTCTGAAAAATTATGCAAGTGAGATTTTAGAGGAGCTTCTTGAGAGCAGGTGGTCAATGACGTACATTAGCACTGACTATTTTCTGATATTATGATCAGTCAGAGCTCACTGATCATTCAGATTCTGATTTGTTAGTAATGGAGTACAGCCAGATATTCTCCACTTATGTAATGTAACCACTTTTGTTTGTAACCACCTTTTTTGGTGTTGTTAATATTTACAATATTTCAGTGGCCCCAGATCTCCCTAAATGTTTTTTTTTCACCAAAGGGGCAGCAAACTTGTAACTAAAATGCAGCTTCTGTTCAGAAAGTACCGACTTTGTGAACACCTTGAATTTTGTTTATCTGAGCTGAATTCTCAACCTCTCATACTGCCTGCCAAAACTAAAAAGAAAACAGATGAACACTTTCAAAAACTTGAAAAATGCTTTTAACTTTTGTCACAATATTGAATTGTGGGATTAACAGATCATGTGCTGTCTCCGTCTCCTGTCCAGCTTTCCCTCATTGTCCAAAGGACGGGGTGTGTCACGCCGAGTCCTCACGCTGTTTCCAGATTGTTCCAGGAGAGTTGAGTTGGACAGACGCTCGACAGCAATGTTTAGACCGCGGAGGAAATCTTGCAATAGTCAGGAGTGATGCCCTGCGTAACCTGCTCGCACCCAAAGTCACACAGTAAGTGTGTTTCTCTGAGGATGAGGTGCAGCTATAAAGCCTCAGTGTTTCTCTCCATGTCTGTGATTGTTTTCACGCCATGAAATTTCATGTCTTTTCTCCAGAAACACAGACAGGTCTTGTCTCTTTCTTTTATCTGTCATTTCTTCTCGTGTTTCTACATAAAACCCTTTTCTCACACATTGTTTGTAATTACATGAAGCAAAATCTCATGTGAATAGATCATGATGTCAGGCTTAGCCATGGCAACTAGGTGCTCTGTATTTTGTATGTAGATAGTCATTCTTTCACTGTATGCCCTCTCTTTGTGCTGCTGTGTAAATGGTAATCATGTGCTGTGAACTGTAATGAAGAAATCTTTAGAAATGTGCAGCTCTGAAGGACGCCAGTGTTTGGATTTTAGGTCGGAGAGGGTCGCAAAAAAACACATCTGTAAAAGCACAGCTGCATTGTAACACCCGGGGAGGAGGAGTCCATAGTTAATGTGTGTGTGTGTGTGTGTGTGTGTGTGTGTGTGTGTGTGTGTGTGTGTGTGTGTGTGTGTGTGTGTCAGTGTGAGGGTAGAGGCCCTGCCCTCACAGACCAAAGCAGATGAGAAAAAGAAAAACCTGCTGCAGATGGAGCTCATGCCCCCTCCTCCCCTTCTCCTCTGCTTATGTCTTCCTCCACCCCCATGCTTACATAAGGAGCCCAATTTTTCACTCCTTGCTTTTTGGCCATAAAATCCTTTTTTACCTGTTTCCTCTCTTCTTGTATTTTATTTTATGCTTTTTACTCTTTTACACACTATTTCCTAAAAACCAAGAAGCCTAAAACTGCTTCTTTTCAGCTGAATTTTTGTAAATATCATAAAATGCTGGGACAGAATATTTAAAGGGTGGTATTATGCTTCTCGACATTCAAAACAGAAGTTGGAAAGTTGCAACTTTTGAAGTACATACTTGTAAATTTTCAAATCACTAGTTAAACGTATGTTGTCATAATCTTAGAAAATAGCTGTAAACTGCGTAAAACAGTACCACAATAAAAGGGGTGGGGCCAACACATAGAGCTCTGTCCTCTGCCGGCCTTGAAAAGCCTCGAAAGGCCAATCAGAAGAAAGTGGACTTGTGGAGGGAGGGAGCCTTAAAGAGACAACAGCCAAAAAGAAGGATTTTAGACAGAGGCTGAAATAATGATATATTTCGGGGGCTTTTTTTTTCTATCTGAAAAATCACATAAAGTTCTTAAAGAGGTGTCAGAGAGGAAGTATTGAGTCTGAAAATTATGCATAATACCCCCTCTTTAAAATGTTTTCTTCTTGCCTCCATTTCTCCTATCTGTCTGAAGAACCAAGTGAGTCATACTCTGACTTTTCTTTGGGAGGGAGGGTCGTTTTGTTTTCACTTAGTGTGTGGCAGAAAGAAAACTGGGAGCAGGGGAAATGTGCAGTCCATTAGAGGCCTCATGGGGACAAAATCCAATTCATCAGTCGTAATCACAGAAACCTACTAAATATCTGACTCTGCCTCACTCGCATCCCATTGGGGTTCAATCAAAGCGCATTTTCATGCTCACTCTGATCTGCAATCATTGATTGTTCCGGGCGAACCAACACATGTCAGAGGCTTCAATGCCACTTTATCGATCCAAGTCTGGATGTTTGATGAAGCGGTTTGTGTGCCTCGCTGTTCCATCTAACAGTGTGAGGAGGGGGCAGGACAACATATTTCAATCCTTTTATTATTTGCACTCTTACTGCAATTTTTTCTCTAAACAGTTGATGTGGAATTTATTCTGTCTTATTTTTAAATTCATGTGTGTGTGTGTGTGTGCTATCTTGTGTTAGATACATTTTTCAGTCAGGTAGCTGTATTCATCGTGTCTCAACCTCTTATTTCTGCTCAAGGGAGCGAGGCGTGTGGCTGGGATTGAGTGATGTTGACTCTCCAGGCAAGTTGCGCTGGGTGAACGGCTCTGAGGCCAAGGAAGGAGAGGAGGGCCTGCCGCCTCGTTCCCCCATCTCCCGTGGAAATGTGTGCGTGTCCCTCGATCATCGGGGTCAGGCCAGTTCACACCCATGTAACGCCAAGCGAGCCTTTGTCTGCCAGTACAGACCCCAAGGTATGCAACATACATTCAGACGCACTGACGCATGCACACAAACATATGGAGCAGCTTAGAGAGGAGCCCATAAAAAAGGGGAAAATGCAGAGGAACATCGTTGCTGCAAATGCAATTTCCTGACCATACATCTGTTGTTTGGACAAAGTAGAGGTTTTCTCCCTCTTTACCATCAATTTTATGTTAATAAAGCTGTGGCACAAACAAATACATGAAAGAAAATGTCACCTTATTCCAAGCAAAAGACTGGCATTTTGTCACATCATTTCTGTTTGAAGTAGTTTTTCAAACAGAGGCACCTCAGTGCTTAGATATTTTAGAAACAATTTACTCTGAAAAACTTTGAATGTTGATCAGGCTCAGTATCATTTTTGCTGCCTGTTAAGTCAACACTTGAGGTAGGATCAGAACAAGTGCATTTATTGAAGTTTTAAAGACAAAGTCGGATAAATGCAGACTTCATCGACCTGGACACGTCTCTGTGACCTCTCTCCCGTCCTACTGCTGCTGTGGTGGCAAGGCTGACCAGAATATTTATTTTATTGATCAGATGAGTTATTTACTTCAAAATTTGAACATTACAACCCACCTTTGTCATGTGGGGTTTAAATATATGCAACTTGATGTGAGTGTCTTTAATTGGGAAAAAGGGTGTTTGTCTTACCCGTGGGTACAACCTTACACACACCATTGTAGCATTGCTGTCTTCAGCCATCTCTTCATGAAATTTGCAATATGCCTCGCCGGTGGTAGATTTAAGATGAGGAGAGAAGCTGATGTGATTGGTGAAAACCGGACTCAGCTGTGAGAGCTTCTCCCCTCTCTCTTTCCTGCTTATGCTGCTAGGAGGGGCTGATTTAGAGAGGGGGAAAACTTATGCCAGGCTGCACCCCTCACCAAAATACCAAAGTTTGCTTGAGCACGCCTCATCAGCACGGCGAACCTGACTCATGCTGCGGCAAGGCAAAAAAACAGAGCCCTACGGCTGTATTTGAATGTTGAAACTCAAAAAGCCAAAAAAGAGGTGGTTGGTAACAATCTTTCTTTTCTATCAAATACAGGTTACTGGATATAGACAAACTTACATTTGCATTTAAAGACACAACCAGAAAACTCAGAGGAAGGTTTTATTTTTACAACAATGTCTGATCTGCATCTCACCCATGTCAGGGTCTGAACTATCGTTGTTTTGTTGCCAGTCTCAAAGAGTATCAAACACTTCACTTGGTGCAGACATATATTCAGATATTTGTCATGAACAGTCTAAAGAGAATCAGCAAACTCTCAGAGTCTGTCTTTTATTTATTTATTTATTTTTTGTTGTCCAGATGATAAGTAGTGTGGGAAAGTGTTATCTCCTTTTGTGTTTTTACTCAGGTTTGCTCTGTGTCCTCAGGGACTCATTTATTTTCTAATTTTTCCTTTCCATCTCTTCCTTTTGTGATAAATTTCCTACACCATGCCTCTCCTTTCTCCTGTTTTTGGAAGCTTATCCATCACCTTGACTCCATCGTCTTATTGCCTCTGCAGTGCCTGTTCCAGATGCAGGGACCTACATGTTAGGTCTGACTGTGTTCCCTCCCCATAAGTCCTTGCACCATGTCCCGTCTGCTGCCTTTTCTGCACCACAACCTCCCAGCAGTGGCATAGAGGTGAGTAAGAACTTGATGATTTAATCATCACTCTGTTTATTCAGCAACATTTGATCTCTTTTTCTGATTTTTTATAATCTGTCTTCCACGCAGGTGCTGCTGTTTCCTGCTCTGAGCTTTGTGCATGCAGGTCGTCTGTCCTCCCTGGAGTTTGTCACTCAGGAGCTAAGCTCACAGATTCATGTCCGATTTCAGATCTACAGACCTCACTGCCATTATCCCGGCCTTCACTTGCTGCTACCCAGTGAGTTGAACACAGAAACACATTCTCTGACACCTGGTGCGTATAAACTATCAGCACAGTCCTGGTGTGTGTATCAGCAAGTGTTCAAAAACCTATAAGCCACCTCTGCGCCTCTCGCACTTGTAGACTGACACACATACACACACAAACACACACACAATCACAAGGTTTGTCCTAAGCTGTTATGTAAGTAAATAAAAAAAAGGTTTTCTGGAAGAAACAGGAGAGAAAGAGGACTAGGGGGAACCAAGGTTAGCGCATCTCTGAAAACATATGATGTGTATCTGCAACACTGAGCAGCAGAATGAAAAAAACCTGAAATGTTCCTTGTTTCTGTCTTTTGCATCTCTCCACTGAGACAGAGAAACACAGCAGGTAAATGGATAAAGCAGCTGTGAAAAAAGAAATACGTAAGAATACAAAATCTACAGATAAAGAGCAGATGAAGATACTACAAAACTGTGAGGAGGACTACAAATACACGAAAACAAAGCTTTTGAAAGGCACTTACTGTTATAGACTTTTGACATACACTGTTAGTTTATTTGTTTCCTTTTTTTTTCTCTGCTAAATGGGTCGGATGTGAATTGATCACAAGGCAAAATCAGCTGTTTTTCAAAATGTGTCCTAGTGCTGTTTTTGTTCCCCATTTTTCAGCAAACTTTCTGAATATGATGATTTTTAAGGTCATTTTAGGACGTTTTTGCCTTTTACTAAACTGAACAGCTCCAAAGTCAGAGGCTGTGGGTGGTGGAGGATGGTGGATGACATGCAGCAAATGTTTATGACTGGTTAAACCTCAGCTTTCAACCTCTGCAATGACGAGTATAGGCTTCATATATTAGGCCTGTAGTTTAACCACATAACCAGCCTCCTTCAAGAGCCTGGGAGGAGGTTTTTGTCCTCACTGGGATATGGTGAATTCAAATTGATGCTTTTACATGATATCTCAAAGCAAATAAGAGCATCATAGATTTCCGTGTCTACAGTAAATGATACTTAGACACTCAGAAGTCAGCAGGATGAGATTTTTAGACAAAAAGTCCTCACTTAAGCATTTAGACGACAGGATAAGCAAGGAATGCGATGTCCAAAAGTGAGGCCAAAATTGACACAAACCGGAGTTCCTCACAGGAGAGTTACTTTGGTTTCACTTTTTGCCCTCTTTATGACTCCTGAGGGGAATAAATGTTTAAAACAATACTTAAACAGATAACATATCCATAGAGCATGAATTCCTAAAACATATTGTCAGTCTTTGTAAATGATTAGTTTACATTTATTGCAAATGGAAAGGGAGAAGGGGATGTACAGAAGAAAAAGGCAATGACTGAGTAGACAGAGCTTCAGTGAATCAGATATTGTTAGGGTGCCACTGGCCAAACAGTTGTAGTGTATGCAGAGGCTGTCTCTCTGCAGATATAAAGAATTAATTGGTTGAAATCAGCTTTTTCGTGTGTCTCAGGTTGTGGTGGTCCAGCATGTGCCCCTGTAGCAGTCTGTGTTCCCAATAACACCAACAGCGGTGATCTTCCATCTTGCCCCCAACTGGAGCAATGGTGTCCCTTCCAGCGCCGCTGCCTGCCCCTTTCGAGTCCCTGCCACCCGTCCTCCTGTCCTAACTGCACCCTTGCTCACCGACTGCCCCCTGGAGCACTGAGGCCCCGATACACCCTGCAGAATGAGGTGGTTTTCACTCTACCAGCAGGACCAGCAGCCCACATACAGGTGAGGAGAGTTCTCTATGGTTAAGATCTCCAAACAGTAGACCCAGAACAAATACTGAATGAACAACCTGTCATTGGTTTTACACGGCTGTTCAAATGTGTCATGTAACTGTGTTATTTCATATCATCATATGAGGCAGAATGAACATCGCTACCTAAAGAGACGCAATAGTTGGATAAGAACCATGATCCTTTTTTTTACTCAAGCTCTCCTGGTTCCTGTTTTGCCCAGGTACAAGAGGATCTACAGGACCTCCTTGTTTCCTCTGGTGATATCGTAGCCCTGCAGCACAACGCTGGCCCTGCCTCCCTCCTCCGGTGCCAAACCTCTCCACACTCAATTTGGCGACAACCTGTCTTGGCCCTCAACCAATCTGACTGGTTCTGGATCAACACCACCGGACACCAAACAGATGCCTCAGCGGACCATGACGCTGACCCTGTGCCTGACCCGGAGCTTGATGTTGAGGCACATGTTGAGGACGGGGAGGGGGGCTGGCTGGAGGATGTTGTTTGCCCTGTCAGGATTCTCTATGTGGGACACAGTGAGACTCAGCTGAAGGGAGGACAGCTATCTGCTGGTCTCCCTCAGCCAGGACTCTACAGCCTGCTGGTAAGACATCAAAGCAGTGTGGTTTTTCCCAGAATGTCCCTGATGGATTTAAACCCTCTCTAAGTCCACAGAGTAGCTAAAACTGTCCTGATCTAGATGCTAGTATAAAAAAAAAAGGTACATCAGTTTATGCAAAGCTAACTAAACAACTAAATATCAAGGAATCTGCAGTAAGAGTAATAATAACTCTTCTTGTGTAATTGAAAAAGAAAACCTGTTATATTTTTCAAAAAGTGCCGTCTACGTTGTCTTGCTTTTTTGTCACAACTTAAAAAAAACTTTCCGCTATGAATTCTAGGTGACTTCAGCAGAACCATCATACCCTGCCTCGGCATCATGCCCACTGCGGGTTGTTCCTCCTCTTGGCTTGACGGTCCTCTACCCTCCCTATCGCAACGGCACTCTTTTCCTGCAGCCCAACGACACCCGGCTGCTGCTGCTCGTCCACTCTCGCTACGTAACAACAGTCTCTCGGTCTGGCAGTAATCTCAGTGTGATCTTTCAACCCGACTGTCCCACTGTGTTCACCTCCAGCTCAGCTCTTTGTCAACCTAGCCTGAGCTCAGGCTCTGGGGTGGAAGTGGCAGAGCCCAGCCTGTACGCAGTGCTGGATCTTAACTTAGGGATGGAGGAAAAGAAGGGCCCAGTTCAGGTGGAGCTGGAGGCTCATAATAATGTGACGGAGGCCAGTTTGATGGTGGTTGTCCAGCTGGAGGAGCCGCTAAGGGGGCTGGTGGTGCAGCCTCACCCTGCACACAGGGTGCTGATGGAGTCAGTCGTGGTGAGCGTCAGTTTGTGTCAGGAGTTCATATCTATTGACGATCAAACACTCACTGCACCAGCTTAAACACCATGTCTTCATATCTCTTTGTATGTTTTTTAGAGCTACACAGCATCAGTGCTCGAAGGTTCAAGTCCCACTTTTAAATGGACCGTGGATGACAAACCCTACTTCACTTATTACAACACCGTCCTCAATGTCATCTACCAGCACGCTGCCATCTACAAACTCACAGTGAGTAACAAGTCTCAGTCTAACGTGTACCAAACTGTCCTTTCTATTAAAACTGAAGAGAGTCTTTACCTCATGATTACCCTCATTCTGTACTTGAAGCTGTTGTATCAATAAAGGTTATCTTGTCTTATTCTTACGTTAATGGGGATTGGTGGATTGTTCTTTCGTGGTAGGGAGTCAGTCTTTGCTCCAAGTGAAGTTTAGGACTGGGCCATTTGGCAAACAAAAAAGATCATGAAATATGTTGTCATATCGTCTGATCTCACCTGTACTAAACACTAAAGAAACTAGAGATTTGTTCTGCATTTTCTTAACATATTTTTAACCCAAAATAAACAAATCTTCCCCTCAGGGATAATGAAGACACCTTAGATGTAAACATTAGATGATATGATTTATTGCTGTTTTGGTCTGGTGACTGCACCGCTAGTTGTGGCTAAACTGCTAATGCTACTAGTTGCTGTCAGCAGTGGCAGGCTGTGCAGACTCTGCTCACATTTTCATGCTTTCCGCATAATCACTCAGAAGGTACTTCTTCAAATGATCAAACAGATTTGTTGTGTTGTTTTTTTATTCTCAGCAATGGTATTTAAAGTCATGGCTGACCTCTATTTTGCTGCCCTCAGCTCCGCGTTTAGCTCCACATTCGGTCATTCCATTTTCTTCTCCTGTTTACTTCTATGGCAACTTACAGAAGTGAGCAGGAAAAGCTCGACTCTGATTGGCTGTTGTCATGCATGTTTCCGCCATGTTTGATTGAGTAAATATGGCGACAGCTGATCACCGTGTTCGAACTGACATTTATCAGGATCATTAATCACAATCATATAATCGCCCAGACCTAAGTTTAGATATCTCAGGATGAGGATAAAATCAATTGTGAGATTGACGGGCAGATTGGTGCTGCCTCAGCAAGTTAATGTGGTAGCTGCAGAAGGAGCTGAGCCAGAAGGAGAAGCTGTACATTTACCGTCTATCTACGTTCCAGCCCTCACTCATGGTTTCAACCTCTCGATTGAAAGGAGTTCCCTCTGAAGGTGGCTGGCCTCTGAGATGGGTTTGGATATCACACATCTGAGGGGAGCTCACAGTATAGCTGCTGCTCCTTTTCACTGAAAAGAGTCAGTTGCGGTGGTTCAGGCATTTAATCAGGATGCTTCCCAGATCACATCCCTTTAGAGGTGTTCTGAGAGGCCCCCCCAGCTGGGAGGAGGCCGTAGTGTAAACCTAGAGCTTGCTGGAGGGATTACATATCCCACCTGGGCTGGGCATGCTTTGTGATCCTCAAGGAGGAGCTGGAAAGTGTTAGCGGGGAGAGGGATATCTAGGTTGACCCGACTGTACCACTCTGGATTAGTGGTGGAAAATTCTGGACAAAAGGGGCAAGTCCAAAAACCAACATAGCACAAAAACAGACATGACTCTGATATCATTAAAATTTCTGCACTGGCTCAAACTCACTCCCCAAAAACTGCCGTCTGTGAACACAGGCTGTTAATGTACAGCTGCAGGCTAAAACTGCACCATGCAAGGAGAAAACCAGACTAAACTGGCCTGCCTGCTGTCCCAGCTTGTCCCCCCACTGAAAACATTTTGCCTGTAATGAAACCAAAAATACAATGAAGGAGGCCTTTGACTGTTAGATAGCTCAAATCCTGTATCAGCGGAGAGTGTAGTGAGATTTCATTTTCAACACATCAGAAACTAGACTCCTCGGTTTGACCTTGATCATTTCTTATTTCATCCTGCGGTTGGACTGAAATATTTTACCGTTTTTGACTAGTTTTAGTCACACCAAGTGTTTATAATCATGACAGCCTGTGGTGTTGTGTCATCGAATGTATGTTTAACTGCTTACCAGCTGTGTCTAATCCCCTGCTCCATTGATGGTATCTCCTCCAGGTGACTGCCATGAACCACGTGAGCTCCCTGACAGAGCATTTCAACGTGACTGTGGATCGACTGCAGCCGATGGCCAACCTCACAGTGAAGGGTGTGCCTGATGTTGTTCCCCAGGGCTCCACGCAGACCCTCACCACCTCTGTGCTCCTGGACATGTCTGTGTCTGCCACCTTCAGGTATTTACAGAGATGGTTGGACACACAGATGGACAGACTGAAAACAGGGTGTCTTTTCCGCTTTATTACTCTGTTCTCTGTTTCTGTCCTCTTGTGCACCATAATAGCACTGCAACAGTCATACCATACAGAGCCTTGGAGTTATAACTGTGTGGTTAGAGCAGATTGCTGACAAGAATTTTCCCTTCTGCTCAGCTCTTTCCCCTGAACTTTTTTTCCCTTTTTTCTTCTACTCTCTCTCTTTTGCTCTTTTCTCTCCCACCCTCTTTTCCTCCCTCCAAGCTGTGGCGCACTCTGTCACTCAGTTTCCTTCCAATCTCACCATTCTTCATCCAGAGAGGCTTCCTGAGTTTTGAGTTTCCACTGCTTCACGTCCAAACCCTGTACTACCCTGTCAAAGAAGATTCCCCTCTTTCCAGCTCATGACTTAAGTGTGTCTTTGTGTGTTTGTGTTTGAGGGGGCAGATACAGTAAGTAGTACTCTGGGGGTCCCATTTTGGTGAGTGATTTTATTTCTTACGCTGCAGATGGTCATTCGGTGATGGTGGTTATAAGGAGTTTGAATACAAGCCACCCTACGACCCCTCCCTTCTCTGCCCAGAGTCGCCCAATCAGGTTCTCCTAAGCAACAACGTCACCTATATCTACTCTCAGCCAGGTAACCCCTTATCCGTCTCTTTTTGATCGCACACATTTTACAAATAACACAGAAGCACACGTCTCTTACTTTACATCTTTCTATCTTGTGTCCCGTTTTTGTTGCAGGGATATACACCGCGCTGGTTTCAGTGTCCAACCGTTATGAGAACATCAGCCAGAGCATCAATATGAGCGTCTACAGCATCCTGACTCGAGTCTGTATCCAGACAGAGCCGCCGCTCCTCCTCACCGGCAAATCAGCTGATTTTGAGGCTCACCCTCTGCCCTCACCGTATGGCATTCACTACGACTGGCACTTTGGAGACGGTTCTGCTCCTTTACAAGGACGACGTGTGGCACACACCTACATGCAGAGCGGCACCTTTAATGTCTGTGTGTCAGTAAACAACACCATCAGTTTTACAAAGGAATGTGCAGAGATGTTCGTATATAAGGAGATTGAGAATTTAACAGCGGAAAGCTCGTCTCCGACAGAGCTTCACAGCTCGACCACAGTGCGGGCACACCTTGCTTCTGGGAATAACATCACCTGGACTTTCTCCATGGGCGATGGGACTGTTTACACAACATCAACACCGAATGTGACACACAGCTACTTAAAAGATGGAAACTATACAGTGAATGTGACCGCTATGAACGCTGTGAGCTCTGGCTGGACGCTCTTACCAGTGCAGGTGTTTGTCTTCCAAGTTGTGAGGATGGAGCCATCTGGGTGTGTCCAAGAGAAGACTGTTGTTAACTTCCAAGCATGGGTGTCTGGCAACGCATCAGCTCATCTTTACAAATGGAGTTTTGGGGATGGAAGCCCCAATGAGACACACCATGGAAACCCCAGAGTCTCACACACCTACTTGACAAGCGGGAACTATTATCTCTCTCTGCTTCTCTCCAGCGGGGTAAACAAGGACACTAAGGCACACTTCTTCAGCTGGGTGTGTGTGCAGCCAGCTTTATCCAACATCAGCTTTACTCTTGAGAAAACGCACTACACAGTCGGAGAGGAACTCAGTTTCCAGGCCAAACCGGAACCAGACTTCCCCTACAGCTTTAAATGGGACTTTGGTCGAGAAGAAGACCTTGTGCCAATATCTGGTTCTGAGAATATGGTGACAACTTATCAAAATCCTGGTCGCTACACCGTGACGGTGACTGTCTTCAATAACATTTCTACCATTAATGCCAGTGTTGTGTTTGATGTCCTGACACCTTTAGGTCCCATTCTCATTCAACATAATGGCACTACTTTTAATAACCTGACTTTGAGAGCCCCATATTCTTTTACAACATCCTCTTCAGCCACCAATGTCACATACACCTGGAACTTTGGAGATGGCATTGTCCTCACTGGCCAGAATATCATCCACACCTACAACATTTCAGGAGACTACAACATCACGCTGACAGCAGTCAACGCCGTCAGCAGAAACCTCACAAATCTACATGTGGTTGTTCTTGCACCAGTTCTTGGGTTGACCGTCAATGCCAGCTTAATTAATGTTCCTCTCAATGCCTCAGTCCATTTCGAGGCCCATATGTTAGAGGGAGATAAGGTTCGGTTCTCTTGGATCTTGTGTGATCGCTGCACAGCAATAATAGAAACCAACACCACGTTTTACACCTTCCGCTCTGTTGGGACTTTTAACATCATTGTAATGGCAGAAAACGATGTTGGAACTGCACAAGCAAGCATTTTCTTGTTTGTCCAACGGGAGCTGGAGGGCCTGCAGATCTTAGCAGAAGAGGACACAGGAGGAGATGGAGGCAAGGGGTTGGAGGGGTGCTGCTTTGCAACCAACAGTATTCTCCACCTTCATGCTGGATTAAAGGAAGGAACCAACATGACTTTTACCTGGAACCTCATCAGAGAGCACGACCCAACCACTTCCATCTACAACATTAGTGGGAAGACGTTGGAGGTGAATTTCTCCACACCAGGCCAGTGTAACATCTTCCTCCAGGCAGCCAATCTCTTGGGTCAGCTGTCTGTCAACAGAACTATCTACTTCCTGGAACCAGTCGGACAGCCATACCTGGACATCAGCAACAAAGCGGTTGCAGTAAATGCTTCAACCAACCTGACAGTAGTGACTTTTGAAGGCTCAGATCTGCAGTACCGCTGGTCTGTGAATGGGCATGATCTGCAGTGGAGCAAGCCATGGAGGACCCACAGCTTCTTAAGTCCCGGACTAAAGGTTTTAACTGTGGAAGTCTTCAATAAAGTCAGCGCAAGGGTTGTGTCAGAAGTGATCAGCGTGCAGGAAGTCATTTCAGGGTTGAGTTTTACAGCTACAAATGTCACTGAGCAGGGTTACGTTGCTACAGGTGCCAATGTCACGCTTCAGGGGGAGGTTCTGACCGGAACCAACGTGACGTGGACTTGGCTGTTGGAAGGAAGAACCGAAACAGGAGCCAAAACTTCTCTGATTTTTCAGGAGCCAAAAACAGCTATCATTACCCTGAATGCTACCAATAACATCAGTGGGCAACTGGCTTCCAGGGAGTTCTTTGTTCAGGACAAGATTCGAGGGCTGGACCTGAGGGCAAGTAAAAAAATCATAGCAGTGGGGGAGACGGTGGACTTCACTATTCTAATGGAAGCCGGGACAGATGTCAGTCTCATCCTCAGCATCAGCGGCGATAGCACTGTGTTCCCTCAACCAAATCAGACCATCAATCACACATTCAGCAAAGTGGATACGTACATGGTGAATCTGACTGCTCATAACCAGGTAAGGTCAATCGACTGGTATTTGATTCACTCACCTTTGCTTCAAATTATGTTTGAGCATAAAAACGCACACATTTACACACGGCATTATCATTTAAAGTGAACTGCTTTGTATTACAAGTTTTATGACCCTAACCCTAACCCTAATCTTTCCCCTGATCTAAAAATGAAAACAACCAAAACATAAGGACTGCTTTTTTTCTGAGCATTAAAGAGGACATGAAACACACCACATTGGCATCGTCACGTGGTAAAAAATAATAATAATTAGGAGAGAGTCCGAAATATTCCTTCATAAGAAATTTATGCTTCAAATCTTCTCCAGGTTTCTGCATACTGCTCTTTAAAGAGGCACCTTAAGATGATGAATTAAGGGATCATTTTCTGTGAGAGGGCTGCCGCAGCAGATTGGAGCCCAGATAGGGGGAACACGACCTTGAGTCCTGTCTCAGGGGGTCTTGAAGGTTTTTTTATCTGCTATTGCACAGACCAACAAAATATGTGAACAAGTTGACACCAAGTCTTGATCAAGAGATGATTTTATTGTCTAAGAGAATTATTCATTTATACTACACAAATGTTTGCCTTCTTTGATTCAATTGTTGGCAATATAAAGTTCCACTTGCAGGTTAGGTTAATGTTATATGAAACAGCTTTAAAACTCACTTTTAGATTGCAGTTAAGTCTTGATAACCACACAATGAACTCACTTAAAGTTTACCCTGGCTCTTCTGTTTATTTACTGAATTGCAGCAACTTTTCTGTAACTCTACAGTGTGTTTACACTGAGTTTACATTGTTACATCCATACAGAAACTTTTTATTTTGCCGGCCAGCCATACATGCTGAAGTTTTGTGCTCTGCTGGTTAGCAAAAGTACTTTATCATTGTCAATAGACAGGAGGAAAATGAGCCAGAGTCCGATATAATTTGACATATGGGGTCAGGTTGTCTATGACATTGTGTATTGACTGATCAAAATTAAGTATATAACACAGCTGGGTAATAAAACATGAAGAAACAGAATACTTTAATGTCTCTCAAGCTTAATTTAACCATCAACGTAAAAAAAATCCTTGTTCAGTCAAGGTAGCGTTTGTACTTTCAACACAAACTTTAACGGCTTGGCTTAACCAGCATCTCCCTTTAACTGTCAGGACTGCAAAACTGCAGACTGCAAAACAGAATGCATTTGAATCTAGCTTTTTCACACAAGGAAATACCAAGAGAATCATGATCATTTTTAACACGTCAGGGCATGTGTTCATGTTTTTCTTTGTTTAACTTTAACAGTTTTAAAATCTGTCACTTCAGGTGAGTTCCAAGAGGCGGAATGTCCAGGTGGAGGTGATGGAGCAGGTCAGAGGACTTACCATACTGAGATGCTGTGCAGCAATCGCTGTGGGTGAAAACAGATTATTTGAGGCCAACATCACTACAGGCAAACCTGTTCATTTCCTGTGGACTTTTGATCTGCACCAGCCCGCCCACATGACGACCCATATTGGCAAAAAGGTCAGATCACCTCACCAATTAGCTTTAAATGCTTTGATTTAATTACCACTAAAACTCTAACAGTTGATGTATTACACAACCCCAGGTTTTCTACAAGCCAGAAGTGCCAGGTTTATTGACCATCTACCTGAGGGCCATCAATGCTCTGCATGCCCAGAACATCACCAAGCATATCCTGGTGCAGAACTCTCTGACATCTGCAGTTCTGTATGCTACACCTCGGGACACGTTTATCAATAAGACGCTGACGTTTACAGCTCATGTTGCACCCGGCCCTAACTCTGTAGAGTGCTTGTGGAACTTTGGTGATGGTTCCTCCTCAGTTCATACCAAAAACACATCTGTGGGCTACAACTACAAAAACCCGGGACACTTCCTAGTCCAAGTATGTTTCTTTCTATTTTTTTTTAAATTCTCTGTAAGATATGAAAGATCTTTCCCAATTCTTGTAATTTCTACTAACAAAATTTACTCTTTGGCAGGTAAATTGCAGTAACCTGGTGAGCTGGGTGTTGGCCCATGTGGAGGTAAACATCAGTGTATTGGAGTGTGAGGAGCCAGAGGTCTATGTGGTTCAAGCCCCACGTCTTCTTATCCTGCGCTACCAGCCCACTTTGGTAGAGGCCAACGTGGACCTGAAAGGCTGCCTACGCTACGGAGCTCAGTACCTCTGGCAGATACTCTCAACACAGTCATGCGATGAGGATAAAGACCAACTCATCCCCTCTGTTCAGGGGTCTCATCCCTCAGAGGCTTTGATGGAACCAATGGTCCGCCTCCCAGCGGAGGTGGATGTGCAGCGTCTGCAGTTGTCTCTGCCAAAGATGGTTCTGCCAGCAGGGAACTACACCGTGGTGTTTTCTCTGTCCTATAGAGGTGTGCCATTAAGGAAGGCTGCCTGTCTGAATCTCAACGTCATGGCTGCTAGGTCAGTAACTTTGCAATTGACTCAGGTTCATCAACTCATCTCCGCTAGTGATATATGGCCCTATGTCCTGTGACAGGAACTACATTACCCACCCTGTAAGCTACTTTTAACAGTGTCAGATCATAGCTTAATACTGACTTTTTTCCCGAGATAATTGGAACTTAAAATCAGGGCTCTCAGTTTATAATTGATGATGAACCGTTTTTTATCTCAAGCTGGGACCTCTTATTTAATCTGTTTTCCCCATTTTTCTTGAAAGGCTGATGCCTATCATAGAGGGGGGGACCTACAGGGTGTGGCCCAGGACACAAGACCTGCAGCTCAGTGCTGAGCAGTCGTACGACCCCAACATGGACCCTGAGAGCCAGACTCTTCTCCACTACCACTGGGAGTGCCAAAGCACATCCAAGGTAAGAGGAGGTTATTATAATTCACCCACAGTAACGGAAAAAGGATGGGAAAGAGTTTTGTTGTGTTTTTTTTTTTGGGGGGGGGTTAAATTTTGGGCTTTTGTGCAGTGCCTCTACTGTACATACATCAATACTGCAGGTTATTTGTACATATTTTCAATCAGTGTTTAATTTTTTCCAATAAGTTTATTCTTTAAATATCTCATCCTCCCTCCCCCTGTATCATCAGCACCTGTGGCTTTCACTTTTAATTTTGCTTCCACAAGATTTACTTCTTTTGTCCGTGAATAGTGAAGCACTGAGTGAAATCATGATGCCAGACCTTGAGCAACAAGTTTTGGAGATGTTTAAAGTGGACAGTGAAACATGTGCCTTTGAAACAACAAGCTAGCAAGAGAGGGGAAAAAAAACAGGAGTTTATCAAATGTGGTTAAAAACATTGTGTAGTCACTATGAATGTGTGATGTTTGAAAATCCTGCTCTGTAAAGTAACACAGACTTCTCTGCTTTTTACCTGAGCTCCTGTGGTTAAATAGGACTGTCTCTTTATCGTCAGCACTTGGCTTTAAAAAGTAGAAAGGAAAGAGAGAGTGTGTACTAGAGTGCACGGACTGTACCTAAAAGTCTTTTGTGTGGAGAGTGGATTTATAAGATGGCGTTATTTGGACAAATCAGACTCTGCAAAAAAGGAGACTGTGGAGAAGTTACGTAATGGTCATCTGGTCCTGAGTACTGTAACTGCCTTTGGAGGCTTGGCAGCTTCACTGTGAGGAAGAAAATCCGCTCAGGACCGTTTGTGAGTGTGTTCTTTGAATATTAAGGCAGTATGATCGTGTGCGTGATTTTGTAAGTGTGAAAAAATCCATGAAGCATTTTTCACACTCACCACTTCCTTGAGTGGGTGGGAACACATTCTGTCAATGCAGTGAAAGACCACAGTCTAAGACCCAATGGTATGGGTGTGTTCTGCATGTGTGTTGGTGTGTGTGTGGGTGTGCGAGAGTGTGTGTGTGTGCACTGTGCATCTAAGCAGACAGGCATTTAAAGGGTTATGTAACTGTTTAGCGATAAAGTCAGCATTCCACAGCTTGTGCTTTGCTCCCCACCCTGAAAATGACACAGTTGAACATACAGTAAACAACATGCATGCACACACAGACACAAATACACTCACAGCTGTGTTACTTTGCTGTGACAACAAAGACCCAGAGCTGAAAAGATAGGGCCATGTTCAGAAAGAGTCGCAGCAGAATCAAGTGCCTCACAATCAAATACGACCACATTTGTGAACTTGTGAGTTGACAGTTTTGATACTTAAAAGGTTTTCACAAACAAGAAAAACTATTAGAGGAGCACTGATAGCTTTGTGAGTAAAAACACCGAATCGGTAGAGGGAGGAGAAAGAGGACGATGAGAGACACCAGAGCAACAATACAGACGAGCTGAAGGAGCGAGTGATCACCAACATGCCACATTGCATTCATGCAAAAAGAGCCCTGACCAAGAACTGAGGGAATAAATAGAAATAGTTTTCCAAAGGTTGACATTTCAGTATCATAAATCCTTGTTTTCCTGATTGGTATTTTAAAATAATAAATTTTTTGAGATAGTAGATATTTGATTTGTGAGCTGAATTAACCAAGATTCACGCAAAAGAGTCTTAAAACATGTCACTTTGAGTGTGATAGTTATTAAATATATGAAAGTCTAGCCCCAACTTAACTTCCTGACTGATAGGATGCAGCAGGTGAGGCTGGGGAACATCATACTCTGCACCCAGACCATCTGCACTGGTGTCCCCGGCAGGTGCGTTCTCTTCCCTCTGCTCTTCTCCCTCTACACCAACGACTGCACCTCAGGGGACCTTCAGGGGTCTGTCACACTCCTGAAGTTTGCAGATGACATGACAGTCATCATTGTCATCCGAGACAGTGATGAGTCTGCATACAGACAAGAGTCTTCAAATTTCATCACGTGGGATTTCAAAAAAAGAAACCTCTCCAGAGTTTATGTAGGATGATTTTAAATGTCACTCTGATATTTTTTGTCCTTTCCATCATTGACCCTTAGACTTGATTATCTATGATGCCAGATTTCCTGGAATACTTTTGGCATTTAATAGATTTATATTATAACAAAACAAAAGCACAGTTTTTCCCCTTTGATGGACAGTATATTCTCTGCCTGCCCTCTCAACTGTTTCTCATATTTTCTGTTTACCTGAATGAAACTGATTATGGGGCTAAATGGTTATGCTGTCGGATCTGTGTAATGGCCGGTACACCTGAAAAGCTGGTACTGCATTATAGACAGTGTTCAAGGTAGAAACTGGTACAGGGGCTGCAACAACACTTGTGTAACGTTCTGTTAAGAGCATAATTACTGATAAAGTTACGGCCATTTTTTCACCTTTTATAATTTTGCAGGGTCCTGAGCACTGCTCCAGTCTGAATTTTGGCCTGGGCACCAGTGGTCCAGTGCTCGGGATTTCTGGTTCCGAGCTGGAAGCTGGTGTTGAGTACACTTTCAAGCTGACCATCAGCAAGGACGGCATGGCACCAGAGTCAACCACACAGACTGTGAGTGTGCATATTTGTCCAGAAACATGCTTAAAGTTCACTCCGATGAAAATCCTGTTTTTCTTGTTGTCTACGTGTGATTTTTTTCAACAGGATTTTGGCTAAAAACCTCATAATCACAACTTAAAGACCACTGATAACCCTTTAAGGAGTAAAAAAAAATCGGAGTGGGACTCTAAGACGTCAGAATAGAGGCTTTCTCTATAAACATAGCAATCATAAAGAAAGCAGCTAAGAACAAGCTATTCATGGTGAAACACATTGTCAGATTTCCAGTTGGCTTTATTATTGTTTAACAGAGTCATGAGTCATGGCCAACAAATACTGTGAAGAACCAGATGCATGAGTGTGCAAGCACATGTGTGACACAAAGACAGCCTGAACCGCTAAACATGTTATTAATGCACGTGCTTGTTTGTCCTTGCATGTGTTTCAGGTGCTTGTTGAGAGTGGCCACATTCCTATGGTGTATCTGGAATGTGTTTCCTGTAAGGCCCAGTCCATCTACGAGGTCAGCCAGAACTCCTACGTCTACCTCAGAGGAACCTGCACCAACTGTCAGGGCTTTCATCGTGGGGTAAACACAGACACACGCATACAGATGCATGAGCACTCTCACTGGAATGCACACACTCCATTTACGACTCCATCTTTCTTAGACAGATGAAGTCCCTGAACCTTACATAAGCCTGTGAAATCATTATTCCAGGATCCTATACTCCACTCCTCCTCAGTCAGCTTCATCTTTCCTCTTGATTTGTGATACATGCTACAGTATGTCAGTCTGAAAATGAAGTCAAACCATTGAAGCCAGACACCTTATATTTGGTCCACGCTAACGCAGGGAAACACTTTGAAAAAAACATAGTTGAGTCACCAGGTCTTGCACACCAGCTGGCTGCTCTCAGCCACTCTCCAGCCTTCGTACTGGGATCACACTTTCTATAACAGTAACAGTTTAATCCGCAGTATTTCAGAACATCATACACTTGTCTTCAGACAACAACAAAAAACAGATTCAACAGCTGGAAATAGTTTATGCTGAACAACTGAACCTGAGCTTTGACCTTCTGGCTGTGAGGCGACAGTGCTAACCACTACACCACTGTGCCACCTATCTGCACCACTGTGCCGCCCATTGGTTATCTTTCAGCATTGAAAATTCCAACGACACCCTTATTTTTGTGGTTTCTGGATCACAGCATCCAGAATTTTGTCCGGATCACCACCAAAATGTAATGGGATCCTCCTGGGGCTGAGACGCACCTCTGGAGAAAATTTCAGGTCAATCCGTCGGTTACTTTCTCCGTAAAGTTGCTAACAGACAAACAAACCAACGCTACCGAAAACATAACCTCCTTGGCAGAGGTAATAAGTTACAACAGGTGTTTTTAGAAAGCAGCTCACTCCAGTGAAGTAGGGATTATTGTATAGTGAGTGGGTGGTTATTAGATCAGAATCTTTATGGGTCAGGAAAGACTCCTCTACTTTCCATAGCGATCTGCTGCTGGGATTTACTTTTGCATAACCACCTGTTCACTATACAGTATCCTGCTCACTACCAACCAAAGACATACAGAAGTGGTCACAGAATGTCGGCTTTAAGATGACTCTATTAATTGTAAAAATACATTTTTGTAGAGTGTAGAAACTCACTCAGAGTCTACAGTCAGTAGAGTTTCTGTGTTGACAGATTCTGACCAGCATCTTTGTGGTAAAAAATTAACATGAAACTCAACATTTTAATTCATGCTCAATTCCACTAAAGGGAATATTAGACAAGTGAACAGGACTTTTGCAGGGATATTAGTCTCTCTTTTTTTTCTCAGGGCCTTGAGGTCAGCACACCTCTAATCAGAAATAAGGCTTTATTATTACTTAGGGTAATGACATATTGGTTGTAGTCGCTTTATAGCAATCAGCAACCAAGAGATGCAATCATTAGGACAATTGAAAGGCAGGATGCTATTCTGATTTTCCCTGTTAGACATAGTTTGGTTAGGGCTCGGTATCTTCTCAGGCTGCTCACATATCTGTGACTCCAGACTCCTAAGACCAGCCTGAAAGTCTGAGACACACTAATGTTTTACCTCAGTGTCCACAGGCAGAGGTGAAATGTGCTTGACTCCTCTCCATGGGCTGATTTGATGTGAAGTGTGTGATCTGTTCATTCCTTGAATCACTCTCGTCTCGTAGAATTATGATGTGTATTCTTAACACCTACCGCCACCTCATCAACATAAGCAGCATCACTGAAGTCATATGTTCTCTGTGTTTTGTCTGTAAGACAAAGGAGCGTGATGAGTTTGACTATGGAGTCATCAAGACGCAAAAGCTCTGGCTAGACAGAAGAAATAAGGATTTCCACTCACAAGTGAAGAGACTTTGCAACTAGGGCTCAGAATCCCTGTTTCACCTTCAGACGTTTAATAATTTACTCATTTTCTTTAAGAGTCAGACAGGAAAAAAAATTGCTGTCATATCAGGGGATCAAAGATAAACTACAGGAAATGTAGAAAATCCAGAAAATGATCAGCTTAAGTTAAAAAGAAGTCTGGCCACTTCCACATGTCTTCAATAAACTATTTATTTCTTATTTGGTATTACTTAAGGGAGGATAAACTGATATCCAGAGGCTATAAACCTAGTAATGGATCCCATGATTCATTCATTCACTGACTCCACCTATCACTGCTGCCTCCAGTCTTTGTCTGAACTTCTCCAAACACAAAGCTAGTAACCTCTTTGAGGAAAGGGATAAAGAAATTAAGAATATTACCTTTTCTCTCTGTAATGACCCTGTGTTGTTTGCTTTAGTCTAATGTTCCTCTCTCTGTTTCACAGCGCTGGAGTGCCATGACGTTGCAGAACGAGACTTTGGTCCTCGACTCCTCTTCCACCACCACAGGGAGTGACGGCATGAATCTGGTCCTGAGGCAGGGAGTCCTACGGCATGGAGACTCCTACATCTTCACACTGCATGTGACAGATGGCAGCCTGGATGGCGAGGGCGCCGCCTCCATCACCCTGCATCACAACATGCCTCCAGCTGGTGGAGCATGTCACCTGAGAGCTGGAGGGGAAGCAGGAACAGAGTATGGAGACATAGACGGTGAAGGTTTTCGGATACGCACCTTGATGGACCGGGTTCACTTCAACTGCTCAGGTAGAGAGACTTTCTAAAATCTCACTTGTAGATTATCTCTCTGTCTTTTTTTTCCCTTTAATTTTTGTGACCTTCTTGCCTCCAGGTTACAGTGATCTTGGGGTGTCAGAGACTCCTTTGCTCTACAGTTTGCTGGTGACACGCTGCAGAGAAGACTACTGTGAGGACTTCTGTGTGTATAAGGGCAGCAGCCCAGAGCACTCTGCCTTCCTGCCCCCCGGCTTCAGCTCAGCAAGAAACCGTGTAGCAGTCTCCATCACCGTGGAGGACCACCAGGGTGCTGCTGCCACTGCACTCAATAAGTAAACAGCTTTAAATTGACTTACTTGGTTTGAGATGTAAACCACTGAGCAATAGACGGCTATTACACGTCTAGTTGTTTTTTAGACCTGATTTCAACCATCTAGATTCTGTATATTTAGAGACAGAATTTAGACGTTGCACTTTAATCCATTATTCAATAACTATAACTGTGAGTTACCTAACTAGGCTACATTTAGATGTCTATTAGACCTCCTTTAGACCACAAAAATGCTCAGTGGGGAAGCCGGGTCATTGAGTCATCAGTCTGTTTTTCAGGATGCAGATTCAGTTCTTTGTGTTTCTTGTTTTCTTACAGGTCCTTTGAGGTTGGGCTTCCAGATCCTCCCCCTCAGTACAACAGCCTCCCCCACTGGCTGTCTGAGCTGACAGACAGCACTCTCAAGAAACTGTTGGAGCAGGGAGACTCCCAGAGGGTCCGAGAGTTATCGTTAGCATTTATTACTGTCCTAAATGAGGTACGCGCGCCCATGCACCAATCAGTGATTGATAATTTATTGATCTAGTCATTCATCAGCTGATATGATGTGTGCCTTTCTTCAGTATGAGCAGACCAGGCAGACTGTGCGTGTGTCCCGAGATGAGCGCAGTTACAGAGTCAGAGTACGAAGCAACATCACCAGAGCCCTGACCGCTCTGGACCTGATCACTGTGAATGACATCCAGCAGACCTCCGCTGCATTAGCACAGTGCACGGTGAGCAGACAGACTGAGGGGCAGGCGGGAAAAAGGAAAGTTTAAAAAAAGAGGGGACTGTCACAAAAAACAAAAAACAAATGATCAGTTGTCTTTGTGTGTTTGTGTGGTATTTCCAGGCGGTGAGCCGTGAGTTTATCTGTGAGGAATGTCAGAACAGCACGCTGAATAAGCTGGAGTCCATGTTGGAGATACTGCAAACTGACACCAAGCAGGGCACCGTCACTCCCACTGAGATTGCTGACAACATCCTTAACATCATGGGTAAGACAGGACATGTCTGCCACCTGTTTTGTGTGTAACTGTTTCCATCTTCATGAAAAATGCTGTTAGTCCCAAACTCTGAATTAGAACTAACACGCATCAACCAGGTGTGGACACGTCATCCTGAAGGTTTATGACTGGAGGGGTAATGCTGGCGGTATTTATAAGCTGTATTTTCATCTATAATCCATTAAAAAGATTTAGACATTTGGAAATAAAAAGTTTGCTTCTGGTGTAAATCTAGATTTTAACATTTAAACACGCATATAGTGTTTTTTTAAGTGATCTAAAACACATGATGAGTGAAATGTCTCACTTTGGTATCGCAGTGTATCAAAAACACAGATTCAGGTAGACAGGGTTTTATTCATCACAAAACCAGGAAACAGTTCTCTTCAGTTAAGGGGTTTGGGGCTTTTCAGATCATTAACTCCAGCTGTGAATGGATTCACCTAAAAAAAGAGCCACTTTAATTCTAAGTTAGGGGAGGGAAAGCAGGAACTGGATTGGGACAACTCACAAAAAGTTTGGTGTTAAATGGATTTTTTGCAGAAAGTAGAGAAACGTATCTCCACAAGCTCCTGCGAGGCATTTTTGTCGGTTTTAAAAAAGTGTGAAATTAATACTGTGACCTCTAGGACCTACTGAAACAAAGTAAAGAACTTACATTATGCAGCACTTCGTCTCTACCACAAGTGTTGCATTATTTCTTAGGGGCCGCTGTCAGTCATGAATCTTCACTTTTCTTCCCCATATAGCTCCCCCTTAAAGAATAAAACAAGGTACCGCTTTATCCATAGGGGGCGCCAAAGTTAGCATAAACCCAGCTTGTCACAGGAGCTTTAGGTGGTTAACCTGTTCAAACGTCTCTATCTCTACTTCCAGGTGATTTAATCCATCAGGTCAGCCAGTCAGCCTCCCAGTCTTACATCCAGCCCCCATATGTGGACTCCCCCACGTCCCACTTCACCTCCTCTTTTTCTACTGTCAGCGAGGATCAAGGAGGCACCCTGTTAGACCCCTCCCCTTCCTCACTGGAACCCCATCCTCTGCGAGTGGCGGCCAAGGCCTACAGCCTGTCCTCGGTCCTGATGTTGATCCTCATGCACGCTCGTGTGCTCAATGAGGAGCCGCTTGTGCTGAGGGGGGCAGAGATTGCTGCCACAGGAAAACTGGCGGACCCCCAGAGCCTACTCTGCTACCATGGCAACAACAGTCCAGGTGGGCTTGTGTATTTAGTGTCTAATGAGCTGGTTTTCTTGTATATTAGTACTAGTTTAAGTGTATTTCTGTGAAGGAGTTGTACAGTATCAACCGTTCAGTAATAGTTTCATCATGTTTGAGCTTCTCTTCTTCTTCTCTCTCTTTTTTCAGAGTGCCAGCGGTTCTCCATCCCTCGAGCTTTTAACAGCAGTCTTGGCAAGGCTGCTGCAGGAAACAGCATCATGCAGCTGCTGTTTCAGGTAATGCTGAAAGAAAAGGTTCTTCTATTGAAGTTTCACTCTAGATTACTGTTAATGAACTTGGCAGCACGCAGACTGCCAGTGCCAGAGTCTCTCATCAGCAAACATTTACAGAAAGTGCTTATCTCAAAGTGGTCCTGCGTTGGCCTTTTTCTGCTAGACTCTCACATTCTCCCATCTAATTCTCTCCACTTCTTTATTTTCCTTGTTAGGTGGAGTCGAACCCTTTCCCCTTTAACTATGTGGCAAACTACACCGTGTCCACAGAGGTGGCCTCCATGGAGTTCCGCACTGAAAACGGCACCCAGATCCCTATATCTGGACTGGACGATAGTTTGGCAATCACAGTTGCCATTAACAACGGAACAAGTGGAGCAGAAACAGGTCCTGAGGGTTCTGGTTCTGGAGGGGTCCCCATAGCCGGAGCCGTGAACATCAGCCACTGCGACTCTGTGATCGTCAGGGTCAGCACTGGAAACACCAACAGGCAGGCAGGGCTGTTTGTGCAGCTCAATTTCACCTCTTTGCAGGGTGAGCTCTCGTGTTTTTCACACACATATGCAGGAAGTAGTGAGGTTAGCATAACGACAGGAACAATTGAGCGAGTTAGCACATTCATGAAAATACATACACTCATTGTTTAAGATGAAAGACTACATAATTTCTTAAGACTGTGTGAGGAGAGCATTTTCCATTTTAATTAGACCTTCATTCTTTCTTTGTTTTCTTGTAATGAGTCCAACATGTTGTTATGGTGTCGTTTTCTCCCCAAGTTCAATTCAGAACCACATGTTGTTGTGGCAACCTTTGCTTTAAGGCCACATCCTACCAGGAATAGAATGAAATATAACTCTGAACAGTAACCCTGCTGTTAGATGTTTGGCAGTAGAAAACATTTTAATCAGGCTCACGATTTTATAGCTATGATTTAAGTTCAATAAGTAAAATACAATGTAAAGTTACATTATTATAGAGGGCACAAAGACATGAAACATGACTCACTGAGGATAACAAAATGTTGCCTTCAAATGGTACTCATTAAATTGTGAAATCGTGTTGAGAAGTCATTAACATAGAAGGCCTCGGTGTTCTAGTGGTAAATGAATGGAAATACTGTTGCTAGGCAATGGCAACATGGACGCCAATCATTGTCCCGCTTGATTTCTATGCGAATAAAGCTAAAATAAAATGATTTCTCTGTGCTGAAAAACACTAAACAAAGAAACAAACAGGACCAAAAAGGAAACAATCCAAAAACACTATTGTCAAAGCTTCCTTTGGTCACACATGTGGATGATGTTCATCTGCACTCTCTCTATTGTCACTATTATTATTGCTCCTAGATACGGAAATTACTGTCAGTAACAGAGAAATGCATTGTAGTTACATGAAACTAAATGTCTGAATGCCATTTCTAAAAGCAACTTTGAATGTCTCACAACACGTGAACTGGAAGCTTTTCAGAAAATGTTTCATGAATACAGGAGGAGAGAAGCGTCTGTAGTCTCCTCTCATGAACACCGTGAACATGACCCCATTTGAAGACACCAATAACCCACAGATTTCAGTCAGTGGAGTCATTTAGTTGTCTTAGTTCAGTCATTTGGTGACAAAGCCTGTCTTGAAAACAAGCATTTGTTTTTTCAGACGCTTCACTCTCAGCATTTATTAGAGGCAAACGCATGGGGCTCTGCTTAGTGCCTTGGGGTTTTATTGCAATACTGTGGATTTTTTTCTTATCTCATTTCTGGAAAAATTTCAGTTCGCTACCTTTCCTACAGCTTGAACAGTTGTAGGACAAATTATATATCCAAGCGTGGTTTGATTAGGACCGGTGTGCTCTTAATTTTCTCTATTGTATAAGAATTTTTACTCTGGAAAATATTGTACTGAAGTCAAAGAAACAAGCACAAAGAAAAAATAAATCAATTATAGGATTTTTTCAAATGTCTACTGCTACAGTTTTTTTATTTTGTTGTATAAATACTTGAGAAAGGAATGTTTGTTGTAGGTTTGCTCCTTGTATATAATATCACAATACTACTAGTATGAATCATTTGAAATCTCTGAAGAATCTCATCATAATGTGCACACCCTGGCAGTAGACCCCATGGCCCTTTCGAAAATCCCCAGAAGGAATTTTCTCGTTCTTTTTCATGTTCAGTCATTCTCATGATTTGTTCCTTTTTTTTTCCAGATGCCTCAGATAATGAAATCGAAAAAGCGGAGCCATACATCACAGCCTACCTTCATTCACATGACAGACCCAATGAGTTCAACTGCACAGACAAGAAACACATCAGCCTCAGTATGACCAGGGGCCAAGACCTGGACCACAGGAAATACACTTTCTTCTTGTCACCTGAGTAAGAGCCCCTCTCGATCTATTTCTTTGCTCTGAAATCTGAACAGTACATATCTGGCTTTGGATGATTTCTGTTTGTAGTAGAGACTGAGGCCCTATCCTGTCCCCCATAGGTTGTATGACACAACTCTGGACTACTTCATCAATGTGAGCACAGCCTGCAGCCCAGCCTCTCACCCCGTGGGCGTTCATCTCGAGGTTGGCGTCTTTGCCTCTCTGTGTCAGTACTTTAGCGAGAGCGAGAAGCAGTGGCGGACAGATGGCATGGTGCCACTTGCAGAAACCAACGCCAGCAGAGCAGTTTGTCGCACCACGCATCTCACAGCCTTTGCAGCAGGCCTGTTTGTCCCAGCAAATGCCATCAGCTTCAGAAAGCCGGTCAGTATCACAAACACAAGATATTTCCCCCACACACGCATCAGGTTAACACACACACTGAAACATCTGTCCCTCTCCTTCAGGAGCGCTCAGGTGCACCAAGCCTGGTCATCCTGTTAGTTTGTGTGTTGGGCTTACTAAGCTATGTAGTGGCAGCTGCCATCTTGCATAAGTTGGACCAGTTGGATCTGCGGCGGGCTGCTGTGGTGCCGCTGTGTGGAGGGGACGGACTCTTCAAATATGAGATTCAGGTGAAGACTGGCTGGAGCCAAGGATCAGGTGAGTTTCTCTTTTGACTATTTAAAGGCGGAAGTCAGTGCGTTACTAAGATAGATGGACTGGGTGTTTGACCTTGATTTAAAGATGCAAGAGCCTCTCCTCTAAGACCTTAGTAAGAATTAAAATGGGTAAAACTGATGGAGGTCCAAATCCATAACTTTTAAAAGCACATAGAAATTAGAATCAAGAGGGTGAGTCTTGAAATACAAATGTTTTTTAAAAAATCACGTTAAAAGCTCAAAACTAAAAACTCTAAAAGTGACCATGGTTTTGGTCCTGTCTTGAGGTAGATGGTTGTAGTGGAAGAAACATAAAGAAATAAGTATTTTTTTAACACTATTAACCCTTTTGATTAGAGCTGGAGGCTCACATGAACACAGAAGATGGGACTGAACATTTTTGGACGAGATCACATTCATGCACCAACAATGAATTTAGGCTCTGACTTTTACGACGGAGTATTAGGACCACATTAAGAAAAAAACAATTTAGACTCAAGAAAAAAGTGGTTAATTTATGAGAATAAAGTCATTACTAATGAGAATAAAGTCATACTAAAACCATTACTTACCAGAATAAAGTCGTAATAAAATCATTATGATACTTATGATAATGTGTTGCTGATGCCAAAAGATTAAGTATCTCCTTGTTAGAGAACCTTCTACTGAAGCACATTTTCACGAAATGCTCCATGGCTCTCATTTCAACAATTGTCATCTTAAACCACAGGTTAAATGTAAGGACTTTATTCTAGTAATGATCTAATTACAACTTTATTCTCATAAGTAATGATTTTATTACAACTTTATTCTCGTAAATTAATCTCAGTCTTTTTTTTTTCTTAATGTGGCCCTAATACTCTGTCATAGACTTTCTTGAAATAAGGGGAATTATAATGTACTCTGTCTGCACAGGTATATAATCTAGACCATGCTGACCTGTCTCCTATGGATATAATACACCTACTATTGACAAGCACTTTATACAGCTCCACTTAAAAAAATAAAATAAAATTGGACACTTCTGTGTGGGGTCAGTGCCCTCATTTTTCAGGGTAGCAAAGCCATGATTTGAAAAAGTCTTAAAAAAACTGCATTTATGAAAAACATTGAATTAATCTAGTCTCTCTTTGTCTCATCAGGCACCACAGCTCATGTGGGAATCAGTCTGTATGGGCGTGAAAGCCGCAGCGGACACCGACACCTCGACAGTAGAGGAGCTTTTACACGGAACGCTCTCGACATCTTTCATATAGCCACAGACACCAATCTGGGCAACGTCTGGAAAATCAGAATTTGGCATGACAACAAAGGTAACAACTTACAACAGAGACTTGTAATTAAAAAAGTTAAACCAGCTCATATGTTGACAAAGTTTATTTTTCAACTGTGTGCCTCAGGTCTCTCTCCAGCATGGATGCTACAGTATGTCCTGGTCAAAGACTTGCAAACAGGCAGCAGCTACTACTTCCTGGTTGAGGAGTGGCTCTCAGTAGATAATGAGAGAACAGACGGACGTGTAGAGATAGAGGTGGAGGCCTCAGGTAAAGAACCACCAAGTCGTAATCCCTGAGCATTTGCATGTGACTCGTCCACTCAAGTCTGATCGTTCTTGTTCCCTTTCAGAGGAGGCTGTGCTTCTTCAGATGCCCCGCCTCCTCCGCTGTGAGCTGCAGAGGGCGCTGTGTGAGAGTCACCTGTGGCTGTCTCTGTGGGAGCGACCCCCCCGCAGCCCTTTCACCCGCCTGCAGAGAGCCACCTGCTGCACCGTGTTACTGCAGCTTTTTCTGTTGGCCAATGCACTGTGGTACAGCATTGTGGTGGACAAGAGATACAGGTATAGGATTGTTTTGTGTCCCCTCTTCACCCGTCTCTCTATCAGTCAGTCTGTCCTCTTTTTAACATCATGTGATCATTCCTATCTCTGAATTCTGCAGCCCGCGGGCCGTGTCAGCGTTTTCTTCCCTAAATGGTGAGACGGTGGCAGCAGGTGTGGTGACATGTTTGATTGTGTACCCTCTCTACCTGCTCATCTTCACGCTTTTCAGAATGAGTCGCAGCAAGGTAACACAAACCTGCATGTAATATAAAAGCACAAGCTGCAGTACTTGGTACTTCAAATAGGTAACATTTAATATTTTCTGTGTGTCTGTAAATATTAGTGCGTGACTGTGGAGCAGGTGCAGCCCCAATCAGACCAGGAGTCTGTGGAGATTGATGACTTCCTGGACAACTCCATGGCTGGAAGTTCCTTCCTCTTTTATAATGGCGAGGTGAGAAAGCTTAATGTGAAATGACTGAGATGTCAAATGTGATCGTGACCGATGCAGTTCTGGTTTGTCATAGTTAAGAAATACTGTTACTTCTGCCTGACTGAGTTTGTTTGAGAAAAGAAAAAGTCACAGGAAGTAAAGAAAAAGATATTTTTCTGTCTTTAGGATCATTATTGTCCTTTTCTCTCCATTTATCTGTGTATGAATCATTACCCCTCACTCTGTTTCCCAGACCAACTCTGAAGAAACCAATCTGGATTTTCCCACTCCGTCAACTAAAAGGTGAGTTACTCTGTTGCCGTGACAGCATTCTTTCTTAACGTGCCCCTCTGTTTGATTGAAATGTGGTACAAATCCAACTGTGATAGCCTGCTGTCTGACATACGAAGGATCAAACTGATGTAGAGTGCGCAGAATACAATAAGAAAGAGAAAAATGCTTTCTAAATCACAGAATGATACTGACCATGAAGATTTCTCTTGTCTCAAAACAAACATAAACTGAATGTCATCATTATTGCTTTATGAAAGCTCTTGTGAAGAAGGAGTGAAGACGGAACTTGGATTGGTTGAAAGCTGCATAAGCTACACGTCTCTCTTGTTTTTTTTCAGTGTTGAGAGTTGGGCCATGGCAGAGGAGGAGATGGATGACAGGGACTGGCCTGAGTGGTTGAGTGATGGGTCTGTTGTGGGAGGTGCAGGGCACAGGGCAGGTCTTCCGCGACTGAAGAGGGGTCAGGGAAGTAGGCACCTGGGTGTTGACATGACCTTTAACCCTGATGACGAGGAGGGGGCTGAACAACGCAACAAATGCTTCACCTCCTCAGGTAAACAAAAACAAGAATCTTGCATCTAATGAGTTCTCTGGAGCTTTCGTGGAGCTTGTGGTTGTATTTGTACACTTTCTATGTCGGATAAGACTACTGAACTCCAAACTTTGGCTTTCTATTCCCAGATGAGGACCTGATCAAACACATCCTCACAGATGGACAGAACTTCTTCCCCCAGGCAGATGAAAGTGAGATGGCTGATCTGTAAGTCTGAATGTTCTTGATTTGATTTTATTAAATGCAGCAGATTTTTTGCTCACCTAGAAAGTTTAATAGATTTATTTGTGTTAAAAATGTCTTTTTGCATTGCCTGTGATTGTGTGTCAGGTCAAGCATTTTGGATGATAAGACGGAAGTGATTCTCCTGCAGAAGCCAAACGAACCTTTTCCTTCAGGATCTATGAGAAGAGACCCACCGAGAACTGCTTTCACCTCAAATACAGGTGTGTGTGGGTGTGTGTGTTTGTGTGCATCTTTCCAACATTCAGGGTCTCCACCTCTCAAACTTCATAAATTGTACAGATTGTAGACTGCTCTTAGAGTTTGAAAATAGGGCACATTTATGAGGAGAAATAGTATCCTTGGTACAGCAGAGTAAGAATTTCTAAGTACCACTCCAGAGACTGCATTATAGTGAGTTTGAAATAGGGTCGAATGAAAAGCAATTAACAAAAGAGAAATATGAACTGAAAATAGAATTACACCTGTCCAGAGCAGAAGGAACAACACAGAAACATTATTGTCACAGACACAGAAATAATTCTACATGAGGAATTTTTCCTTCATTTAGAAAGAAAACAAAGTTTAAATATTGCTCTAAAAATACAGGGAAATTGGCTTGAATCTGCTGCTTCATTAATTCAGTAATATGTTTTGTGATGATGGGTGCTTGTCTTGACTTTATAGTCACGTTCTTATGTGAAAACAAAGTACATGGCATTTGCTTTAATTGTACTGAATATATAAAACAATTGAAATGCTGCAAATCTCTGCAGTCAGTCCAAAGTTCTCTCATGAATTATTCTTTTCTTAAGAAATGGATTGATTTCTTGATAATGTTATTCACAAAGAGACGTCGAAGTCCAGGTGAATCAAAAATTGATTTAAAAAGATTTTAAAACCTGGATCTCCTTTATGAAGAGTTTACCAGCCTCCAAATACACATTTATGCAAAAGGAAAATTACAAAAGGTTTATTACAAATCAATATTATATCAGAGCTATTTTTCTTTTTCCTTTGTGCTTGATTGTTTTGTTTTTCTTTCACTTTTGGGGTTTTTCAACTTTCATTTTCCTTCCTTAAAGGGCTATATGTTAATACTTTTCGTTCTCTCTGCAGTTGTGACAGACGTGTGTCGTCCGCGGCGATTTCCTCCCTGGTGTGGCCGTGCCGCCCTGTGGGGCAGCTGGGTGGCCATCGCTCTGTCCAGTGGTGTTTCCATTTGGGCAGGTCAGGGCCTCAGTCAGAAAGTGGCCATGATGTGGCTCATCTCCTGTTTTTCCAGCTTGCTGACGTCCTGCTTGCTGCTGGAGCCCATTAAGGTAAACACACATTTATTCCCAAAGGTGTAAGCTTGTTATGCTCATGAGTCATGTTACAGGATTGAAAGCTCATTTTCTTGGAAGTATAATGGAGCAAATGACTAAGAACCAAGAAAACTGTTTCTGGTAAATGCTCTTGTAATGATCACTCTCACTTTTATTACAATATACCAACTCCATGGTGTATTTTCCAATCTTGTAGCCCATTAAGGCTTTCCAACCTAAAAATTTCAATTTTTTTTTTGATATTTTCAGCTGCAGAGGGCAGCTATTTCAGACAGAAAAGCTCCGATACTCTTCAACTCTCCCTCTCTGCATGAATGAACAGATAGTTTTCAGTTTTGTTTTTTGTCTGTTTGGTGTGTGAAAGTGATTTGCTCGACTCTGGGTTTTGCTGCTTGAAAGAAATTACATTTTACAAAAAGGATCTGAAAACCTAACGTATCGTGAAAGACCAGTAAACAAAGAAGAATTATATAGAGCCGAGGCTTGCCATTCTGTGACGGCCCTCGTCATTTTTCTTAAAGGAAAGGTGTACTTTACTCAAAACAGTTACTTAAAACTGTTGAAAAGTAAAGCCAAGTGTCCTCTTAAGGCTGGCATAGGAGCCTAAGAATCCCCATTATGTCCCATATAAAATACCCATTTGTGCAGCAAAATCAAACATTTAGGGCCTGGTTTAAAGAACAGTTTCACTCTGAACAGCTTATGCAGAGGGAGGGGATATAAACTTGTTCTTTGTCAATATATTAAGTCTAAGTTTTAATGAAGATTCACATAATGAGAGGTCCAAATGAGTTGACTGTCAGGTAGGCATGTTGAAGTTGTCTACCAGGCTCAGCTTCACCCCTTTGCCTGTGTTGACCAGAAATCAGGTTGACTCATCATATCCAGTATGGTGGCCTCCAGAAACAAATGTGTGACATCTGTGTATTCTTCAAAATATGCCTGAAAATTATTAGTTATTCTTCCAATAAAATGAGTGATAGGTAAACAAAACAGAGTATGCTTGAGATGGGCTGATTTAAATACATGTCCACCTTCAAAATAAAAGCCTGTGCAGTAAAACAAAACTAACTTAAGTCACTCTAAATATTGAATAGTTTTTAAGCTTTGTCTCAATTTTCTCCTCAAAACACATTGTCCACTATCCAACAGGTATTATGTGAGGCTGCTTACTACAGCCTGTGGGTGCGTCGCCTGCGTCCAGAAGACCAGGATGTGCTAGTGGAGTTCCCCCGTGTGGAAAGGGTGGTCCAAAGGGTCCCTAGGGTGAGACCCCCACAGGGCTTTGCTCTATCTCAGGCCCGACATCAGGCCCGCAAGGTCCACATGCTGCACACCATGCTGAAGGTGAGTCAGACACAGATGTATGTTCAGGACCAGACACCAGAAAGTGTCCTGTGTGTGTGTTGGGAAGTCTCCTGAGCTGTATCTCCTGTCTGTTCACAAACTTGTCTGCTCTAATTTTTCAGAATTTCCTGGTCTACATGTTCTTCTTGTTGGTGGTTTTGCTTCTCAACTATTCTGACTCGGCTAAAGACACGCACGGTCTGAGACTGCGCACTCAGCTGCAGAAAGCGCTGCACACACCTGAGTACCACAACATCAGCAGGTACACATGCTCACACATTCATTGATGGTTTGTTATCGTGTCCTTGTCATGTCGTATTTTTGAATCATCATTAGTTTGTCATTGTGTGTTTTTGTTCTTTCATATTATTTTCCTCAAGACAGTTTTTCCTCCTCTTGTGTTTTTTCTCGGGTTGAGTGAAGATAAAGTTTAGAGATTAACAGATGAAGAGTAGAAAAAAAGGGGATCAGGTGAACTTTGTCCACAGCTGTGTTTTTGATTTTGAATACAATTACTCTCTCAGTCTTTGGAGTTCACTGTATTTACTCCAACAAAAGAGAGTGCAGTTTTACGATAATTCATTTTCCTTCTTCATCCGTAAAGATTATATAGCTGTCATCTGCATAAATGAACACAGTCTTACTTTATTGTTTTGCTGCACATGTCTGAAACCACTCTCTAATGAACTGGAAACAAATATGATTTATCAGACTTCTCTGATTCCTCTCTTCAGGCGAGGCGATGTTCTCCTGTGGCTGAATGGGTCCCTGTTGCCACGGCTGCTAAATGATTCTGCCCTCTTAAAAGACACAGGAAGCGTGTTACTCGGCACGCTGAGGCTCCGTCAAATCCGGGACACACAGGGTGAGACAAGAATTATACAGAGACAGAAATGCCACAAGCTTATTGAGTCTCTTTGCTTGCCTGTTGTTGCTATAACTGAGTTAGCTGCAGAGAATTTTCATCTTTATTGCCACAGATTTGGCAGTAGACATTGTTATTGTTGTTCCCTCTACTCAAAAGAACTGAATTTTGATCTTTTTAAAACTTTTTCAGTCATAGTTGGTTCACTGCAGGGAGAGGGTTTCCAGGGAGTAGGATGGGAAAAATTACCAACTACAGACACCAAGAACGATTCTGCTTTTGGGGTGAACAATACGAGCTGGTAAGGACTTAATTGAATTTACAGAAAGGGAAATTAACTTGAGTGTGTCTGTAGTGTGGAATTGTCTTCAAGGTGTCTGTTTTCCTTCTTTCCCCTGGTGCCTCCTTCTCTTTGCAGGGTGCGGCATTTGGATCAGATCATGGTGGATAACAGCGGAGATACGGTCCAGCAGCTGAACAGAAGCCTGGAAGAAGCTTCTTCCTCCTTACAGCAGCTGCAGCAGCTGCACTGGCTGGACTACAGGTACGTCATTGCCAGATATATTATATACATCATTAAGGCAGCAAAATCATAAATCTGAACAGTTATGTAAGCTCATTTTTATCTACAGTTTTAAAAAAGAGTTTGCTGGCCAGGTTATGCCTAATACAAACGCCACATGTGAAAGAGTTGAAGTCAAACGAGTGCACCAAGTTTCACAATGATTGGCACAAAAAAGCTCTTTGCACGCTTGTGACTGTGAAAATCTGCAGTTAATCTGAGTGCATGCAGTCATTGATATGTTGCATTTGGAAGCATTTAATTTTAAAATCAAACGCAGAAAATCTTTCAGTAGAGAACCTAAAAAGTATGTTGGCAGTCCACATTGGCCTGAGAATCACAGATGCCATAAACAACACGTGATACTGTAGAAACAAAATGCAAATATAAAGGGAAGAGCTGCTAAAAATGGAGAGAACTGGGCGCTGGAGGTCTGTTACATAACTGTAACTCTTGCTCAAAACTACATCAGGGCTCGTTTGTGTCCTGGATCTTCCTGTGACAGATACACCCACCCTTATAAAGATAGATCAGACACTAACACGGACTCTGAAATCTTTTGGCTTCTGATCTTATCATCATCCACTTAGTCTGTATGCATGTTTGTTGATGTATGTTTACATAGGACCCGGGCTCTCTTCGTGGAGTTCTCACTCTTCAACATCAACACGAACCTCCTGGCCGTCTTCTCCTTCCTGTTTGAGTTTCCAGTTTCTGAGCGTGCCCAGTCCAGCCTTGACCTCCTTGTCATCAGTCTGTGGCCAATCACAGGCCTGGACCTGCAGCTCCTTCTCATGGTAACCCTCTTGCAATCATAGATTAGATTTGATAAATTTAGATTCGATTAGATAAAACTTCCAGTAGCATCAGTGTGTACAGAAAACAAGAATAAAGATATAATAAAAATTTAGATTACAAACTCAGAGCTCTTTGCTTTTCCCTGTATTGACTTTGTTTTTTCAGAGGTGTATCTCTTATTGAACATTCTGGTTTCTTGTTTTTTTTTTTAGATTGTCCTCATGGCCCTAGTCTTGTATTTCTTGGTTCGTGGTGTCCTTGGCTTCCTTAGAGAGGGTCATGTGTACCTCCTCTCAGCCTGGAGGCTGTTGGGCATCTGCAAACTGACTCTAGCAGCGACCGTGTGCGGGCTCCACCTGAGTCGCTGCACCATGGCCACGCAGCAGTGGGCGTCATATCTGAGACACCCTCAGGACGCCTTTACAGACTTCTACCCGGTGGCCCGGCAGAGCCAGCTGTACACCGTCATGTCTGCACTGCTGTTGTTCATCTTGGTGCTGAAGGTGAGAGTAGAACTTTCTTGAAGTTTATTCTCTTTATTGAACCTTTTTTCATTCTCCCTTGATAACGACAATGAGCCACATAAGTCACAGGAGTCATCTGGAGGTAACAATTATAGAAGCTCACTAATGCATCTTTTATTTCTTTGTGCTTTATCTTTCTCCTCATAAAGCCATGCAAAGTTCTCTTTTGAGATTTGAAACTCATTTTGGCTGATTGATGCTCAAGCTGATCTGTGTTTCTCTACCTTATTTGGCGAGACTTTGATGTCTCTCTCTTTTAGAGTCAAAAAAATGTTTTCTTTTCTCATGTACACTCTTATGAGAAAACTATGAAAAACTCTTTTGACATAGAAACAGCCTCTGTGTGTTTTTAAATACATTTAAAAATATTTTAGGTGAATGAAAAGCAAATATGATTAAAAGTTTTAATAAAAGTGTAATCTGTTATTATTACAATACAGATGCTCAGGACTGCCTCGGCCAAAGCAGGGCCCCCAATCAACTTATCAGACACACTACATTTGATCTGTGCTTGACAAAGTTTCATTTTCATTTAACAGCAATAACAAAGAAAGAAAAATCAAAACAAATAAAAGAAAAATAAATCTATACAGCACATGCCCACTGAGCATCAGTCTTCAATTTCCATGTGATGAAAAAGAACTAAATCTCTCTCTTTCCCTCTGATTATCCAGGCCTCACACCAGCTGCGGTTCCTCAGAGAGTGGGCCGTGTTTGGCAGAGCTCTTCGGTGCTCAGTCTGGGAGCTGCTGGGACTCGCCCTGGCATTACTGCTGTTGGTGATGGCTTACTCGCACACAGGACACCTGGTCAGGACTTTTCTCAAGCATTTCTTTTCTCTCTAATCTTTTCTCAGACACAACATAATATTGACTAATGTACACTGACATGCCATGTGTGAAATATATCATTTTCAGCCGTATGTTTGTTTATCTTTTAGGCACTGCTACGTTTAACCACAAAGATTTAGTCCTCTGTCAATAATCATCTCATTGTGCGATCACAATTGTAAGAGCTTTTAGCTAACGTTGACATCAGTTTGGATTCCATAGCAAAGCTTTATCTTCATCTTTTAAAGCATTGTTGCTGCCTTTAGTGTGCTGCGGAACAGCTTGAGGAAATGCAACACTGAGGAAATGTTTTGACCTTCTCATCCTGCCCGCTCTTCTTCTTCAGCTCTTCCACTCTGTTTTGGATGGCTACGGCAGTGTGAGCTCCGCCTGTCAGTCTCTGCTGGGTGCTGGTGGACGTGGTCTTCTGTCATGGCGTCCCACCTGGATGACAACTGGTCCCTCTCACACGTTCTCTTCATTGGTGTTCCATGCCAGCTTCGCCATACTTCGGCTGGTGTTGCTGTGGTTGCTCACATCTGTGTTGCTGAGAAACTATCGGCGTGCGCGAGCAGAGTTGTACCGTCCAGCTGTGGATCTCCAGGACTACGAGATGGTTGAGCTGTTCTTGCGACGACTGAAAATGTGGATGGGGCTCAGCAGGGCCAAGGAGGTACATTTCCCTTCTTTCATATTTAAAGTTGCACAAAAGTGTGAGCCTTTTTACAAAGCTTTTATACTCTGTAGAAACTGTTTATAGCGTTCCCTTAAATTCTGCATTTTTTTCTTTCTTTCTTCATTCTCCTTTTAGTTTCGTCATAAAGTGCGTTTTGAGGGCATGGAGTTACCGCCATCCCGTTCCTCCTCTACCAGCGACTGTAAATCCCTGTGCCTGCCACCACTGGACCGCCCTGACTCCCCTCCTACGCCAGACAGTGTTGACGGAGGCTCTGAGGCTTCATGGCGCCCGGCTTCCTCCAGTCCCTGCAGCCTGACAGAGGCCCCGGGGATCGGCCTGGGACTCGGTTTGGGCCTCGGTTTGGGGCTCGGCCCAGGAGTGGTGATGGGAAGTATCAGCTGGAGGGAGAGAGCAGAGACTGAAGCCTCTCTGAGGAGGCTCCTCCCCACCCTGGACGCCCTCCTGCAACAGCTTGACCGTGTCACTATGGCAACAGAGGATCTATGCCACATTGAGAGTAGACTGGAGCGTTCCCAGAGAAAAAGGAGGTGTAGAGGGAGAGAGAGGGGAGGTGGCTGTAGACAGGGAGGGAGGGGTGAGGCAGGACAAAGAGCAAAAGGGGAGGAGAGGGAGACTGCTGGATGGAGAGATCACAAAAGTGGCAAAGAAAAACAAAAAGGGAGCAAAAAAGGGAAAAAAGTGGATAAAAGTGAACTTCAAAAAGACTATGGAAACGTTTCTGCCAACCCCAAAAAGACTCCAGAAGCCACACATGTTCCCTCTTTAAAGTCCAGACCATCCTCTGGGACTGTACATACTCCCGCTCCACAACCCTCAGCTAAACCCTCAGTGAGTACACCTCTGCCTACACCACTCAAAGATAAGTCTGACTCTTCCTCTCCCTCTGTTTACGTTCCACTGCCTAAAACACCCACCGCACCTCCGTGTACTCCTGCACCTACCCCGTCTATGCCCTCCACCCCTGCTCCTACACCCGTAAACCGGGACTGGGACCAGCCCACAGAGAAAGAGACCCTCCCTTCCTCCAGCCTATTTAACCACCCAGCTCACACAACCACCATACCTACGCGCAAGCGGAAACGCAAACCCCCACCCCTCAAAAATAAGGTGCATCCCAATCTAGACAGGCAGGGCCCTGGACACCCCAAATCATAAGGGGAATGAAATCAAAGATGATAAAATATTTGACTCTAAATGCTGGGTTAAGGACAAAGGGAGGTTGGGGGCAGCAGGTTTTGCCCCCAGTTCCCCTGTATGAAAAAGTAAAACCGCTATCAAGAAACTTACGCAGGTTTGTAGGAAGTGATCTGACACAATCGTAGCTCAGTTCTCTAAAAAAAAAAAAAAGAGTGCAGGTCACTGGATGATAACTGAGCTGCTTTTGGTCAGCAAAGCTAGTGCCAACAATAAAGCCTAGAAATACCCTGCTTTCCTTGGACTACAACTTTACCCCTGATCCCATGTGACCCTGGAGGTCCTGCGGGGTCACTGACAGGAGCACACTCACGTGCTCACCAGAGGACTTAACCAACTGAAATGCAGACAATGCAATCAGTGTACTTTTTTGTATCTCAGAACGTTGTGTTGATTACTCAGTTATGTTGTCTGTTTGCATATATTTTTTTATTTTATATCATGGTCACCATGGGTACTCGTGGCCTGTCTGGAAAATAGTCATGTTTTTTGAACCCACAGATAACGCACATGCTGGTGTACACATGCATAGGAATAACACTGTAGGCACAGATGGGCTAGTTGTGTTGCACCTGCAAAGGTGCGAAAGTAAATACAATTAATTGAAGTCGGTTTGTTGGGATCCCAGCAGCCAGTTATTCAGGGTGCATGAAGAATCATCCTCAAATTGAAAATATACACAGAGGCAAGCCATGAGCAGTTAAAGGAAGAGAAAGAGCAAGTGGTACGAGTGCGGAAAAGGAGCGCAGGAGTGTTGGAGTGAAGGGGAGAAGAAGAAAATGATGCTCATTGGAGAGGATTTCAAAAAGTTCAGCAGGAAGGACTTTCTTTTTACTCCTTAGAAATTGATGTTGAAGTTTTGCCAACATAAAGCTATGACTCAAAGTCTGATTATCACTTCAAAGTATCCTTTTGTTGTTTTTATAATGATTGTGATGTAAAAGCACTTTTTTTTCTAATGTTCCTTTTTATGTGTGAGGTGTGGTGCAAAGTAATAAGCTTGGTGTTTGAACCAACAGAGAAAGCTTCACTCATACTGTGTCTTAAATATAAACGTTACCAAAGCTTCTGCATCATTTATGCAATCTGAATTTTACCATGCCAAGAAATTTATTCATTCATTTTGTACTTAGCACTTTATTTTCTAATGGAATTGATATCGAGTGCCATATTTAACTCTGGTGCGTCAAGTTTTCTTATCGTATGTTAACAGCTCATCGTAGAAATGTTTTCGAGTATAAGCCAAGTGTTGAAGCCATTGCTCGCAGTTGTTTGTTCTCTGTCTGCTCTTGGTTGATTTGATCGTAACTGTACTGTCTTTGTCTAAATTTGATCTTCATATGAACTTTCTGCATCCAGTGGGCAGATCTCAGGGAACCCACCCCCCACCCCCCACCCCAACACCCCTCTAATACAACCAGGATCACTAAAACTGGGGGCAAGTAGGTGTATTCAGTTATCTTATGAAAGTATTTATCTTTTGTTCAAATCAACCTACATTTCAATTTCTTTCCTCTCTCAACTTAAAGCTTATGTGTTCGAGTTGTTTTTTTATGAGAAGAGAGCAGGTGCTGTCGGTACAAATGGACACGTCCAAGTGTTTGAAGGCTTTGGTCGTTTTGTTCTTCCAAAATTATGATTATAAAATTCCTATACCTCTTTTTTAAATCATAATCTTCTCCCTTTTCCTGCCCATTAAGTTTAATAAGTTGCAACAGGTTTCAGGATATGATGAAACGAAAAAGAAAAGGATCCATATTTCATCTGTGTGTGTATGTTTCTGTATATGTTGGTGCTTAATGGTGTATATATTTTTGCTTTTTCATGATCAGTATTGTTTATATGCAGCAGATGCATATGCAGAGGTCAAGCACCGGTGGTGCTAACCCCAGAGATTGACATTTTTCCACTCTAACTGAAGCACTACAGCCAAAGCTATCCATTTATTTAATATGAATCAACTTTAAGCTCCAGGAAGCTTAGCTTAGCAGTTAGCACCTCTACTAGCCCTCATAATCCTGCTCTTTATGTTTAGTGTGTAACAAACTAGTGCCAAAGCTCAGCTTCTCGTCTGCTACCTGTCTAGTTGAGACTTTTTGTATAAATGTTGTTTCAAATGTAATTGAAAGCATATGTCAATGTTCTTTGTTGTATCTCATCTGTATTTTGCAGTTGTAGCACTTCTTCTGCTTTTGCACTTGACAAAGTCAAATAAAGAGTTTGACAGCTGAACCGTGCATAATAAAGTGGTTTTGGTGTCAGATTAAAATCAAATACTCATTAACAGAATAATTATGATCATCCTCCTGCACTCTTCAAGGATTTTTATCTAAACATCTTTTTGCCAAGTTTACTTTTTATTCCACACACATATTTACATACAAACGCTTCTGCTCCCAAAAGTAGTGTCGGTACAACTGTTATAACAGAGACCCTCAAAGCGCTTTAAATTGGATACAGCATTCACTCGCTCACACAGTCACATCTTTGTGTGACGGGCAGCTGTGACTACCTTAGCAGCCACAGCTGCCTTGGGGCAGACTGACGGAAACGTGGCTCCCAGTTTGTGCCTGTACTCTTCTTGTGTTGCAGATGAGAAGTATTAAAATTAGTTCTGCAAAGTGCAAAGCATGTGTGTGTGTGTGTCTGAGGTGGTGTGAGTCTGCCAGGATGAGAAAAAAATTACACAAAATCTGTGAAATCATCAACAGTGGAAACAAGTCTTTTCCTTTGCCCAGAGGCTTCTGGGTTTCCTGCCTGGGCGCTTTGCTGGAACGCCTTGCTCTGATTATGCCCTTGGGTCAGCGATATTCCCGGCGTTGAACGAGACTGAATGTCCTCCTGGGCCTGAGCCAGAGAGACAGCAAGATGGATTAATGATAGGACACAGATGCAAGTAAAAAAGTAATTTAAAAGAAACACATTATTCTTTATGCGTCCTCTTACCCTGGTCCTGATCCTCTTAATGTGTCGTAATCTTGCTAACCACTTAGATGCATAAGCATCGGAAGGGTTGGCTCTGTACTGGTGCACCAGAGAAGCCATCTGCAGATAGATTAAGATGACAGTACAAAATGTGAAAGTGTGTGCATGTTTGACAAAGTATGAAAGAAAGGGATGAGAAAGAGACTTACATTCGCATGAAGAGCCATTTGTCTGACTAAGAAAGGAAGGTTGCGGTCTGAAACAATTTTGGCAACAGTAGTGTCTACCAATCCCTCCAGGTCTGAAAAGAAAAGCAAAAGAAAAGTTTCAAGTAAGAGATAAAGTTCTCCTTAAGAATAAGCTAAATATAAAATCGACTGGAGCTGACAAACTTGATCTCTCCTCTCCTTTTATCACTGTGCAAATGAGACATGTTTTTATCTATGCTTTTTTTTTCTAATATAACTACCCTCATCTGAAAACTGCTTAAAGCCAGAGATAACCTGTAAGGATCCTAATAATTATCAGCTTCAGTTGAAACTGGCCTGTCTGGCAAAACTTCTAAAACTAGCTTAAAAATGTGTCAGATAATACTGAATCTTAAGTCCTCACCAGTCTGATCCTTTGCAGACTCATCATATCTGCAGTCAGGAGTTAACATTGACTCTGGCATTAAGAGGTAGAACTGTGCTTCTGTTTATACGGCCTGTCAAAAGCTTTTGTTACAGCTGACCGCAGTCTCCACATTCAGACACTTTGGATTATTGTGTTTGACTAAGAGACGCACCAATGAGTCGGCTGATACTGCCGCAGACATCTGTACACTGGCAAATAATGTGGCATGCAAGTACGTCAACAGAGGTTTATCTGTAACTTGTCGCATTTTTACTGTATGAGTTGGATGCGTGAAAGCTATTTTCAGCTGAGTAGTGACCAAATTGTTAAAGAGGCAAGACAGAATCACAGTCGGCTACTAGAGCAGGCAGGGAAAAACTGCGCTGTATGTGCAAGTCTTGTGTGTTGGTGTGTGTGTGTTTGAGGAGCTCACACTGTGTTTCCCTCTCATGCTTCCTTCAACACAGTAACACAGAGTAAAATACCAATATTACCATGCTGGATCGATACAAAAGCACAAAGCAATGTGACGGTAGAACTTTGTTGTTAAGCTGTATTTAAAAGGGTTAAAGTTGGCTGGGCTTCTCCTGCACAGAGGTGAGATAAACTCTTGCCCTTCAAACCCTTACTGATATTCACCGTCTAACATAATAACATCTATGCAGAACACAACCATTCGACTCAATCAAACTCACTCGACTAACTGTCCCACTCTTCAAGTCACTCTGAGCCTTTATATCTTATATATTAGTTTTTGTGCTCCTAATAGGCAGAGTTTTCTACCTCACACTCTGAAGAGGAATGCTTTTATTCTCCTTGATATTTCAAGTCGATTATCTCGAACCACTTCATCTCAGTGGGCAAGTATTTTTACTGAGCATTGCTCTTTCTGGTCTGTCTGTCTGTGATCGGTGTGCATTTCTGTGTTTTGAAATCACTATAAATGAGGGAAACCTTGATGACTTTTGAGGCTTAAAACCACTGTAGGTAACTTTAATTTTCTTTTAACAGTCAAATGTGTCCCTCAATGACGATATTTTCTGTTAGAAAAGTTACGGAAGGCCTTTTTCTTTAGCATCCTGGGAACCATCTAGTCCACCAATCCACTTACAGTGGTTTTAGGCATTAAAAAAATCTGAAAACAGAAACTAGAAGTCTCGTTACTGATGATTGTTTTTTTTTTGTTTGTTTTTTTGTATAACTGAGACATAACTGTTGATTTTGATTTGTTTCACAACCCATTGAAAACTACTTAGAGAAGATTTAAATAAAGGTTGACAATAAAAATATGTGGCAACACCAACAAGTGCAAGAGAAAACACTTTGATCAGCTCACCTTTGCGGCACTGGAGGGTAACCAGATTGCATTCGTAATCCAGAGGCTTAATAATCACCTCCACAAAATTAAACTGGCCCTAAAAGGAGGAAAAAGTAAAAGGTTTGAATTCAATTTGAAACTCTACACTAAAAATTTCCTTGATTTCCATAACTGTGTGCATGTGTGTGTGTGGGTGTGCTCGCATGTACCTTGATGGTGCCAAGTTTGTACTCCTCCCCCGAGTCGTTGTAGACCACCATCACAAAATCGTTGCCAATGTGGCGCTTTTTGTTGCAGCAGCCTTTGTCGCTCTCTCTGTTTGGCATCAGTGTGGCGATGTGGAAGATAGCTGCAGAAACAGGAAGGTGTTAAACACAGACTGACGGTGAGAAAACAAACTTCCGTGAATACAGCGCTGTTTCAAGCTCACCCTGCATGATGTCATCATGCCAGCAGTAAGTGAACTCTCCGTCATCGCCGTACTGGTCTAGCCCTCCGAGGAAGATCTGGTCAGGATCGCAGTCTTTGAGGTGGATTAATTTGCCCAGCCCTGTGAGGAAGGCAGCATAACGGTTGGATCCATATTCATTGGACAGAATGGCCACTTCATTGTTGACCTGAGGACAGAGAAGGGGATACAAGTGTGAAGGTTGAGTAAAGGATAAACAAGACCTGGAAGATTCAGTTAAGCAAGCAATTTAAGTTATAGTTTTCTCACCTGACTGGCTCCTACAAACACTACTCCAATCTTATGGGTGTCATATGGAGGCATCTGGTCCAGGACCTTCACAGCACGGTCAATCACCTGCAGCAGAGAATAAACACAATGAACGTATCTGACAAAGGCACTGCGAGAGCTTCCTGGTTTGCCACAGAGGTAAACTCACCTGAGTTTTGGGCAACAGCAGTGGCTTGTTGGCTTCGTTTCCAAAAAAGGGGGAGTGGTACAGCTGGAGGAAGACAAAACTAAGGGCGACAGGATAGATTGGGAGTTTGTTTTAACCAGAACACTGAAAAACACAATCATTTAAACAAAAAAAAAAAGCGTATGATTGGTGACTTACAGGCATTGTGCTCATAGATAAATGCTGAAAAGTCCAAATAAAAAGAGACAAATCAAACATATAAACAAAATAAACAAAAGACCATAGCAGTACCTGGGGCTCAGTCCGGAGATCTTCTCTGTGTTGCTTGGTCCGGGTCTACTGTGATATGAGTCCCTCTCTGTCCTTCTTTCCCTCCTGGAGGAAGGGGCAGATACGGAGATGGTGTGGCCCCGCGGACGGTGACCTCCACTGGGAGAGATGGGTCCAGGTTGTGGTGCTGCTGCAGGAAACTCCAACTTCATCCTTGCCCCTCCTCCGCTTTGAGATGGCAAAACACTTGGGCCTTCTCCCCCTTGACCCTGACCTGTAAGGCCATTGACATCCCCTCCTGTGCTTCCTTCCACCTTTTCTTTCTCTACATGAGGCTGCTGGGGCTGAGGCTTGCTGTCCAAAGGTGCTTTTGGCCATAAAGTGTCTCCAGGGGTCGTCTCAGACTCCATAGCTGCCTTAGAAAAGGCTTCAGGTAAGGTTTGAAGCTCAGGAGAAGAGCTGGATTTGTTGAGTCCATGACCTTGGGACTGAGGATGGGTCTGGAAGGGCAGGTCAGGCCCCTGGCTGCCTGGGGTGGAAGGTCCTGCAGTGGGCTGATCAATTGGAATTGCTCCCTCACTTACTTCTTCCAGTGTTGACTTTTCATCATCTTGACTGGAGGTTGAGGAGGACTGGAGAAATAGTTTTTCAAAAACAAAATTAATGTTGGAATGCGATAGACTGCTTCACTTGGTTAAGCTTTTTTGCAAACGTGGTTTTGAGTTACTATCACTAATTTAGAAAGTATTCTGAACATGTGAGATTGTCTACCATTGAAGGTCAGTATCGAAGAGGAACAGCTTTTATTTTTAATTTTACTATCAGCTTTTACTCAAATGCAACAGGTGGTTGAGCTGCTGTGATAAACACAAACTTTGTTTTCACACCTTGAAGGTGTCCACATCAAAGTATCACCATTGCAAACCATGTGACTTAAATTTGTTGGTGTGTATTTTAATATGGTATAATGATTTCTGGTTGAATATTCATAACATGCGATGTTGAAAGACACACACAAAAAAAATCACCCACCCTGCTGAGCATCCCAGGGGGCGGGATCTTTGTGAACTTGTCTGCAGACATGAAGATCGGGTCAGATGTCATCGGTTCAAACTCTTCACTCTCTTGCCAATCAGATGGGGTGTGTGCCGTGGGGACCCCTGAGGTCTCCTCCAGCACAACAACAGAGTCTAGGGGAGGATAAGGCAACAACCGTGTATGGTAAGAGTTGATACACACACCCAAAGAAAACTTGTAACGCTCCTCTCTCACACACACACACACACACATGACAGTGTGGTCCACAATTAGTATCCACAGATGTGAGAATCTTGCAACAAACATCAAAGATGCCATCAAAGCTGTCAGTCAGTGGTCACTTTTACATCAACACTTCACACACATTCCCTCTGAAATCTGGAGAACAATAAGACTAATTAATCATGGTAACATGAAACTGAATTAGCTGGATGTTTATTGATCAAGCCAATTCAAAGGCAGCCAGGCATACGCACATAAAAACACATTATGCACATGAAGAGACATCCCGATTGAGACCTTCAGTGAATCCAGCCTACTACACTGAGATCAAAACAAAGACAGATCAATGCAGCCAGCATCTATCCATTGCTGCTCCATCTAGGTTTGATTTTTCCATCAAGATGCATGCATCTACTTGGTTGGTTATCTTGGCCAAAAGACACAACAGCAGCCCAGACCTGGAATGTCCCCAATAAGAAGCCCACCCTACACTTATTGACAGGAGTCTCTGTCAAGTCTCCCTCACATTGTTGCCCCCAAAAAAACTGCAGTTTTGAACCTTTCTTCATCACCCTACTGGACTCTCAGTAAGGCAAGGAAGCGTATAGTAGCTGGATGAGGTCTGGGCTTTTCTGTTGACAACATCAGGAGGTCAGAGGTTAAAAGGTGAACCTGGGAGTATATTTCTATGAGTTATAAAAGATGATTAGGAGGAAATACAAATCACTGGGAAGACTTCACAATAAAAAAATCATGATACCCCTTAAGGCGTCATAGGACTGATTGATTAAAGTGCAGGCATGTTCTCAGCAGAGCTAGCAGAGGACCATCCCTCCCTCCCAGTGTTAATAGGTGAAACAGAAATTCTGAATTCCTTCACTTGCACAATTTTCAAAAATTAACCATCAGGTCTTATGCACCACTGAGAAACCCCTGTGCAGGACAGAGTTTAGCTCCTGTATGGCTGACCACATACTTCAAAGAACAGATGAGGATTTTGGGAAATAGACCTGTTCTTGAGCTGGTCAGCTATGTGGCTGCGGCCAGGAGAAGATGATTGCAACACCCTGACCAAAAAGAAGCCCTGTACATAAACATTTATGGAAACCAACAACACGCTGTTCTCAAGAAGACGTGATTTGAAATAAATAGGATTAACAAAAATTCCTGCCTATCAGTCAAGCCATTACCTATTTGCTCTCTTTACCTTTAGACTTAAAGAGTTAGTTTAGTTGTTTTCTCCTGTTTCAGTGGCTGCAAACTAAGCAGGCTGGCAGATAATGGTTGCAGCTTCTTCTTGAACATTTTGAGAGATTTATCATTTTCTCATCAAAATAGTGAAAAATTAATATTCTGAAAATGTAAAATTATACCTTTAAACTATTGACTGAATTCATTAAAATGTTTTGACTTTCAGAGAAATAGTCACCATGTCAGGGTTTTTTAATCAAATATCACTTCCAGTTGGTGCTCCCAGACCATTGCATTGTGCAAGTAAGAAGAAATACACTACACCAGGACTTTTCTTCCCAGGGGAGGAGGGGGGGCACACATGAGGTGGATAGTACCTGCCCAGGAAATGCTCCTGTGCAGCCTGCCAGGGGCTGGAGGGCCTAGGGGGGCAGAGCCCAAACCCAGAGACCAGAGAGAGCCGCCAACTGCAGGCAGGACGCCAGAAGACAGGTCGGTGGCACATGACACCACACAAGACCGTGCAGACCAATCGCAAACCAGCATGGAGGTAAAGATGAAAACATTAGAACAAGGAAATAAAATGATCAGAAAGCAAACAGAAAAAGAAAAAACGTTGGATGAAAGAGTGGAAAAAAGATGAGTTGACGAGGTAAAGAGAAAAAATGAAGATAAATAACGGAGGTGAGTTGAGTCCCATGTGCAATGAAAAAAGATTAATGAACTGGCATCAACCAAAAAAAAAAAAAAAAAAGAAAAAGAAAATGCCAAGAAAAAAAAAAAACTGTGTGTCAAATCAGTGATCTGTGACAATCCAAGCTAGCCTATTGATCACCTTCAGGTTCAAACTGAGGATTTTCAGGCATTTTGGCTCAAATGCAGGCAGTCAGGCAGATAGAAGAGCAGTATTCAAGTGTAACAAACAACGGCCTCAAATCAACTTCTTAAGTGCTTTTTTGTTTTGCAATGAATTTTGGACACTTGGATGATTAAAATTTTTTGGAACAAAGTAACACCTTGTGCAGGAAATTTTCAACTCCCTCCTCTGGGACTGTAACTCACCTGTGTTTGAGCGCTGGATTAGGTTCGCCTTGCCTCCAACGTTACTGTGTGTTTGGGTAAGAGGTTCAGAAACAGGGGCGGGTGCTGGTGCTGGTGCAGGAGCAGCGGTGCTGGCAGGGGCGCTGGCTGATTGGGTGGGAGGATCTTTCACACCTTCCATAGCCATGAGGACACTGGAGAGCTCCTGCAGTGGCATGTTGCCAAGTTCAGAGGAGAAAGGACTAGGCGGGTTTTCCAGACACATCAGCCAGCTCGTGTTGCCTGGAGGGACAGATCGACAGAAAAAGATGTTTGTTAAGAGAAAACTTAAAGAATTAGACGTGCAAACGCAAACAAACCACCAGGAATAAAGCTGACTTCTAACATACTGTAACTTTTAGTGTTTGTTTCTGCTGCCACTGGGTCAGTATCACACAAGGTTTTTTTTTTTTTTGTTGCATACCAGAGGGCCTCCGTATGAAGATCTCTGCCCAGCCCTGTGTGAGCATGGGGACAAACTCAGCCAGGCTGGGGTTGTCTTTGAGAGGCTGGGGAGCAGACGGGGTGGCAGAGGCGGAGGACGGAGGACCGAGGCCATCTAGGTTAGAACTCGAGGGGGGAGAGAGCGGAGCAGCTAATTCGCCCTCAGAGGGGGACACTAGAGGACTGAGACTCTGAGCAGGACCGGCACGTAGAGCGTGACCACCTGGGACGAACAAGGACAGAATGAATCATTTTTTCCATTAATCAGAGTCTGACACAGCAAGCTCCTGACAAGGTATTTTATTACTTTACACAGAAGATTGGCACCCAGTGTGCAAGAAAAAATATCACACACTGACTAAGGCTGACAAAGACTGACGTCATTAAAGTCCACACTTGAATTGTATAAAAGCCATTAATTACATCCTATTTCTGTGTGACCAATACACACAAATACAGAGCACTTAACATTACAGGAGTCTTCATTTGTTTTATTTTTTTATTTTCAATGTACCCAAAGCCCTAAAGCAAGGTAACATATAACCTAACTAATTATTTTAATTAAATATGCATTAAGAGAAGATGGAGTAGAGTGGCTTACGGTCTAAATGTGATGAGATAAAACAGTGTGGAAAAGATGAAAGCACAGCTGCCGGCCTCCAAGGATAAAAGCTTCTTGATCATATCTGATTTCAATCTAGCTGAAACTCCCTTCACACTGCCATTCAAAAGACGTTACACAAACTGAATTTCGGAGCTTCATGTTTGTGGGGTTGAGCATTTATCATCATTTAACATTAAACAAAAAGCAGTGCTGTCTTGAAATAATGAGGATAAACCCGTTACTGATTGCAGTGCTCCAAGCGCCAGGGCTGAATGATATCTGCCAATGAGCTGACAACTCTTACCTGACATGGAGCGAACCCGTATGCGCGTGGCTCTGTTGTGCTGTTGGCTTGACTGGGACTCCAGTTTGGCTGGAGCCTCTTTGGTAATTCGGGTATGTAGTGATGGATCAGATCTAAAGAAGCACAAAAAACAAGAGTAAATCTCGACAAATATTTTAGCTGTATTTAGACATACTTAATCCTAAATGCGTTTAAAAGCATGATAGAATACTGATTAAATATTTACACCGTGTTCACCTTCATACTAAGATTTGCAAACTAGCAAACTAATAAATGAACAAACTGAAGTGTTAATCTGTTGATGAGGCTAATCTTTGGTCATTTAACAACTCTTTTCCTCCTGGGAGAAGAAAATGTCCAACAGTTACTTCAATCAGTCCAATAACTGCTGTGATATTTCAGACTTGACCTTCAGGGTGGACCAATCAATATATGGACACACAGACTTTCACACCCACTGTCACTGTGGCGAAAAATGTGAAAAAACTTTGGTCGTTTTCTGTGTGAGTGGCATCACCTTGTCATTTCCCCTCCACCTCCAAGCCGTTCAGCCATGTCCAGGCCCAGCAGCGCTTGGGTCCTGACCCCTCCACTGGTTGTTATGGTCACTAGCTTGTTGCCAACCAGCCAAGTCATACTGCGACCCCCTGCCAAAAGAAACTCCGCGATGGGAGATCTAAAAGGGAAAAAGAGATATCACAACTTCGTCTCTCAACTCTTTCATATCACCATCATGAAGTGCCAACCCTCACACAAGCAGAGTGTTTGCAAACCTCTTGGGCAGAGCAGAGAAGTTGGAAAAGACATATCGGGCCATCATGTCCAGACAGGTCTCTGTGAGCTCTAGGTGGACCGTCTTCAACCCTTCATCTGCTTGTGTCACCGCATTTTCATCAGCAGAGCCCAGACTGCAGGTGGTGGTTGAGGTATGCATCCTACAGGGGTAAACAAAGAAGAGGTTAAACAGCATGGAGAAGGGTGAAGCAGGGAGAGGGAGGCACACAGGCTCCACATGTATATTAATTTTGAATCAGTGCACACAAAGACATGCATGATTTGATACCCGGATATGGAGAGCACCTCAGGAAAAAACACACAAACGCACCAATATTCATGTGTTATCCATTGCTATTTCACATGCAATACAAGCATTTATACACACACACTCATCAACTCGTGGGTGTGTATTTAAGCAAATGCTTGAAAAAGATAATTGACAGTTTCTCAAGCACAACAACATAAACACGCACATGCTGGGACATGGTTTAAGTTGTCTCAAGAAATGTAAGATGTCAATGCTCATTTTTCTTCAGGTGAATGGGCTCAGTGCAGAAGGCAAAACACAACTTTAGCTTGTGAGGTTGTACTGTAAAGTGAATGAAAAGAATGCAGCAAATCAGCAAGGTAAAGGCTTTGTGTTAGTGAATGTGATTAACTGTGTGTTAATCTCTATGCAGCAGCCAAATCTCTTTATTAGTATTCACTTTTGAGAGAGCAGCACCTCTTTGTCTCCACAACAACCATCAGTGCCTGCTCTGCCGGCAAATCAGGCTAAAAGCCCGCGACAATTAATGACATCAGTCTCAATTATGTCTGAGAAGATTTAGGTTTTAGATTAAATAAAAATAAATAAAATACTGGCAAGCGTCTAGGACATAAACACACTCAAATGAGTGAATTACAAAACCACTTTGAGCCCAACTGTGATGTCTGTTTTCAGCACAGTGGGGAGAGTGAAAGGCAGACAGACTGTGTCCATACCTCTCCTGGGAAAATCAATAACAACCAAGTTCAACAAAAATAAACTAAAATAAAAACTAACAAGGGTGAAAGAAAATTGGGATAGAGCAAAGGACAGAACAGTGAAAGAGGGGTATCTGCTCTTTGTGGATCTATTATTCAGCTTTTACTAAAGACCCAGACCAAGACGAAATGTCATAGTAGGAGAAAGAGAAGAATCTGTCAAGGCTGAAAATTAACAATGCCAAGGTTTCATAAATCTACAATATTATGTATCAACTGATGTTAATCCAATTTACATGTCTTTACTAACTGCAACTAGGGTGTTTAAAAATGGAGGTATTGTTTATACTGGTTTGGATCTGCATTAGTTTAACTTCAAAAGTAACTGCAAGCAGTGAGAAAGAGGTGAAATGATCTGCTACTGTCATGCAGACTCCTTAGTGCTGTTCCAAAAGAACTGGAGGAAATGTCTTACTCAGACCAAGTCCCAGAGTGCATATAGAACAAGACACTTACCGTTCTTTCAATGGACATATGAGTCATTTCTCACTTGAATTCTACCTAAAATGAACTCCAGCCAACATGACCTCAAAAACTTCTGACTGAAACGCCTCTTTCCTAGTCTTTTAGTCACACTGATTCCTCTTTCATTGAATTGCTCTACACAATTCAAAATAACGCTGACAGGTTTGACAATAATGAGACTATTTTAAAGTAGTTTCTCAAATCATTTGTAGTAATAATTTTAGGCGAAAAAAGTCTGAAAGCCAATAAAATTAAAAACCTGGTCATGTTGTCTGAGCACAAAAAGTATCTTCTCAGATACCATGAGGTGAGACTAGCAGATCTGCAGCCCTTTAGTAGCTGTTGGCAGGTTTAAGTGATCTACACTGCAGTTGTTTAGTTTGAATCATGCTTCACTCCAAAATTAAATACAGTATGCAGTGTTTTTAAATATTCAAGCTACTTTACTGCCATCTGTTGGGCAGCAGTGGTAAGATAAATGCATCACAGTGGCATTCCTACCATATTTGACAACTGCAATGTCAGATCAAACATCTGTCATCTCCATCAGCAAATCAGCCAAGCAAAGACGAGCACAGAGGTGTGAAGATGAGAATTCAGGTATTGTGCATATACAGTATGTGTGTGATGATACCAGAGTTAAGAGTCTGTAATCAAACATTTGAAAATCCAAATCAGCCCGGCTAGTCCTTGAATCCCACACTAGGAGATTGCCATGGTCATTGCATCACAGTGTGTGTGTTTGTGAGTGGAGCAAAACAAAACGATGTAGAGCAAGCGGACTAAGCAGTTGTGTTGCTGTTGTCCCTATCACTGGGTGAGAAGGCAGAGGTGCCCTCCCCTCAGGAAAAGGGAGGCAGAGTTGTAGGTTGCGGTTGTCGACAATCAGGATAAGATCCCACTACTTTGGAAATGCATGCTGTACACCAGTCCCTCCTGCCATTCATTTGTTGTTAAGCAAATCAAAAACACTCAGCAAAACACCCAGCAAAACAAAACAAAACAGAACAAATACAATCAAACCAAACACCAAATTAAACCAAAAATAATTAAAATTAAAAAACCAGCAAACTCTGTTAGAACGAAATGAAATGAAAAAAAAAGGAAAAGGTTTTCTGATGTCATCTGCAAACGCTGCATGCAAAAGCAAGTGATACAAAATCTAAAACAGCACACGGATGATGGCAGCCCAAAACAAACCAAAAGGTCAACAGACAAACCTTCTTCCAGCATGCACCACCTGCTCCAGGTGTCCCAAAAACCACCCAACGCCAGCCAAACGGACCCACATGACAATGACCCTAAACCCCATTAACCATCCCATGGAGGAAGCAACAAGTGTTTGGGTTGTTTTTTTGTTTTGTTACCCATAGGGCTCTTCTCTAACCTGCGGACCGCATGTTCCGAGACACTGATGCTGCGGGAGCGGAAAGCGTCCATGGCTGACAGGTCCCTCAGCTCTTTAACTGGAGAGCTGCTGCTATTGGCTACCGCTGATGCTGCCTTCGCCACTTTAGCTGCCCGCAGACTGGGCGGTGATGAATACCCATGGCGAAGAGTGAGGGGGACAGACCCGGGTTGGCGATATGGTGGTAGTGTGTAGTAAGGGGGTGGGTCATCGTGAGGGTGGTGTGGTTTGGGAGTGCAGGGGCAGCATGTGGTGTGTACAGGTATACCAGGAGACAGCAGGGATTCGTCACCCAAGCACCAGAGCAACACGAGCAGGTGACCAAAGGACACACGCCACGCAGGGTACAGAGGATGGGGTAACAAAGGTCAAAGGGCAGGGGTCACAGGAGAAGGGAGGGGCCAGGAACAAGGTAGGTAGTATCCAGGATGACCATGACCACCCCCCAAAAACCACAACCGCAACGCAGCACCCAATCGCAGGAGGCAGGGGAGGAGTCAAATGAAGAATTGAAAGAAAAACAAAACAAGGTGAAAATTAACAGCAGTGAACACTATGAGTCAGATTACAGGAGAGCGAAAGAAGAATAAGAGGACAAAAAAGGACAAACATCAACTTAAAAGGAAAAAACAGACAAGCAAAGGGTAATATAGCTTTGCTACTCATAAAAGAAAATACACACAAAGTTTTCAGGAGAGCAACAAAATAAACATTATTTCACACAGCAGGTACATCTTGAAGCCAAGGACTAGTACAGGAAGAGTAAAATAGTGGGGATGGACTCAGCACAGGCCTGAAATCATGAGAGTCAAAACACAAGAAAATAACACATACAACTGAAAATGAAATGCTTAGTTAAACCCTCTGGTTGAGGAATTGCAAGTCTTGAGTTTTAAAGTCAGTGATGGACTTGGATGACCTGGATTGGGATTGTGCTTGATGGTGTACTATGTATTTGCAAGAGGATAGAATCTTATTATTCACAGAGTTTCTGACTTGCATTGCCTCAACTGGACAGAAAATGATGAGCAGCACAGGGACAGATCACTGGATGAATTTAACACAAGATGAAACACTGAAAGTGAGTAAATGTGGGAGATCAGGAGAAACCTACATAAGCAGAGATGCTGTGTGTTGGTACAAAAGCTGTTAATAACAGCCAGGGTAATGGCAGGTTTTTTTATAATTTAAAAAGCAAGGATTGGGACCCAAACAAAAACAGGAGGCTTGAACTAAAGGGAAAAAAAGAGCTGTTTTTACTGTTTTCCTGACAGGACGGGAGGAGCGATTTCAGTCAAAGAAAAGCTGCTGTGAATAGTCGATCAAAAAGTCAAAAACAAAATGAGGGGGACGCAAAGTAATGGATCTGACAGCCCACTTTGACGGTTTGAAGAAGCCTCAAAAACTATTCAAGACTATTCATAGAATTTTTTGATCACATTTGTTGCTTACTCTCCGTCTACACTTCAGAGCCCAGTCACAGGGATAATGGCATAATTTAATACAACAAAAATATGTTATGGAGTTAAAATCTTCTAGAGATGGTCCAGACTCGGTGTGGTGAGTCATCTCAGCCTCTATTCAGTCTCCTTCATTTAGTGATCATCTATCAGCGCTATAATCAGTTATTTTTGATGTGATTAGCACTGTTTTTTTCAGAACATAAAGACACAGATGATGACAAACATTTACACCACGTCACACATGACAATGACACCTTGCTGAGATCAGCTTCCTTACGCCTCTGTGTGAAAGACAGTGTGTATTTCTCTTTTTGTTCAGTGTAAGTTTTCAGTAACTACAGCTATGAACAGTCAATCTGGCATGACGTGACAAGAGAAAGTAAACCCTCTAGGTCTGTCCTCGTGTCACTGCAGTTTATATACCCATACCTATTTTCAAAGTAGCACAAACCCCAGTACGATATTGTACAATGCACTCTAAACCTATATATGTATGTCTCAGTTTCCCCTCAGAGGTAAATCAAGACCTCTTGAACCACGTGACACTGAATCTCAGCATCAGCAGCAGGACTTGTCCCTCAGATTGCATTATTTAACAGAAGTGTACATGTTATTTTGTCTACTTCCTGTCAGTCAGAACTTTGTCAATAAATTTTAGATGAGAAACAAATAGTGGGTAAAAATCAAAACTTATAAATGTAAGACAGCATAAACCATAGGTAAAATGAACTAATGACCACCATGGCAACCTGAGAGGAGTCTTCCAACCATTGTACCAGCCATACTGAGTCCCCAGATACCTTGGCAACCCCAAACCCTCAGACACGATGGCCACAGGGTCAGCGTGCGGTGCTGTCTTTTACATCAGCACCTGCTTGTGTGTATGGATGCTTTACCTCTTGGGTCTTTCGTTGAGGCTGGTGCTTCGGGCACGAAATGAACTTTGTTCATGACTGTCATCAAATGGCAGCAAGGCGTTTGAGCGCAAACCCTGAAAACAGAGGGAGGTATGAGTTTCAAGACAGAGACACACAATTGACAGAGTATTAAAGACAACTGAGAATTAACAACAACATAGCAATGACGAAAAAGGTGTTAGGGAGGGCATCTTTCATAATTTGAAGTTACAAATATCCATTGTAGATTGTGTGAGCAGTCATAGCTGAAAAGTTTGATAATAGAGCAAAGAGCTTGCTCACAAAGCATTAGATTTGGATACTGATACAATTCTGCATACTGCTATCTCAGCTCTGCATCAAGGATAGTTTAGTTTATATAAAAAAAAGAGTAAAAACTACCAAGTTATGATTTTGTAGAGAATGTTTTTTTGCAAGACTGTTGCCTGAAAGGAACAGTAACCTTTTGGAGTCTACGATGAAAGTCTTGTAATGTCAGATTAACAAAAAGACTCAAGGATTCAGACTCATTTCTGTTTTCTGTCTCCTGTAACTCCCAGTGAGAAAGATGCCTGTTAAGAGATGTTGTCTCTATCAGATTGGGAAGAGTACATTAGTCTGCTGTATATAAAGAAAAATAACGTGAATTTTTCCAAATACAGATGTGTAAGCAGGTGGCTAGTGTTGATGTTTGATGACAAAATAAAAAAAAGAAAGTCACACATAAAAAGAAATAAGGATGAGCAACCAGCACCAACCTTTGTGATGTACTGAACAAAATCTTTGCGAAAGGGAAGTCTGCAGCGTATGAACCACATGGCAATCACATGGTGGGCCAGGGACACGATGTACTGGTTAAACCTGATAGTAATGGAAGAAAAATAAGGTCAGCGTAACCATGTGTTAGATATTACTCATGAGTTTGCATGTTTGTGTGCACTTACTTGGAAGGATTAGTGTAAGGTAGAGAGATGGCAAACACACTGACATACTGCTCAGCAACAAAGTTGGCATAGAGATGGGGCAGGCGCACCAGGGCTATGAAAAAAAAACAAACAAAGAAAACATTGATTGCCAACTTCATTTTGTTCAGCCTCTGTGACAGAAGATGTGACTAACTAACCTTGAACGTCTGTCAACAAAACAAACATTTTAAAAAAGAACAAATTATTTTTGAGAAAGCTTTGGGTGCTCACTGGAGAGGAACTCAAGCATAGGAGATGCCATAGCAACAGTTGCAGAGATGTGGGTAAGCTTGACAATTAGAGCAGGAAGGAGCTTGATCATGATGTCGGGCATCTCCACTGTACACATTGTTAGAGCAACGACACACTGCTTGGCACAGCGGTAAATGAGTCCGGTCTCGAGGCACTGAACCAGCTCTCTCTGCGGAGGAGAAAGAAGGGTAACATCAGTTCAGCTGGAAGAGCTTTTTACATTTCAACGATAGAGTGAGTGAGTATGTCTTGAGATGCTATTTCCCGGTGTGGTTCAAAACACCTGACCGAGTACTCAGTCAGCGTATGAGTATCCTGGATGTGTTGTCGTACTCTAATTTTCAACAGTCTGTGTTTTGTACCTGTCTGGACTGCTCCAAGTAGTTATGATAGGAAGTGATGGCTGTGAGGACAGGAACCACTGCCAGCTGAACATCAGTGCGAGAAAATCCTTCTGGAGGCTTCTTTAAGCGCTCTGAAATCAGCCGATCTGTCACCTTGAAGCACACAGATAAAAATGAGGATATTTGCTAATGCACCAAAGTGCATTTTACATGTGTATGGACTGTGGTATCTTAACACAGGTTTGTTTGTTTATGCGTTTTTACCATGCAGCAAAGTGTGGAACAGAGCTGATCCAAGCTACACGGTGATGTGAGCAGCAGAACTTTGTACTGCAGAGTCCAAGGCAGCTTGTCCAAAACCAGCTTCAACACCTTCCAGTCTGTTTCCTACAAATAGAAAATACAAGTCTAATGTCTTGAAAACAGGAAAATCCCAGTTATTGTCTTTAAAGTCTATCATCTGTGACAGGGGTAATTAACCATTCTCAATTAGTAGTTTTTTCACAGTCTTTGTGCACATAGAGTCTGTTTGTATGTACCATTTTGAGACACTGCAGGAGGACACTGAAGGCAGGTGCATAGGGCAGGTAAGCTGAGCGTACTGAGGCTGCTGAAGCAGACGGGGCAGTGGGAGGAGCAGGGCTGCCAGCAGGAGGAGACGCCGAACCTGCAGGTTTCTTTTCACTGACACGTTTCTCTGGCTCCCTGAAACAACAACATTTACTCCAGATTAAAATTAAACCGAATTCAACACAGGTAAGAGCTGTAGACAAAAAACGTATGTGTGCTCCCTCACCCTGTGTCACAGTAGCAGTAAGGGCTGAACCTGATGGCCCGGTCTTTGTTGGGGACTCCAAGACGATGAAGAGAGTCTGCACGCATCATCAGGAAGAAGTCAAACACCTGAAGGAGGAGGGGCGAAAGTCAGCAGAGAAAAAAAAAGAGTTTGATAAACATGAACAAAAAAATTAGGGGTCACATTCATTAGAAGACTTTTGAGTCCCCCCTACCTGGTGTCTAATGCTGGAAGCAATAGCTGAGCAGTATTTGTTCTTGTAGTGAAGCTGTAGGTGACTGATCAGCAACTCATACACACGACTGGCATGAGTGGCAGGTAGGCTGTAAAGTTTACTCTGGCAAGAGAGAGAAAGATCGAAGGTTATCACCAAGTCCATCTCAAATAACCCCAAATTCTCCTCAGAAATAGTTTGAACTGCAGCACAAATAAAGGGTTTTTTTTTCCCCTTATATGACGATGGAAAGTTAGAATGATACCAAACAGAAGTTATGCTTTAATTTCTGATGTTTACAAAAGTAAGTGGACCTTAAACGTGATTAAAAAGCATATTTTTTTGTTTGCGTTCAACTTATTATGTTCATGAATCTTTTTTTGTCAACACATAAACATTAGGAGTTTTCAAATATATTTATGATGTATTCTATAACTTTGAGGTATATGAACCTTTATGTAATAATTTTTTATTATCTGTGAAAGCTTTATAAGATGAATTTATGCAAACGTAACTTGATTCATGTTTTTTTTTCCTCTTTCCAGCTGCTGATTTAATAAGTCCTTCAAATCTAATTAATATTCTTTAGATAAATACAGTCTCGAATAAATCTCCCTTCAGAGAACCTTTATGGTAGTGTGTGTACCTGCAGGATTTCCAGCAGGCCTAGTATAGCAGTTCTGACATCCTCCATTGGAGACTCTGCTGTAGGGTCTCTCTCAGAAACCTCCAGGGGCCCTGCACACACCAGAGAACGACTGGCCACCTACACCAAGAAGAAAAAACACTGATTTTGTATCATCATGGCTACGTGGGACAAAACTTAGTGATACTGAATGGTAAGAGATGGAGAACATCAGCTCCTGGATGTATCCCCGACCCGCTCTATGATGTCCAGCAGACTGGTGAAGTGGTGTGTGTTGCAGCCCTCTGCCAGGTCCACCAGAAGCTGGGTAGCCTGTTTCCTGACGGCCAGGTCCCGATCTTCAGCTATTCCACTGAGCTGGGGGATCACCACCATTTCTATCAACTCATCCTTGAACACAAGGGAAAAAATCCAAAGATTGAGTTTTACTGTGAGAAGTTACTGAGACAAAACTCCATCAAAAAGACCATGTCATTCAGCATGTGCGTGTGTGTGTTTGTGAGTGAAAACCTCGTAAAGTTGACGATTGGTACTGAGAACAAAAGACAGGATGTGAAGCACTTTGATCCTTATCACGCTGCGAGTCTCGTTTCTTCCAGGATGACAAGAGTAAAGAGGAGAGAGCACAACACAAAAAATTGAGGTGATGACTTCCAAAGAGGGGCAGACAGATTATACAAGAAGATGTTTACTGAAGGGTTTGAGTTTGTAGCTTTCATTTCTTTGTGCGTTCTACCTGAAGAATTTCTCCATGAGGCGGTGAAGACTCTGAATCCAGCCGTCCTTTGCTGGCTGAATAGACTGAGCCCTGTACGAAATGAGGGTCAGCACTGACGCATCCTGACACACACACACACACACACACACATAAGAAAGGATTAGAAGAGTGGCGGCAGTGTGTAGGAGGGTAAAATGAGAAAAGTGAAAAGACATTACGGGTCGTTTGTCGGCACATTTCTCCACCAGAGTGAAGAACTTCTCTGTGGAGCCGTGGTAACCGTTCTGCTCATAAAGCTCCTCAACTGTGGTCAACAACTCGTAGACGATGGCTTTCAGCTCTGCACTCCCTATCATCTGTAAAAACATATGGGACAGACCACCCGGTGATAAATGAAGATGAAGTTGTCATGATGTGTGTGTGTGTCTGCTCGTGTGCATACCTGGATCTGTTGCAATAGTCGCTCGATGATTCCCAGCAGGATGTCCCATGTGACCACCTGTAGCTCTTTGCCGTACTTCTTGATCAGTCTGGTGATGGAGAGGACAATCTCATAGGACACCACCTCATTGGCACACGACATGGCCTGTTTTTAAGAGGTCAGCAATGATTATCACAGTTTAATCAATCATTGTATCAAGTACAAACAACCTGCTGTTGAGTCAACCTAAAATTGTTCAGTCTCCTCTCTTGTCTCATAAGAACAGGACACTAACCTACAATAACTTTGTTTTCATAATGATATTAAAGATAAAAAACACCATTTTTATGAGTGACACACTTATCGACAGCAGCACACGGCCAGCTATTTGTTGGCTCCAAATATTTCAGATTTATAATGTTGCTTCTGTGCATTATTTGATAATCACTAACTGAAAGCTTGATGAAAGTGACAGAATTATTGGTAACGCTTTCTTTTACGGCACACTTATTACCAGGTAATTAACAGGTAATTACCTAGTAACAACATGAAATTATCTGGTAATTACATGATAACTACTAAGTCAATACTGTCTACTTTTTCTTTTTTTCTCTTTTTTATGTGCAGCTCCATTTCCAAAAGCTATTTGGGGTTCTTATTTTCTATGATTGACACTAGATACAGCCTATGCTCGTGCGAAGATTGCGTAGCGATACGCTGTTTGAGCCGAGCGTTATCACAGCGACTCACCCGCTGAATGCGTACAATGCTACTGCGCAAGTGGTGGTTCCAGGAAGCAGAGAAAATCCTGGAAATACCAGAGCAATTCGGCTTCAAATCTGTATGATGATGGAAGGTTACCTACCTGGTAACTAGACAGTAATGACTTAGTAGTTATCATGTAATTACCAGATAATTTCATGTTGTTACTTGGTAATTACCTGGTAATAAGTGTACCATAAAAGAAAGCATTACTGAATAATTTTATTTTGGACAATTAAAACCCTTGATTGTTTTTATTTTTTATTTCGCAACGTTTTATATTTTTCACGATCTACAAAACCCAAATTCCAGCACTTACTTGTTTTTTTTTTTTATGTTCGTTTGTTTTGTTTTAGCTCCAGGCTTTGTTATTTAAGCACAGTAATAGGAATTCCAGCAGTAGACAGGGTCTTAAGGGAAAGGGGGTGTTTGTGATGTGTTTTCATTGTATCTTGCGCTCTTTCATAAGATGTACTGTATTAATCTGTACAAAACTAATAAAAATATTGTTGAAAAAAAAATCCTGGATTGTGTTGTCAGGTGTTCATTACTTTTGTTTGAATTTTTGCTTAAAAGAGAAAATGATTCCTGCTTATATGCCACCACATCACATAACAGCCAGTCCCTGCTATCTGACTGCACTTTACTGTACGTTTATGTGTGTTACCTTGTAAAATGATGGCAGAACAAGCGTAGGTGTATTTTTGAGGGCAGGCAGTCTGTGTGCACCCCAAAGCGCCATCCCAACAAAGAACACAGCTCCTCTCAACAGCGGTGCATCCTCCATGTACACCCTGGTGGAGATTGCAGACAGCATCACAGACATGTCAGGAGAAGTGTATCGCTAGTTATAACATGTTTTATCATCCAACACAGACAAAGAATTACATGTGGACTAAGGATGATACCTTTCTTCCATTATACGGCACATGGTGTAAATGGCACTGTGGCCGAGGTGAGTTCCCAAAACTTTTCGCATCAACTGAAGCGACCACGCACAACAAGACGGAACAACAAATAAGAGAAAACAGTTTTATCAATCAATACTTTTCACAAAACACCCCGGGATAAAAGGGAAAAGGTGTGGATGAGTTGGTTGACTCACTTTCCAGCAGGACTCACAAAACTCCTTCACATTGACTGTCCGACAAAGTGTGATGATAAAGACTGTGAGAGAATCCGAGGGCAGGCAGTTGTAACACACCACTGCATCCAGTACTTGTAGTGCCACCTTAACAATTAGTTAAAAAAAACATTCAAAAACAAGCTCAAGGAGGAGATACTAAGGCAGCAGATAAGCAATATTAATAAAAAGTCTTGCACTTAAGAGACTGGTGTTGGATATGAAGTTTAGTGTCAGTCTCCTGAGGAAAATTAAGTCAATAATATCAAACATTTTTCATTAATTCTCCAATAAAAATCTGTGTTTATGATAAAGCATCACAGACTGACTTCAACATTGACAGGTCCCTTTCTTTTTTTTGTGATTTTTCAGATGTAATATATTTTTCTGTCACTGATGATATCCAAGGAGACATTTAGGATTCAGCATGTTTCAGAATCTTAACTGGATGCACATCAATATCCCAGGCCTCTTAACATAATCGAACCAGAAGAGCACTTGATGAGAAAGATTTTCTGTCTGTGTGTTATGTGTGGCTGTTAACCCTTTCAACGCTTACATGGAAGTACTGTACTCAATGGGTTTTATCAAGTTTGATGAACATTAACTCCGTGATGCCACCAAAAGTAGACAGGGGCAATCAGCATGTTCTACTAAATACTAATGAGATGTTTAAGCAGCAGATATTTGATTGTGCTCCTACAGGTTACACAGACGTTTCTTTTGCTTTACTGTAACAGATTCTGTGACAAAGATAACACATACCTCTATGTCTGTTGATGATGTTGTTCTGTTGCACAGGAGACAGATTTTTCTGCAGATAAAAAAAAAGAAAGAAGGAAAAATGTTCTTTATTTACCTGCATATAAACACAATATTTCTATTATCTGTATTTATGACTTACTGGACCATGATGGAGACATTTTGGTCAAGATAGCAGCTGTTGAATTTCACCAGATTGACGAGAACATTCAGAAAATCTGAGGCGAGTCCGATTTCCATCCAAAGGAGAACAAACCGTGCTGGGGGCGAAGGGGGCAAAGATCATCAGTTAGCTTGTCATCATTATGGACATGGCACACTACTGAAGCATACAATGACAGAGTATATGTATGTAACCTTGTTAAACCCCACAAATCACACATTGACCCATTTAAAAGTCACAGGTAACACCCTTAAAAAGTTGACCAAGGAATTTATTTGAACAAGACACACAGAGTTAAATAATTCATCAAGATTAACTAAAGATCAACGAGAGAGAGAGCTGTCAATGAGAGACAGCAGGGCAGCAGCTCCCCTCAGAATGCCTCTCCCTTCTGCAGACAGCTCCTGGGTTTACGTACCCATTTATTTTTAAAACCGGAGACCCTAACCGTCATTTGCGCCCTTTGTTTAGACACAAATGGAGAATTCACCCCTGAAAATGTTGCTTTTTAAAACTCCGGCCAGAGTGGAGATTTGGAAAACTACCTTTGAACATTTTCATGGATACAGAGAAAAACTTCGGTAAACTGAGATTTGGGTCGCCAACTGCAGATTGTGCGCAAGAAAGAAGGAAGGCACATTGTTGTTGTTGCTGCCATGCAGGATTCTGGTTGGCAAACGTGAGCTTGAGCTTCTCGCTACATTGCCACCCACATGTTTGATATGTTCTTGACGGAATATATGCATGGGTTAGTGTAAACGAAAGGTCTTCTGAAAACGCAGAGGTGTGCACGCAGTTTTTTTTTGTAAACAAAGAGGGTGAAATGTCTGTTTATAAAAAATAGCCAGTAAACGTAATCTTAGACCTTCTGGACAAGGTAAAGCTGATTGCCAATCATATACTTAGCCTGGGCAGAGCTAGGGAAGACAAAAGGGGGAAAAACATGCACAAACAACATACAGTTGTAACATACCTATGTCCTCCTCCAGGTACGTGATATCTTTGCCGTTCTCAGTCAGGGCTTTGAAGACTTCTAGCCTATCCGAGAGGTCCTCATTACAGGGCTGGTAATCTCTAATCACTTTAAAAAAGTAGGCTCTCAGAGGACCAAGTCGCTCACCCTTCAAAAAACAAAGTCAACGACACATTATGCAATGACTGCAACATCATTTACACCCAGGCATGGTGTGTGTGTATTGTGCCTCTATACCTGTCCCTGAATAATGGCCCTCAACAGCTGAAGGACGGCATGCCTGGCTTCAGGCGGCTGCTCTGGAGTCAGCATGTCCTCCACTGCTTTCCATACTGCTTCCACTGCATGCTGAAACAGATTACTCAAGTCAACACGCAAACTCAACACACAAAAAGGATTAAATCTACTGTTTTGTCAGCGTAACAAGACAGGGAGTAGCCTCACCTCCTCAAATTTTTTGGTCTTGGCCAGATCGCAGACATGATTCATTACACGCACGCGGTTGCTTAAGCCATTGTCTGGATGGAGGTCCTGAAAAAGTTCATGACACAATGAAAATATGATGAGGAAACAAAAAAAAGACATTTTGATGTGTACAAAATGCTGTTTAGTCTCTGGTGCACACCTTCAGAATGTCATTTGTTATAATCAGCTCTGAAAGTTTAGTCTCATTCTGCTTGCTTGGTGGCCGAGGGGGTCCCAGTCCAAAGATTGCCTTGACTTTATCCTTTACACTCTCCTTGGACGGTTGTTTATTCATGGCTGGACCCCGAGATGTGGCAGTCAGGGACTGATCGTCACCTGGAGGAGGGTAACACACAAACTTTAGAAAATTCACAACATGCATCGCTTAGTTTTGATTATGATCGAGGTTAAACCAAACAGTAAAAGGTCAAAGATCAACGAGCTGCACGAAACAGGACTATCTACTAAAAACCCAGAAAACTGTAATCCAATCAAGACTGTGCATTGAAAATATCCTAATTATAAGATCTTAGAAACATCAGCAAAAAACAAAAACATTGACAGGTTTTATAGAACTGAAGATGATACACACAAATATGTTAATGAGGTGCAGATACCAGAACACAGTGCTCCTAAATTAATAAAATATAGCAGCAAAACAATTAAATATCTCCTCAGAGGGCTCTAGTTGGCCCAGCAGTTTAAGTATGCACCCTAGACTTGGGCAAGTAATCAATATTTAGCATCTCTGACCAATGCCCATCTTGATTTTTTTTTTTTATTGTTCATTTTTATATCACTGTGTGGTTTATATAGTGTCTGAGTGATTACAAGCATTTAAGTTAACAATAAATAAACATTAATAGTCACAGCTTATGGCCTAGTTTGCTTTTATGGTACAAACCGATTCCGGTGAAGTTCATATGCTGTGTAAAACATAAATAAAAACAAAATACAACAACTTTGCTTATTATGAATTTGGTGCCTGCAACACATTTAAAAAAAAGCTGGGACAGAGTCACATTTACCACTGTGTTACATCACCTTTCCTTCAAACAGCATTCAATAAGCGTTTGGGAACAAAGGACAGTAATCATTGAATTTATTCCCATTCTTGCTTGATGTACTACTTCAGTTATTCAACAGTCTTGACTTAAATGATAGCATATGTTGTCTGTCCCTTTCAGCATTAATGGGGCTGTCACAGATGTGACATTTAGCCATGGACACAAACACACCAATACCATCACAGATGCTGGCTTTTGAACTTTGACCTGAAAACAGACTGTATGGTAGAGTTTGAACTGGCGCTTTACATGTAGACACAAACTGTGACAATGTTTTTTTTTTTTAGTCCTCCTGAACCTACGTGGTAAAATCCTAATAGAATGGTGTGGGTTTTAAACACAGTGCTGCCAGAGTGGTTAAAGGTCACAGTAATTCTGTGTTGGTTTTGAGCTTTTCTGCTTACCAGCTGAGATTTCTCTGGATTCTCTGCATCTTTTGACGATATTATAGACTGTAGATGATCAAATCACTAAATTCCTGCAGTTATACAATGAGTACGTTCTTAAACTCTTGGACTATTTGCTAATGCTGTTGTTGACAAAGTGGTGAACCTGACCCTGTGTTGCTCATGAAGGACTGAGCCTGTAAGGGATGCACCTTTTATCCTCAATCATGACACTCGCTTATTTCCAGTGAACCTGTCCACCTGTGGAAGGATCCAAACAGAGGTTTTTGGAGCAGTCCTTAGGTGTCTTTTTTTGACCCTATTCCAACTTATTAGGAACATGTTACAGACATCAAATTCAACATGAGTGAAAATATGCAAAAAACAATAAAGCTACTCAGTTTGAACATTAAACATCTTGTCGTTGAAGGGTATTCAATTGAATATGGGTCCAAGAGGATTTGCAAATCATTGTTTTCTGGTTTTATTCACCCTAACTTCATTGCAATACAGGTTTGTATGTTAAAAGGCACCAGTACCAAAAGCATTTAGTTTTGGCACCTGTTACAACTTTATTCAGAAGCTTCAAGTGAAATTTGGAGTCCTGGCCTGTCAATGAGTAAACACTGGGTGGGAGGGGGTGGAGGATTTGCTGTCATGTGGACTTGTCAGAGACAGAGGGGAGGGGAGGTGAGCAGACAGACAACAACTGTACTGTTTCAGCTCAACAACAACCAACACAACATCGGTGCAGTGTAGCCTCATATCAGAGAAAATCATGATGTGTGAGCCTCAGAAGAAGAAAAAAACCTCATTTTGTTGTAGAGAAATGCAAAACGCTGCAGCACCGTTAGCTCTGTTTTTATTGCCTGCCACAGGCTAGCATTCCTCTTTGGCATTCAAGGTCTAGGAGCTAAAAAACAACACCAACCCTCCACCACCTTCTCTCCCTTTGTCCTCACCTTGTTTCTTTCAGTTTCACTCAGTCATAGCTTCGTCCACAACACAGCGAACACAGCAGCCTACGACTGTGCATGCATATAATATTATACTTACTGCTGTTATCGCCCGAGCTCAGTCCTCGACTCTTCAACCGGATGACACGGTAATGTTCTGTTGAGAGCTACTTCCTACAAAAACACGTTTATTTTGTTGGGTTGCTGGGAAATGTAGTCCTAAGCGAGCCAAACTTAAACTGCGCTAAAGTCGCTGTTATATGTCTATTCCCTGGATAAGAAGCGGGACATTTAGACATTTTAAGAAATTGTCGTGTTTTTTGTGTTAATCTTCCACAGTATAACAAAGACACAACTTAAGTTCACGGTTAGTTTAGCTTTGTTATCGGCTAGCCAAATGTGCTAACGCTGTTGAAGTTGGTTTCTTCCTCTCCTAATTTGTAGCGTTTAACGGCGGCTGGACAGCTTTATATTGGGCTTTACCGCCACCTATTGACCCGGAGTGTGGGCCAGGCTCCAATATCCTTTCTAACTCATTTTCATATCCTTAAATAAATAGCGAGTTGTCAGGCTGTTAGTTGGGAATTTTATTAATATGCTCAAGCCCAAATGCAAAGCCCATCTGATTTGTCTATGAAGACTACCCTTGTTATGCACACAATGCCTTAATTTTGAAAATGTGTCTGTGCACAATTATTTTGTGACTTATTTTGTGAAAAGTTACTTGCATGGCTCTTTATTTGAGCCTGTGATGAACTGTCATGGGTAAACTTGGTACCTCAACAGGAAGGTACCCAAAAAAGCAGGATGTATGCATCAATTAATCAGGCAGCTTCATCTTTAGGCAATGGAAATGATAAAGTACAGCAAACTGTACTGGATCGCTTGATGAAAAATCATCTAGTGTGTTTTCTCTATGTGTGTATGCTTTACTAATAAGTTATGAACATCTGGTGTTCTGATGGTGCAAGTGAATCAAAGACTTAGATAATGAGATCAACTGAAAGCTCAAGAAAACAGCTAAAAACGATCTAATATCACAGAAAAACATTAAATATAAAGTATTTTGCATATCCCTCTGGGGTTTTGTGCTGATTGAGTTAGATCTCTTCCAATAATGTGACACAGAGAAAGGTTACCTGCTTTATTTATTTGTTGGCATATGAGCACTTTTATTTTTTCTGCACTACACAGTCAAATTCCAACTAAGTTGGAGTTACATATTTAAGGTTGTGCTTTGTTACACATTAAGATCAATGTAAAAGATTAAGTTTGGTTTGCCATTGGTTTAAAAATAAGAAGCTTAATTTCTTGGAGTTATTTCACCAAACCCAAATCAAATCAGTAACAAATGGACTCAGTAAAATTCTGTTAAAACGCTGTCAGACATTTTAGATTACTTAAAGCTAGGTCTCTGAGAGTCACAAATATCAGTTATTACTGATCATATTTCAGTGCTAAACTTGGCATCTAAATCTTTGATTCAATGGCAAGTCACGTTGCATGCCTCCGGCTTGTAATAAGTTTTCAAAGTTTTGTGGGTTTACATAAAATAAATCTACCAATTGACATTAAAAAGAAAGAAAAAAGCAAACAAGTAATAAATGTACGGCCATGCTTTGAAGAAGGAGCGTGGTGAGTAAGCAGTTTTTCATTAAAAAGAATCTATATTGCATTAGAAAGATCAGCACTAAACTATGGAAGTGTAGCATATGGTTCAGCAGCAAGAAGTCATCTAAATACACTTGACTTCATACAGGCAAATTCATTGAGGGTTTGTTGCAGAGCATTTAGATCAACACCATGTATAGTGTTGCAGGTGAAGACTGGAGAAATGCCTTTGGAGCTCAGGAGGAAGCAAATAATAATAAATTGCTGGGTAAATTTGCGAAGGCAGGCAAATGTTATCCAACAAAACAAACACAGCAGGATGTCTGGAAAACGGGAAGAGTCCTGCTGAACATTTTGCAAAGGGAGGGAACAAATTAGCAAAAGAACTGTCTGTAGATAAGTTCCAAGTGAGTCAAACAGCTCAATTTCCAGCAACAGTGCCAACACTGAAGTGCCCTTAAGTAGTCTGGTTCCTTTTTGAGATTAGGAGGGGCAAAAAGAGGACAGAAGATTTAAAGAGTGTGTTCAGCTTTTGAATAACAGAAAAGTACAGTGGTTTTGTTCAGATCTACACAAATGGGATGAAAAAGCCAGAGACAGGAGTTGCAGGATTTGGGGTTGCAATTCCTGACAGAGGTCTAGGGAAGAAGAACTTACAGGTTAAAGGTGTACACAGTCGAAATGGTGGTGAGATTAGTAACACTAAAATGGGTGGAAACAACATCTCAAACAAAAAAAAAAAAAACAGTGATATGCCCAGATACAGCACTGGAAAGCATAACACCATCTCATTCTGACAGCCAACAGGACATAGTGCATGAAGTGCTACAATTAATCACAAAGATACATGGCAAGGGGGGTCAGGTAACATTTCCTTGGGTACCAGTGCATGTGGAGGTGGGATGGAATGGAAAAAGCAGACAGATTGGCAAAAGAAGCGTTACAAAAAGGTCAGATAGAGATGCATATCGTTAGGCCTACTTCTAAATCACAAGTGAAGAGTTTGATCAAGGAGAAAGTGTTTCAAATGTGGCAAAAAGGTTGGATACAGAAAGCAAAGGGTGGCACTTATATCAAGTTCAAAAGAGTGTAAAAGGTTAAAGTGAAGGAGGAAGAAATAGAAGAGAAGGAGGTACTGATAAGGCTGAGATTAGGGCATTCTTCTTAATGAAAGACTGAAAATGGTCAGTAAACATGATACTAGGTTATGTGAAGGGTGTCAAGAAATGGAGACAGAGCATGTTACCATGTGGTGTTGGAGGTATGAGGAACAAAGAAGTGTGATGAGGAACAGGCTGAGAAAATGTCAGGTGAAGAAAATAACACTAAGGGGCTTATTGAACTTGGGAGATAGGATACAAGGGAATATACTACTACAATATCTAAAGAAAACAGGGAACCATTAGGCTACAGGATTTAAGAAGTTAGGGTAGTGCGAGGGAGCCTTTTTTCCCCATTATTATTATTATTATTATTATTATTATTATTATTATTATTATTATTATTATTATTATTATTATTATTATTATTATTATTAGTAGTGGTAGTAGTATTATTAATTTATTTATTTATTTTTAAACTCTGAAATCCCTCTCATCAAAGTTGATTGAATGAAATTAAATATGTTGTTTTTTTAAGTTTTTAAAAATAATAATAGTAATTTTTATAATAATAATAATAACAATAATAATTGTTATTATTACTAATAATTCTTTTAGTTATTTTTAAACTCTGAAATACCTCTCATCAAAGTTAATTGAAAGAATATGAAGATGTTTTATTATTTTATTTTTATTTTTATTTATTTACTACAGAGCAGATGATTTCCTGATCAACACTCCATACCAGTAGATGGCGGTAATGCGCGTAAACGTTGTTTGCCAACCACGAAACAAAAATATCACAGAAGAAGTAATGCCTCTCATCTGTAGTAGCGCGAGGGTCTGTTATGTAGTCCTCCGTTGCACAATGTCTTCCCCTTACTTTATGAACAGTAATTCTGTTATAACGCGGAATAAGGTCCAAAAGACTGACTGCACACATGCGACCTCTCTCCGCTTTGGACTCACCAAAAGACGGAGGAAAATTGATCCAGTTTCTTCTGTTGCAGTGAAGGTGGAGGAAGAGGAGGCGGGGATCTCTGTGCAGGGACCCTTCTCAGCTCCCATATCGAATGGTAAAGTTAGGCTAGGGTTAGGTTAGGTAAATACTTGGGCAGAGACACTTGATATAGACTAAATTTATAATTATTCTCTCCAACTTGTAGCCATGTGTTTGTTTGCTAGTACTGGAATCGACCACTTTTTGGACTCTTGCATTTGTGAGGTAGACTTCACATCTGCAGCCTTTAGAGAAGATAAGGTGAGTCTACACCTGCCTCCTCCAGAGCTGCTGCAGGCTCGAGGTATAACCTGATTCAACGTTTAGGACGACATGCAGGCTTAAAGTGCCCTATAGGTGTCGCCAGTCTAACAGCAGTAGAAAATAGTTTCTTTAAGTCACTGATCCTTCAGCTGACATGTTTGGAAACAACCTAATGTGTGAACACCCTTTGGACTTACTAGAAAGCAGCAGAATATCTGAGCCCTATTATCCAAGAAGTGGCTGACTCAAGTCAAGCCTTGAAGGGATATTCCGGCGTAAATTTAATTTTGGGTCAAACACACACCAAGTTAGACACCCCCTGACACCCCCCTGCCTAATTTCTTTAGCAAAGAGATGAAACACAACTCACCTACTCTTTTCCAGCAGCCGCTTGTTTGTAGCAAGACCTCGAGCCAGCCCATTACAGACTGTAGCGGGTGACGCAGCTCAAGGAAGAACATTTATGATCATTTCCTTAAAGTAATAATCACCATATTGATAATTTTGCACTGCAGACACGGTAGTTCTTCTGCATTAGCGTCTGGGTCTGATGGCATTTCCATGAAGAAATGATCATAAATGTTCTTCCTTGAGCTGCGTCACCCCACAGCAGGCCATAATGGATTGGCCTGAGGTCACTACAAACAAGCGGCTGCTGGAAGAGAGTAGGTGAGTTGTGTTTAGTTTCTTTGCAAAGAAATCAGGCAAAGTTAAAAAGATGTTTGGTGGCTAGTGCTATGGCTTGGACCCTATATGTACTGTTGATGAAGTTAGGTGCTGTTCTGAGCATTATTTGTGGCTATAGAGTGGCATTTTGGTTGAGGTTTGTTTGTGGCTCCTCAGACCACTGTGTATTGCTATTGTGCGGTCGTTACTAAAGTTGGTATAACTAATATGGAATATTATTATTATTATAACTAATACAGAATATGCCTTAAAAGGGTTTATCTTCTCCTTTGTGTATTTGCTAACCCCCTCGTCTTGCCACGTTGGATCAGATAGTTTTTATTCTCTCCCCTCTGTCCATTTTTAGGTGATTGCCCTGAACACCTCTTTCAAGACGCACCTCCTCCAAAATCAGAGACAGACATAGCACCACTGTCTTCACACAGCCGCAGGAGGAGACAGCTAAAGGTGGAATATGACAAAGATGAAAGTGTTAAACCAGTGAAGACAGAGCTCTGGGAACCTCCAGACTGGAAGAAACAGCTCGGGTTCATTCGTGAGATGAGGAGTGGCCGAGATGCACCTGTAGATAACATGGGAGCAGAGAAATGCTATGACACAGAGGCTCCTACACATGTGGGTTTGCTTTGGATTTCTTTTTTAAGTCTACATAATCCATTAGGTCTTATTCAATCTTCTTCTTCATGTGGGCACAGGTGAGGCGTTACCAGGTGTTGGTTTCTCTCATGCTGTCCAGTCAGACCAAAGACCAGGTGACAGCGGCAGCCATGCAGAAGCTCCGAGCTCATGGCTGCACAGTAGAAAATATACTTGCGACTGATGATGAAACATTAGGAAAACTCATCTACCCAGTTGGCTTCTGGAGGGTAAAAATGAGTTTTATAGCATGATCAAGAGTAGCGCATCTATCTTCTCACTGTGTTCTTCCATCAGTCTCATACCCTGCTCTCATATTTTGCTGTTTTATAGACCAAAGTGAAATATCTGAAGCTAACATCAGCCATGCTTCAGAAAGACTTTGGAGGGGACATCCCTGACAGTGTGGAGGGGCTTGTCCGCCTGCCAGGAGTTGGACCCAAGATGGCTCACTTGGCCATGGACATTGCCTGGGACAAGGTGTCTGGTATAGGTGGGTGCACAATCCTAAAAATAGTTCCTGTATAATTACACAAGAATTCTCTTATATTCACTTCAATGGAAAGTGAAAAGCTGTCTATCATTTTCATCTTGCCAGTTCAAGTCATGATGTTTATATTCTCATAACATCTCGCTGTAGTTTAAATGTCACAGAGCCACACTGAGATAACATCATCCTACCACTGTGGCTGTCACTGAAAGTAGTAACAGGCATAACAGGAGAGGCAGGATCACTGTCAACTCCTTTCAACATTAGATATCAGCAGAGACATTCCTAGCAGGCAAAATTATATGACTTTAGAGAGGGCTGCATGCCATACAAGCTGACTTTCTGCAACAGTTACTGTTTTCCAACAATGCCGGGTGTGTGATCATGCATGTACTCATCAATTAATTGATTGCTTTTTTTTATTTTTGTTAAGGTGTGGACACACACGTGCATCGTATCTCCAACAGGCTGGGCTGGCTCAGGAAACCAACCAAAAACCCTGAGGAAACACGCAAGGCCCTGGAGGAGTGGTTACCAAGGTAACAGCATGATTAATTTACAGCTGACCTGTACAGCCAGATTAGCACAGATCGGCAAATCTATAAAGATTACAGTCACTAAGACTGACCCAGATAAATACAGCTGATCATCTACCTCTGGCCATTTGGTTTTAAAATGGTAAGAAATGACAGATTTTTTTTTTTTGCAAAACCATTTCTTGTTACTTGTCACCATCCCTGCCTGCAGTGATTTTAACCCTGAAACATGAAAAAGAATATCTGGTTGTTAAAAAAATGAGTGGGTATGTACTACACCACTGGTTTTGGATTGTTCTCACTATTCGAATCAACCTCATTTGCAGCATAAATAATCAGATAAGAACTCTGTTTAACGCCTGATAGCGATCAAAGATGGTTCTGAGCTATGAAACAGATAAGAGCCAAAGAGTCAGATATTCCCTGTGGAAGATGGTAAAGCAAAAAGAAGAGTCAATCATATAACTACATAAAATTCATCAGATGAGCATAGACATAGCTGAGTGCTTAAGACCTGGTTTTATGTTGGATTCATGTTCACAGCTTAGCAAAAAACTAAATCCTGTTGATGCAGGTTACGAAATGCTTTAGATGCTCTTCTCTGTTGCAGGGAGCTCTGGAGTGAAATCAACTGGCTGCTTGTGGGTTTTGGGCAGCAAATTTGTCAACCTGTCAACCCGCTCTGCTCGATGTGTCTGAACCAGCACAGCTGTCCATCTGCATTCAAAAACTCTCCTACAAAGCGGCCTAAAGCTGAATTCCCCGGGTCTCCAAGTCCAACCTCCTCCTTTAAAACAAAAACTGAACATAAACAAGAATCTACTGTCACAGATGAGAGTACAAAGACTGAACCTCTCTTCACACCTGTTTCCCCCAACACTCAGAAAAGGAAAGCAAAAAGAAAGCTGAAGCACTAATCTGGCTGAATGAACACAGAGAGGACTTTTGCCTATACGCACAAACACTTCAAACATGCAGGGAAATGTAACAATTGCCACAAGTGATGTTTGTTTATTCGTTAAATGTTTTTGAAAAGACTGTTTAAGAAAACCTTAAACTTTTTATGGGAGATGCCACATTTTATACTCTTAGTGCTTAAATCTTTATAACTAAATAAAAACAAAGTACGTACCCAAACTTAATGTGAAGGTCAGTCCTGTTTTTTCCACATTTTCTAGTAAAAGGAGTTTTTTTCTGATTCACTAAAAAAAGATTAAAATAAACCTTAAAAAGAGTCAAATTATTCACAGTCTCTAATGAATACTTAACTGACACATAGTATGACAGATATACTGTACACCATTCAAATATACTAAATTGGAAATTAAGATTTACTCATTTAAAAAAATGTTTTTGTCTATTTGATTAATCGAAACATCCTCTTACTGCACAAACTGTCACTTAATAACATGCAAAAAAAATAAATAAAAAACAAAATATCTACAAAAAGTCTTAAATATACATATTTGAAGTTTGACAGACAAGCAATTTAATACAACCTTGATGCAAACGTGATGTATAAGTATTGTACTCATTACAGCAGTACTCCAATACTTGGTACAACCCCTCCTCCACTCCCCAGTGTACAGGGTGTGTAATCAATTACAAAAACAACATCCTCTCTCAAGGTGTGTCACTACTAGATCACATGATGTTTCACGTTGGCTAGCTGCCATAGCTAACACTTAATGAAACAGGGCTCATTATTTTTTTTTACATCACATTGGCCTTGCTCCAGTCCAAAAATGCCCTGAACAGTTATGAATACACTGGCCTGAAATTAATGCAAAAAGATGGATACTGTAATTAGGCCTACACATAAACTTTAATTCTTTTTTAAATTTAGTTTTATAGATTTGATTCTTAATTTTTAATGATGTGTTCAGTCAAACAATAAGGAGGGGAAGCCCATGCTTTTAAAATAATGTGTTGTGACTTGTTTTTTTTACCCCTTGATTCAGCAGTATTTTAGGATTTCTGTCAAAGGTGAGTGAAGTCCCAACTCTTGGCTGCAGGACTAAGCTGCTTCCCTCTCTAATTTTTGTCTCTTAAATGTCTTATCTTCCCTGATCTGGTTATAAAAAGCACAACCTCAAAACTTGGTTTATCCCTTTTAAACAGTGTAAGTCGGCGATACCACATTACAAATAAAAGTTAAGCTTGTCTTTCAAAAACATTCACCATCACTTTTTGCCCAGTTGTCTCTCTTAAAAATCTGGGGCGAAGACAGAGGACGACCGTAAAGAGGATTTTAGTCCTTGAGGTACAGGTAGACTAGTCTGGTTCAATACTGTGCCTGAGCGACTGTAACAGCAGAAAAAGTTCGTGTCATTTAACGTAACGTGGTTCAAACTTTGTTCAAGAACGACGGCCTCTTCGCTGCTCGAAGCTTCCAGCCTCAGCAGGTCGGGGCTGCGCTGCTGTCGTCAGGTGTGCGTTGAGGGGACGTAGTGGCATCTGTTGTTGACGCCTCTTTAGTCTCGCGCCAGGTCGGGCAGGAGGACGCACGCCCAGCTTGAAATAAGTATTAAGTGTTACGTACGTAGAACAGCCTTCTAATCTCTGATCTCTAGGATTACTTCTTGGATGGACAAGACTTCTTCTCATCCGTAGTTTTTGGTCACTTTTTACGCACACTGCAATCCATTTTTGCGCGTCCCCATTTGCGCCTCGGCACCTGCATGATGGATTAAACTCTCAGTTGTGGCCCTTTTTTGACCTGAGCTCTCGGATCGATTGTGGATTATTAATGGACTCGCATCATGGTCAATAATGATGATCTTTTGGTCACCAAAGCGCGCAGCAGCACGTTGGATTAAGACCAAGGGACTTTCCACCGCTCTTGGACCGAGCACCTGTTTGTTCTCCTGAGACACTTTGACCTGTTTTACCCCTATTGACGCATTGGGATGGAGAGCGAGCTGAGACCGAGGCTCTGTTTCCTGACCAAAGGAGAGGGCGGTTATGGCTTTCACCTGCACGGTGAGCGGAATCGAGGCGGGCAGTTCATCCGCAAAGTGGAGCCCGGCTCCTCGGCTGACATGGCTGGGTTGCGAGCCGGGGACCGGGTGGTGGAGGTGAATGGGGAGAATGTGGAGAAGGAAACCCACCACCAAGTGAGTAATGTTTCAATAAATCAATTTATAAAAAATCACTGACAAGTGCTTACATGTAAGACCATACACAAGAGGAGCTCACAAACTCCGAGGTACAAACAATGACTTCTATACCTGTTCGACCACTTTTCCCTTGCCTGAGGAGAAGGAGGGGGGGATACCAAAATGGGTCAATGTGATCCTTGTGTAATGGGAATCACTGGTGTCTTTGTGGTGCTTAAATTGTGTCAGGTGCATTGCAGTTCAGGATGGCCAACAAACCCCAAATGACAGGAGTAGCATGAAAGTTCGTCTCAGGTTGATCTCAATGCTCTTCCCTCCTCCTTGCAGGTGGTAAACAGAATCCGTGATGTGCCCCACCGCACCAGGCTGCTGGTGGTGGATAAAGACACAGATGATTACCTCCGCAGCCGTGGCCTGGCCTGCACTGAGGACCTGGCCATTGAAATGGGAACCCTCTCTCCGCGTCCCTCACCGGGGCCCACTCCGTCTACCTCGCCCTTACCCAGAGATAATGCACCCCTGTCTCCAAAAACCCACCACACACAGTCATATCACCCACCAGGTGCAACGACCACAAACACGATCCAACAAGAAACAGCCACAAGATCCTTAGTGCCATCAAGCACAGCAACAGCCACAGAGGTAAGACTGATATTGACACATAAGGCACTTGTTCCGAGGTGTTTCTGCTGCCATATGAGCAGCAGAGCTGACTCTTTCTCTTTGTTTGGTTGTGAAGGAAAGTCCAAACTTTGGATCAGTCTGTCCAGTGGACAGTGAGCCAGTGTGTTTCACTACACTATCACTGGATGGCTGTTTTGCATTAATTTGGACCTGAGCACTTAGAACTTCTTTTGTAGTGGTCTGAGAACAGTACCTTTATAAAGAGCTTGGTGTTAGTTTGAACCACAGGGACTTGAAATGAAGAGAGAGATATCTGGAATCATAGCATAAACCAAAGGTTAGTTGTGGTGACAAACCAAGTCAGAAATAGAGGAAAAGACTCAAAGCTATAGTCAACAAGTTGCAAGTAAAGATTACCTTCTTTAGACTGGTATTTTTATTGTTCTTTTCTGTAATACATTCATTATTTTGCGTTTTTCTCATCTGAATATCCTGGACCGTTACTATTGCAATATATTCCCCAATACACAGCACAATCCCTTCTGTCTTTCATCCTGTGATAAAAGAGAGTCTCCAGGTATGAGAAAGTAAAATCTCCCTGTGGGCTTTATTACCCTATTGTCAAGATCACTTTCATTTAACAGCTGCTTTTACAGAATTGAAAGCTCATTGTTCCATCTGTCCTCAGGGCTCTGCCATCTGTAAGCGGTGTGAACATTTGTAATGAAGATTGTAATTCAAAAGTTCTGCTTCTTGGTGCATACAGGGAATTCACACCTCACACAGTGCAGGGTTTGTCACACCTTACAGCAAACATTAGAGACCAAACCCCCACAGAAGTGACAGTGCAAACCACAAAACCACAAATAAAAAAAACGTACTGTCGTTAAGTTATAGGTTTTGTCAAAAAATTCTGCAAAATGTAAGAGCATTAATCCCTGAACTGACCATACTTAGATGTACATGATAAATGTTTTGTTATGGACATGTGTTAGGGTAGTTTTCTTGCATAATTGTTTAACTTTAATTTGGGTTTGACAAGGCTTTGCAGAGAGGAAAGCACAAAGCAGACATAGTAGGGATCAGATTTTCGGATAGCAGTGAGATATTTGCATAGGTGTTGTTATCTTCCTGTGTAGTCTTTTTTTGAGCACACGGTCCCACACTCTCATGCTGTGGGATCTCATCAGCCTCCGACCTTTCAGTGATAACAAAAGGATTTAGTTTGCTATCAAACACACTTATTCAAATTTTCAAGGCAGCAAGCATGACAACATAAAATAATAATCCCACAGGTGCCAGCCAGACATCACTGAAACCTGTTAATGTCAGCTGTGCGACAGAAACAACCAGGAAGTTTCTGCCAGAGACTGAACTCAGTGTTTGGGCTCCAAACATGTTGAAGTGCCATCTGTTTAACCGGAGGCAGGGTAAATACAGGCTGCCCCTTGGCTGGCTATCACAACTCACCTTCTCAGTCTTAGTTACAGGTTCAGATCAAACAGCATAACAACACAGTGACAGCACACCCTGTACAGCTGGAGGTAATCTGTTGCGTCACTGCAGACCGTGACATCAGGTGTGACCCAACACTTTAAACTCAAACTGAAACTTCCGCTTCAGATGTTTATTTTATTAAGAGCTGCTGTGATGGAAAAATAAGTCTAGACCCATCTGTGTTGGACTCTAGATTTAGGAACCTTTGGTCAACTATTTCCACATCCTGCCCTGTTATGAGCATCTACAGTTTGTACTTTTATTAACTAAAATACACGATAACAAAGGTTTGGTAATTATTCTTATCCTTTTCTAAATGCACAAAAATGACCATTATTTAAGGTGACCTTGATTTGCCTAAAGTAAGCCCAGAGGATATTATGCATTTGGCCCTTTTTGTTTTTATTTGTTTAGTGCATTAATGTTGCAAGCCACCGACTTTTAGAATTATCACAATAATAAATCAGCTCATACTTTTATACATTTCCAGTTAATGGAGTCTGCATTATTATTATTATTTCTGTCTGCTACATGTACAGCCCCCTTTAAAAACCAACCAACCTGTGTTTTTTAAGGTTTGTTAATCATCCCAAAAAATTAAACACAGTTTTAATTTTTAAAAGAAAAAAAACAGCCTCTTTTTTACATTCCCACTTCCGTATCATGCGACTTGTGACATTCACTTTGCAGTACGTGTAAATACAGACACCATTTCATCATGGCATGATGTTATTTTGGCAGCAGGCATCTATAAACAGTTGTCTTATGTAATGTGATTGAACAGAAATAAAAAGAGCAGGACTCAGTCACACATTCTTGACTCCAAAAGTTTGCCTTTTAGTTTAAAAACTGAGTCACTTAAAGACTTGCAAAGTACTTTTATTCCACAGTGAATCTACTTCATCCTGACTGTCTTTATCATGACCATCTTGGAAACGCTGATTGGAAAAATAAGTCAGCACTTTCCAGATCAGCGTAATGTGCAGCCTGTGGGTGTTGATTTATTTGGGCCGACATGATAAATATAGCAAACAGGTCAGCAAGATTAAAGGAGATCTTTAAAACCAGCGGGAAACTTGGTGACCTGTCAGTGCAGCAACCTGACCTGTCACCATGGCAATCCATAATCAACATGTTCTCCCCCATTGTGACATGGAGGGATGAACTCTGATTAACATGATATTGCCTGTACACTCCTTTTGTCAGAGAATGGCTTATCTATGAGAAGTATGTTAACATGCCTCTAGGTCACATGACCAGTCTCAGACATGAACAATTTGAGGCTCTCTCTCACACACACACACACACACGCAGACTGAGTGTACCTTGGAGTAGACGCGCAGGCTCGGTCAGAGGTGATTCCAAGTGTAGACTCTTGTCATTGGTCATTAGACTTTTAATCTTAATGTCTCTCAGCCAGATCCACTTAGTCCCCCTCCGCTCAGCTATGAGAAGACTGGCTCATCCTGGCAGAACCACTTTCTCTTTCGTAGCATACTATAAAGACAGACCAATATAAAGGAGTTGTTAGTTATGTGAAAATTGGAAAAGAAATTAAGATATTGACAGAGACATTTGAATATTATGACGCAGTAAATATATGCAAAAATATATAAAAATGGTCAGATGTGTCATAAATCTAGTCTCTGTTCTAGTCTAAATAATTTTGATATGAGTGAAATGACTGATCTTGACAACAAAACCTTGATAAAGACAACAGGATATGATCACGTGCCAAAGATATGATTCAAATGAAAGTTCTGAGTGGGGCATTTCTTCTCTATACGTTTCTATTTTTCATCATTTAACTGACAGCTTGGAGATTCAAGTCTGTTAAGGTCTGTTTTGCTCAATTCAGACCTGCAGGTTCCAGTGAAACCTGTTGCATAACCTTTGCATAAACTGTAGTTGTTGCAAAAAAACTTCAAAAAGCTGCTGATAAAAAGTTTGAAGTTGCGATTTGTCTGTGTTTTTAAGAGCGGCTTTTATTTATTAAGTCAAAAATCAAACATGCTTTTGAATTTCTTCAGATTGTAAAATCTATCCAAAAAAAGATTCAAATCAGTTTGTGCTTGAAATATTTAGTTACACAATTTTTTAATTAAAAAAAAACACATTTGGTGCATGTTGTGAGGATTACACAAAAAGAGTGAGCTTTAGATCTGAAGCTGTTTAAAGGTCTAACTCTCTAAATCATGGGCAGGATCATTTGATTAAGATTCACTACAACATGTTCTTTGTACACATGATGTCTACTGCACACCTCCTGTATATGCAGATATAACCTGTATAATTTGTGGACAACTTTTCAATGCAATCCTCTATGTTGTGATGTTTATATTAAGTTCTCATCTTGGAGGTTCCTGTTGTTTTGTGTCTTATTCCAGCAGAAGGTGCAGCCCTCACTGCAGCAGAGAGCCGAGCTTTTACCTCGTCTGTGTCACATGGTGAAGGGGGAGCATGGCTATGGTTTCAACCTCCACAGTGATAAAACAAAGAGAGGACAGTTTGTGCGTTCAGTGGACCCTGACTCAGCTGCTGAGAGTGCGGACATGAGACCTGGAGACAAACTAGTGGAGGTACATCCAAAGCATAAACACACAAACAAACCTACAAGGGAGGAGAGCCAAGGGTGACCCAAAACTGTCCTGTCAGAAGATATAAATTAAAAGACTTGATTGATTGATGATTATGGAAGTAATTTGAGGGCATAATTGAGTGGAAAAACAATGCACCCACTCAATCCATTAATCAGGTCTGTGCACAGATTTGAGTGCGATTGGATTAGAGGAGATTAAGGACTCAGGCCTAGAGTGGGTGGAAGAGGAGGAGGAGGAGGAGTGCATAAGGGCAAAAGTAAAAAAGACAACATGGGATAATCTTGAATAAAAGTGCTCTTGTTATTGACACCTATGCAGGTATTACTGTGACATCTTTGTGCCTCTACTCTCCTCTTGTGTAAGGGTAAATGAACAGGAAGTGACATCATGCAAATTTATGACTCCAACTCTAATTAAAGATTGAAATCATCTTCCTTAGTGTGTGGGAAACAGAGTACCTCCTGCTGGTAATGGGGGTACTTTCATGTCTTTGCACAGTCTACAAACTGCCTCCTATCAAGGTTTCATTTTTATAACTTCGTAATTTTCACTGTTTCTCTTCTGTTTCTTTTTCACTGTCTCAGGTGAATGGAGTCAACATAGAGGGCCTGAGGCACTCAGAGGTAGTGGCACTCATTAGAGCAGGGGGCCAAGAGGTGTGCCTCCTAGTGGTTGATCAGGCTACGGACCAGCTCTTCCAAAGACTTGGGATCACACCCACCTCAAACCATGACCAAGGTTACATTGATCACACACACACACACACACACACACACACACACACACACACACACACACACACACACACATTGGAAAACTAAAGTAACCAAGAGTTTTTTTTTTACGTGTTTTCTGTGATCATAGTAGGTTTTCATCATCCTGATTTATTTCTAAATATTTGTTTTCATCAGAGGTTTAGTTTTAAGGCACATTAGTTTTTATGGTGATTCTCACAACCTTTTCAGACAAAAGTGGGAGAGTTTTTACAGGATGGAGACTGTGTTTTCCATGAGTGTGATCACCCTATGATTAAAATGACGTGTCTCTTTCTGAAGCATGTATTTGTTGTGTATCTGGGATGAGATAAGATGTACTTGATTGATTCAAGAAAATGTCCTTTTTGCAACAGTTGTAGGTTAGAGACACAGTTAGGTGGGTGGGGAATTAAAAGATGCACATTATGTAAATTATGTTGCTACGTAAATCTATTTACCGTGATGTGACAACCACAACACTGTAAAACTGTGGTGATTCACCAATCTTGTAACTTAAGTATCTTACAAACAGAAAAAAAAAAATCACATAGTACGTTTACATGATTGCCATTGTCCGACTGAAACTGGACTTTAAAAATGCATGTAAACACATTAGTCTGACTGAAATCAAACTTCTCATAGTCAGACTAACATACCTGGATGATGTGGTTTGGAGACTGATTGACAGAACCTCAACAGACAAAGACAGGATGAAACTCTCAAAATAAATGGCACGGAGCTGTAAAAGTGATGTCCTCTTAGCCTCTTGCTAACGTGCTTTGTCGGCTGTATTGATACATAACACGTTAACTGGGAGACGACCTGATAGAAACAAGCTGGAAAAAAGATTCATCACTTCCTGTGGCAGAGGTGCACATACTGTACATCTGTCAATAATTTGATTCTTGCCCAGTGTGTGTAAACTGGGGCAAGGACAGTAGTCCAGGACTTTGCAGACCAGAGGAAGGGCTGTTATTGGGAGGTACTTTGGCCTCATTTTTGTGTAGTGGAAAGAGGGGGAAACATGTTGTCCCTCTATACTACAATGACACACTTGCACTCTCTCTCTCTTTTAGCAGCAAAACTTGTGCTGAGTTGGCTGAATGTTTTCAATGATTCTCTTACAGAGGTTAGTGTGGATGAACCAGCCACAGAAAGCAAACCACCTCAACCTCCTCCAATCAATGAATTCCCCACCACAGATCCTCCGATCATCAACGTGACGCTGACAGACGCTCCGAACGCAAATTCATCTCCAAAAACCCGGACCAACGGGAGCTCTGCATCTCAGTCCTCAAGAAGTTCCACAACCCAATCAGAGATCAGCAGCTCAGACATGAGCATCCAGGTGAAAGAGGAGACATAAGAAAATTAAGAGTCTGAAAATAGGTTTTGAGTTGTGCAGTCAAGTTTCCTCCAGACTGAAATCTTCTCAGAGTAAAGCCATCTCAAAACCACAAATCTTCAGTCTTTCTTTAATTTCCTGTCATTTTTCATCCTTTTATGTTCTTTTGTCTGATTCATTTCTTTTTGATCATCTTTATGCTTTTATTTCTTCTCATTACTTTTATTTACCCCTTCTTCATGTTTCTTTATATTTTTTTTTGTAGCTTTCACTCTTTCACTCTATTCTCTATCTGTTTAAACAGCCTGTGTCATCTCAGTTAAGTTTCTGTTATCTGTTCCCTTTTATTGGCAACTTGTGTCTGGTTATGTATGAGATTGTTCTGTTGACTTCTGAGCATTTCACTGGGGGCTTTGTTTGTTTGAGCACTTTGTAAACCCTTGTGTTAAAAGTATTATATTAATAAAATTATAATTATAATAATTATAATTATAATTACCTAAGACCTTGAAAAGTCTTTGCATAAAACATATACGCTTCAATGTATTTTAGGTCCCAGATGAAGATGACAGGCGTGTTTCGGATCCTTTCGTGGACAGTGGCCTGCGTTTGAGTCCCACGGCTGCTGAGGCTAAACAAAAGGCCATTGCCAGCCGCAACAAAAAGAGAGCGCCTCCTATGGACTGGAGCAAAAGACAAGAGATCTTCAGTAACTTCTGAACCTTGAACGTTGCGTGGGAACTTAACAGGAAGCAGTACCTTTTTCTTCAGTACTGTGTTGCGGTACCCGTTTGAGGTCTTTGTGTTTTACTGAGTATTTTAATCTGATGCAACTTCTTTAACTCCACCAACAGCCACTGTCTTTAGTAACTTTGCTGACTGAAACTTATTTATCCTTCCAGCTACAACTGTTAACTTTAAAACCACTGGAAACATGTTCACATACAAAAAAAAAATGTGGTTTTAAAAAAGGTTTCAAAATAAAACCTTTATCTTGAAAAATTATACTTCACTATCATGTTAAGTAGTTTCAATTTGCAACAACTTAAAAAAATATGAAATGTAAAATATAAACATGCTAATACACAATTTAGTTGAGTTCGAAAACAATAATTTCACATTAAGTTAAAGTTATGTTAATTTAGAGACTTGTCTGTGCAAAACTTAACTCTAAGCTACCATTTTAAAAGATGTTTTCTTCACATTTCCCACAGGGTGGACAAGTTCTTTTGATATTTATGTACAAATCAATGACCATGAATTGAGGATCTGATTCATGCAAATGAGTCTGTTCAGTACACAGTGTTTTTCCAAGTAAAATCATGTTCATTTCAGGTTCATCATGACTCTCTCTCCATGACAGCCCATCTTCTCTCCGTCTGAATTCAGGCTCATTTGCTGTAGATTTGCTTTCCCGTTGTGACTCTTGAAACTGTTTTATGTAAGAGTTTGATGTTTTTTTCTGTGCGATAGTTTCATGTTACTCCTACAAGTTAATTTTGAGACCTGCAATAGTTTTCTTTTGTTAACTACTAAAGCAGTCAACAGGCTTAAACACAGCAGAAATGGAAGAGGACCAAAAACATGAGGGATGTTGTGTTTGTCTTCAGAGAAGGATTGATTCCTGTAAAGAAACTATTTGAAAAGATAAATGGTTGGACCAGAGATGGCTGGATCCTCTGACCTCTTGTAGCTTTTTAAGGACTTTTCTGTCAAATGTGCTTGATTGAACCTTTTTAGAACGTGAAATAAAATTTCAAGATGTGTAAATGCCATAATCTCATTTATCCATATATGGTGTTAAGTACCAAAAGCCATCAGAGAATATATTCCTCCTTAAATTCAAGGACCGTTGTTAAATTGTGTGTTGACCAGTATTTTAAATCCAACACTTACCTTTGACTCTGACCTGAGGGGCCTCTATGTTTACAATTCACCCAAGATACTCGGCAGCTTCACTGACCTTATATCAACTTCGTATCTTTGTGTCTACAACATTATTTATGAAACAATACAAGGTGGAAATCTGATACAACAGAGTGTGAGAACAGTGTTTAGGGAATATTGGGCAGGGATGACTCAGCTTTGTAACTTTGGTAGTACTTTGACAATGACATTGACTGAACAAATGATTTGAGACAAAAAGCTCTTAAGACAAATTAGAAACGAACTCATAGCCAATGGAGCATGATAGACCTAGCGATTTGCACCACAGCAGATCTGTACCAAGCTGAACCATGTTTGAGGACAGCTTGATGTCCAAGAACCTTTTAAACTTTCCTAAGGTAAGTCAATAACTTGCAGTAAATGGGCAGGGACAGAAATTTCAGGAGAAAGTTCTGGTGTGGTGTGATAAACATGAATGCTTGATCATCTCTAAAAAAAGTCAGATAGCACAATTTATCCCTGTCATCACAAAATGTTGAGTTTAATTTTGTCTGGTTTGTTGGGGACTGTGCACAACATACATTAATCTCAGATAATCAGAGGAGACGCAGTGCAGAGGATTTAGCTGATTAGCTAGAATCCATCCGGAGTCCCTGAGCAGGTCCACAAGCAGTACAGAGTGGCTTACTCATCAATGCAGACTGCTGTGATTTTACCTTCACAAAGCTATTCAAAATTCTCCTCCACGACCTGTTTCCACTTCTATGCAATAAGCACTGGAGAAGGCCTCCAGCTAATCACAGCACATCGCTTTTAAGGGTTTAAGAAGAGCTCCCAAGGAGGTTATGAGAATATCAGGTGTGGTGAAACATAAAATTTGCCCACAGGACTCTAAATCAGGAGGCTTCTGATCAATTACCATGTCAGTCTAATTATAAAACCTGTCACAATATTTATTTTCAAACCATTAAACCGAACCGCTATCTTTTTATAAATCATATCAAGTGGTGTTGTTTTTGCTGCAGATATTTGACATTTTCAATCATGTTTTTTGTTTTATGGATGTAGAGCCCGTACTGAAGGTGAATTAAATCTTTTCCGTTTTACTACTGCACATACAGAATCATTTCTGAACCGGCCGAAGAGTCTTTTGAAACCACTTACAGCAACCAAATACCACATGATGGCAGCAGTTCTAGCTTTGTGTAGGAAATTAGTTCACGGTTTTGTTTGGAGTTTATTTATCTGATTTCTTGACATATAAAACATTGTCCATAGTAAATGCTTCATGTAGAGGGTGGACACAATCTGAATCAAAGATGACTTCTGCAGAGCTGGAGGCCAGGCGTATGCAACTTCAGTTTAGTTTATCATTATATCATGTGCTACAAGCTATTCAAAGCCAAGCAGGGTTACTTCAATTTGTCCTAAATATACAAACAGAGGAATGATGGCAATTCAAGACTTTAATTCTTTGATTTAAGCCAGTTGGTTTAATCTGGCTGTACTGATGGAAATGATTGCATGTCACCTACACAACAACAAGCTCTTGTAAGTCACATGAAAGGACTGCAGTCAGGTTCACCGCCTAAATCCAGAAAAGGTCTTCTAGTTTACAAACTGGTGGCTTTGTGTTTGAGGGTGGAGCTTCAGCAGGGCCCCAGTTTTTGCATTTTAAGTTTTACTGCCTCAGTGTCATTGCACGACGTGTTGGAGTTACTTTCACATAAAGACACATGTCCAGTTTTGTCAGTTCAAAATTCTTCTGAAGGTAATAAAGCAGAATTCTGAATCGTGATGAATAATAAAACCTGCCACAGATATCACCTCTCATCCATCTATTTAACACAAAAGACCCCAGCATAGTACTGCAGCATTTCCAGCCATTAGGAGATATGTATAACATGATTTATTTAATCCACAATTGAGCTGAACTTTCAAGATGTTTTTAACAAATAAACTTACAATGAACACAAAGCATTTTATTTCCTTCCCCACTAGTATAAAAACATAATATGCCTAGCAAAAGTGAGCCACAGAAAAAGGTACCAAAGCCTCTCTGCCAACATCATGGAACAATGTCATGCTCTTTATTACGTTCACAGAATTTAGAAAAAAAGAATCTTCCTAATCTCCTATCATTTCTCCTTTTGTTCCCATCAGCTTTCTATGCCTATTTGAATGATTTCTATTCATAAGCAATTGATACCACAGTATCACTCAAAAAATATACACTGTTCCTTCAGACAGAAAATACTGTTTGTGAAACTAAAGACAACAACAGTTGCACAAGTCGGAAAAAGAAACGAGCATCTAACAATGTTCTCATACAAGCTTTGAACCAAGAGAGTGGAAAAACAAGTTGACTGGAGTTCAGATTGTCTTGTGTTTGAGGTGATTGAAGTTTGATTTGATTATCTCAGTGGTCACAGTCTAGGTCAAATCAAGTGCATTGTCTATTATCCAGATGTGTGCATGCTGGAAAACACTGGCAGATTATTTATTTAAAATAGGTCCCAGTATTTGATTTTCAGGCAAAGTCTCGTTTTATTCCCTGTAAAGCCCTTCGGTACCTGTACTCATTTGCTGTCATGTTGCGCCTGCAGAATTCTGAAATAGCCACCCATCTCTGATATTTGTCCGATTTTAAATTACGATGGCTCTTTGGCAGTGTCCTAGCTGTTTGAATTTTTTTTACTATACTTTGCCCTCATTGTAAATTGAGGTGGTGTTGGTGTGTAAAGGGAACTCATATTACTCTGAAATACATGAATACATCAGACGCCACTGCAAACACGCATTCCCCCACACTGAATAAAAACAACACAAAACATGCACAGAAAGTAGACCGGGGTAGGCTACAAAACCGTTAAATTAAACTCTGTACCCCTACTGTGCACGCATCAAATGAACACCACTGAACTATTATAAAACATGCTCATAGGTAAAAAAAGCTAGAGAACTCATGCGCTCTTACTCATGCAGGGTCTCACACATGCAGGATCTCACTCGAGCACGCAAACACACCTCAGCAATATGGCAAAGTTAGTCATTGTAAAAGTGCGGATTAGTCCCAGTTTCACAAAGTTGTTTTTATTTGCCATTATGTATTGGGATATCTGCCAGTCAAAGACACTTAATTTCACAGTGCAACACAGTATGACAAACACTGACATTAGGGTCAAGACATATCAATACGGGTGAGGTTAAAAAAAAAAAAATAACAAGTCCATACAAAAAGAAAAAAGGTAAAATAAAATAAAAAGTGCAAAAACAACTCAACAGTCACTGAAAATAGCATTAATTCAATTGTTTTTATGTGTTAATTGTGCGAATTTAAGTCCACTATAGAAACAGAAAATTATCAGTAGCAGCAAAAAAAAAAAAAAAAAAAGAATATGGACCATCTCTAAAACATTATAAAGATCACCATGATGTCGCCAATCACTGTTTTACTTAAGATATCAACATGGCATCAAATGGATATCAGTACGAATGAAGACAAACACACACAAACTCACTCTTGCACACACATACACAACCACATACAAACGAAATTACAAACACTTGGTCACAGTTAACGGGTGCCAAGGACATTGCGGTGGGAGTCAAGTTTTAGCTTGGTACCATATTCAAAACAATACATAACTCACGCACTTTTAACATAGAATGCCAAAGAAGGGATTTACAAACTGCACATGCACGCGAGCACATACACTCCGACACACACACTCGGACACACACAACTTAGAGGACACAACTAAAGGATGTGATTATCGTTCTACACGTTCTTCTTCTCTGGTGAGAAAACAAATGTGTTAGCCCTAATCCTCTCTTCCTACAGGAATGGTTTCTGTGAAGCCACGAGGAAAGACACTTGCTCTTTTTCTAATTTTTTTTTTTTTGTCTCTCTTACGATCGTTTAGAAAATGTTACGAGAATATGTCTGGCGGATGAACAGCTCTGTGAAGCAGCACTCTGGTCAAAAATGAACATAGGAAACATAGATGCAGAGAGCAGGACTATCATACAGTTAAGTAGAATTCAGTGACTACAGATGAAGTAATTCAAATTGAATCCTATTCCCCGGAAAAGAAATATATCACCCAGAAAACTAACAGAGTTTAGACACCTGCCTGTCTGTCCCTAACTACATGTAGTAGGTCTCAAAAAGTCAAAATGATAGTGCCACCCACAGTCAAATTCATGTACTGCATGCTCTGCATGTGCAAGGTTATGTGTGAGTCTGTGTGTGGGTTTGTCTCTGTCGGTCAAGCTATCACTTACTCCTAAGTTTAAGATTCCCATTAAAATCTTTACTGTCCCTGTCTTTCAAGCAAAGTTTACAGACCTTTCTGTAGCTCTTTTTCCCTGCATATTACTGATTCCCTCCCTCTCTTTCCCTGAACTTTCTCTGTGCTGGTCTCTTTCCCTGCTTCCTTCTTTCTCAACTTCTCTATCCCTCTGTGTCTCCTACATGTCCTTCTCTCTGTCCCTACCAGTTAGTTTTTTTCTGTGTCGGGTCCCTGCCTAGTTAATCTAGAGGTGTCCCTCTGTCCCTCCCTCCCACCCGCCCACCCTCCCTCTATGGACAACACATAGGGTGTGGGGGCCGTCCGTCAGGGGGAGCGGCCAATAGCGTCCCTCTCCCTCCCCCCAGATCTGGGCAGTGCAATACACAGATGGATGAGTTTCCCATTCACCCTCCTCCTGCTGGCTCACCTAGGAGGAAGAGCAAAACTTAGAGGTGCACACAAACAAGTCAACTTAAAAACATTTCTTTCCTTTGATTTGAGTCAAAACAGGTCTTTTCACGGGATTACCTATAGGGTGGGTGTAGAGATTCTAAACGCCGTAGCAGGCTGCCAGTCTCTCCTTCAGCAGTGGAGGGAACTGCTCTGAGAACTGCTGCCAGTTCTCCTCCCCGACCTGTTCCTTAAAACCATGCAGGATCTGTGCAAAGGGGCAGAAGATGGGAAAACTCGTATTCAGGCACATCTTAAGCAATCTTCAACTTCACAAACATTCTGAACACAGACTTCTTCAACTATTTAATCCCTCAGCAGATCTCTTATTGATTCTTCAATCAGAATCAGGCTGCTTACAGCCACTGAGGCCTTGGCTTGAGTGGCCCATGAGCTCTGATGCCCTCTATTCAGAGCTTCTTCCCTTTTTGAATTTAAGTACTTTAACCCAACAATCTCACTTTTCAGATGGATATCGCACCTTCAGATGAAATGACATTTTCATTCTAACTACACTGAAATATATTGATTCTTTTTTATTTCTCTTTTTGATCTATCAAAATGTCATCTCCAAACCTTCAAATCTATATTTTTGTTCTAGTTTGATTCTGTCTTTGTATTGTCCATCACTTTTGTCATGCAGTGCTGTCTCGCCATTTTTTAAAACCATCTAAAAAAGCATTAACTTAAATCAATGGATCAAGAGTACGACCGACACCAATTACCTCATTTAATATGAACTTCCTAATGTCCGAACAACACAACAGTTACATTTCAGAACCAAAGTACAATTTGCTAAAATCAATAATCGGGGAGGGAATTACCATGACTTACAATAAGATACTTGGCTAAACAATATCACAGAGATACCGCGATGACTGATGCACTACAAGACGATCATTCAGTGAAACACCAGCTAATCTGATTAAATGCAGAACACGAGACGCCTCTAAAAACACAAGGAGTAGGACTGATGGATTTATTGACTGCACTTTCATTTGGCTTTACCGAGTAGATGAAACATGTGTATATTAATCTGTTACAGAAATTTCTATAGGACAACTTAAAATGATTGTTTTATTACAGTCTGATAATCCTGCTGTTTTATTGTTCATCTTCCCCTTATTTATGTCACTGTGGAGTCAGGAAGTGGTGCGTCACACTAGCAGAGAAATCCCTTTTGGGCAGAAACATGGATATTTAATGCAGGTTTACGATAATTGTAGCATACAGCTCAAGACACTGATTTATTGCCACATAAGTAGTTTGTTCAACCTCTGATTAAGTATTACAGAAGTTTCTGGTAAGTGTGAACTTGTTCAGAATTTGTACACAGAGCCATCTGGCATTTATGGAGTTTGCTTTCTCTCTGCACTACAACAAGTGTCCATGCTGCTGAGGTTTATAAAAAAAAACTGATTTGAGTACTCTCAGCTTGGCCTGAGGTCTTTGCAACACCCACGGACTCACACAGCAGGAGGAGAAAACAATGAAGAGTGGAAGATTTTCTGTTGAAAACTGAGAATTTAAATGAGTCCAAATGTGGAAACACAGAAACTTGAAAAACAACTTGATCATGTTCTTCACCCTGAGAAACCAGTGTCACCCAGCTAACCATTTACCTTGTAAAACATGTCTCTCAAATCTTCTTTAGGATTCACCCAGGAGGCCACAGCATCACAGAAGAAGATGAAGTCCTGAGGAAAAACAACACGAAGCCCAAATTCAAAGGTGACTTCAAAGCTTATGAAGGTTAAAACTTATCATCTGCAGTAAACAGCATCTTACCTGCACCACACCTCCAGGGTTCACGCCAATCATCATGCAAATCCCACGGAAAGCAGAGTCTTTCTCCTCATTGTCTCTGATGTTTCTCAGAGATGTACACCTATGTTGTGTGAATAATAACCAGTTAGCGAAAGTAAAATCTAATGCTGAATTACGCAATTCATTTTTAACTGGCCTGAGAAAAAGGAAACAAAAGAAGACCACATCATTGTTAAAGAAAAATGAGAGATAATACATGTCATTAAAAAAAGCATTGAACTAAAGGAAAAAAACTACCTGCCTTTATTTCACAACGTGGCAGGACATTTTTTAAGTTAGGAAAAAACACTGGCCTCATGGACCCAAGTTATTTCAAGCATTTCTCAAAGAATGTCAACACTGCACAACCCCTGAAATGCAGCGACTGTGTTAAGTTAGCAACAAGGTGACAGAAAAGCACTGCCCAGAAACATGAATGTTGTCAAAGGGAGCATCACTCATTTGTTTCTGTACGGATGTCATGGAGCCCAATAATACAAATGCTGACAGCAACTTTCAGCTAATCTAGAAACCAGCAGAGAGGAGACAGCTACAAAGCACACACTTGTCAGTCAAATAAACCACACCCTCACTATGGCTTAGCGTAACCAAAACAGATCAGTTATTAAAAGATGTAAACATACGCATATACCCTCGCACATTTTTAACAAATAAAGAAAACACATACAGAGTCCCAAACTATTTTTGTGATTTTGGAGAGGGCTGGGAATGAGCTCAACTCTCTTCTGTAAACACGGACATTTCAATTCAAACTCCAAGCAGGCTTCCTTGGCTTTTGTAGCCAAACTTAAAGCGGACACAGAAAAACATCTTGCATTTCCACATGGGCTACATTTTTCAACACAGGAAGAGGCTGCTTGGTATTGCCTAACAACTCAAAAATTCTGCATGTGTCATGCAAGTATGAATAAGCTGACTGGAGTATGTGCAGAATGAAGAGAATATAAGTAGAGTGGCTATATATGCATATTAAACAATGTCTTACCAAGGTCGGATAAACTGCGGCAGCATAGGAGCCACCTCCTGAGGACACACATAGCCCAAGCGGCCGATAGTGATAGCTGGAGAAAGGAGGAGTCCAGACCACCGTTACAAAACCATACAGAGTAGTGGTGTATTTAATAGAAAACACAGAAAACTACAATCATGAAACCTGTGTGTTCACATACCAGTGTTCTCCAGCAGGGTCTTGGGGGTGTTGGGTCGATTAATGATTTCAACCAGCTGGTTCAGAACCATTGCTATATATGGCTGCATCTCCACTCCTGATAGAAAATAAATTCAGTATAAGAAAAAAACACACACATCTGCATCTCGTATTGTGGTTTATTTCCACCATGTGGTCCAGAAATGAGGCTTTAAAAAAGCAGAAATGTCTTCAGCATTTCACCTCGACCACTGCATGTGATGTCACCATGTCTGCCTGCCCACACCTTGACAAAATGGAGCAAAATGGACCCTCTACTTGTTGGATGTCAGTGTTAAATGAGTTCTCATGTCTCAAAGAAATAATCTGTATACTTTAACTCCTGTTTTGCAGTGGATTGTACTAATAGGTCAGGCTATTACAGCCATATACTGTATGCCATAGAAAAGAGAGAAGGCAGAGGTTGACCCCAGCCATTAGATCTGTCATTGTTAACATACTAGCTCCTACATGAACTGTCTTACATCATGCAGCTGCTGATACCTTTCTCTAACCACATGATTTTCTTCAGTTGTAAAGTTTGTCAGACATCATGTAGTCAATTCAAAAGTTATTGCAACTCACCCATCTGCATGCATATCTCTCCTATGGCCCAGGTGGCATTGTTGCAGACAGAGATGAACTCTGGGTTGAGATTTGTCCCGAGAATTGGCATGAATTCAGCTGCAGGAAGCACACGTGAAGTTCAAATCAGACACAAAACACAAAAGGGATGATGGGACCAGTTTGTATGTACTTTGTGAGTGAAAGAGGTAGATAATTACAAATGCAGGGCTTGACATGAGGGAAGCAGGCCTTGGTCAAGTCTCCCAGAAGAGCGAATGAACTCTGTCTGACTTCCGGCATGGTGTCCTGGGATTTAAAGCACAGAGAAAGAAAAATATAAAATCACACCATCAAAAGAGAAGATGAAGAATATAGCAGTGCCCAAACGAGAGACAATGATTTAAGTTTTCTCTTTTGGACCTTTCTCAAATTTATCCATTTCTCCACCCTGTAAGATCTAGAAAGAATGGTTGGATTTTTGCAGCCATTATACAGCCGGACTGATGACTCTTTTCATTGCTTTGCCATTTTTAAATGGCAGGTCCGATTACTACCAGAGTGGCCAGACATGTCTGAAACATTAAATTCACCTTTAAGTGGATAGAAATGTTTAGAAATGACTAGAGGAGAAAGAGCAGAATGGCTGTGCCGACAAAATTATTGATATCAGAAAAGATAAACAAAAACACAAAGACCATAAGTAAAAATTCTGTTTCTGTGTCTGTATCAGCTTTGGACATTAACTTCTGCCGGCAAAGCACAAACATTTATGAACAAACAACTCCTGTTTGGATCCTCAAAAAATAAATGCATTGAGTGGTTCATAAAGGAGCATCAAAAGAGCAGCGACTGAGCTAATACCCAGCCAGAGGCAGATGCAGTTTACAGGCAGTTACAGGAACACTAGGAAAGATTCAAATGTTTTTTGATCACAAAACTTTGCCGTGGCACATGTGGACTTCGTTCCCCACGTCTCAGGACGCAAGACTCTGCAGCTGTTACCTGATATTCTCCTTTTGAGTTTTAATGCATCTCTTCTATGTTGCTTTGGACAGAAGCCTCTGCTGAGTGAATGTTGACGACCATCAAGAAGCTTTTAACCTTTGGAGGCCGACAGCCGGGCTCTAATCTATGCCTCATGGTTTTATCTTGTTACTTTTGGTTTCTAACCCACATTCTCTTGATACATCCCATAAAATTAGAAGTAATGGCATTAATGGTTTGTTAGTTTGTTTGTTAGGGGACTTAAGTACACCAAAAAGGAAAAATGAAAACAGATGAAGACATTTTATTTCAGATTGTTATTTCTCTATTTTGTGCCCTGTATTGAAGTTGTTTGATCTGGAGGCTGTTGCAGACACTCAGAATAGTAATCACTTATCTCACTGATGGTCTTGGATGTTTTTAGGGATCATACAGAGGGATCAGTATTCAGTTCAGCTCCCCTCACCTGCATGCACTGGAAAAGCAGCGTCATGATGTTACTGCGAGCGACCAGAGTGTCAACGTGGCCCCCCAGTCCCTCGGCTAAGCCACTCAGAAGATCCAACGCGACGATCATGAAGTCCTTGTCAGGGGCTTCGTACTGGTCTGGCTGCTGACTGTACATCTGAGAAACAAACAGGAGATGTTGCTGTGGAGAGTCATTTATTTAAAGCGTTTAAAACAGCTGAAATGTGGGTGTGTATCTCTCAACCATGGCCTGGGCGAGTGTCTTCTGGACCAGGGTGACGCAGCGCTGGTAGACGGGCTCACAGTATGGGAGAAAGCCGCTCTGCAGCGCCGTGGCAACAGACGACAGACACTCAAGCAGAGGGAAGAGATCTTTGTCTTCATCTTTCAGCTCATTCCACTTCGCTATTAGTGGAGGCATCAGCTTCTGGATGTACTCCTATAAAATATGTAACATTGCCCTTTGACTCACTTGTTCAAACACTATAAAATTAAAATTAAAGACATTTCGTAAATGCATTATGCGCTCACAGGCTGGTTGAGGTGATGTCCCACAGAGTCTGCCAATGTTCCTATTGCATCATAAAGGATGAGCAGGTTCTTATGCTGGTACTTTCCAAAAGCAAAAACCAGCGTGTCCAGGATGAAGCTCAGGTACGGCACCAGCTCTGTACACGCCTCCTCTTCCAGGGTGGCAAACGCGCTGCAAGCAAGACCAGACCAGAAGAGTTAGAGAGACGGGCAGATAGTGAGGGAGGGGGAAGAAAACAGCCGGTAAAACTAAGAGCTATACCTGCATGCTGCTTCCTGTACCCTCTTATTGCCATCCAGGATGCGTTTAAGCAGCTCGGTCATCAGGGGTTTTAGGTGAGCGTCAGGAGGCTGGCTGACCACCCAGTGGGCATAGCGGCTGAGGGTCCAGCAGGCAATGGAACGGACAAGGGCTTTTTTGTCGCACAAACACTGAATGAGGTGAGGGATGAGCTCAGGCAGGTAAGGGACCATGCCTTGCATACAGCCTGGAGGAACAAGAAAAGATGTATATTTTCCATTTACAACTAAAATACACTCATTCAAACCATATTCATACACAGAGATGGAACAGGAGTCCATTTAGGGTTCCCATTAGTATTCACTAATGCCATTATTATCACATATTCACACACAACTGCCCATGCCACTAAGAAGCAGTTTGAAATTCAGTGTCTTGCCAAGGACATTGTGACGTGTGAATGCAGTAGACAACTGCCCACCCGACACAATGTGAATGAGCTTTTTTTTTGCCGGGCCAGAGAGAAAAATGAACACCACTGACATTTCTGGATGTGAAATATCAAACTCCCCCCGACAGCTGAGGAGCTTAGCTTATCATTAATGTCAGAATCAAGTGGAAAACACCCTGCCTGTCTCTGCCCAAAGTATCTGTGAGGGATGTAATTGGTACTCCTTCGAGCTAAAAGTGATCACGTCTGTCTATCTACATCTAAGCTGGTTACAGCTTTTGTTAAGAAGACATGGAGAAACTGAGTGCTAATCGTATCCGGATCATGCTTAATTAGCCCAGCGTCTTTGGCTGTACGGTTAGCTGGACTATTGTACTTTAAAGCACAAGCACAGCCTTCTTATAATCACAAACAATTAACATGGCTAACCACTGTCAATCTTGTGCCAAAGCTTGAATTCATGTAAACAACGAGTATCATCACATTTTGGCCTGTAGATGTCCTGAGAATTTTTTATTTCTATGAGCAGCTCCATTATTTTCAATATAATACAAATATAAAAATCCGGAATTCAGGTTAAATCTTTAAGATTCATATTCCTGATCCATATAGTGTGTTATAAAATGTTGTGGAAATGATAAAAATTCTATTCCTTCGCTAAATTGTCGGTTGTTATTCCTGAACCGGCAGCATGAGGGAAATCTGGAGTTGGTTCAGGATACTGTATATTTTAAGGATGTTTGTAGTAAGCCTCACCTTCAGCAATTGCCCCCAGCACCAGGATGCCAGACTCCTTGATGACCCAGTCAGGGTGGAACAGCAGGCCTTTGAGCAAGGGCAGGAGATGGGGGAGCAACTCCTCACGAAACACATTGGCCAGAACATCCAGAGCGGCTGCAGAGCACTTCCCTGGAGAGGAAGCGGGTGGGGGGTGGACATCAGCACGCGAGATAACTTCACAAGTTTAAATCATTACTATAACTACTAGTTTTAAGTCCAAGATTAGACTCTAGGTGCATGAACTGCCACAAAGCCACCAAAGAAAGTCACTTAAGCTGCATTTTTGTAACCTACGTAGATTCCAGTCAGAGAGAGTATCGTCATCATCGTCCTCGTCCTCATCTATGTCCTCCCCCTCCTCTCCCTCTCCTCCTTCGTGCTGCAGAGTGACAGTGCGGGACTTGTGGAAGCGGGGCTTGATGTCTTGCTCGCTGTCTGGAATTGCCTCATCTTCTTCAACGTCACCCTGGATGGCAGCAGAAAGGAAAGGTCATTGCCAGAGCAACACAAGTGGTCAGAAAATGATAAGAAAAGGAAGAGCAGGGGCCTCACCTTTAGAAGAATAATGTCAATCTCTGAGTATTTCATCCCATTTACCAGGATAGGAATCAGTCTGGAAAAAAAGGGGATAACCAAACACATTACTTAGAGAAAATTCACACAATTTCCCTTCTTTGTCATCAGCTTAGCCCCAACAAACAAGCTGTGGACGTGCAAGCACTTACTGGACCAGGTGACCGGACAGAGCCTCTTTGCAGATGGGCTGTTCAGCTAAGGTCAGCCAGAACTCACAAGCCTCTAGAGCCACATTCTCATCTGGGTCCTGAGTGCGCTGGAGCATGTACTGGTTGGTGGGGAAACGAGCAACATTTAATAGAAGATGAGACGGAAAAAAACCAAACATTTTTTTTGTTAGAACAGTGTGAATGTCTGTGCATGTGTGTCTCACCTGGATGATGCTGTGCATGTGGGGGATGAGGCGATCGATGCGGACCTCCAGCAGCATCACCAAAGCCCTGCAGACATTCTTCCTCACTTCACAGTCCTCATCCCCAGCCAGTGCAAACAGACTCTGTGTGAGACAGACACAAGATGAGGAGAATAGCAGGAACAATCAGTGACATTTAGACATGGGGGGAAGAGAGGAAAGTTTACAGGCAGGTCAACTTAAAGTAAGATCAAACCTTCATGATAGTCTGATATGAACACATTGAAAGCAGTGACCGTTATTTCCCCGTATGATTAATTAAAAATTATTGGGAGGGGGAAAATGACAAATAACAGCTTTCAGTACAGTTTGGTCATCACAAACTTGATCACAGACATTTTGCAGTGAAGTTGTCAAAATAAATGACTACAACTTTTTTTTAAAAAAAACAAGACTCCCTCTTTTCTATATCACTATTGACATGAAACAACATTTCATCCTTATTTGGCAACTAATAGCACAGTGTACTTCCTTGTCTCACCTGGCAGATGCAAAATGTTATTCATACTGCGGCTATATCAATAAACTGGATAACATTAGGCATAATATAATAATGGAGCTCATTATCATTATCCATGATTATCACTAAGTTACAATGATCAAGTTTAAAGTTGAAAATTGATAAATCTTATCGCAGCTATCATAATGATCAATCATGGCAGAAATTTTAATATTTGTTCTTCAATCTTCTCCTTGAATCTCAGCTCTGGCTTTTATCTTTTAAATTTATGCCAGTATATATGAAATGTGTTTTGGTTTTTCAAAGTTGGCTAAATTGTTAATTCAGTTTATGGGGAACTGTGACAAGAAATTTCCTGTTTAACAATTTAAACCCTGACAAAATGATTATGATAGGCAAATAAAAGATTAATAACACTGATCTTTAGTCCCTGCCAAAGTTTAAAAGAACAAACCTATCGTAATAAATCAAACCGACGCATTGTGCCAACAGTCTGTCTCTAAGTGAGGATAAAGGTGAGTCTCCATAAAACTGGGTCAGAGATAATGTGAAAAAGAGAAGGAAATAAACCCAAGTTGTCTGATAGTGCTCACCTCAATAAATGTGTCAATGTTATCCATTAAAGCCTGAGCTCGACCGATGATGAACTGGTTCACACACGCTATGGCATGGGACCTGAGAGAGGAAAGAAAGTGGAGTCATGATCTTCTCATGAAAAGTACAAATACAGAGTTTGAGAAAGAGTGACAAAGTTCTGGTAATCAAAAGACAAAATTGGATGCTTCACAGACCTGATCTTAGGGCTGCAGTGCTTGAAAAACTGCAGAAATTTGGGAATCATGATGTTGAGAGGTCTGTTCAGAGCATCACTGTCCAACAACTCTGATGAATCCTCACAGATCTTCTGCAAGGCTCCGAAAGAACCCTGAAAGACGAGATTCCATTCAATCAAACTTGACTAATTAATAATAAAATGATTTACTGAAAAAGAAAATGTAAAAAAGGAGAATCTTACCTCACAGGTGTTGTAGTCCTCTGAGTTTAACAGATTACAGAGCTGAGGCAGCAGTTCAGGCCATGTTTGCAGCTCTCCTTTAGAGGCTATGGTCGTGATCAGGATACCTTTATGATGCATAATAAAAAAGGGCAACAATGATTAATCAAGCCTTAAAAGTTCAGTTGTAACTCATAAGTTGCTGTAGCCCTTAGTCATTCAAAACATCTTGAAAATACAACACTCTCTCCCACACAAAAACATTACCTGCAGAAATTTCACCACCTACGTGGTAGTCTGACTCACACTAGGAAAAGCAGCCAACACTAGCTTTCTCTTTTGACATTGTCTGTTTCTCACTCAAACACCCACCAATAGTAGCTCTGATAAGCGGTGACGGATCTCCAATGTTGTTGAGGCATTCTCGTTTGATGAAGTCAGCTACGTTTGGAGGGAAGTTCTGATAGTGAGCCTTAACGTTGTTCTTCAGTATAAGACCGCTCAGAGAGCGAGTGGGCTCATCTTGAGAAAGGAGACAGCAGAGAGACAGGGTAAGTATGTTTCAAAACAGCAAAGTTTCACTGTTAATATCCCCTTTGTGGCATTCATACATACCTTCTGATTTGAGGCTTGTGAGGACAAAGATGAGATAGTTGTTAAAGTCTGGGAACTGGTTCAGTTGCTCCAGTTTCTGAAGATTCTGTTAAGAAGTTCCAACGTGGATCACATATTTCACATGGGTCAAATTTCCTTAAATACCAGGTTCCCATGTAAGACATTGGTGTGAATCGCTTTACAATCACAGCCAATCACAGCAATTCACCTGAGAGGACCTCTGCATAGACCCTAACAGATTTCTCTGACATTCAATGCATATCTCACACTTTTCCCCTCATTTTAACTCACTCTCTCTCACATAAAACACACGAGAGAAAGGATACTTCTTGTACAGCTCTCTGGGTGGCTGTGTCTGGGGACTGGGAGTCTTTGAGCAGCTGAAGCACTTGCTGCAGACCCTGTTCATCCGGCTGCCACTCCATCCTGCAAAACACACGACACAATGTAGTTGAAATAAATCAACGCTCCATCTTGTACCCCCGTTTAAACCAATCAAATCACGCAGAAGTAACGCGAGGTAACGTCAACAGGACTGTGATATCTCCCGGTGATAAGCACAACAATCCACCAAATGTTTGTTAATTATTTACCCCTGAGAAGAATCACAGAGTTCTTCACCGGTCTAAAAATCACCCTGCAATCGTACGAAACACTGTCATCAACGACTACGATCATTTTCATTCTGGGAAAACATACGTACTTAAAAACACTCATACGGATAGTGTGTTAGCACTGCATGGGCGAGCAGATACACCAACAATCAGTCGCGATATAAGCAGTCCTGTTTCCTACATCAGGGCCCAGACAGGCGCTCACGTCTGCCTCAATCGGATAGCAAGCTAGCTTAGCATTCCTGCGTAACTCAACGCGTACCAGATTTCCACACAGACTTCGTCCAGAACATGTTTCACGAAAACCTACCTCACGCCAAGCTACATTATCAAAGATGTGTTTGAAAACAAAGCCTCAAATGCGGTGCAAACAGAGCGCATTAACACAGAGCGGTCGCATATCAATCCCCGGCAGCAACAGCAACTAGTAGCATGATCCTAGCATCATGTTGAAAGTACCGCGAAAGGTTTTACCTGGTCACTCCGGCGCAGTAGATCTATATTTCTATAGACGATGGTTCAGTTATACTATTACAACTAACATGAAATAAAATATGACTATAATGTAGTGCTGATAACAAACTTCTGATCACAGTGGATCTGTTAGGTTGCTGTGCTAGCTGGTCTGTGATAGAGATTGCATGCCTCGCAATCAAGCCGGGTGATCGTTTTTGACATCATTCGGCTTCCGTACTGGACAGTCTGTCGAGGAAGATACAATGAGCTTAGGCGCTGAGCTGGCTGTTTCGTGTCCGTTTGTCAGCTGTATCCGTTTACTTCTGCTCACAATGTGAAAAGATGTATATAAAACGTCACTTTTTCATTTTAATATGTGAACCTAAATTTACATGCAGCAACTTGTGCTTTATTATACTTTTGACCACAAGATGGCGCCAACTCCAAATCCCCACAGGATTTTGCCTTATAGTTTAAAGCGCTTCAGGGCGTGGGCACAAAAAGTAGAAATCAAAAGCTGATACTCTCTGTGTAAGGCAGGGTGGGATTAATAACAGTGTGTTTTAACAAAACCGTAAAGAGTAATCTCAGATAGAAGGATGAGCAAATATTTCCATGTAGATTCTCATTCATCCAGGTCATGGTTATCTTGAAGACTACAAAAACAGGCAACTGGACTGTGTGGAGTTGAGAAGACGTTTCGCTTCTTATCCAAGAAGCTTCTTCAGTTCAGTTGAACTTCTTCTTTTGAACTGAAGAAGCTTCTTGGATGAGAGGCAAAACATCTTCTCAACTCTACACAGTCCAGTTGTCTGTTTTTTTGGAGTCTTCAAGATAAGGATGAGCAAATATTCACAAACACACTGATAGAAGCAAAGTCCATATTACAGCCTTTAAAGAAACAGAATAGAGGGTATCAAGTGAAGAATTCCTCTATTCATGTAAGATGTGTCCATTTAGATTCTCATTCATCCAGGTCATGGTTATCTCGAAGACTTCAAAATCAGGCACAGTCTGGTTGTCTACACAGTCCGGTCCAGTTGCCTGATTTTGAAGTCTTGAAGATATTCATGAAAGATGGTTACCCCCTGCAGAACATTAAAAATAAGCAAAAATTCAGTGACCGTCAAGCATCTCTCTGCATTAGTCACCACCACTTCTTGCATTTCGAAATCCTTGTCAAACTCATTCTCTGAGACAAGGCTTTGGAAATGTGGAAGTGTTTTAACAGAATGAAGCACTGTTGTAGCACCCTTTTTACAATGAAAAAAAACAGAAGCTCTCATAGCAACAACTCAAAGCTTTATTTCACATGTATAACAATCTGTATTAGTTACATGTGGACATATAATTTTCTTTTACAGTGTTCAACTAATGGAAAACTATAACATGGGCAGTGAATGTTGAAGAATTTAAGCAAGAATAAAATACAGAATAACATTTTAAAAAAGTAGATCTTTTAGACATGTGAAGACATATCTCAGCACAAAGAACTAATTTCACTCTTGCTACAACCCCATTTGCAGCATGCATTGGAAAGTCCAACAACTACATCTCTTCCTTTCCTGTCCGCACTCCTCAAAGCCTCCAACACCTCCTCTGAGATTGGTGAGCGAGCTAAGCGGTAGAATCCAGCAGCCGTATTTGATGAATGATCTTTCCAGGCTTGGGACCCTGAAGGATCCTGTTCACTGGCAAGTTGAGGGATGGGGTTTGTATGCCATGGGTCAAAAACCTCCTCTCCGATAGGAGCTGGTGGAGATAAAGGATAAGTCTCCCAGTTATTGAGTAAGGCTGTAGGGAAAACCTGGTACATCATAACAATGGTCACCCTCTTAAAATGATGGCCTAAATCAATTATCAAGTTTTTCAGAAATTTTTCTGAATTCTCTCAGAAAATGGCCTAACACAAACTCTTTACATAGCCCTCATACTACAAGGATAGTATCACATGATCTGTCCAACTGAGGATTTAGGCGATTCTACCAGAGATGGGCAGCATCATGAAGGACTGACTTCAGGGGAAAAAAGTAATTTTTGTCAAAAAGTGACATATGCCATTATTTTGAGAAAGTGACGATAAAACAATCCCACCAACATATTCTTACCTGAGTCTCCCACGCTTCTTCTCCAACGAGAACCACCACAGGTAAAGATGACAGCTCGTATGAACTCTCTTCCACACAGTTTCACCCCATAAAAAGAGGGATTGCCATCGTCAGACTGCACCTTGTCTGCCAATACCACCAACAAGCCCAGGGTCAAGATTGCTGCCTTCCGCATGGTGAAGGTGAAAAGACGCTGAAGATGTCAAAAACTGGAAATGACTTGATGTACCTGTGTACTTTGTGCTTTTCTGGACAATCTGAATCCTTTTATAGACCCCAGCATCTCAGATTGACCTGAGCTTACTTGTACTTGCTTCATCATGCCCTGAGATAAGACCAGAGACCTTTGAAAGCAACAATGCACATGGGGAATAAGAAAAGTTGCGATTAATAACAGAGGTGATGTCAGCAGAGTTCCTGGGAATCTAATCACCTGTGACCTTTTAATGGCCTTTCTGTCCCTTTTATCAAAGGTGTCATGCTGTGGGTCACCAGCACAATCTCAGCCTCATTGTCTGCTCTGCAGTGCATAGGATGGCGATCACTATCCATTCACCCATAAACAAACACTCTCATTTACAGTCTAGGGTTTCAACATACAAGTTTTAAGAGATAGGCTACTTTAAAATGCAAAACATATTCTTAGAGTCAACCAAGCTCCTGAATTTTACAAAATTAAAAAAACACAATCCTACAGGAGGCAGAGATAAGGTTAAAACAGTTAATTTTAAGTGAATGAGATGACATTTAATCATTTCCTGTGTATCTACTTGACATTTTGAGTAATCAAAAGTATCATTACAATCGGGCTTTTGACGTTGGGCTGCGGGAAAATGATAGACAAGGACTTCCTACCAATCAACGTTGGGTTATTCTGTCGACGTTACGTCCACCTTCTATATCAGCCAATCAGGCATCAGTGAGAGGCGGGGCTCTAACGAGAGGGTAGCAACAGTTGCCCCGGTGAAGGCAAGGCGCCATAGTCACGGTAGTCCTGGCGACAAGAGCCAAGCAACGGGAGTCAACAATAACAACCCAAATCTAAGGAAAAAATTGAACGACTATAAAAGGACAATTCTGGGATAACCTAGAGGTGAAAAACAAAAGTATTTCAGGATTATAATTCGTTTACTTTTTAGTATGTACGTGTGGTTGTTTGTGCGATCCGCGGCGTTAACGTGAAATTGGTCGGCAGTGACGGTGATGAAAGTGGTTGCTAGCTTCTCTCCAAACGCAGACGGTTGTTATGGCGATGTCAGATCTATGATAAGAGCACAAGATGGCGGATGTGTTAGGTAGTGCCAACCGTACTTTTAAAGCTCATTTAGCGAGGGGTTTTCGGACAGTTTCGACTATTGAAGAAGTTGTTTTTCAACTAACACGCGGCGGTCGTCGATATAATGACAGTCCTCCGCGAGTAACTAGCGACTAGCTGAGTTAGCGCTCTTTAACGTCACAACTCAGTGGAAGCGGCTAGTTAGCTGTGGAGAGCTATCACTGTCGCTTTCTCCACACTTCTGTGGAGCTTCTGTGAGCTACACTCAAGCATTCAATTCAGTAAACACAGGAAACTGCTCAGAAAACTTAGTGGGGTCTGAGCTATGAATGCTGAGACATTGGTCAGATATCTTTATAGCAATAATGTGACTTTGTAAAAGTTTGGATCTGACTTGGGTGTCGACAGGTCACTCCCGTGAACACGGTGTGCTGGATGATCATCTGATTGTCTTGTTTGCTGTGTTGGTTTACGCAAGAGCGGCTTATCCTGCAGAAAGTCCTGACTAGCAGTGTGTCAGTGAGCAGTATGACTTTGTTCTTATAACGTTGTATCCGGGGCTGTCCTCTTTCGTATGTTTCCTAATTTTCACATTGTAAATGAGTAAATTTTGCTCAATACTGTATGCTAAGGGTCATTGCTCTTTGTTTTTGAGACACTTGATAACTTGGTTTTGGTTTTTTAAATTGTGGGTTATATTACACCCACTCACTAGCACACACATACACACACACACACACACACACACACACACACACACACACACTTTGGCTCTTTTGTACACATGTTAACCTAAACACTGTGTGTGGTGTTAAGTCAAAAAAAGAGAAATTATAAGTCAACGTAGATGTTGTTGTAAAAGCATATAGCACTTTGGTTGATGAGTTCCTCTCTTTTCATCCACAGAAGGAGTGCCTCAAAGCCTTAGTTGCTATGGCAACTTCTGGATACTCAGAAGACCTTCAGCCTCAGCAGACCAACACAGTAACCATAGCAACACCTGCTTCCACCACACCCTCATCCTCAAAGACAGCACACTTCCTGTCTGACATCCCATCAACCTCAGGAACCATTGCTTCAGTTAACCAATCAGCCACCGCCTCAAAAACAGGACAGGATGCACTTTGTTCTCAAGCAACACCCACCCAGGCCCAGAGCCAGAAGGCCGCGGTTCTGACCACCCCCACACAACGCTATGTAACCCCTGAAAATCCGGCCTCTACTGTCCAGAAGAGTAATGGTCAGAGCAGCTCTCCTCAGTACATCATTGTGACTGTTACAGGTGAGAGGCAAAGGATTGTCTGACGCATACCTACGTACAATACATGTACTTTGTACATACACACACACACACAGACCACATGTTTCCACTCAGATAGGCAGCAGAAAGGCATGGAATAGCATCCAGTCCACAGATGTGTCGATTGTCCTGAAGAGTGTGAGAAAGGGAGGGAGGCTGGATCTTGATTTCACACTTGCAGTTTGTCAAGTGCAAAGTGATGGATTCTAGGAGTGGGAGAAAAAATCGATACAGCGTAGTATTGCGATATTTTGTCTGGTGATATATCGTCTCATTTACCAAGTATTAATTTTTTTAAATTAACTGCTAATATGAAGTCAAATCTATGATAACGAAAAAATAAAATCAACTGTTTGTCCAGTGAGATTGGCAGAGGTGACATCTTAGAGCAGGAGAAAGTTAGTACAACAAATATATTTAAGATTTGCAAGATGTGCTACATGAAAATAAAATACAGCGCAAATATTGCAAAATGTAAAAATTCGCAATAATAACGTATCGTGGCTCAAGTATCGTGATTATATCGTATCGTGAGACCACTTGTGATTTCCTTCTCTAATGGATTCCAGTTACTGACCAGTACAGGGAGAAATTGAGTGTAAAGATGGGCTGTAAACGGATTCTTAACATTATGTTTGTGCATTTTAAAATAAGTTTTTTTAGCCCATATTAACAGTGTAAAGACATTCATTGCAGTGTCTTGGTGTGAGAGCCAAATAAATGCAATGACATATACTTGATAATCTTGACTATGAAGTTTATGCACTGTTGCACCAGTGTGCCATGAAACCATAATTTAAAGGTAAAAGAAAGCTTTAAAGTGCTCATTCTGCTGTGCTTATTTTTCCGAATAACTTCGTTGCAAGTTGAAAAATGAACAGGAGTGCATGTAATTAATGTCACTTGTCAATATAATTTCATGTAGATATTCCAAGATAATATTGATTACTCACTCAAGTCTGTTGACCTTAACGTTGCACCCTGAAGATGTCCCTAAATCAAGTTTTCCACCACATTGATTGGCCTACCACCCATTTAACAAGTGCAGCAGCAGGAAGATGCTGCAGGGCACACATTTTTAAAAATCAGCACTTTCATTTCCCCCTGATCTCACTGTAGTTAATGCTTAATGATTGATGAATGATTTCTTTATTTATATCTAGAAACTTTGCTTTCTATTATGAAAGAGTGCAGACTAAACATTAGAAGAGTTTATCAGTTTTACTTGCTAGATAACTAGAAGTATTGTAAGTAACAAGTTACAAAAGTTGACTCATATTTCTTTTTTTTCAAACGAGAACATTTTAAAACAGGGACTTGTAAGAAATAATCCCCTATTTGGTGAAGCATCAAAAGTTACAGCTTTAGATAAAAGATTTTAAAGATGTAGTTAGATGGCAAGGACGTAACAGACTACAATTGAGAAAATCAATCAGGACTTATTAGTCATTGATTAAAGGGAGTTTTTCTTTAGAGTACCCTGGTCATGAAGGTCAAAGGTCATTGCCTTTAAGCAGTATCATTAGATATCTTACATCAAAATCAGCAGATATCTAAATCCCACCATGACAGAAAAAAATTAGAACTGTAGCCTGCCTGTCAGCTCAGGGAGTGCATACATTAGGAGGACAAGCAGGGCTGTCAGACTTTTGCGCGGTTTGTTGCTAGGCTACATAGTCCCAAATGTAAGAGTGTAGATGGCTGATGGATGGATCCTGGCTTCCTTTGTACTCTGCTGCAGTTAGTTTTACATAGAGTTAATGATGTTGTTTTCTGTATGTATTCCACCACCTTGGCCCTAAGAGATGCAAAAAAATCTTTGAGCCAGTTACTTTGGTAGTTAATCCAATGTGTGCTCATGAAGCTTTGAAGATTTTGCAGATATTTGAACAAATTAATTTGGGTCAAATTAACCTGATTTTATTATGGTCCACACATATCTGCGTGTTCATAAAAACAGTTTGTACTTTAATACTGGTGGAAATGGCAACTTGTGTAAATGAAATAGAATTACCCTTGGTTTCTGTCTGTATGTTTATTTTCAGACCGTCTATTCATAGTTATTTTGCCTGCTAGTATCAGGTATCACTGTGCACTCTCACCCAGAGAGAGGGCGACTCACAGGCCTGGTACTCCCCTCGTTCTTATGGGAAAACTTAGTCAACTCAATCATAGTGCTTTAACTCCTACAGTTTCCTAATATCTGGATCAAAACTCCAAAAAGGACAGATCTATTCAGAGCACTTGCGCAGCTTCCTTTGAATACACTCAACAAAAAAGACACTTTGAATGTTACGATTTTTTATACTGTTTATACACATCATGCAATTATGATTGAAACTGATAGTGTGTTCTCAAAGCCACCATGATAAACTTAAAATGTACACATTGAAAAATTTTCTTATTCGCTCAAAATAACTTCATGGAGCTCAGTAGTAAATCTTCTGCTTTATGTTCTGATATCAAATTTGCAGGTTACTTAATTGAATTCATAATGAATGAAGACTGTTTTGTAACCGGTTAGAAACACTTAACAGTAACTTTTTAACTCAATTTGAAATGGCTAAAATTTAGATGAAAGTTTGTGTTGTCAGTCTGGTGTGAGATAACTCTGGATTCTTAGAGAGACCTTGTTTAGCATTATTAAGCTCTTTTACAATGACAGAAGTCATGACAAAAATCAACAAATTTAGGCTTTTGAGTTCATTTTATTCATATTAAAGAGACAAGCAACAAGTGTGTTGTTGAAAAAGTAACACAAGCTCTCTTGTGAACTCAGTTTATCTATACGGCGCATTTCAGCATCAAGGCAATACAAAGTGATTCACATTAGACACAAAAATAATCACGACAAAGGTCAGAAGAGACATTAAATGTGACATTTAAACATCATAAAGACAAGGCATCAACAAATCAAAGCAAAAATAAAAACAGCAAACAAGTGATGGTCAAAAATAATTGAGTCTGAAATACAAGCAGAGAAAGTAAAATGGTGTGTTGTACAATAACAATGGGTGTTGAAATCATTTCTTAAACTAATGAAATAAAAAGGCTGCTGTAACTGAGTGAGTCCTCAACTTTAAAAGGTCTCCATGTTTGGTTAGTATACCAGTCCCTGACAACCTGAGTGGTCTGTAGGTTCTTATTATATCAGAAGATCACCGGTGTGTTTTGGCCCTCAGCTTTTCAGCAATTACAAACCAACAGTCGTGTTTTTAAAAACTCAAAATCTCTTCTCTGACAAACAGGCAGCCGAGGGATAGACCCCAGCTGGAGGGCTCTAGCAGCGGCATGCTGAATCAGCTGCAGTCACCTGATTGACTTTTTAGGAAGACCTAAGACACCGTAACAGTAATAAAGTTAACTGAAAATCAGAGCATGGACATTTATTTCCTGGCCTTCATAGTGGTTTTTCAACTTTAATGGTTGAAGCTGCTGACTGACTTTAAATCACTCCTCAGCAGCTATTCAAGTTCATGTTTGTTAAAATGAAGTGAAACGGCATATCCAATCACTGACTTGTTCAAGAAACTTAAACGACGGATACATTTATTCGTGATCCCCTGGTGACACTGTAAGGTAGATCTGTGTGTAGTCTGCATATTTATGGCAATCTATTGTATATGTTTTACAGCTTTAGTCAGTGGAAACATGCCTAAGGATGGCACCTTGGGGAACTTTACATGTGGTTTTTTGTCTGCTCCTATATCAAGTTTTTTTTATAGGCACTGTAGTCTCTGTCCCCAAAACTGTAGTTTTAGCATCACTCATATGTTGTGAGAATATTTGTATATAAGAGAGACATGTGTTAAATCTGTTTAGTCTACATGCTTGATTGGTTTTTACTTTGTCTGATCTTAGCTGTGATTGTCAGGATCAGGTAAATTTATACCAAGTCATGGACCAGAATGGCTTGTAAGTAACTAAAAACCCCTGTGCTGTACACCTCAGAGTCTGTGACTAGTCGGGCTGTTTCCAACATTTAGCGTAGGTAAAGCACCAAAGGAGGACAACATAGTTTAATATCATTTTTTTCATAGTTGGCTTTGGAAGAACTATTTTAGTAATTGCTTGGCTTTCCTAATAGCTTTTGAGAAAAGAGAAATTGGAATTAAATTTAAAGTTCTTTACAGTCTTACATGTCCCATGACTGTGTGCATGTTGATAGCTTTAACCCGAGTTAGAGTAACATGTTTAGACGGCAAAAAACAGAGTGAAATATTCTCTGAAATGAGAAGTTCAGGAAGGATAACCCTCTCCTCCAACCCACCTTTCATCCTCTGTTTTCTCCCTCCTCACATTTGATCTGCATGTTTACAAGATGGAGTGATTTGTCTCTCCATTAGGGGAGATTAGCTGTCCAAGGCTGTCCTTCTACATGCATCATATAAGGATGGTAGTACAGTTTGGCAGACACACTTCTCCTCTTACCCACTGTTCAGCTAAACAAAGAAAAACAGCACTTTGTCACAGGATGTTCTGCACAGGCTGCTTTTATGATTTGGAAACAGTTTGTTGTGAGTATTGAACTTGTAGTGATTCTAACAGATGTCTTGTTTAATTGTGTTCGATTATCTGATGAAACTTCTCTCTTTTGTCCTCTCTCTGCTGTCTTTAGATGACTCTGTTCACTCCAATGACAGTCTGTCGGACTCAAGTCCACCTGCCCCGAGTGTTCCTGCTCAGGTGGTCCAACCAGTACAGACCACCGCACAGGTAAGATGCAAATATTGAAACATACCACATGAATGAGCTATTTGACCATTTTGGAGTAAGTCGCAGCATCTTAAGCATGATCTGACACTTTGTCTTTTTCACCAGCAGAGGTCAGTGTTGCAAGCCGCCAAGAGGATTCAGACTGGCCATATCAACAGTTTGCAGCACATGAACCAGGAGGTAAAAAGAACATCTCTTTTTGAGTTTTGAATATTCTTTAAGTTTCAGTACATTTTAAAATCAAATCCAACATCATTTTGGATGCTGAGGCAGCAAACACAACCATCTTTATACTTCTTAATTCAGTTTTAAAACACACATTACAAGATTCTTTTCATGACATGAGTTTTTAGTTTCTAGTTTGTATTTACGGGGCTATACATGCTTCAAAAGCAGATCATACATGGTTTGGTTATTGTTCAGGTGGAGCATGTGTACGCTGGCCAGGTTCAGTATGTGGAGGGAGGAGGAGGAGGTGAAGATGCAACATTTACCACATCCACCATGTGAGTCGAGTGGAACCTGCATGATGCATGTTTCAAGGCCACTCTCACAAACATGTTGTTATTTTCTGATGTATTCTGTGTATTTACACGTTCTTATTTGTGCCGTACATATTTTTTATTTTCTGTCCAGTCGGCCGAGCAACTTTCCTTTCACCGACTCACCCATCTACTCCCAGACTCCTCCTGCCTCATCCTCCACCTACTACGAGGCCACACCCAGCTCAGAATCTGACCTCAGTGGCTCTGTGACCTCTCAGTCGGTTTCTGTGGCAACAGCAGGAGTCAATAGTGGAGCAGCTGCAGGTGGAGTGGGTTATGTTATCCAGGGAGGTTATGTGTTGGGAGGAGCTGGAGGTGCAGTAGCTGGAGGAGGAGGAGGAGGAGGACAGAGTTACTCCAGTCCTAACTCTCGTGCTCCACCTGCTACAGTGAGTACCAGAGTTTGAAGGAAACCGTTTTCATGTTTTTGTTCTGATCAAAGACATTAAAGCTCTTTAAACGTTATTCTTCTGTAGGTGCAGTGGTTGTGTGATAATTACGAGGGGGCAGAGGGGGTGAGTTTACCCCGCTGCACTCTCTACTACCACTACCTGCTGCACTGCCAGGAGCAGAAACTGGAACCTGTTAATGCTGCATCCTTTGGCAAACTCATCAGGTCTGTCTTCATGGGGCTACGTACACGGAGACTAGGAACCAGGTATACACACGGACACAGATTCACACACAGCCTTTGAGTTTGCAAGATACAGAAGAACATGATTGTAACTTTTCATGCTTTTGTTTCAGAGGGAACTCTAAGTATCACTACTATGGTTTAAGGATCAAATCTGGCTCCCCTCTGCTTCGACTGATAGACGATCAACAGCACATGGCCATGAGGCAACAGCCTTTCTCACAGAAAAACAGGTATCCACTCATGACATACTTTCTTATTGTGTGTGTCCTTGGCTATGAGTTCAGAGTTGGACATGGACACACTAAAGTGCCACAAGTAAACAGAGCAACTGTGGGGAAAAACATGGAAGAAACAAGATGCAACAGTTTGTCTTTGTGTGGAATGTAATGCTGTGTTTGAGTTCCCAGCGTTTCAGTTACCAAGTCGGAAAAAAGCTAAATCAAAGGCGGAAACAAGACGGCTACATCTACGTAAGTTATTATAGTGCTTGCCTTGTCTGAATATAAAGCAAGCGCTAAAATAACTTTTGTAGATGTAGCCGTCTTGTTTCAGGCCTCCGATTTTGAGTTTATCCGACTTGGTAACTGAAACGCTGGTAACTCGGGTGTGACGTCATTTTCAGCTCGAACGCAGCACAAGTTCTGTTCTTCTCATGGCTTTCTGTCTTACTGACTGATGGGTTCTCTGTTGGATAGGATAAAGCCAGTTCAAAAGACACAGGGGATCACCAATGGGACATCAGGTGGGATAGCTCAACAGCAGGCAGCAGCACTCTGTGACATTTCAGCCCAGGTGCAACAGTATCAGCAGTTTTTGGGTAAGAAACACCCGCCCCTTTCAAAATGTTGACCATAACTTTGTAGCGATAATCTAGCACTTATTTTTTGCTTCCATTATTGCTTGCTGTGCGTTAACTCTCTGCTTTGCTGTTGCCGTGTTTATGCAGAGGCCTCCAGACCACTACCAGACTTTATGGACATTGATCTGCAAGACAGGACCTTGCCTGATGGGATCCTTTTGGAACACCTAAAGGCCTTTCAGACTTTCTACAGAGAACACTGTGAGGTAGGCAGCTATGAACAGTGACATTTATCACAGCCCTAATACAATAGTTGTTGAAATATAGGTTTTATAAAAGCCAGCTGGATGATATCACAGTTGAAGTAAACTTTGGAGAAAAAAGAAGACCCAAAGCTTCTTGATTCTTTTTTTTTTTTTGCTGAGGAACGTGTCAAGTAATCCTATTTGGCCATTTAAAACCCTTCTGGTGTGTTTTGTTTGATCCCACAGGCCATACTGGATGTGATGGTCAACCTTCAGTTCACTCTGGTGGAGACACTGTGGAAATCCTTCTGGAGGTTCAGCCAGAGCAATGACACAGAATCACTCAACTTGTAAATATCAACAATTACTAAAGCAGTCTCATGATTTAATAACTTACACACACATGATTTGTGTGCTGCTTAAACTAACAAAAACTGTCTCATGTTATCCTCAAGGCACAATGAATCTGAGAAGCGTTTACCCAAAGCGTTTCTGGTGGTGCTGTGTAAGTTTGAGCCCGTGCTGCAGTGGACAAAAGAGTGTGACAACCTGCTCTACCAGACTTTGGTGGAAATCCTCATCCCAGATGTGCTGAGACCCATCCCCAGTGAGTTAATAAAGTCTGTAGAAGCAAATTCACAACCGCATTATTGCATGTCTGAATGTCTGTTTTTCAATCCGGGGCAAGTTCAGGGGTTACCCTTCAGTACAGGATTGCTTGTATAAATGTGAAGTTCACCCTCTCTCTCTACAATACTCTCATCTCTGCTTCAGGTGCCTTAACTCAGGCTATACGTAACTTTGCCAAAAGTCTGGAGAGTTGGTTGACGGGGGCCATGATGAACATCCCAGAGGAGATGGTTCGCACAAAGGTACTTATATGATGGTTTGACATGGGATGGGTGGATATATCCATATTGAATTTTCCTTTGAGGATCAATCAATCAATCAAATTTTATTTATATTATATATATTTATATCCAAAGAAAAAGAGCAGGTCTGGACATTCTTTGATGAATTATCAAGACCCAACCTTAAGATGGGACAGATTTGACCCATCTCATCTAACATGAGTGACAGTGGCAAGGAAACACTTCCTTTTAACAGGCAGAAACGTTGGAGAGGACCAGACTCATGTTAGACAGCCACCAGGCCGCTGCCGGGTTGGAGAGAAATACATAGAGATAGGGGAGAGAGAGAGAGAAAGAGAACAAGGGAGAAAGAAGGAGAGAGAACGGGTAAGAGAGAGAGAAAAGAGAATGAGGGTGAGAGAGAGAGAGAGAGAGAGAGAGAGAGGGTAAAACAACAGCAACAACAACAACAGGTCATACAGAGTTGTAGTTGCAGAGCAAGTAATGATGAAACAATATGAATTCAGTTTACAGGATTAGGATCTAAGTAATTATGGACTATGTTAAATTAATTTAATGTGATTCCAGTCAGCAGGCCTCATAGAAGATAATTTTAGATTTATAGTATTAATGTCGGTGAGGCTGATGTTCATGTCTGTAGCAACAGTCCAGAGCTGATAAAAACTTTTTATCAGCTAACCATTCATCCACATTCAACTCCGCCCTTTTCTGCTGCTGAACTGGCATCCGTCTTTTCAAGGCTCCATTCATTCTCTCTTCCTCTTTCCTTTAGGTGGTGTGTGTGGGCTCCTTCTCCCAGACACTCCGCCGCTACACCAGCCTGAACCACCTGGCTCAAGCAGCTCGCGCCGTCCTCCAAAACTCAGCCCAGATCAATCAGATGCTTTCAGACCTCAACAGAGTGGATTTCACTAACGTACAGGTTTGTTAAACTGTCCCTTCCTCTCGCATTACCCCATCTCACCCTGTGAAGGTGTTGTTATTATGACGGGCAGGAGCTTGACATCCCACTAATTTCGCTCCCAGGAACAGGCCTCCTGGGTGTGTCAATGTGAAGACCGTGTTGTACAGAGGATAGAGCAGGACTTTAAAACGACTCTGCAACAGCAAAACTCTTTAGAGCAGTGGGCCACCTGGCTCGATGGAGTGGTCTCAAAGGCCTTGAAGCCATACGAGCACAATGCTGTTGCTCTACCAAAGGCTGCCAAGGTTTTTCTGCTTACCTGGTCCTTTTATAGGTAAGGGAAGGAGCACACCTTCAAGTTCACATTCAAGTTTATTCGATTCAGTATTGACATTAAATGTGACCGTCTCTGCTTTCACAACAGCTCCATGGTAATCAGGGACCTCACTCTGCGCAGCGCTGCTAGTTTTGGCTCCTTTCACCTCATCCGCTTGCTCTATGATGAATATATGTACTACCTTATAGAACATAGGGTGGCCCAGGCCAAAGGAGTGACCCCTATAGCAGTCATGGGAGAGGTAAGTGTCTTCAAAGTCAGCTGCTCATATAGTTCAGTCTGCACTATGAGGCCCATAGTTATAAAAGCACAACTCTTTTCTCTGTTCCAGTTTGCAAGCACAGCCAAGAGCCGGATCTCTGCAGACCTGGAGAAAGGTAATACTAGTGTGGGTACTTTGTGCACAAATAGGATGGGTTTCAGCCTTTGTTGACAGGTCATCTGATGTCTTTTTTTATGCCTGTTTTTTTCACCAGAAGAAGAGGAGGAGGAAGAGGAGGAGGAAAGTGAAGAAGAGACCGGTGATCTGGTGCTGCAGTCCAGCTCTCTAAGTGCTGTCAGTGAGGAGAAAGAGCCTATAGAGCCGCCTGCCAAGCAGCCCAGGACAAGTTTAAATCTTCACTCTCTGACAGAGAGCCACAGCACACCCCCTTGAAAACTCATATACTATACATGAAATAATCCACACACACACATACACACTAACACACTTTGCTTTAACTTGAACATGCCATGATCGCCATCCCATCCTGTCAAATCATGTATGCTTCTTGTTTACCAACAGATTCTTTGGTGAGTGTTTGTGTGTGTGTGTGAGAAAGTGGGAGAGCCCCTTTGCCAAGATTTATCATGCCAATTTTTCCTTTTTTGCCTTCACCTTCATTGTTCATGGTCCTTTATCTCATTCTCTGTGCCTTCCCTGTCCACCCAGTGTCAGTAGTCACTCCTGTCCAGCAAAAGCTACACTGTATAGAAATATATCATCATAAATCGCTCCTGCCCCGCCTTAACCACTGATCTGAGTGCTGTTAAGAGATGTTCTTCATTTTGCTCTAAATGTCACTCACCTTGCCTTTTTAAAGCTATTGACTATGCAGGAGGGCTGGATTTTAGTGACACTGTCTATACTCAACATTTTTTAACCCAGAGTTGCATCTTAAATGATACTGCATCATGTTGTTGAGGATGTTAACAGATAGGAGTATGCCATATTTTACTTTTATACTTGTTTTTTTTTTTTTGCCCCTATTTCTTAGTTGGCCGTTTAACCGATACCCTGTGCCTTTGAGAGATTACAAGCCTAAAAAAAAAAATCTGTATTCTATATATTCTGTATTGGTGGATTAATAAATGATGGTCCTGTGAAGTAGTCTTGATGTTGTCATGAAGTTTTACTCCCTATGACAAAAGACCTGAGATGGTGACAGTGAAGCCTTGTTGTGGTGGTTCTGCCCAGTTTGTTGGTCCTCATCAATCCATCTTTTTTTATTTTCTCATCATCCATCCACTTTTTAAGCCCCCTGTCTCTCTCTGTTTTCACACTGCTTACCCCCCAGCACAACTCTTTGTACCAGCTAGGTGTACTAGCTATCGCTGTCTCAAACTTTGGGTAGTGTAAAAGTAGATGTTTATTTTCCGGGTTCTAATGTGGAATATTTTGTAGATAAACACATGTTCTGTACCTTTTGTCTACACAGTTGTTTATCCAAAGTATTCGTATGTTGTTCAGCCATTACTGCCTTAAAGAAATATGTCATGGCATCCACCATCCAGATGATTGAGCTTTATTTTTATAACGATGATGGGCCAAGGATGTGAATATATAGACCTTTTAAAACCCATAAGCAGATATTGATTTTATGGAGTGTATAACCTTGAAAATGGTTGAAAAATAGACAATTAGAGATTTTAGTTGGATATCCTGCAGGATGGGCAGACTCCCCAAAGAACACAAATTTATCCAGATTCAGAGCAGGGAAAAAAAACAAGATTTTGAGTTGAAAATGAGTAACCCCTGCTAATCACCTTGTCTCTATTATACAGAAATATGACCTGGATTCTGTCTTAAGCTTGTGCTGCTGAACCTTTTGTAAATGTGATAAAAAGACCTTTGTACTGACACATGTGATCAACACATGTAGCTTTATTCTCTATGTTAACTAAACAGATGTGGCTGCTGTCCAAACTTGTGCCAGACTATTTCTTCTTTGACAAAACCTTGTAATAAGTTGTTCTTGTACCACATTATCTGTGAGAGAGGGTAACATGCACCTGTAACACTGCATTTCAGATGATACTGTAGGCTGTCTGTTAAAGGTAGCAGTCAGCAGTGAATGAACTCTGGTTACGCACACTCATTGGTTGAATGAGTGCGTTCTTCAAACTTTGGACAGCTCCTTCACAGTTATTTTTCTTGTCTTTATTGAGCGAGCAAGAAAACGGATGGAAGAGAGTGGGGGCGAAAACCAAGGCTGCTCTCTCAGATGGCCCACTGAGCAATAGACGGCTATGAGACGTCTATTTTTTTTTTTAGACCTAATTTCAACCTTCTAGATTCTCTATATTTTTAGGCGGAATTTAGACGTTGCACTTTAACCCATTATTCGATAACTATTTATTTCAAAAAGCAACTTTGAGTTAGACATCTATTAGAACTCTCTTAGACCAAAAAATGCTCAGTGAGGAGCTTGACTGGCATCCCATACAATTTCAACACATGTAAGGAAAAGTACCCCTTTAAATATGGTCAACAGCATCTTGTTTCCTTTGACATTGATTACATCAAGACCATCCAAACAAGGATGTATTTCCATTAGCACTAAAAAGCTTGTATGCCTTGAGGAGTTACTATTTCAGAATTCACGAGAATTTCACTAAAACAAAAGTTGCATAACGTGCCTCAAAGCAGAAGTTCACGAAGACATAAAATAGCTGCTGGGCTTTAGCATGCAAAGGTAAATTATGACACTATCATTGCATTCTGATGGAAATCATAAAAATCCATGACTTTGTGATCAGAGACAAGTGCAGTGAATGTCTCTATTGAAATGGTCACTTCACCTGTCCGGAGATGGGATATATTTGAGTTGGCAAGTAAACATATTGTTCTTAAAGTTGATACTTAAGGCAAGCAAAGTATGTGAGTAACTTTGTGAAGAAGCCAGCAGTGTCTAGTTCTTGATACAACAGACAAAAAAATGTGAACATTTTATTTTAACAAAATATTTCCAAGGAACAAAGTCTTGCTTAAATGTTAATCCACATACAGTGAGATACCAACCAGCTGATCAAGTGCCCCAAACCAACTTTCTACTTCACTAACAGAGGTTTTAAAAAAAACAAAAACATATCAAAATGATCACTTTAAATACTGAAGCCTTCTCAATGTACACAGCGAGACAAAACTGGTTCAGAGGGAAAAAAAAAACCTGTTCAAAAGCAGCAGAATCCATCAATTCTCATTAAACATGCACTCACTCACACACACACACGCATACACACACTTATTCTCTCAATGAGATATTGCATATGTCCATTTATGGACACAAGCACAAGAATCATTCACACTACAATAAGTTTATTGTTATGTATAAAAAACAACAACAAAAAAGGTCCAAACTAAAGCTTACGTTCAGTCCAGCTCTTTGTTTTGGTGGTTGTAATAACAAAATCATATGAATCTTATAAAATTAAACACAGACAATCTACAAATTTCTTTACAGTATTTCTTTTAGAAGGTTCCTATTTCAGTTTTAACTCACAACATGTTTTAACTACATTTTAGATTAGCCTAACGTTTGAACTAATGCACAGTTGAACGTTGAGCATCATACTGGTGAGAAATTCATGTGGGCATGCACCTGCCGGTGTTTTTTCTTTAGGTGCGCTTCTTTCTTCACAACACAATCCAGGTGCAGCGGTCACAGTCGGCCAAAACTTGAAGAGACGAGCCTGCAGGTGAGAGGATGAGTGATGAGTGAGTCATGCTTCTCTGAATAAATGCACAAATCAAAGAACAAGCTACCAACAGAGTGTCTGCCATGAAAACAGAGAAGATGGAGCCTGATCATAACAAAATTCACATTGGATTATCATCATGTTTTCACTGAAAACTTGACTGATTAGACAGTATTGTATTAATTCAGAGCTCTTTCCTTAAGTAGGAAACACAGGTGGTTACTATCACAGGATAACTTAGTGGTAATAAAATAAGACAATATGACAGTACTGAAATGACATCTAGTCATCCCCACTGTTTTGTTACCACTTCTTCTCTTCCTTTCAAACTCTAAAACAGTTTTCTGTCACAGCTCACTGTATCATAAAAGAGCTATTGTTACTGACAAATCTGCGCTGATTCTACTTTTACAACCAAATTACATTCTGTAAAGGAATTCTGTGTGACTAGACAACAAACTTTACAGTCATTACAACAACAGCAGTTTATTTTCCTGGTAGAGAAGTCTAAATATTTTGATTGATGGAGCCTGTCAGTGTTTTTTTTAACCAGGATTCAAAGTATTGACCTAATGTTTGCCGCAGACAAACAAAAATGACGTACAAATAGATTCCCACAAAGTACCCGTTCAGTATCCAGTCTTTTTCAAGAGTTTTTGTAAAATATTCAGACCAGTGGTTCTCAAGTCCAGTCCTCGAGGCCCACTGTCCTGCATGTTTCGGATGTTTCCCTGCTCCAACACACCTGATTCAAATGATCAGCTCGTTATCAAGCTCTGTAATGGCTCACTAACGAGCTAATCATTTGAATCAGGTGTGTTGGAGCAGGGAAACACCCAAAACATGCAGGACAGTGTACCTCGAGGACTGGACTTGAGAACCACTGGTTGAGACAGTGAAAATAAAACTAAGCTACCTTTGTATAGAGCTTCGTTGGTCATGCGATTGATGTAGCGGGAGCTGCACTCAGGAACCAACCACTTCATCACAGTGTTCACACAGGACTTCCTGTAAGAGCTCCAAATGCTTCCACTAAGAGGAGGAACACAGATTTAAAATGTTTTACGCATTCGCAAGAGATGTGACATGACAGGAAAGTTTCTGCGCTTTTATGACGAAGTGGTATTTCCTCACCTTGTCTGACCTTTGACCTCTGTTAGGTCGCCAACACCCACAGTGCGACACACTCCCGTGTTCAGGTCCCAGCTGACTTGCAGGTTGGAATGGTATGTGTTTGGTCTGAAACAAAAATCAACAACAAAGAGCGGGCTGAGTATGGGCAAACAGAGAAATTACAGGTTGAGGGGATAAGGTTGTTTTGAGTTATATGTTAATACAAACACCTGCAGTGCTCCTCATCAGAGCTGGAGAAGGCCAGTAACAGCAGGCCGATGTTGATCATCACAGTGTTGGTCTCAGGACACACCTAAAGCAAATTGAGCACAGTATCAGTAACTCCAGAGCTAGATGTCCCACCTTACTGGTTTTGACCTCAGCTGAGAAACAGGAAAGCTAAAAATTGTCTTGCTGTGACAAAAACTGTTTGGAAAACAAGTTAAAGAAGAAAATAGAGTAAATTCAAGAACCACTGGTGAATTTTGCATCAGTCTTTCTAGTCTTCTGTTCTGTCCACTAAAGCTGATTTTGCACCACATGTTGGCTGAGGTCAACTGATAGGGTTGGTTATCTCGCAATAAGAAGAGAGGATTGGAGATTAAATCTGATTAAATACAGTGTCCTTGAGCAAGGCACTTAACCCCAAACAGCCTCTGCTGTGCCACCAGTGGGTGAATGGGATTAGTTTATACTTCCAGGTGCTTTACATGACAGCTTCTGCCATCAATGAGTGAATGTGTGGAACTGTGTGACATGTCCTTGGCTAACCTCCCAGGGCTCTGGTTACCAGGCCAGAAACACTCGCACTAGAAATACACATCTAAAGGGATTCAGGCTTGTATCACACACAGCTGAGGGATGAGTACATGTAACACACAGTGTAACACACACTGAAACACACACCTATTATGTTCACACTCACACTCAGCAGCATAAAAGTGAGTGAGAGGAGAGCTCGGGGCTTCTTCTGATGACTTTAATCCAGACTCTGCGTCAACTGTACTAATATCTGTATCTGTACAATAAGGACGCCCAGACTGCTCTTCAGATCTCATCCCGTCTCCTGTGCATTTACTTACAATGACTGCATACTACACACATTTTACGCAACATAATTGGTGAGCCAGATTCAGGATTTGTGTCTGGGGGATCAGTTGCTGTTGCCCTGCGATTTCTCACGATTTTCAATTCTCACAATATCGGCGACAATCGGCAAGTTTTGGCCGGTCACCAATTAGTCTCAAACGGGCTAAAGTTGGCCGTAGTACCAATCAGCTGACACAGAGGATGCTTTGTAAAGTGCCCATCTGTATTAACCTATCCAAATTATCATTATCATTCACCATAAACAATACATATCAGGAGTTCAGTGTCTTACCAGGGCAAGGGCAAGGCAGTTGGACATTCACACAACAGAAACTGGGGTTCGCACCACCAACCCCCTGAATGAAAAGCAACTGACACTTCCGCTGAGCCTCAACTGCTCAAGGTCTTATTGAGAGTTCTGACTTTTAAGAGACTGAAAAGAGAATAAAGTATTGAGTGTAAGAGAGCATGTATTCACTGACCTCTAAAATCAAAACATCGTAGTCACTGACAGAGCAGAACTGAGGCGCCCAGGCAGCATCGCTCCTGATCACCTCGTTGATAAGATACTCAAAGTCTAGGGTCAACTGCTCCACACACACACTCTGCAAAGGAGGATACACTGGTTTTAAAAACACAACATTTTAAAAGAACCAAAGGTAAACATGAAACCCTCACTATCTCCATATATAGGTTATATTTTTCCTCTGGTAAACTGTGTATAAATGCAGTAATTTTATATATATTTATAGCTTCAGATATAGAGACTCTCAATCACACACCGGTCCATTGTGAGACCCAGTCACCAGCTGAAGGTTTCGTCCTTTAAGGTCAGTAACTGTAAAAGGTAGCTGAACCTTATCATCCTCATAACCTGGAGAGACAGACAGGATAAAAAAGAAAATGCTTAGTTGCTTCAGATTGGTGTATTCTTATTAATTATTCTTCACTGTCACCCACTCACCTCCTGTACTCTGCTCAGGTGCTCCTGGCTGTTGGAGGCGGTAGTGCAGCCGTGAATAGTTTACATAACCTGGCTCACTTGGGCCAGCCTCTTGAGACAAGGATGGGGCAGGAGGGGATGAAGGTGAAGAAGACGAGGAGGCAGGAGACATCACTTGTTCAGTTGGAATGCTACGGCTCCCACCAGAAGTCGATGCTTCTGGTAAAGTAGTCCCTCTCTCCGTCCCCTTCCTCTCTTTACAGTCCTCCCCCCCTCTCCTTCTCTCATTGACATTTATCCTCTGATCTTCCGCTGCAATCTGCACTGCATCTTTTTCACAACCATCAGATGTTTTCTTTTCTGTCTGACCATCAGTTTCTTTCCCTCCTCCACCCTGGGCTCGCCTAAAGAGGTCAGCGGCAAACTCCCGGGCTCGCACAGCTGCCTGCGACTGGCTGGGGGATGAGGGGATTGGAGCCAGTCTGTTAGGTGTCACTCGGCTTTCGGGAGATCCTTTAGGTAGTGAAGACGACGGGGTAAACGAGGAGGAGGAAAAAGACGTGGAGGCTTGATTTGATTGCGCTGCTTTCTTTGTGTAAAGGATATGTGAAGACTGTCCCTGTTTACCTGCAGGTGACATATGAAGAATCATTAAAAAGTGTTGCTAAAATCCTGTTAAACATCACCCTAATGATAACAAACTTAACAGTGGATTAATGAGAATTAACATGATGATCTTGTGGCATCCTTTATAGGGCTCAATGTGACTTTTTTTCTTTTAAGAGATTTAGTTCCTGTAAAAACGGACCCAATCCGACCCTTTTCTCATGAACCTAAAGCAGGGCTTGACACTAACTTTTTTCACAAGGACGCATGTGCTCCCAAGTTGAAAAAGTTAGGATCAAATAACGTGTGTCTTATTGGTTGGCATTAGTACTATTATTTGAAATCAATTTTAGATCTTCTTGTCACATGACATGGAAGCTATTGAAGAAAATATTCAAAATGTGCCTTTAAGTTTAACACAAAATTTTTTTAGACGACAAATAAGGGAAATAGAGAGGTGTGTCTTATTGTTCGACCTTCGTTCTATTATTTGAAATCAAATTTAGGTCAATTGGTCACATGACATGGAAGCTATTAAAGGAAAAAAGCCTTTTTTAAGAACATCAACTGGTAATTTATTGATGGTCCCTTATTCAACACGTTGACAGCGAGGGTGCCGAGTAGATTTAACCGCGCTGCTGTTGCCATTCCAGGTTACAGAGAGAAAGAAGACACCTGAAGATCCACAGTGAATATCTGCTGAATATCCATATCCAAATACATTTGACAATTTGTACACATCTATTTTTAGTCGCAAATGTGCATGAAACGGTTGCACTGTCAAGCCGTGACCTAAAGGCAGGTGTGCAGTGAATAATACTTGGAGACCAACTCGTGAATGTGGGGAGAGAAAAGAATGAGAAACAGATCTACTTTAAAACATTGGTGCATGTGTTACCTTTGCAAAAGGAGATCCCGCAGGCTACCAAAGAGTAGCTTGTGTTTAAAAGTATGACCTGGTCCTTCTTTAGCTGGAAAGCTGGCTGGAAAGTTGGGAATGGATAAACCACCTGGTACCTGCTGTTGAGCACATAGCCATGCTCCAGACATTCACCACTTCCTTAAGAGGGAAAAAGATAATGCAGGCAAAAAAGAGAAAGACTTAGACAATAAGAACAACAAAGGACTACACTTTAGTTTGTTTGTGTGTGTTTGTAAGTTACCTGTTCGTATGGTGGTGGCGGAAGGGACAGGACGGCAGTGAGAACATGGTCTAGGTGGAGGCATGGAGGCGATGGTTATGTAGATGTCTCCATTGTTTTCATCACTCGTTGAGTTCATCAGAGCAGAGCTTGAACTGCGTGTGCTAGAAGGAAGAACCACAAATGCAGTCAGTATAAGCACTCGTGATTATTTACATTTCAACATAATTTAGAGCTTAAAATATATCAGTTCTGTATGTTTTTTCTCTCTGTTTTGTTTCTCTGCCTTACTTAAAGCCAAAGATGACAATTTTGGAGTGGTCATTTGGCCATTCACACACTGTCAGGTACAGGTCACCGTAGATTTCCTCTCCAGCAAACAGGCGAACATGATGAACCTAAGAGAAAAATACAGACATGAGATCAACACAGAGTATCTTCTGATTTATCTTTTGTCCATATCTAGGAAAAAGTAAATAGTTCTGCTATCACTTGTTAATCCTCTCTACCAAATTTGTTTTGGTTCACCTGTTTGAGTCGACTGTGCAGGTTAAACTCCCACCAGTAGAGATGGTACGTATAGAAAGAGAAATCATCATCCTCTCCATAGTCGCTGGTGTAGGACAACACGTAGCGGCCGCATTTAGTGAAGCCAAGAAAGATATGTCTGGAAAAAAAAGTGATGCAGAAATGACATGTATGCTTTTATTTGAACTATATTACATCTGGTGTATCTTAGCTCAGGATAACTTTCTTACACTTTTGGGTCGAAGCTATAACCAATCCATTGTAAATAACCTAACTTGTCCAATGTCAGTGTGGAATGAGATCCAATGATCAATTACAATCATACTATAACGGACAGCTGCAGATCTTCTCTGGAGCTTTAAGGCAAATATATTGGAAGAGCAATCTCCTACAGTGTATTAGCCATAGCTACTCCTTAATATGCATACTCTATTTCACAAATGTTCATGTATTCTGAGACACAATCCGAATACCACAATTATCTCAATGAAAAGTCTGGATGTTGCTGTCGCTGTAATATGCTCCCAGAGTTCAGCAAGGTGTACAATCAACAAAATGACGAGAAACCCCACAAATAAAAACAAAGACACTGACCCTGCTCTCAGGAAATCCTCGCTTACGATGTTCTTCAATGGGACACACACTCGAGGGGGCAGCTTCCTGAACAAGCGCTGAGAAAACTGTCCTGACAGCTGCAGGACAGACACAGATCGCAGAACAACTCATTACAACTCAAATTCATGGTGTTTTACTGGAAATGCAGACATTATGATTCATTTTACTTTAAGCAATATGAAAAGGTACAGGAAATTAAACCATATAAATGTGGTTTGTTTTTAATTATATACATGATGAAGTATCACAAACCCCTCATTTTTATCATTTGCAACTTTAAATGTATTTTCTTCCAACAAAACCGAATTACCGGACCAAATAGCAAACCACACAAGACATTGTTTTTCACCCTCTGCTCGTCAGGATAATGTATCATGATATTTGAAGGCCTTTGAGCGCATACACACCAAACGCGTTGTCTATCAAACAACAATGTTACTATCATCATATCTGAGGTCTTTGGTCGCACTAATAAGGTGTATAATACTGATACTTGTTGCTAAGGTCGAGCTGACCGACGCCGGCTGACTGTAACGATAGTGTATTACTGTAGCTGCCGTCTGCTCTCATAGCTAGCATGCTACTACCGCAAGATAGTTTGTAAACAGTGACAGCAACAGGGCTCTGCAAGCCTGTCAGAAAATGAAAAAGAAAGATATCAATAAGTGTGTAAGCAGAAAGCACTCAGTGTTTTATGTCTTGCAACGGCCAATAAATCGATCTGACTGCCACTGTTGGTTGACGTCGAGCTAGTTAGCAACTAGCCGCAGAAGCAACTGAAAACTAGGAGGCTTTCAATGAAGCGGTGTTTGTGTAATCTACAGCTTATCTTTTAGTGTTAGGGTAATGTCGAATATTATCTGAATTAATGCCTACCCTCCCGCGCATGAGAAGCTTTACGACATTGTCTTTGTGTTTTCTTTGAGCTTTAGGTTTGCTGTCGTCCTTTTCGGATTTCGAGCTAGGCGCCATTCCCCTCTCCACTGATGTCTCCTGTGAGTGTGCACGAGACCGCCCCGATTCTCCCGGAGTGCACGAGACTGCCCTCAACCGCCGGCCGGCGCGAGCGTCCATCGAAACCAAAACAAAGGGAGGAGGGGACGACCACCACGGACCATAATACCCTCCCTGAAAGTACTGAATGGACCCAAGTTTATTGCTAATTTAAAATTAGACTTCATATGGTTTAATAAAGTATACTGATACTACTGAAGCTGTAATGTTTAAGGTCCTTTCACACAAGGGCCAACACGAATATAGAACGTGAAAGTACGAAATATCTGGAGGCGAATTTTGACGCGCCTGACTATACACATCAAGCCCAATGCGATTTTGCCACTTTGCGGAAAAAGACGCACCCAAGGGAAGATTTTTGCCAGGAAAGTCCCGCCTCCTTCGCCTCTGATTGGCTAGAAAAGCTGGAAGCTTCATTGCAGCTCAAGCCAAACGGTCAGCACTTATAGCCAATCAGAGGCGATGAGATAAGCACATTTGACTATGGTGACAACCGTTCGCTTGGGACAAAGCACACAAGCACACAAACTAAGGTCATATGAGAGATCCGATGCTGACTCTCTACAAGTTGTCCTTCATGTTGTTATATTTGTAATATATGTGTTTTTCTATCAAAAAGCACTCTGTTCTGCGACACGTAAACAATCAGCCGGTTGGCCATGTTGGATATACCGGTGAATCTGACGTCACAACAACACGCAATCTGATTGGTCAGAAGTGGACACAGTATGCGAAACTTCCGAAAAAATAAATGCCGCAATATCGCAGAACAGGAAAACACCGCTAATGTGACCACTTGTATTGAAAGGATACGGGTTCGAAAAAAATATTGACGTCCGAAACAATCGCACAATAAAAACAGTCCCGGTGTGAAAGTACCTTTAGATTAGCGCAAACACACTGCCGGAATGAGTGACAGGTAAAACCAGGTTAAGTTGAATGTTTTTATTTAAGTTTTTAAAAACAAGCTGTAAAAAATAACATTAAAAAAATCAGCATACATTAACAGAACCTAATCAAGAAGAAAAAAATGACAGAGGGCAACCAAACGCACAGACATACATGCTCACACAACCAACCTGCATACTGCAATAGTCACTGCCTCATAACAGCCAACACGCACACATTTCTGCTCAGTAGCATTCACTTTTTACACACACACACAACCCCCTTACTGAAAATAATAATTACAAAGGAAATATTTTAACTAAAAAATCATAATGGCAGGAAGAAATTTGCCTGCAACTTAAACACTGGGAATGTTTTTAAAAATGACTTAAAAGAAAAAAAAAAAATTACTGAGGACTACAAAGAAAAAAATCCGTCCTTTTTTTTTTTTTTGAACAAAAATGTGAATATATTCAAAATACTGCTAAATTGTTTTTACCCTCAGAAATTGATGGGCATAAACTACTGAAATGTGAATCAGTGTTGAGATGCTGTTGTGCTAGCTTGCAAGCAAAGATGCTTATTTCACATTATATTAAAGATGTATGACAAGGTGAATGACGTGAAGAGACAAAATAAAAAGTAACCAAAGAAGTTATTTAGTGCTTGGTTCAATACACGGGCAAAATGTGTTCCCTTTTTCCTTTCTTATATTTGACTTTCTAAAACAAACAAGGTTGGTAAAAAAATGTCTGCATGGATGAGGAAGCCAGGGTTTTGTCCTTTTTTAAGCCAAAAGGAAATTTCTTGATGGGGGGAAAAAAGAGTCCAGAGAGCCGTTGCAATCGTCCAACTGAATGAGCCGCTTGATTACTGAGCCTGAAATGAAATATTGTAGAAAAATTAGACTGCTGTCAGTTTTTGCACTGTTGATTAGTACTGCTTATCACAACATAGTATCCTCTATTGCTATAGTTACTTTATGAGATTTCTTTATACGTGATGACATTAGCTGTTTCAAAGAATGGTTTAATGAGGAATATGTTCACGTTTAACATTTTGGCCATGAAAAGTGCTCTTGGCAGGTAATTGTTTTACTGTGAAATTGCAAAATCAATACAAGATCGTTATCATGGATGTGCTACCTGTTGTCCCTGTGGTGGACCAGCAGCCTGTCCAGGTGCCTGCCCTCCCTGTCCATAGTAGGCAGCCTGCTGTCTGTAGTACTCGGCCCAGGCTGCACTGTAGTCCTGCTGGCCTCCAGCTGCAGCTCCTCCTGCTGCCGCTGTAGCAGCTGCCGCACCTGGAGCAGCTGCTGCACCTCCAGCTGGCTGGGCTGGAGAAAAAAAAAAAAACAGAAGACCATGTCCTCATTTCACTTTACTGGATAATACTGACAACAGTGTGACAACCTTTGGGTTTACATCTAATGTTAACCCTGAACAGACATTTAGTTGAGCCCACTTACTCATGCCCATCTTCTTGTAGTACTCCTCCCAGGCTTTAGTGTAGTCGGGCTGCCCCCCTGAGGCAGCCTGGCTCTGGTCCCCTGGTGCTGCTGCAGCAGGAGCTCCAGGGGTCTGAGCTGCCATGGCACCTCCTGACTGTTGGCCATAATACTGTGCATAGTAGGCTGCCCATGCTGCGTTCGGGTCTTGAGCTGCCTTAGCTGATGAGGGAAGGAAGAGGCAGAATTGGTGAAGCAGTGCAACATAAACATACAATTGTAAAAACTTAAATCATGCATTAGTTGCCTTACTACATTAAAAAAAAAATCACATTTTTACAAGAAAAGCACAGAAATTAAGCTACTCACTGGGGTCATGTGGAGCCGGGGCTTGCCACTGCTGATAGGTATTTCCCCATCCCTGCGGACAGAACTGGGGACCACCAGGTGCAGCCCCACTACAAAGACAGAAATCATTCAAACACACTTTTTCAAGCAGTCTTCTATGAGGGTTGAACGAAAGCTGTGCAAAGAGTGTACTTACTGAGGAGCGCCACCAGGGGGTCCTGGATTGTAAGGATTGGGATTGTAGGGGCCACCCATTGGGCCACCAGGCCCACCTGGGCCTCCTGGACCAGGGCCACCACCCACAGGACAAAGTGGAGCCTGGCACAACAGGAAGATGCATTTATGGTTCAGATCAACATTTAAGAGCTGTGTTGTACTTTCATATGTGTTTGAGCTGTACTACTTCTGTCCCTGAAGAACACACCTCGATCTTCTCTTCTATGAGCTGCTTTGCGTGGTCGATCTGTTGTGGGGACCCGCGGATGATAAACAGCTTGAAGTTCGGATCCCCGTTGGGCGGTGGTTGACGAGATATTTCCACAAACGCACCAGTCTGTTGATTGATGGACTTGACGTTCTCTCCTCCTCTACCGATGACAAGTCCACATTTGTGAGCTGGAATGGAGAAGGTCATTTCTCCTCCAGGAGGACCCCAGTTCCCTTGACCTCTACCTCGACCTCGGCCTCCAGGGGGCATCCCTCCACCAGAGCCTGGGGGACCCTGTTGAGGAAACAAGCAGCATTTGAATGAACTCCTCCATAGCACTGCCATGTTCCTATCATCACCATTGAAATCAAAACCAGAACAAACCAAAAACCGGCCCCCTGCTCTGTACTCACCCCCTGCCCGCCTTCCTCTCGTGCACGGATGCTCTGTAGCAGGTCAGTAATGATGGAGGCTGCATGCTGGCACTGATCTGGTGGACCCATAATATGAGCTATTTTATCAGGGCCTGTACCATCATCTGTTTGGGATGAGAGAAAGACAGAGAGGTTGGTTTTATAATATCTAATACAATAACAATAAATAATAAAAAATACAAATGATGAGCTAGATGAAAAAGATGTACTGCTGATTTCCCAGAATCTTCATTTCAGTCTTACAGTCTCATAACTATGTAGTCCAAAATGAATTGATATTTTATACCAAGCCAGTGTTAGAATAGCACAAGTTTTAACAACAGATTGAAGCAGAGATGTAATCGACAAGGGACAAAATAGCCCCTCATTACTCACACTCAAATATTGTATTTTCATGTATCGCTTATATTTCTAATGACATTTAGACTACAAGGTAACACGTGACAAAAGACAGAATGCAAAGACTGAAGTGTTTTTCAATCATCCAGAGCTCACCTGGTTTAAACTGTATCTTCACACCAGCATCACTCTGGATCTTCTTGATCATCTCCCCATTTCGACCAATTACAACTCCAACAGAATGGCGTGGAACAGCTATCTGTTAAATATACATCCCCGAATTGAGTTGATTTAATAAGAGCTTGGGTCTTTATTATTGGCTTTATTGGCGCTTTATTACTGTCTCTTCAGCTACTTACATCTATGCCTCCTCCTCCTCCTCCTCCTCCTCCCATCCTGGAACCATACTCGTTCCTATCTCCAAATCCTGCATGATCCCGTTCTCGTAGAATCTCATTAACCATTTCTTTTGCTTGCTGAAAAATAAAAAACAAGGGAGCAGGTGAGACTGTGATTGAATAGCTAAACCAAGGCACAACAATCAAAACAATCATCACTGTGCTGAAAGAGTACCTGCACTTTGTAGGGGTCTCCAATGATACGAAGGGGTTTATCGATGTTAGGAGGCTGGGATCCATCTTGAATGAGAATCATTTTAACTCCAGCTCGCTCCTAAGATTTTACATTGCAGAAATATAACACCGATTACACACACTGCAAATTAAACATAACCCAATTGGGGGCATGTGTATGGGTTGTCATGCACCTCCCAAACAGGTTTTATGAGAGATCAGTTCGAACCTTTATTATTTAAATTTTTTTCTTTTGTACAGCACAAACCGCTGAATCATGTGATGTGGATAAAAGAAGTATCCTGTAATTCTTACCTGTAGCTGTTTGATGGTCTCTCCTCCTTTGCCTATGATAAGACCAGCCTTGCCTGCAGGGATGATCATCTCCTGCATGGAACCAGCCTGACCATTAGTTGTCTCATGACCCCTGGACACTATATCATCTATAAGGGCCTTGGCTCTCCTGGAATCAGATCAAACCAGAGAATGACATTCGTGAGGTTTAAGATCATAAAACCTGCATGCACATGTATTCATAAACATGACTGAAAATGCTGGACTATGCCTGCCAGTAAGTGGCAGTACAACTTTACAACCTTTATAGCCTAAAACACACAGGATCCGCGTTGAGCGCGTTCCATCAGCGTCAACCAGTAGGTTGTTATTCTAATCGATGCAAACTACACGAGAAGCATCTCTGCTCCGTCTCAGCAGCAAGTCAAGCACTGCCCTGCTTAAGATATGCACTGAGTCTATTTTCACTGCTTTATGCTTCCAACACCTGTCAATCTGCACAGAGACGATCGTTCTCCACAGGATGTCAAGCAAGGAAAATGCGCATGTCCTGATAAATTTCAAAATAAAACACCATATGCGGACTCGCGACTATTTATCCTTTCATTTATTTTTTTCCCCTTCATGTTGTCACATATTATCATCCTTGATGTTAATCTTCTTTGAAAGTATTTTCACATTTTGTTTGCTTGTTTTTTTTTTTGAGTTTTTGTCTTTATTTGTTTGTTTCTTTACTGTGTTCTATGAAGTATAAGGTGCATTGATGCCTTTGTACAATATGTCTTCTGTTTAACCCTAAAAAGTACAAAAAAAAATAATAGTCCCCAGCCCAAACTATAAGTTCGGGCGTTTACGGACTACTAGTTATCACTATCATCACGGAAAAAACAAAAATCAGTTGACCCTCATCTAAAAAGTTTGCAAAAAGTTTTTACTAACCCTGTTTCAGTGAACAGTAACGGCCAAAACGCAACAGACGTGTACTCAGTTTTTCATTTGGATGAGTGTCTGTATAAACATGATGCTCTAAACTATTGAAAAAGTGGTAATAACTGTGTATGATCTTCTTAAGACTTAAAAGCTACGCTACCACAGGGAGGCAGGTGGCAGACAGAAGAATGCAAATCTAAAAGTGTAGCCCTCGGTGATCATTAACATAACTCTAACAAGTTTCAGTAAGTAGTTGTTTTAACTGAAAAATTATTCAAACTCTTTTTTGCAAGTTTGTCTCTGCGAGTGGAACCCCTCAGGCTGTTAACCGCCGAAAAACATGTGCTCGAAGTTTTGAATATTAGACCCGGTGTGGTTTGAGCTTCACACTGCTATCCAATGATTTGTGCACAGTCGGCTTGAATACTTAGAGGCTGATGGGTTGAAAAGAAGTAGTTCCACAAAAATAGTGATAAAAGGTGTAAGATACAATCTGACAACTTGAATTAAAACTCAACTTAAATCTGTAGCACTACACATGATCAGGCCAGCTATCACATCAGTGTCTGTAGAGGATTAGCAGTGTTCAGACTTCACCTTTGAGCAGAGCTGCTTCTTTGTCTGAAAGACACCCATGAACAAAGTTTCCAAACTACAAAGTTAACTTCAACTGGACTAATTACACGATAAATTTCTATTTCACATTGTTTTTCTTAGCATGAACTTACTGTACAGCATCTGGTGATCCAGTTAAAGACACACTTCTTTCTGGGAGACCAGCACTGTCTGTAAATCAACACAAACATGGGTATCCTTTAAAGAGCTGCGTGCACACCAATACTTTTTTCACTTCAATGTGCAGGATTAAGTGCATAGCTCACCGTGCGCAATCTGGACCTTGCATCCAGATTCCTGCTGGATTTTGTTAATCTGTTCACCCCCTCGGCCAATGACTGCAGAGACAAGAGTGAGGGCATTAAGATGTTAGTTTTACCATATGCAGAGAAGTAACACTGGTATCGTGTCAACTGTGAGATGTATGTGCATGTACTCACTAAGACCGACCATGCCATCAGGCACCCTGTACTCTTCTGTCATTGTGGAGGGCCTGACACTGCAGACAGGAGAAACACAATGATGCACAAGGGCTTTTTGTCTTAGACAAAAGGCATCGTGTGAGGAAAAAAAATACGACTGACTTATACCTTTGTTGGGACAGGGAAGCAAGCTGAGCACCAATAGCTGTAAGTGAAGAAAGAAACTGGTTAGGGGTCATAAATCACACCGAGCAAATCTTCATAATGGGATCAAAAAGTGTATTCAACGTACACAATGCTGAATCTATTTCGCTCTGTGATGCTACCTTCTTAGCATCGGGTTCATCTGAAAATACAAAAGAGAAGAGTCATTGGTTGAGGAAAAGCAAACGCAGAAAGAGTCCAGGTGTGTGCTGATTTTTAACCTGCTTCTTCCAAGGACCGTTTCTGTGCTGCATAAGGATAATTCTCAGCTCCACCGTTGTTGCTCACTGAGGGAACGCCGTCTCCACCAATTTTAGCTGCAATCTGTAGAAAAAGACACCTAATGGATGAAGTCCTGGTGCAAGTATTAGTAAAAGCTAAAAAGACATGGGCATTTACTAGACTAGTCTTATGAAAGAATGAACCGAGTTATAGCATGAGAAGTGTGTGAAAGTTCATCTAAGATTTCTTATTAGGTACCCCAACAGTATTTATCAGTGTCTGCTATACTCTTACGTTGTGTGGTCTTCTCTTCTCAAGAGACTTTATCTCTTCACATACAAAACTCTTACAGAAACATCACCTTACATCATCTAAATGACTCAGACTGTTATTGAATCAGACAAGTTCCTCAAATTAGTAACTTTTACATGTTCCTTGAGTCGGGTCTGAACTCTGAAAGCCTGCTCTCTCTTTTTCTGCAATAGCTCTGTGAAAGCAACACACATTTTGGACACTTTAGGGGTTTGATTTTTGAGTCTCTTACACTGTGTGACTTTTTTATTCAAGCATACTTTATATTTTATCATTTAGATAGATTTTAAATTATTTTAGACTGTGTCATTTCCTGTTTTATATCTTATTGTTTCATTTCACTTTCATGTGGAAAAGTTTTGTAATTTTAAAAGTCTTTATTTCTCTCTTATTGGTTACCTATCTTTAAACTGCTTCTTGTATAAAGACTGTTATTGTGAATGATCTATCAAGTATAATTGGTTGAGGATTGACTCTAATTTGAGCTTGCCTTTACAAGAGCATAAAAGATATGAGTGTCTCTGCTTCATCGATTTGACCTGTCATTATAATGGCTTCACAAAACAGAGATGCAGCTTGATAACCAACAGTGTCTTGCAGTTTACAGCTTTACACTACAGCGGGAGACTTTTAGTTTGATGACTCCAGCAGTCCCCTGAGCGGTCAGAGATCTTCATCTCATATCAAGCTAATTCTGTCCTGTACATGCCAAGGCAGTCATTTCTGACCAAAATCTCACCCTGCTCTTTGAACAGTCAAATATAGAACTTATTGTAAATATTTGCAGGTAAAGGAAACAAGAAAAGCTGTTTCTGCAGCATGCATGCTCTCATCCACACCCCCTGGCATTACTATTTCAGCTTAATAAAAAAAACGCCCAAATTACCTTGTTTTCAGACGTTGAATGGCTACATTCCATTCAGTTGGAGTAGGGCTGGGCGATAAAACGATATATATCGAAAATTAATTTCCCTCAATATCAATTTAAAACAGTCAATATTCTTTGTGATAGTCGTCATTCTGCCATGTTTTGGTAGACTATACAAATAGCCAATGAAAAGAGGAGTTGCTCCAGGTCCGCTTCATACTAAAATCAATCATGTGCTGAATTAGAACCAAGTAGCAAACAACTGCGTCGTAGCAGGCAGCAGCTACATGCAACTATAGCACTTAACTTCACATAACACGTGAAGCTGACAGCACTGTTGGTGAGAAAAAAAAGAAAATGTGTGCTACCCCCAGCAGAAATGCAGATGAAGGCTCAACAAATGATAACATTGTCGACAACACTGGCGTCTGCTGAAACATCAGCGGTGTGGAGGTATTTTAGTTTTTTGAGGTTGGACATGAAGCAGAGTAATGTGCACTGCAAATTATGTCGAGTACATGTTCTCACAAAGTCAGGGAATACCTCCAATCTTCTTCACCACCTGAAGCAGTGACAGGCCGCAGAGCACGCGCAATGCAAAAGGTTACAGACTCCGAGCGGAGCAAGGAGCCCGTGGCACCTGTACAGCTGAAACAGCCGACCATTCAGTCCACTTCCTACAGCGCAACACCTTACGACAAGACGTCGAAAAGACATTAAGATCTCCTAGGTGCGGCATCTTATTGAATTGCAAAAAACAAGCTACCAATAAACACTGTTAAAATTCATTTTTTTATATCGTAATATGTATCAACACAGACTGATATAAAAAAATATATATATCGTGACAAACTTTTTCCCATATCGCCCAGCCCTAAGTTTGACGTGTTTGTCCATTATTCTTTCTGCTTATCGAAACTAGTTTGCTTAGAAACATTTATCAACTGCTATCTAAAGTAAACAAATCTTACACCCGGCCCTTACCTTCAGACATTTATATTAGCTAATCTGTTAAATATCCAATCCGAACCTTTGTTTATCTAATCTTACAAATCAGTAACCATCAACTATTAGGACAGTCAATTTGACCTTAAATCGCGATGTTCATGCTGCCACAGCGTTTCTGTCCATTGTTTGGCTTTTCTAAAACCCACTTCCATACATGATCGATGAAAATAGATGAACAGCTTCTCGTTAACCGAAGAAGCGTTCACCTAATAAGAAAAAAAACTCGTACATTTAACTTGTCCCATAGATCCCGACGGCGAAAAGACGTTTAATCACACCTTTACATAAGAGTGTGACCTACGATACCCGAGAAGCTCGATCCAGTCGGAAAACGTGTTGAGTTGAACCTCCGGACAGCCCGGCGTGTCACACGAATGAAAGGAAACGCGGTTAGCTGGTTAAGTAGCGCTAAAGCTAGCGTCGTTAGGCTAGCTGCAGTACCCAACCAGCTAACTAGCTCCCGGCTGGCTTTTTCTTTGACTCGTACCTGTCTGGCTCGTTGAACAGCATCGGCAAAAGCATCTTTTTTCATCCCAGCTCCGACTCCATTTGTCGGCAGAGCTCCGTAATCAGACATGCTGCTCGCAAGGGGGCAAATAGACAAGGGGCAGGCTGGATGGCTTCGGCCGGGTCGAGCTGCGCAGAAGCGGGAAGGCTAAACAAGAGCGTACGTGGGACACCAATGTGAGGGAAGCAGCCGTCCACGCCGGCAGACTTTCCTGCTTAAAATAACCAATCAAAGGACACTCAATGGCCGGGGCTCATTCGGTTATGAGCCGAAGCACTGCGAGACGAAGCAAATACACTGCCACCTGCTGGCCGGGAGGAAGACCGCTTCAGAATCAGATTCAGAATCAGGCAGGGGAACATTTCTTTTTGTCACAGTAACTCCAGTGCAAATAAAGTAGAAAGAGGAGATAAATAATAGTTCAGATAAGTAAAAATAAATAGATATATAGATAAAATAAATATAATTAAAGAGATAATATACAAGTATGTACACTGTATACAACACAAAACCGTCAAATAATGTATAGATAATTGCATAGGCTGTGTCATTTTTTCATATCAAACTATTAAGGAACTTTCTTTTTGTAATCAAGAATGTTGTTCACAATAAGGCAACAGATGAATTTCCAAAGCAGAATTATGTTGCCATGACAATCTGGGCTCATTCATTATTTCAGTAACTGTTTAAATATTAATACAATATTTTTAAAAGCCAAAGAGCAGTGCTTATATACACTGAATTTGTCCAGAAGTCAATATATGTAACAGTAAGTGAAAAAAAAAAAAATAATAATAATAATGAACAGTGAAAATAATAATAATAACAGTGAAAAAATAAGTGAACAGACTTCACTGAGCTGCCCTTTTTCATATCAAAGTTATTAATTAATCAATCAGTCTTTGTATAGCTTTTTTCATACAAAAACGATGTACACAAAGTGCTTTACATAGCAGAGGAAAGAAAGACAAAGAAAACCCTAATCTAACCCAACCCAACCCCTCATTCCCACCTCGCAATCTAAGCGCAATAAAAACATGTATTAAAATGCATGAACTTAAAAAGGGCTCGATTTCATACAAACAGGAATGTGCGCTATGAGGAAACGCCGTTTTAAAATTCAAGATAAGGAAACACTGGAGGTTTAAAATCTAAAAACAAAGTAACATAAGATTTAAGAAATTAAAAATAAAATGAAATAAAAACAAATGTAAAAGATATTAAACTAAGAGCACCAAAATAGCTCAATAAAAGATGATCCTGTCATTAAAACTAGAAGAGATAAATGCTAAAACACTTAAACAAAGTTAGTGATTTAAAATTTATAAAGCAAGACTTAAAAGGTATGTTTTTAGGTTTGCTTTCAAGTTTCAGGTGCTTGCAATATTTTATAGCACACCCAGAGGTTCTATGTGAACCTACATTGAATCAGTTATAAGAAAAATGTAATTCATCAAGTAAGCCTATCAAAACTATAATTGTCACCACTTAAAGCCCTTGTTGACCATTTTGAGTTGATGGCACACAATTTTACACAGTACCTCTTCCCTCTCTGTCGATGCTGACCTGTGCATGTTTATATTATTTTTTAAAATCTCACAGCCCTTTATTTTAACTACCAAATGTGTGACTCGGTGAAAACCTTCTACTTTAAAAGCACCCACAAACAACCACAGACATTGAAAAGCACTGCCAATCTTTCAGCTGATGTTAAATTTTATTTTGTAGCCCAAAAGTAGCCATCTAAATGAATTTTTAGAGTTTTAAAAACAGCTAAAGACTCTTCACCGAAGCTATAAAATCACAGGGGGAATAAACTGAACACAACACCAAAAGCAGTCTAGTGTGAGCATTTATTGGTACATTACATATAAATACTGACACATCAAAAATGTTCATTGGCATGAAAACATATTTTATATTATTTCATGTTAAAATCAGCACATTGTGCGCATACAGTTTTAAAACCCCTACAAAGGACTGGACCCTGTAGTGTTTTACAAGCATGGAAAAATTTGTCACAAACAAACTTCTCTTCATAGAAACACTTAAAAGACAGATTGAGGTCAGGTTATCATAAAATCACTTCTGGGAAGGGTAGTTTGGCATTTGGTAGTCATCTTAATCACATCCATTTCTGTATTTTACACATGTAACATTTCATTAAGACATAACAAGTCCCGCCTGTAACTCCACCACTGTGCAGAAACTTTCAGATCCCCTCTTTAACAGACCAGAATAACTAATCCAGTCCTGTAATCTTAGTCCTTTTTCTTCTTTATATATCACCTGAAAGAAAAAAATAATGCTGTAGGAATGTAACATGGCTTCATCTCTTACCTGTTTGTTCTCAGGCAAGTTCATGCAGGTATTCATCAGTCTATGTCAGTGCAGTAGCAGGATGCTCGTTGATTAGCTTTCACACCCCTGTTGACATGCATTGTAATGTAACACACCTCACATGGAACTCATCACAGCAGCTTCCAAGTCAGGTGAGATCCTCCACGTGTAAGAAACACACAAATATTAATGGTCTTCTGTTTTCTGTTGGTCTTATAAAGTGCATTTCCATTCTATTAACACACCTTGAAGATTTTCTTTGAATTCAAGCGACACAGTCAAGGCCCACCTCCTCATGACATGCAAACAGGTGCACACGTGCTTTGAGTTGAAATCCAAATTTTCCAACCTTTTTTCTACCCCCTCCCTTTCCCTGCCTGCCTACCCTCAATGTCCACTCCCAGCATCATCCTTGTGTATTCATACACGGCGTAGGACACACTGACAGCTGGGATTACTTTAAGCAGGTTGGGGGAGATTCCTCGATAAAGTCCAGCCACACCCTCTTTAGTGATGATGGAGTGAATCAGAGCCAGCATGGAGAGTTTTGGGGATCCTTTCACTGAAGCTGAAGGGAGAAAAGATGAGGCTCAAACACCTTATTCTGATTACATGGCTGCAAAACTGAAGACATGACGGGATAAGAGATGTGTTTGCACTCTAATTGTGTATTTGCCAGATTCAGTCAATAGATCATCATGTTGGTTTTGCCATTTAAGCTAAATTGTATTCGAGTGACAGAAGTTGTCCTGACCTTGCGCTTGCATTCGGGTGCGGATCAGTGCGAGTGGGTAACTTGCAAGCTGTCCACAAGTGCTGGAAACGGCACCGCAGCCGACCAGCACTGTGACCCCTGGGTCCGCTAGACCTCTGTTCCTGTTCAGCCAAGCAAACTTCAGAGTCTGTCGAGTTAAAAGAGTGAGAAAAAAGTCAAAACCAAGGAGATTCACTGACAAAGTGATGTGTTTTCATGTCTCTGACCTCATAGACAGCCAGGTCGATGCCAGCATAGGGGACAATACTGAGCAGGTTGGGCAGATAGCCCTTGTAGAAGGCTGTGACTCCTTCTTTCTGGAGGATCTGTTTGGCACAGTCTGCTATCCCTGAGTACTGTCCAGTTTTTCTTAGTGTGAGACGGGTCTTCAGTACCTGTAGAGGAGAGAAAGCAGAGGTTTATGACAGAGACAGAAAGAGAAAAAACATCAGTTTCTGTATTTGTCTACAAAAGTGTCTCAGTGTGTTATCCTGATATTACCTCCATTGGGTAAATGGCTGTCTGAGCTGTAGCTCCAGCTATAGAGCCAGCAACAAATCGCTCATAAATTCTCAGAGTCCTGCTTTCATTTTTTCCACGCATCACAGCCTTGATCTACGCAGAAAAGAAAAAAGTTGAAAACATTAAGAGCTTAATTCACCAACATTTTAACGGACAATAGATAATGAGCCTGAAAACAACATGGCTCTGCCAAAATTATTCTCCAACAAACAACACATCTGTTTACAAATTTAATATGAAGGAAGAGAAAAAAGAAAAATACCATGACATTAAGGTTTTAAGGAGATTTAGTGAAAGACTTGCTATCCATCCATCCAGCAAATCAAGACAAAGAGCATAAAGAAAACCTCCTGCTGGCATTTCTCTGTTTCTAGTTTTAATGCTAAAGCTTGTTTACTCTAAGAAAGTTACACACTTATCATGAAAACAACAAACTGGTTCCAGTCAGAGATGAGAATTTGTAATGTAAAAATAGCAGACAGACAGAAAGGAAAAGTAAAGGACAAATGATAAAGATAAAAACTAAAAGATAACTGGTCTGATGTGTAAAAGTGAATCAGTTCAACTGGGTCTGAACGTCTACTCCACCTGTTCATAAGCTGTGAACTTGATAGCAGTTTCTGGAGCAATTTTCAGAACGTTGATTCCATTGCCTCTCCACAAGGACCACGGTCCTCCCTCTTTAATCATGTACTGAAAACCACTCAGCACATTTCCTCTAAAATCAACAGAGCCATGAACCTGAGAGAGCAGAGTCGGAGAGAAACACTGAAGGGGTCTGCTGCATGTTGAATATAAATAAGTTAAACTGAAAACAACATCCTGACTAAAAAGTGAAATCTTAACCCCAACTTAAGAACATCAACTCCATTCTCACTAACTGACCTGTCGAAAGACTTTCAGACGGTCCAAGGGGGCAGTCCCAGTCCGAGATACGGATCCGGCTACAGCTCCAGCCATCAGCTGCCGCAAAACATAGCCTGACTTCTTCTCCTCTTCTGTAAAATCATCTGGAACTGTTAGTTGTTCACCAATATCCAACATCTACTGGAGCCAGGATGGTTTGAATGATCAGAAATTACAACAATAAAAGGGAGAGAGGAAGAAAAAATGAGTAAGACAACAAAACATCAAAAATTATCTCTCAAGGTAGAACATCTTACAAAAACCAGAACTGAGCGACCAGTTTCCTCTTGAAACCCTTGTGCTGTGTCATTGCTCTTTTTCTATTTGCTGCATTTGTTGTCTGATACAAGTTCACAGTAACATTTAGTTGTTCTTGTTCAATGGGAGTGTATTGAAGTTTATGTGTCCTCACCATTGAACGTTTCCAGTAGCGTGCTATCTCCTCCATGTTAGTGATAGGGTTAAACAGAAAGTAGTCCCTCCACTCATTCCAGTCGATGGTCATGGTGCCGTCTTTGTCTATACTGAGAGACAAATACACACCGCCGGATAAAACTGAGTTCAGAAGTGTTGGATTGATCCTTGGTCAGTGCTGATGGAGAGCATTGAGGTATTTTTTGATGACTTAATTCACCACTGAACAGAAAGATTTCTGTTGTCATAGAAAATTATACAAGAAGTTGTAAAAAAAAAAAAAAACACCCCCTACATATCCATTCATTTAGCTAACACACACGCACATCTCTTACATGTAAAATCAAGTATCAGGAAAATGAGCGCCAATTTATAAGGAGGTTTCCTGGTTTATCACGACCAAATATACTTGAAGAAACTGATGTTGATTTTTACAAATAATTCTTTTAAAGCCAGGATAAAAATAATTACTGAACTCTTAAGAGGCAGCTCAACAAAGATGCACCATTAATCTTATGTGCTGCAAATGATGAATTGAGGGAAAGGATCATCGAGTCTCAGGTAAGATTAGAGCAGAGTCCCATCTGCATTCAGAAACATTTGATTTTTAAGAAATAAATCAAGTAAAAAAGTTTTGGGGGGTTTAATCAGCCATCTATATTTATTTCATAGAGCTGTTTAACCCCTCTAACTCATAACAGTTGTAAAAGTATGAATTTGACATCTTTAAATGTGTTATTTCAGATACAAAACGATGGAATAACCTTTAGGCTGCCTTTGCAGCTGTGAAATGTGATAAAACTAGTCTTCTTAACTGACCCTCTCATCCTCAGCTATTTCCATTAACTGGTTTTTAAATGGAAAACATGCCCAGTGAAGTAGGCCTCTATATTTCAAAAAGAGGGTAAGCCAACCATTTGTGTTCACAGCTTTTAGTTCAAGTGATATTTACATGTTCTGTGGATGATCATACTGTCATGTGATATGAGATATAAAACATCAACATACTGTTGGCAGACCTTTGTAAAATTCTGGTTGCAGCTTTTAGGCTGATATCCACACCGATTGTGCGTAGAGAGTGCTGGATCTCTGCTGCATCAATGTGACCTGTAAGCATCCACATGAAGAGTATGAGCAAAATTCAGAAATGATCTCAAGGTAAAAAGTTATGATGACATCTGATATTTTTCAAAGTGTGGGCATCTTTTCACCGTCATTGTTCCTGTCCAGACTCTTAAACATGAGTTTGAGCTGTTTTTCATGAGCCTGAAGATACTGTGTGAATTCCTCAAAGTCTAGTACTCCATCCTCGTTGGTGTCTCCCACCTTCACCATCTGAAAACACAGACAGTAAGGGCAGTGAATACAGAAGCATTTGGCAGATAAGTCAACAGTGACTCCATAAATACTTTATGGACTAGTTTACAAACCAAATATACCTGATAATGATTATGTTAAGATAAACCAGATTCAATTATGCTTGTTTTAATCATCTCAACAATCAAAGTTCAGTTAAAAATTAAAAATGATTTACCGTATTTGTTTTCGTTAACATATACTGTACTTGATAGGAATCTAAGGATGTTTCAATTGTGTTGAATATGTATGGTATAGCTGACATTTTTATAACTGAAATTTCAATAAAAATCTGTATTAGCATGTTCAAGATCCATAATTTAAGTATTTTCAGTCAATAAAAAATAGGTACAGACAACAAAAAACACAAGGAATTAAAGACACATTTATCTAATATGAAAGACTACATCAGCATAATCACAAAAATGGTACTGAAAAAAAAAAGCCTGACACTGACAATGACACATATGTGAGAAGGGATCAAGTGTTGGGACAGAGGGAAAGGTTAACTTCTCATCTTTCACAGTCCTGTACTAAAATAGACAGCTTGGTGCCCTTTACATAAACACACACACGTACTCTTCTCCCGACCTAAGCCTTAAGCTCTACAATTCAATAATGCAGGTTATATTGAAGTATATTTTTCCCTAAAGAAAGGCAAGTAACTGCAAGTGGCTACTGGCAAGTGTTTATAGCCACATGAGTACTATGTTGACATTCAAACACATGCAAACACAACCCCAAGGGATATTGGATGAGTACTGGAACATAGGAGAAAGTTGTGGTGAGTCTTCTCTGTGACCCACACACTTTTTGCCAAAACAAACACTCTAGAGACAGGCGCTGAGGGAGGAGAGACAGACTGTGTGTATACAATAATAAAGTTGTGCTGTTCATGTTCTTGGCTCTTTTGCACAAAGAGTGACCGCAGATCAGGGCAATTAGGGAGTCTCTATGTCAGGAGAAACAGGATGGATCTTACAGGCTTTCAGTGGAGTTTTAATGTAAGAAGAGAAGATCCCCGTCATTACTTCTCATCGTACACAGAGACAGGCGCATGTTATCCAAGTTCAACCATGAGGTTGGTTTGAACTGTTATCTGCTCATCATTTGAGCAACAAAGGTCTTGACACTCTTATTTAAAGATAATTTTTCAGTAGGACTTATAGCTGAGGTAAAGCCAGTGACCCCGCTTTGTGGTTGGTCGAAAGGTCCTTGAACTTTGTGTGTATCTTGGATCATCCTGATCTATATGTTTTTAACCCCAGAACACTATCGCCGGGTGATTTTCACCTGACCAAACATGTTCACGTGATTTTCATTATGTTGCGTTTGTCTGAGTGTCATGGGTCCCTGGGTGGCTTCAGCATTGCCTTCGACATCTTTGAAGGCATATTTGTTTCTCTGATCCAAAACCTGCTTTTTCCTACAGACATGTATTCAGGTGATTTTCACCCGGCAAAAGTGATAGAGGGTAAAGTAAGGTTTGGGTGGATTTGATAACTGCATGTAGACAAATAAGGTCAGTAAGAGTGGTCCTGGAATTTGCATGCTATTTTTAATTAGCACATTGGTTTTGAATAACTATCACAAAGTAGTGATTTTTCAGGGAATATTCAAGGGAACATAGATATCATATGGTGATAAGAAATATTTCAGTCAGTTTGACATTTTTACTCACTCAAAATATGTCATATTTTGGTTCTCTCCCCTGCAGCTGTTATTGTGCCAAGGACCCTGAGTATTCAACAGGGAAGACTTAGATGCCCTGGGAATGGTGGAAAAAAAACTAAGTTTACAGTTTATACATATATAATTTTGGATTTTTTTTTGTTTATGAATGCCTAATTTCAGTTATTTTGTAGCATTTTTATACGGTCCCCTCATGGCACTTTTTTCCCCTTCCTTTGGACATTGCACAGGTAAAAATTAAGAAAACTACTTTAATTTGTCATGTATTGTCCTATTTTGATATATTTTGATGACAAGTACTTTTTCTTAGGTATATTATATTTGATAAAAATCACCTGGCGATAGTGATGGTGTTACTAATTTCAGCAGTAGTGTTTTAGGGTTAAAGCAGTTTTCATTAAATGTATCCCACCATCTGTGTACGGCAGTGTGTGTGTGTGTGTGGTGATGGTGGTGGTTGCAGGTGTGCTGCAATCTCACCTTCTCCAAAGAGCCCCTAGACACCCCTCGGCCTGCCAGCCCAGCCCGCAGCTCACCGATGTCAATGTGTCCATCCTTGTTGACATCCAGCTGATCAAACATTTCAGCCCAGCGCTTCTGTCTCTCTTGGTCTGGAGCTGAGGGGTCCTCATCCTGCCTCTCCTGGTCTGGACCTGAGGAGTCCTCATTCTGCCTCTCCTGGTCTGGAGCCGAGGGGTCCCCATCCTGCCTCTCCTGGTCTGGAGCCGAGGGGTCCTCATCCTGGCAGTGCGCCTGCTGGAGCCAGGTCCATCGGGGTCCCATGGCTGCTGCCAATCACCTGAGGGAAATAGTGGCATCAAGTGAAACACTCCAGTCTGTCTTGAGACACACCAAAGCTCTGACAAGCTTTAAGACAATTCAATAAATGTAGAAATAAATTGCATAGATATGCTCTTATAACAGGTCCAATGTAGTTAGGTGAGGGGTTTCTGATTCTAGTGAAAAGAGACCCAAATCCTCTTTATGGTTAGTTAGCATAACAGGACATGTTGTCCCAGTTTACTGCCCAATAATCTATTTATTTCTTTTCATATACATGCCAAACATCATTTTTAGTTGTCTCTGGCTTCACCGGGATAGCGATAATAATTTCAGGGAGAAATTGGTTTATGACAGACACAGTGGCTCAAACGGGAGGACTATAACAGGATAATCCAAGACGAAGATAACCAGCTAGCATACCGACATATTAAAATCCGTCTTAAAATTGATCTTCGCACTGTTATGGACGCTGCTTTGGTCAGATAGTAAATTCTCGCAGGACCATTTTGTTTCTCACTCACTGTGTTTATCTTCACGCAGACCCGCCGTCCATGCTGGGATGAGGAGGAACCAACGAGTCCAGCGTTGGGATTAATTAATTTATAATCTGTCTTGAAATCGGATTTGACACCGAGCTAGCGTCCCTTAGTTGACTCTTAGTAAGATCCTCTGGGCTCACCGATATTTACTACTGCTCCGTCTTGTAGAGCCCACCGTGTTGTCTTAGCGAGGAAGCAGGAAGCGAAGCCTGCAGAGGGCTGTGTGTGTGTGTGTATGTTAGAGTGTGTGCAGCCTTCTGGGTGTGTGTTGACATGCTGAGACACTGCCCCTCACATACTGGGTTTAAACAGCCGGATATTTATCACTTTGGGAGATTATGTGGTTTGTTTGGCTGGAAAACATTGACGGATTTTCAAAAAGGGCTGTGGTGTGGGATTTCTGATCTTGTCCTTTATAGGCTATCCTACATGTGTCCAATAGTTTTTCCCCTTAATATTTAAAGCTGCTGTCAGGAACTATTGGTTTGCTTGTTGATTTTGGTGTCCCTTGTGGATAAAGTGCTTCATATCTCTTGTCTTGTATAGGGTAGTGTTTTCAAACAAAAACCTTATCCTGTGAAATATATACAGTGAAATATATCTCTTATAGGGGAGAGTGGGGTCAGTTGAGCCACCCCCTGTTGCTTGGAAATGGTAAAAGAAATTGATCATGTGACCAAATATTTAGGAGATGGGCATCAATTCATGGAGTCTGTGTAGGTTGTAAGCACATGGGCAAATGGGTAAGAGATTTATTTCCAAAAAAACATTTTCACTCTTGGAAGTGAATTTAGTCCGTCATAAGTTTTATTAGAATTGTGTTCAGACCAAAAAAAGATCATTTAAATTTGTTTTATACATCGCTAATAAAGTCATCATAGTAGTTCTGGGGTAAATTGAACCAGTAGCTCAACTGAGAAAGTAAAGGAGTCTGATGAGAGGATCAGAGTTTCAGTTCAGATTGTTGAAATGTGTTACTTTGTCTTTTCAGAAATACAGCTGTGAATGTTCTGAATCACTTAAAGACATTCTCATGTTAAAATGTTTCTTTACAAAACAGATTTTTAGCAGTTATATGCAATAATAATAATAAAAAGAATTATTGTACCAGCTGAAAAGCGTTTAGTAGATAAAAATACACATGAATGTGAAGAAGTGACTGTTATTTAGGGAGAGAGAAGGTGAGGGAGGGCTGGGGTGGAGAGTAGGGGCGTAGTAGGGATACGGCTCAACTTACCCCGCTCCTATGGTCAACTTACCCCATACACAGGGTAAATTGACCATAGGAGACCACTTTTTTTGGCATGCTATATTATCAAGACAGTTATGTTTACACTCATTTTGATGGTTTGCAGGGATGCACATCTTGAAATATACGCAGATACACTAGTTACAGACAAAACTATGATTGCCTTAATTTAGTGATTCGAAATATTAAAAATGGCTCATCTTACCCCACTCCCCTCTGTGCCATAAACAGTAAAGAAGGCTGTTTCGCCTGCTGTCAATTCTCTCTACCTGTGGCCTGCTCTACTCCCTATTGAAAATGGATGGAAATGGAGATTTGAGGTATCATATGGATTCGGAGACGCATCACACAATGAACACTGGCAAAATGTTGAGCAAAGTTTGTTATTTTCTTTGGCTGTTGTTTTTTTCTTCCATAGCAGGATATTTTAGCAACTGATAAAAATAAAAATAAAAACAATGAATCAGAAAAATTAGGGGTAAATACAGAGGAAGAAATCTTTGCTATTAAAAAAAATCATTCAATCATTCTACCCTGCAGCTTTACAACTCCTCAGAGATGATGGATCTCTTCAGCCCACCTGCCCTCATCACACTATTCTCTTGTGATAAAAACTGTAAAGACCGTTCAAGGTTGTGTCCATGACTCGCTGTTGGGACTATCAGTGACCCTTAACCGTATGCACACATGAACACACTGGAACTTCCCTCTCGTTAATTTCCTATTATATTCTAGACTGGCTTTAAGTTACCTGTTGAAAGGCCTACATGGCTTTTCACACGCACACCACCTCTTACCAGCTGCTGTTTTCACACCTGCTGGTCTGGGAGAATAGAAAGAGGACTCAGACAGTAAACAGGTAGACTATATAAGGGCAGCACACTGCTGGTAGTTTAGGAGGTAGACTGACTGAGAAAACAGATCTGATATACAGTAGTTGAATCACTTTTTCCTCTTTGCAGGTTTTCTTGAAGAAAAGTCATCGATGTGTAAGGGACTCTCCTCCCTGCCTTCCTCATGCCTGGAGAAGTAAGTTTCTGACTGAATCATTTTGTTTTCTTTACAGATAATGTTGTTTGAAATGTTTAGTCCAAAAGTTTTTCTTCAAGTGATTCTGTATGTCTTCATCAGGGCAAAGGGCATGAGGGTAAAGTTAAGCCACCTGGCTGACACACACCACAAACTAAGGTAAACCTGCTGAAACAATATCAAACAAAAGAAATCAATCCAACAGTCTGCCATTTATCAGAGAGAAGCTGAAAGTGCTCTTTTTCTGTCTCTGTTCACAGGATTCATGATGGAAAAGCTCCACAGGACCTGGAAACTCTACTTAATAACAAAAGTAAGAAGAAGAAAGCTTTCCCTTCTCTTTTCTTTTGGTTAAAAGTCAATTTATTATCTTACCAACACAGCTCTTAAATACATTTGAACAGGTGACAGCAGAGACACCCCTGGAGGTGCTCACTTAAATATCTAAATCGAGCCAATTTCATTGATTTGTTGACAAATCCTCATACTGGTTTACTTTCACACACTGTCACTGCTTACCTGGACACCTGAATAGAACCTCATTTATGCAAAACTAAATACCTATGTTTACTGTATATACTGTATGAATAATATGTAGATGTATATATATGTAATGTATCATTATTTTTTAAGTAAGTGCTTACTTATTAAGTGCTTACTGGTACACTTGAAGGTTTATATGAAGAATGGTGCTTGTGCTTGAAGAGATTATTTTTCTGACCATTGACTATAGTTTGTAAAATGGAGCTGTTATCCATGTATTCATATTGTTTCCATGAATAATGACAGCTGGTAATGAATTATTATTCTCATTCATTATTGGCTCTGGTTCGTAAGGAAGGGGCAGAACCGGATAAGCTCTTTGCTTTATTCTCTTCCTTCTCAAACTGGTCGTTGTTGACATACATATGTGTACATTTATTTGATGGACATGTACAGTTGTTTGGTGTCCTTAAGTTAGACTTCTGAATAGGTGGAGTATCATCCAGCCCAAAAACACACAGGACTTTTTCATATTAGCTCTTTCTGGTTCGTCTCATCTCTCCACCTCTTGAATTATTCTGTCTTAAAGTTGGTCTGCAGGTGTTTCGTGGTTTCCTCCGCTCAGAGTTCAGTGAGGAGAACCTGGAGTTCTGGTTAGCCTGTGAGGACTACAGGGTTTCTCCTTCACACCTGCAGAAGACCAAGGGTGGCAACATCTACAGCCAGTTCATCAACCCTGATTCCCCTCAGGAGGTCAGTGGAGAACCAACACAAACAAACATTAAATTAGATTTGGTGATAGATGCAGTCAAGATTTTAAGCTCCTATTGTCCATTTTTTTCCTCAGGTAAACCTGGATGCTGAGACCCGGGAGGCTCTGCTGTGTGTGATGGACTCCCTGTGTGCCGACACATTCAACACCGCTCAACAGAGAATCTTTCATTTGATGGCCAAAGACTCGTTCCCCAGGTTCCTGCGCTCCATTCAACGCACAGACGTCATCAAAGCTATCTAAGCACGCTGTTTATCACTCTAGACCTGTTTTGAAAGCAAGTGCTTATGAATCTATACAGCTAGACGTGTTGATTGTATTTTACCAGTTACTTTAGCAAGAAGCCAGTTTTAGTGTTACTGTCCCCTTAAAAGCCATAGTGCATGTTATTGTATCAGGTTAAGATGGTTTGTTCGATGGTTTAGAAGCTTCTTAAAGACCTGATGTGAAATCTGTGTTAGACTGCATCTCTGAATTGCAAGTGTTACAGTATGCACAGGTATAAAATAAAGACAGCAGAAAATACAACTTCTTTTGTGGTATTTAATAACATCAGACTTATTCAATAAACACACTGAATATCAGCTTGATTTTTCACAGAGAAGCTCAGAGCTGCACTTGTCCTTGTTGGGCTTGAAAAATTGTTGCTGTGTTCCTCAGATTGAGGTTTTACTGTGGAAAACAGCATGGGAAATGACTCTGCTAAACAGCTTTAACTTATTGTTGATGGAGAATTTCTCTAATAAATGTGTACTCATTCCCCGTGGATGAAGGATCAGGCTAAAATAGCGCAACAGATAAAATTTGAACTTAGTACAACACCAACAACAACAACATATGGACCCCCAGAGACTCAGGAAGAGTCAATTTAATTCTGTGGTGCCCCCTGGTGGAGGGCTTTGCTACTTTAAATGGCCATCTTAATATCTTTTCAAGTCCATTATTTGAATTTTACAACCCAGAAAGGGGCTCTTTTGTTTCTTTTTACCTGATGTTATCTGGGACTTGAGACAACTGGAGGGCTTGAATCTTAAGCATGGGGTCAATGTAGCTCAATGACCACAAAGTCCTGTAGTCTGGCACTTCAGCCTCTGTAAGTCCATGGATGTGTATCAGGTCCTATTTGCTGACGTTTCCTGAATGAGCTGCTCCCGGGTTGTCTTTACCTTCAGGGGCTTTGACTAGGTTAAGTGGCTTGTGGAGAGACAAGGCTGCCTTCTGTGTCACCTCCTTCTCTATCTTGTTTCTGATGGCAACCTCAAGACCCTTAGAGAGGCAGCAGAGAGAGACACATTTGAGTTGGACAACCTGTTATGGTTATAGATATAATCACAGGAAAAATAATACTATTAATTTAAAGGAGCTATGACATAACAAACTACCAGGTGGCCTCTGTCAAGTTTGTTAAACTTGTCCTCACCTTCTTCAGCTTCTGTTGCTGGACAACTTGAGCCTTCTTGGGTGCAATGATCCTTCCTTCACCAAAGACAAAACAAAAAAAGTTATGGTCTGTTATTCTAAAAGCTGAAACCACTGATCCATCAAGTTAAATACAACAGTAACACAACATACTGCAAGTCTGCTCTGACTTATGCTGCAAACATATGGTCAGCTGATCACAGCTTTTTAGTAGCCAGCATCATTACCAGTAATAAGACAGCAGATCTGAAATATCGCCGGAATATCCCTTTAAATCCTAATAGCTTCAGCAAGCACAACAGCAGACTACAGCGACCCTTAAGTTTATTTTGATTTAACTTTGTAGTTTAATCTGAAAGGTGCCTTCATATTACTTGCACTGACTTAATGACGGCAACTCTTTTCTGAATAACATGGCTGAGTAACTATTTCGTTTCACTACCAGCTGATTAAAGTCTGTATTAACAGAATCACATCAGGACGATACATTTCCGCAAAACAAAACACGTCCAGTTTTTCCTATCCGAGTTTACTGGGAAAACTACACTGATTCGTGTTATTTGACAGTATTATTATTAATCGATAACCAATCATGAATAACGTTCTTCATCGATCTCACAGCGTGGACAGCTGATTGCGTGATTCTCACGTGTTGATGCTGTTTTTTCTAAACATAATTAACGAACTATTTTAGACCCTCCTTGGACAGCAGACGGCTTTTAAACACGTACCTCCTTTCTTTGGACCTTTCTGTTTGTTTTGATGGTTTTTCTTAGAGGCTCCTGGCCGCTGAGCTTTAAACTTCTGCGAGCCTTGAGCCATCTTTGCTAACCGGAAATACTCACGCTGCACTTCTTCTTCTACGCTTTGTTTTTCCTCTAGTTTTTCTTCTTCTCTGGTGTTTCACGGCAGTTGGCATCCATGGCGTTGCACTACTGCCACCCTCAGTTACTCTTCCTCTGTTACCGTTCATTTTGTGTCCTATTAAAAAGTCCAGTCACAGTCTAAAAGGTCATCACCTCCTCCCTTCCTTGTGCACCTTCTGCACATTCAAGAATACTTTTCACACCTTTTCCACCGCTTCCTATTCTCTCCAACTTTTCCACCATCATTCCTCTTTCCTTGTCTAATCCTCAACCTTATTATTACTTGTTCTTTCCACTCAAATCCTCTATTTCTTAATAATTTTACCCTTTTTTGTCAAATGAAGAAAACAATAACAAGAGATATTGGAAATATCGAATATGGATGGTGATAGTGTTAATAAACAGAGATTTAGATCATGACTGTATTGGGAATGTCGATAAATTATTAGTGATAGTGGGGTAAGTCATGATTGTAGAAAGATAACAAGTGGATGCAGAATTATGATCAAGGTTCTTGTCAGAAGAGTCTGTATTTTCCAGGAAGATGTAATCTATGAGTATGTTTTTCCAGTGTGTGATGTTTGTTGAATTACTTGATTTCCAGTTCATGAGAATAGTTTTCTTGGTGATAGTTAGCGCCACCAGAAGTAAGTGGCTGTGTCTTGTCTAGTTGTATTGTGGATATGTTTCCTAGTAAGCAGAGGGATGGACAGAGTGGGATGTGGCAGCCCATGATCTGGGATAATGCATCTGTGATAGTTTTCCAGAATTGTTGGACAGGTGTGCAATGCCAGGTTGCATCAATGTAGGTATCAGTGCAGTTTTTGCACCCATTTTGTGCATTCTCTGTCCGGTCAGGTGAGTTCTATGGAGAATTTTGTATTGAATGAGTGGTAGGTTGCTGTTTTTTAGTCATGAAGTTAATATTCTTGTAGATCTGGGACCAGAAGGTGTTATCGGAAGTAATGGCTAGGTCAAATTCCCATTTTTCTGAGGGTACCGAGAGTGTTGGATCAGTCTGTGATATCAGTTTATATATTTTAGATAGAATTTTTTTGAGGAGGAGATGTTAATGATTGCAGAAGGTGAGGGGGGAAGGTCTAATCATTGTTGATTGGATAGACGAGGTGACTTGCAGATATTGTAGAAATTGGTGACTCCTGATGCCGAACCTCTGGACCAGGAGAGGGCGAATGAAGCCATGGTGTTGTCGTAGATGATATATTTAAGGCGAGTTTGAGCCTGGCTTTAATTGTGGATGGCAAAGGAGGGAGTTGGACAGACCTCTTTGGCTGCTCTGGTGGTCCAGAGGGAGGTGACTCAGCATCCAGGCCAGGAAAACTCAGCCATTGACAAGCTTTCTGTCTGAGTCTGGCTTTAGCTATAGATGGCAATTCAGATAGACAGACAGACCTTTGTTGTTGCTGTATTTGTTTAGAAGTAGGTGACTAAGCCTAAATACACATACTGTATTTTATAACCAAAACTAAACTCTTGACACTATGAATCAAGATGAATTTTGAAGGTGTTTATTTTTGACTATTACACTGTTTTTTTTTTCTTTTTCTTTTTTTTAATCTGTAAATATCAGATATTAAATCCTCTTGACATAGTTTTTTATGTTTGCTTTGCCAAAAAGGAAAGAATAATAAAAAGAAGCCAATTCGGTCGTAGTATCAGTGTTTAAAACTGGCTTTAACATTTGTCACATTACCAATTTACTGGGAATTATGTACAACAGAATTTGTGTCAATGCTATTGTTCCTTCATTTTGTGAAAAATCGAATTTGATTTTATTCCTCTCAAAACTGTGCAGCTCCACATGTGGTTATACAAAGTGGTATCACTGAACTTTATGCTGAACCCGACAACAGAGATTTCTATAGAGTATGTTTAAGGCCAGCTCGTGGTCTGTGATCTGACAGACTCAGCTACACAAGGACTCAGGGTGTTTGAGATGCACTCATACACGCTGTCCTTTCACATCAAACAACACTTCCCACTCATCCAAAAGCCAAAACGCTTTGAAATGAATTAATTGGTTCTTGCCTGCAACAAATGAGGTTCAGAGTGGATCTCTGGCCAGTGTAAGCATGTGCGTATGACGGAGGGGGAGGTGGAAACAAGGAGTGAACAGAAATGCATACAAGGGATGATGTTCCATACATGCAGTGTTTCTGGTGTGGACATATATGGTGTAAGAGATGTTTTTGACTCATTTGAAATGAAGAGTCAAAAATAAGTCAACCACAGCTGCATTTCTGTATTTTCACTCCTGTGACTGTTCCCAACAAAGGGGGAGATAATCAAAACTTTAAAATGTTATTTTTAAATCCCTGTCTTCATCAAAAGTCCTCTTTTCTCCACACAAGATTAAGTAAATATGGATTCTCTTGAGAGAAAAATTTTGAAGGACTTTATTTCATTTATATTGTCTGATCATTTCTGGTTGCAGTTGCAATTAGAGTGAAAGAAGGAAATAAATAACGCAACTGTGACTCATTCCACTGAGTGGTTGGTGTTTTTCTTTTTCTTTAATTCAATCAAGAAAATGCTCAGTCATGAAAAAAGCTCTGTCGTTGGATGATCAATTATATTTTTTTCTCCTCTTCTTTCTCTCTTTTAATTGATTGTGTTTGTAGGTGGTTCTGCTGTGGATATACGCTTACTGTTGAAGCTGTCTTAAAAACAAAGCCTTACAGACATATTGCTCTCCCTGCTAGATCTGTATCTGCACCTCATCTACAACCCCTCTGGCATGAGGCCCGTGGCATTGGGCCCAGTCAGCCTTTACTCAGCACATATCACATCGCCTATGACACCACAGTAATGTTGAAAAAAAAAAAAAAACACGGCTGTGCACATATGGAAACCTGCTGCTGAGCTGTCAGTGTGAAGGTGAAACACCTTTGCTCAGGTGTCCTTCACCGACACTCATAGGTGTAAATCATGCGTTACTAAGCAGAAACAACTTGTCTTTTAAAGTTTTTATGAGTGTCGGATAGTTTGTATGACTTCAAGAATCATTGATATTTAAGTAAAAGCAAACCCCAATTCAAGTGAAGTTGGGACACTGTACAAAAAGTGAATAAAAAATACAATTATTTGCAAATCCTTGAAAATTTGCAAACAGTATGGGGGTGTATAAGTCTCCTTGGCATCACTAACAGCCACATCTGTGAAGGCTCCATTAATGCTGAAGGGTACATACAGGTAGAAGCATCATATACTGCCATCCAAGCCATGTCTTTTTCAGAGACGTCCCCGCTTATTTCAGCAGGACAATGCCAAGACACATTCTGCACATGCATGGCTTCAGAGTGAAGGAGTGTTTATACAGGTGTAAGAAACTCTAATCATGATAGAGTCAAAAGTTGAGAAAAATCAGGGTTTTGGGTTTCAGTTCTTGCTGTAAGAGTCAAGTTTTACTGCAGTATTTGCTCATTTTTGTGAATCTGACTGTGCTGTATGGCTCTGAAAGATGAGGACTGTTTAATTGGTCCCTTGTGTTAGAGAACTGTATCTCTGTGATAATTATGTCCAGCATAAAGAGTCACAGGGGATACATACAGACCCCTTAGACTACTGTGGCCTCTGAACTAATCTCCACTGCTTGAAATGTCAACTAATCAAAAAGAGTAATATGCATTCAGTCCATAATATGGGAAAAAAATGGTCTGATGTGGTTTTCATGTGTTCTTATTCTGTAATGTATCCTGGGACTGACTGTGTTGTGAGTCAACAGTCTCCTAGCATGACTGGTGGTGATTGTTAGCTGGAAAATGTCCCGAAGGTCTGTCCCAGCTAAAGGTTTGTGGTCATGGTGGCCGGGGAAACAGTGAAAATCCTGTTCTCTTCATTACCTTGTTCCACCTTCTTGTGCGAAAATGTGTTAGCCTGACCTCCTATATGCAGCTTGGAGAAGATTTAGAAGATGACCACTCCACCCATATCCTGTTTTCTTGCTTCATGGTAACCTCCAAAACATCCAAACATATCTGTTATTTTCCCCCACAAAGACTGACCTCTCCTGGGATGTGGTCCAAGCATCTCTGTCCCCTCTGTCTCTTTCGTTCTTGCACTGTTTGTTTGTTTGTGTTTTAACTTGGAGACAAGGGCACCAGCAGAGGGCACAGACATCGACAGACGCAGCAGATTCACCTGCTGTGACTTTGTGCCCCCTTTAGTATCATCTCCCCAAAATCTCCTGACCTGCTGCTCAACAATTTACAGTTATTCTTGATGTATAGCTTTTTACAGACATTGACTGAAACAAAGGAAAGAGAGAGCGAGACGAACACAGACCACAGTGGCTGTCTATAGAAGATGAACACAATGCCGCTGTATAGCCTTGGTGAATCACTGGGCATTAAATTACACAGAAGTTCAATCCTGCAACAGCATTACGACTTCTCTTTACGAACTAGTCCACTGTGGTGCTGTTAGCATTTTAGCTTCTGCAGCCACTCTCAAGTGGACACTTGGAGACCTGCAATTTTAGCACCTCTGCATGGGACTGCATGAAGACCAGAGGTTGCCTCATGCTGGCGGTATACCCCCCTCTACCGGTTTAAGCTTGACTGAGCCATACACATGCAGCACACATGGGTGGCAGTAGCTCAGGAGGTAGAGCAGTCATCTAATAACTGGAAGGTTGGCGGTTTGATTCCACCCTATGTCCCAGTGTGTGTCCTCCACTAGTGTATGATTGTGAGTGTTGTGTGGTGGTGGTCGGAGAGGCCGTAGGCGCAAAATGCCATCCTCATTTCCATCAGTCTGCCCCAGTGCAGCTGTGACTACTAAGGTAGTGAACATCACCAGGGTGTGACTGTGTGAGTGAATGAATGATGTATCCAACGTAAAGTGCTTTGAGGGTCTCTGATAAAGTGCTATATCAAATCTGATGTATTAATATTAGAAAATCAATATCCAACCGCAATATCCAGGTAAGTCTGACTATGAGAAGTTTGATTTCAGTGCAATTTCAGTCAGACTAATGTGTTCACATGCATTTTAAAAATCCAGTTTCAGTCGAAGAAGGTACATTGGTGAGTGAGTGAGTGAGTTAGTGAGAAGGAAAGTGAGTGACTCAGAAAGGAAATAGGTAAGTTAGTGAGTGAGAAAGAAAGACGGTGAGCGAGTTAATAAACAAGTCTGTGAGAGTTAGTCATGAGGTAAGTTAGCAGTTTAATGAGTGAGAAAGGAACTTGTGAATCTAATTAATGGGTGAGTGAGTCAGTTTGTTGATGTGAAAGCCAGTATAAGAAAGTAAGTCATATCCAGTTAAAAGCAAATCTGTGATTGTTTAATTAATTTGTATTAAGTGAAGAACCCTTTGTGAAAAAACTACAATAATTATTACTTTAAAGAGTGTCGTGTTTGCTCAGTCTTTTAGGTGCTACTTAAACTTTCTCTAAACTTAAAAAAGAAAAAACTGTTCTGGCTCCTTCCTCATATTCTTCCTTAATTTCTCCCTGGTCTCCCATTAGGTCCCTCCTTCCCTCCCGATACAGTGCTGGCCAAAACAGAAGCAGCTTGCCTGCAGTCAGCAGCATATGCTGTTTTCTGCTTTAATAAGACTACACTAAATTCATCTGTGAGAGAAGGAAATGGGTTGGGGTGAGTGGAAGAGAGTTAAGTAATTCATTTTTCCACACTGAAGCCCTTTAATGTTCTGCTTTACAATTGACAGTGAAACATGAGTGAGTCCTCCGCAACCCGGCACATTTCTCTGAAGCTCATTTATTACAATGATTTAAACATGGTGGGATTTAAAGCAGACAGAAAAACTGCTGACTTACAGTAAGGTCATTATTAATGAGAACTGGAGGCTGTTTGATATTCTTCTGTCTTCACCGGACTGAACTGGGTGCATATATGTGCGAGTGTGTTGGAGTGTGTACATGTGCACCCCATCAAATGAGTTTAAGCCAATTTGGCAGTTTTGCTTCAGCTGTCAGACACACTGGATCACTGGTGGCATGTTTCCGCACTCATCCCCCTTTCTGCAAGACGATGTTTGTTCACAAGGCAGATAAGAGAGGACGATAAAGAGAGGAGAGGAAGAGAGGAGAGGAGGAAATGAGGAGGGAGAGAGATGCAGGGGGTTGCTGGGGCTCGGAGCTACAGCTTTGTATTGGTTGTAGAATGAGAGGGGCTGGTCCTTCTCCATCCCTCTCACCACCTCCACTGAGAAGCAGAGTGAGTAGCACACACACACACACACACACACTCTTACACTCACACACACACACACACACTTCGAGTCACAGGAATCATGTCAGGACACAGGACGGACCAGGAGCTGGAGTGCACACACAAACATTCCAGGAGAGTTCAAGATAAAGACTGAGGACATCACGGTGGGACAGACTGAGGAATGGGAGATGAAGACGGAGAGGCAGACACACAAAGATATGTGATTGAGCTGCTGTTTCCGAGCTGTCACAGAAGTTTGACAGAGTGCTGCTCTCATGGCGGGACCAGCCCCACAGGAGCCCATAAAGGTGATGTTTATATCCCTCAGCGACACCTGCTTCACTCTTCACTCTGCATTTTCATTATCTTTCACATTACGCTTGTTCTGTCTGTTGTCAGGATTTTAGTGCATGTTTTCCCGAGGCTTTGCAGTCATCAGCTAAATAGGATGGAGCCTGTACTTAACCGAATATGATCTTTGAAAACCCTAAGGAAACACAAATTGATTGATAAGACAGTTCAATGTCAGCTAATCTCTCAGTTTGAGAATGCATTAACTGCTTTTGCCATAAAATCTGGAAACTCAAGGATACACAGTTAGAAATGAAACAGTAAAACTGAGAAAAACGTTTTATGTTGGAAACTTGAATCCACATAAAATATCATTTTGCAGTGAAAACAAGTAGAAAAATCCCTCTGTTATCTTCTTTGTTGCTTGTAATGTTTAAGTTGATGACTATTCTCCGCAGAAAAAAGGGAAACATTGTGAGAAAAATGTTGTTATAATCTTCATGAGACTATTTTTGATATTTTAAAAAACATGACTTTATAGGAGAAATTCAAACCAACAAATAGATGTCTTTAAAGGATATTTTAAGTATTTATTTGAAGTTATAAATCAGTTCAATAAAGATGAAGAAAAAAAACCCTGATGAAAGTAGTTTTAGTCCAAACAGCAGAACAACAATAAAATCATTTCCACTATATGAAAAAGAAACAAGATGGTTATTTTTGATCATTTGAGACACTGGAACAAGATGATGATGGACATTTTTCCTCACTAATAACAACAAAATTTTTATTCAAATCAAACAACTGCATAACAGGGCTGCATAGTCCTGTAGTATTTAACACTGTTGCCTCACAGAGAGAAAGGGGTTCCTGGTTTAAATCCCCTCTCTGAGCAGAGTTTGCACATTCACTCGGTACATATGTGGACCCTATCTTGACACGCTTGGTTGATCAGAGACTCTAAATTGCCTGTTGGTGTGTGAGTGAATGGTTGTCTCTATATGTTGTCCAGGATTTACCTTTCCTATCGCACAATGACAGCTGGGAAAGGCTCAAGCCGCTCACCATCCCAACGTGGATAAGTAGTACCACAGCAGACAAAATGACAGAGTAACAGATAACCATGCTTCCTTTTCCTCAGTGGTATCTTTATGTTGTAGTTCTGAATACAAATGAAACAGCTCTAAAATGTCATCCTTCAGTACAGTGTGTTAGTGTTTGTTTGTTTTCATCTTAAATCAGGAAATCTTGTCTCATACTTCATCTTGGGCATTCAGTCCACGGCCATGTTTCCTCCATAAATCTTGTTCAGTATCACAAGGCTTTTTCCTTCTAGCAGCCACACACCGACACACAAGTCTGACATGGTCTTGGACTCTGCTGGATGTGATGAAGAGCTCAGAGGTCTCAGTCGAACACAAAGGAGTGTAAGGTGCATTCAACTGGCACCAGTCTTTCAGCCTCATCCCCTGAGACAGACAGGAGTGGAAGATCAGATTGTCAAAGATCTTCCAGCCCCCCTTCGTCCGTCTGTCTGTCTGTCTGTGTGGCTTGCTGCAGAAGTGTGTTTTTCTTTTAGTTTAATACTTTAAAAAAATGCTACAGCAGGGAGTCCTCTTTTTTAGCAAAGTTTCTGCTGACACCTCCAAACTCTTCATGCTGTTTCTGTGATTGATTGAACACAACAAAAGAGAATATGTAATGAGACGTGATGACAGCTCACAAAACCGACAAAGCCAAACAGGGCAGGGAATGAGATGTTAAAAATGTGTGGTCGTAAGCAAAACAGAAGTGCCAAACTGCACTTTTAAAACAGAGAGAAAGATCCCTGGGCTGGACCAGGGCAATAAGGCTGCTGCATCGAAACCCCTGACCATACTGTCACTCCAGTATTATTACATCCCATATATATACACTGCACCACATACATGCCTGTTAATATAAAATCTAATATTGCTTGTTATAAATGCAACTTTGTGGATCCATCCTGGCACAGAGGTCATAAAATCCTGCTCAGCTGGGATTCATCTTATCAACAATTCAGAAAAAAAGGAAAGTATACAGGATTCCTATGGTTAAGCTTTAGTCTGTACCAATTTGCCTCCAGCTTGCAGAGCATCACACTCCACTTGTGCTGGAACATTTGTCTAGCTTGGGGATTTCAGCTCCAGAGTTTTGGATTCCTCGTCAGCCTGGTTGTCAAATCAAAGGTTTCTAGAGTCAAAAGAAGACGTTAAGTTGTTGTTGTATTGATCATGAATCCTATAACCTGGTCAATGATATTGACTAAGGACATTTGCATTTAAAAGCTGATAATTTCCTTTTGTGCAGCCACCCTGCAGTTGCTGTCTTTTCTGCAATGTTCAACTTGGTATTTCACAAAGAAAGAGCTGAGCACACAGCTGCAGATCAGACGCCCTTTAAAGAAAATTAAATTAGAGAATCAAGCCTCATTTTTGAGTGATTTGTGAGTATGTGTGACTTATCTTTTAGACCCAGCAGAAGTGCATCGCCATCTTTGCCCTTCTCTGCTGCGTTGCTGTGCTGTCGGCATTGATCTTCTCCTCTGTGGACATCTGGGGGGACGATGATGGGATCACTGAGGAAAACTGTAGCAGTGACTGCCGGTAAGATGCTCTGCATGACATTTAATAAAGAAATGGAAAAGAAAGCATGACCATGACCTGTGAATACCTGTGAACATATGGACCCATTGTAGCCTTGACGACTGTTCCCCAGAAACTCTTTGGCTTCAATATATTTATTAGTTTTACTTGATGTATAAATGATCAGGTCCTCATTTTCCACTACTTAGCCATTCAGGATTTCTTTTCATAGTCTTATGTTGTTTGTTTTTTCCTAAAAAATCTTGGTATCATGGCACTCTCAAGGGAGAGTTTATTCTACCAGAGTGAAGTTGAAAGTTATTTCAGTGAATAGTAGACATTGTCTTTCATTCCACACATACTTTGTCTCTGTCCCAGCCTGGAGCCTACCTTTCCCAACATGATGCACCTTCACCACTTCAACCAGAGCTTTAGAAGCTGTAGCCTTCATTTGCTATGTATATGTGTGTCACTCTACACCCACATTTTTGTTTAACCATTGTTACATCTAGGGCTGGGCGATAAACGATAATGATATATATCAAAAATTAATTCCCCTCGATATCGATATAAAACATGGTCAATATGCTTTTTGATAGTCGGCATTCTGCCATGTTTTGGCAGGCTATACCAGTGGTTCTCAAGTCCAGTCCTCGTGCCCCCCCATCCTGCATGTTTTGGATGTTTCCCTGCTCCAACACACCTGATTCAAATGATCAGCTCGTTATCAAGCTCTGTAATGGCTTAATAACGAGCTGATCATTTGTATCAGGTGGGGGGCTTGAGGACTGGACTTGAGAACCAATGGGCTATACAAATAGCCAATGAAAAGGGGAGTTGCTCCGGGTCGCGCTGCACTGAACCAATCATGCTGAATTAGAACCAAGTAGCAAACAACTGCGTAGTAGCAGACTGCAGCTACTCGCAAACATAGCACTTTTACATTTTAAGCCGACAGCACTGTTGGAAAAAAGAAAATGAGTGCTACCCCTGGCAGAAATGCAGATGAAGACTCAACCAGTGAAGACATTGTTGACAACACTGGCATGAAAACGTTGGTGGTGTGGAGGTATTTTGGTTATTTGAGGTCAGACATGAAACAGAGTAATGTGCACTGCAAATTATGTCAAGTACATGTTAAATTTCATGAAAGGGTAGCAGGGAACATTTAAGATTGACAAGTGATTTTTTTAATATTGTGATACATATTGATATCAACTGATATGGAAAGAATGTATTGTGATCAACTTTTTCCCTTATCGCCCAGCCCTAGATACTCCTCCATCCTTTTATGCTCAGCTGGCACAGACTCAGGTGGCTTAAACTCTGAGAAAATTTATTCGATTTTGTGTCCAGAGTGATCTGAGGCTCCACTAACTTAATAAGGATGTATCACTTTTAGCATCGAGCTCGTGGAGAATATTCCTGAAGACCACCTTCTCCTGATGGATGGCAGACCCCGCCTTCCCCTCTCTGCAGGGTTTCACATGTTGTTGGACCAAGCAAAGCGCTCAGTTGAAGTGGTGTCCCCTGTCTGGAGCTTAAACCCCTGGGATCTTGAAACAACACCAAGTACTGCCAAACAGGTACAAAGTCAGAGCAGAGAGTGATTAAATCTGCCATAATTTTGCAGAGTTGAAACAACTGCATTTCCCAGGGGCTGTGTAAGAGGAAATGCAATTATTTTCTAGTAAATCTGTGTGTAGTCTTTTAATGAGGTTAGTCCTGTAGAGATGGTAAGTACTGGCCTTTCAAGAGACATCCGTGCTCAACTAATACAGAACATCCCCCTCTTCCTCAGGGTCAGCTTTTGTTCCAGAGACTGCTCAGCCTGAAATCTCGTGGGGTTAAACTGAAGATTGCCAGCAGTCTGGCGAACTCCGCTGAACTTAAGACCTTGGCAGCACACGGTGAGTGGCTGTCATATTTTCATTTTACAAAAGCAATTTGTTATGGCTGCTGTAGCCAACCAGAAAGAAGAGTTATGAAACTGAGGCCGGATGCTGCCAAAATGAATTAAAAAATGTTTTTCTTCCTGCTTCAGTCATATATTGTTTAACTCGCTCTCTTTATAAACCACACACAGATTTGGACTCAAATGAAACGAAGAGTAGAAAACACATGCATTAATATGTACAGTATAGGTAGGGAAAAAAAGCTAAAAAGTTTATTTTGGTCAGTTTAAATGTCTTTTCATCCATAAAGTTGTTTCTTGGTCTTGTTAATTTCAGTAGCTTTTATGGCTCCTGAAAAACATGCCTAATTAATTTATGGATTAACCATTTTTGAAAAGATTCCCTGGATATTCAGTGTAAATTTTAGTCCTTTTTGAGACACCAGTTTTAGGTTAAATTCTCCATTTGTGTGGTTTCTATCTGAAAAAGAAAAAAAGATTTAGACTTATTTACACCCTGCAGCCTCAGCAAGAGCTCTGCAGGACAGGTTATATATATTGTTCAGTTCTGCCAAACTCCAAAATGAAGGTCAAAAATCATGAATGTGAAAATGAACCTGACTAGTTTCCTGTCAAAACCCTGTCCTCGAAGGTTGGCTGCCTGCTGTACCCACATCCACATCAGACAGCTCAAGGCCAAACTGGCACATTCCCAGGACCCCCTCATGTCATTTGTTTAAAGTTAACTTGTCTATCTCACGTTGTTCAGAAGCGGAGATTCGCTTCATTAACATGACGGCTCTTACCAGAGGAGAACTGCACTCCTCTTTTTGGATAGTGGATCGGAGGCACATTTACATCGGGAGCGCTGATATGGACTGGAGGTCACTCTCCAAGGTAATAACAAACATCAACAACATGAGTTTGCAGGGTGAAACCAGAGCGGAGGATAAATGAGCCTCTGCAGTCAGGCGTGGTCAGGTCTGCAGTTCATTTCAAGAGTGAAAATGGCAACAGCTGCTCTTGGTGCCTCAGATGTAATTGTTGGAGTACACACATTTAATTAAATGATAACCTTGCTCCCCCACTGGGACTCCAAACATAACACAAAGTGCTGATTAGTTCCACTCCACATCTGTAGCTTTTTATGCAGCAACTCTGGCGACTCCTAATAAGCATTGGGGATGATTTAAGATCGCTGTCTGAGGCAGCACAGAGAGACAAGTAGCATTTCACTTTGAATTTAATATGTAATCCACAACAGAGGAGGGACCAGGGAGCATTAGCATACTACTACTTGAAGTGATTACCTGGCACTTTTCATGCTTCAGTGCTGGCTGGAGGTAAGACTGCTGTTCAGTATAATTAACTCAGGAGCCAGGAGATAGGCAGGACTGGACACATACATGAATGTATAGGAATACACATGTACACATACATACATATACACATAGTATACAGAGCAGATGACAGAAGACCTGAAACGAAGAGAGAGAGAGAGCGTCTAACTAGAGTGATGCAAGTCCACAATTCAAGATACTTGGTAGTAGAATTAACAACAACCTCTGTACGCCTCCTTCTGGGTCAGTCACCAAAATAGAATAAACATGAAACAAAGTTCTGCTGTGCAGTTAATGACCAGGCCAGAATACATTTAGGGCAGCTCAGTCTCTTTTGTGTTTCACTTTTTATTGTGTTATGTTGAGTCAAGCAGCTCTGCAAAGGGTGATGAAAGTCTGCTGGTTAGATCACCACGTCACTCCACACAGGAATATTTCAATAATGATTAGGACTGTCATTAGATTAATATGCCATTGTGTTCCCAGAGGAAGTGTGCTGTCACTTTGATGATCTGCTGGTTTTACCTTGACGTTAGGGCTGGGCGATAAAACAATGATGATATATATTGAAATTTAATTTCCCTCAGTATCGATATAAAACATGGTCAACATGCTTTTTTCAATCAGAGCTTTAGTTGTTTCATGCCAGTAGCTGCAAACATAACATGGAGCTGCTTGGATCAAACATGGATCGGAAAGAGCGGTAACCTTCATTTGCTATGTATATGTCAATCAATCAATCAATCAAATTCACAATAGTCGTCATCCCAAGACACTTTCCAAAGAAAAACAGCAGGTCTGCCATTCTACCATGTTTTGGTCGACTATACAAATAGCCAATGAAAAGGGAAGACATGAAGCAGATTAATGTGCACTGCAAATTATGTCGAGTACATGTTCTCGCAAAGTCTGGGAATACCTCAAAACTTTTTCACCACCCGAAGCAGTGCCACGTGGCAGAGTATGCGTAGTGCAAAAGGTTACAAACCCAGAGGGTAGCAAGGAGCCCATGGTGCCTGTGCAGCTGAAATAGCCGACCATCAGTCCGCTCTCTTTAGCGCAACACCTTAGGACAAAACACTTTGAAGAGACATCAAGACCTCACAGATGCAGTATCTTATTGTGTTGCAAAAGACTTGCTACCAATAAACACTGTTAAATTTCATTTTTTATATTGTAATATGTATTGATGCTGACTGATATGAAAAATATATATTGTGATAAACGTTTTCCCATATCGCCCAGCCCTACTTGACGTCATAACAAGTTGGAGTTTTTGGTTAAATGTCTCAACAATTACTGAACCCTTGGTGAAACTTCACATGCACTGTTGTGTTAGTAAATACTTCTGATGAGCCTTAACTTCCATCAAGTATTATTCCAAGCGTTTTTATGCTTGGATAGATGAGTGTAAAGCCAACAACACTCCTGTAAGCCCAAGTGACCACTAGACATCAAGTGGTAACGTGCTTTGTCGAATTTAAAATATATGTTTAATGCAAATTGGGTATATGCTTCATAAATGCCTGCGTATTGGCACTAATCAAATTTCTCCTCTGGCATAAATAAGGCTCTTCTTATCTCTTATCTAATCTATTATTTTCAATATATTAGCATGTTATTGTTAGCAACCAGCACGTCTGCAAACACTCTTCAATTTTGTTTTTGTTTGGAAAAGGATCCTGTTCACACCCTAGAAATAAAGCTGTAGCTGGTTTGTCACGCTCACTTTATGTTTCTTTTCTTCTAAAATAAGAAACAGCTTTACTTTGATCTCATTTAGCACCTTTTGTTATGTTGTTTAATGATATTCACACAATGACCTAACTTGGCTCCAAACTTTTATTCTGCTGCATCACCTCTTTCTCTGTGTTTCTTCCTGACGCCCCACAGAGGAAAGAACTGGGACTGGTGCTGTATAATTGCAGCTGTCTGGCTTTGGACCTCCACAGGATCTTTTCTTTTTACTGGCAGCTTCATGACAGGGACTACATCCCCTCCATCTGGTCGAAGAGAGTTACAGCCCTCTATGGGAGGCACGATGCCCTGGAGCTGCATCTTAATTCTACCGAGGCCTCTGCTTATGTGTCTGTGAGGAATCACCTTGTTTTTTATATATTGCAGTATTTCCCGCATGTATGTATACAATACTGTACAGCAGACTGCAGGCTGTATTAATTATTGATTCCTTGACTTGTTTTTATTCCTCATACAGCACTTTAGCTTCCTGAATGTGGGCCAAATGGTGAATGCCTTTATCAAAGTTTCATTGGAGAATGATAACAGTCACACACAGGCTGTGATTAATCATGTTAATGTCATGCAGAGGAGCATCTTGGTTGGAAATCTCAGTACCTCAGCCTAATTGGACAGTAATGAATCTTGTTACCCTCCAAGCAACAGGGCGCTTATCAGTTGCATTTAGCACATTTATCATCCTATAGGAACTCATGACGCCCTGCTGTCACAAGCTGCTGGCAACTCCAGATGATTCTCCTGCCACGCTTCATCTAGCAGAAATACCTTGATAAAGTCTCATGCCTTATTCTTCATATGCTCTGTCAAAATGTCATACTGAATATATCAGATAAGAAACAGGTTGATATGTATCCTAATTTTATTAACTGATCAGCTGGATTTGTACTGTATTTATATTTTTGCTAAACGGACTGACAGACATATCCTTTCTGCAGACCTCTCCTGAAATCTTTTGTGCTAAAGATCGTACCAGAGATGTAGATGCCATCTATCAAGTCATCCAGAGTGCAAAGTCGTTTATTTTCATCTCTGTGACAGATTACCTCCCGGTAGTCAGCAGGACTTCTAGAGGAATCCTAGTTACAAGGTACTCTAAAAGGTTTTATTAAAAGCGCTCTGACACTCACAGGTCACATCTTGTATTAAAAAAAAGCCCACACTGTCATTACCACTGTTATATCATCAGGTACTGGTCGCCTATAGATGAGATGATCAGGGAGGCGGTGGTACTGCGAGGAGTTAAAGTTCGACTGCTGATAAGCTTCTGGAAGAAGACTCACCCTCTCACCTTTAACTTTGTCACATCCCTCAAGTCGCTCTGTATGCAGCTACACAACTGTTCCCTAGAGGTGGTGCGTGAGTTTTAACACCATCCAGATGTGTCTGGATTTTTTTTAAGGAAACGTCATTATCAAAACATGATTTTGAGAGTTAATGTGCTGTCTGATTTTATTTAATCAAATCAACAGAGATTTTTCAGTCATAAGGAGCAAAAAGAAGATTTTCAGCATGGACTCAACCACAACAAGTACATGGTGACCGACAATGCACTCTACGTTGGTAGGTTTTTAATGATGTGCAAGCAACTAAATGATTTTATTCTAACTTTTATTTGATTCATTAATGTTTTAAACAGAATATTTTAAATATTTAGGTTTTTTTTATTTCTATATTCTTAAAAAATGAATACCTCTTTACATTTGCCCATTAGTTTTAAGGCTACAGAAGAATGGAGAAGAAAAGTAAAGGAACACTTTGGGAAAAACTTCTGCAGCATGTTTAAGGATAATATTGTCTATGAGGATTCTGAGACCTGTTGGTAAACTGCTAAACCTCGAGCTCATTGCGGCACAAAAGCTGCATCAATTAATTTTTTACCTACAGTTTTGGAAGATTTAGGATTAAGGTTAGGGCCCAGCTGAGCAAACCCTCTCCTGGTTATGTCTTGAAATGTGACTGCTATTTGTCTTTTAATATTGGGCAAGAAATTGAACTATGCTGCTGCTGTACATTAGAAATTACTACCTCTTAATGTGTGTGCACACACACAAAGAAACCGAGACACACAAACTATACCACAAGCCAAAATACATAGCACAAGAAGGGAACCATAAAACTGTAACACTAAGTCTTATAATGCTTGTAAATGTTGAAATCTGAAAGGTTTTCTGTTTGCTAACAGGGAACCATGACTGGGTTGGGAGTGACTTTGCGAGGAATGCTGGCGTTGGGCTGGTGGTCAAGATGAAAAACAGCCTCACAGACAGAGGAGTGACAATCCTGGAACACGTCAAAGCTGCTTTTGAAAGAGACTGGAGGTCACGATACGCAAAGAGTCTACAAGGCAACAAAGATCAACATGGCAAATACAGAAACTCACAACATAATAAAATCCACATGGACACCAAGGTGGAAAACAAGTGGAATGAACCTTTATCTTTTTAAGCACAGAATGTCTTTCTAAACACTATAGCCTTGTTTGCTGCATACTCTAGATTTTACAATAACATATATGCATACGAGAATGTGACTTAGACTGTTAGACTTCAATTTATTTTGAAGATATTTAAGTCAACAAAGACAATGTTGAGGTGATAACTTGACTCAGTTTTCCTGCAAGATCCAATAACTACTCGAAAACCCCAGCAACTGTCATCAGTTATCTGAGCATGTCATTCTGCATGAACACTGAGAACAATATTCAAACTATTCTATACTAAGATAAGCAATATGCTGATTATTAAATCAATATGCTCTGTGTAAAACTTTTATCATTCCAATAATGTAACCCATCAGACTCACAGGAATGATCTGTGTTTGGAATTTAACGATAATTTTATTAACAGTTTTGATTGTTTCTTGACTTTATAAACCTTTTTATGCTTTAAGATCTTCATAAATGACTCCAATGCAATATTACCCAGGAGTGAAATACAGTATATTTTTGTTTCTTTGTTACCTCACACATACAGGGTCTTTGGCAATGGCTTTATTGATGTAACAACAGCTGTGGATAATCTCATTGAAAATCTCCCTTTATCCTTCATAAATGCACCCTTTTCATCATTGTTGTTGGTTTTTTTTAATGATTTAATATTACCTTATTGGGACCCCTGGGCTGATTAACATCCATACATTAAAAAAGAAAGGTTGGGGCTTCTTGACAGATCACAATCACACTCTCATGGTCATAAGAGAGTCTTTTAAAAATAAATGTAGGCCCTGACCATAAGCCTTTTGAGTCACACAATCAGCCACTGCTGTTGAGTGTAAAGATTTGTATGTATTTATTATAAAGACCTAATCTTATTTTGTTTCAAATCTAATATACCATATTGATGTATCTAAAAGACCGCATATTTGGATAAACACATGTCAGTGATGCACTTACCACATTTGGCCACTGGGGAGCTAATGAACTGAAAAATAGCTGATTGCCAAAATAGAAAATACCAACAGTTATTCCACTACAAGTCACATTGTGGCCTTGTTTATAACCATCACATCAAATAAAGTTATCACCATTAAGTTAGTGTGGTTTAACATAACAGGAGCCTATTTTGAAAACGTATTACTTATCCTTAAATACAACTATATATTTGGCTATCATTTGAATTCAATGTTATCTAACTTGTAATTCTGAATCTAACGTATATTTGGTTGGTGAGTAATAAAAACGTGACTTCATTAAAAGAAGTTAAGACATTTAGACACTATCGGCCACCTCAGATTGGACCAGACTGTTAGAGAAGAACAAATTCAAAGCAGACTTCAAACAATAACTTCATAACTCCTTGACAATAAAGCCATATTATCCATTTTACTTCTCTTTTGTTTGTATTGATGTGCTTTAGTTTGTGGATTTTTTTTTTTTTTCTATTTTTTAACCAGGGGAGAGTGGGGTAAGTTGAGCCACCCCATGTTGCTTGGAGATAGTAAAAGAAATTGATCATGTTACCAAATATTTAGGAGATGGGCATCCATTCATGGAGTCTGTGAAGGTTAGAAGCACATAGGTGAAGGGATTAGGCATTTATTTTAAAAAAAATAATAATAATAAACATTTTTCACTCTTGAAAGTGAATTTAGTCTGTCATAAGTTTTATTAGAATTGAGTTCAGACCTAAAAAAGATAATTTTAAATTTGTTCTATACATTAATTGTGGTATATATGAGCGACAACATGAGGTCAAAAACCTAGCATAAAAGTCTACCATTTTAGTTTAGAGGACTAATAAAGTCATAATAGTAGTTCTTAGGTAAGTTGAGTCAGTGGCTCAACTGAGAAAGTAAAGGAGTCTGATGAGAGGATCAGAGTTTCAGTTCAGATTGTTGAAATGTGTTACTTTGTCTTTTCAAAAATACAGCTGTGAATGTTCTGAATCACTAAAATGGCTTTTTACAAAACAGCTTTTCAGCAGTTATATGCAATAATAATAAAATATATATTGTACCAGTTGAATAGCGTATAATATATAAAAATACACATGAATGTGAAGAAGTGACTGTTATTTAGGGAGAGAGAAAGTGAGGAAGGGCTGGGGTGCAGAGTGAGGGGGGTAGTAGGGATACGGCTCAACTTACCCCGCTCCTATGGTCAACTTACTCCATACATGGGGTAAGTTGACCACATAAGACCACTTTTTTTGGCATGCTATATTATACATGCTATATATTATATTATTATTATTACAGTTGTGTTTACACTCATTCTGCTGTTTTGCAGGGATGCACATAATCTTAAAATATATGCAGATACACTAGTTAGAGATAAAAATTTGATTGCCTTGATGTAGTGATCCAAAATATGAAAAATGTCCCATCTTACCCAACTCTCCCCAAGAGTCATAAAAATTTTCATAGAAGTTAAGCAGGGTTTGTAACACAAGGTGGCGCCATGTTACCATCACAAACCCTTATTTTAGCAGCTGAAGTTTGATAGGCTGTAAGTTTGCATGCAGAGGTACGAACCTCAATGGGTTTGTAGCATATCTTCATCACAATTTTGAACAAACTTTAAACTTGACCCAGCTAGCTATGCTAACTGATGAGCTATTCGTTAAAAAATGACAAAAAACAAGAAAAAAGAAGAAGAAAATACTTTTTTGAATAAAGCCATCATTTATGGTCCTACACTGTTTTGTCTAACCCGAAGTATGTAGAATTGAAGTCTATGTGTTTGCAGCAGTGTCGCTTTTGTTGTGTGAAAAAGAGGTTGCTGCTGGTAGGGAGGGGCGGAGTGCTGATGTTGTCATGGTAACAGATTAAAGGCGAATATATTCCAGATACCTCTATTAGGCTCGGACTTCTCTATCAGATTCAAACTCAGTCACGTTTTTTTTCTTTTGTCTCATCTGCGAATCTTTCAACAAGATTTTAATTTAGGCTCAAATATAAACTTTTGAAAGTTGAACATTTTTGAATGGTACATCAGCAGCGCTAACTGTGTGAGACGAGCAGGGAGGCTGAGAAAAGGAGAAAGAGGAGCGAGGGGGAAGGGGAGGAGGAGGAGGAGGAGGAGGAGGAGGACTTTGGGAGGGGGGGGGGGGGGACTGACGGCAGATGCCTTTGCAGCAGAGGGCCAAGGAGGATGTCGGCGTGTGTGTTTGTGTTGCGGGACAAAATGCGGATAGGACCATGCTTCTGCTTGAATTTTGCGACTCTTTACTCGTGGATGTAGGCTATCTGCTGCGTGGAAACACCGACAAGGACAAAAATTCAACTAGTTGAAAAAAGATGGATGGGACGACTTGAATAGTGCACTTCTGCATGACTGAGTCACTTCAGGAGGAGATGTAGGCTAGTTACTCGACTAGCATCAGCCTATTTGTGGGTGAAACAGTGTGGATTTTTCTGTTTAAGTCAGTCAAACCAAACCCTGGTAAGAATGGACGGTGGAGTTTTCCTGCCCTCTCTGGATCAGTTCATGCTGAGCCCACTTGTCACCTGGGTAAGTAATGCAGATAAGTCTGATACCCTGCTGCCAAAAAAACGTGATATCATCCTCTCATCATCATCCCTGTCTTTGCATATCAGGTGAAGACATTCATGCCAAATGATGGGGGCATGCACCTGGACTTTTCTGAATTACTGGATGGGATCTTTTTGATTGACATCATGGCAGAAATGTAAGTCACTCTATCCTTCTTTTATTTTCCACAGTTTCAACCCACGTTGTCAGCTATGTACAGAACAATTATCTGTGTTTTAAAACTGTTGACTTTATTTACCTCCTGTTAAAAGATGATGATAAGCTGTGAGGTTTACAATACGAATCATCATGGTGAAACTTAAGTTTTTCTTGTTTATTATACATCTTTTTAGCAGTTACTGTTAAAATATCAAGCATCTACACTAATCCAGGCACTAACAGTACTGTCTTTGTTACTTTGCTGTAATAAACAGGATCTTTGTTGTCTGCAGCAGTCTTCAAATGCAACTTTCCCATTACTGACATTTTTTTTTTTAAGTGTTAGAATTAGCGTTACGGAAGGAAATCACTGAAAAAGGGTCTGACAAGGTGGGCTTCATTTACTCAGACATGAACTGCCAAGATGCTACTTAAGAGATTATGATTGGGGTGCCTTATGTTCTGAAGGTAATACCCTAACAACCAAACTTATGGTACCCTGCTAGTTTGAAAGGTGTCAAAGATTTGGGAAGATGGCATTTGCCTTATCCTCCCTGTCATATACTTCAGACAAAAACAGAAGAGCAGAATGTGAAATTGATGACTTGCAGAGAAAAGGGTTAAAAACTGATGACCCAGTGCACTTGTGGATAATGCTGTCTGAACACTCCAAGTCTACAGTATCCATTCACCCCACTTATCCCCCCAGGGTCACAATAACCAGCTCTAAATGCAAAACAATGCTGCGCCAAAGGGACGGGAGGGGAGGGGAATAGGCGGGATAATCTCCTGGATTGGGAGACCCTCTGAGATTAGGGCCTTGTTGCTTGTGTTTAGTGGCAGTCAGACACGGAGGGTTGGGAGGAGGAGGCAGAGAAACAGGGCAAACAGCAAAGATAGCGACGGACAGCCTAAAAATGTCATGAACCTGGTGTTAAGGCAGTCTCACTTTCCCTATTTCATCCATTAAGGCTCTCTGTCTGTTTGTCTGTCTGTCTCTGTTGGTTAAAAACATATTACATGTGCAGGAGGGTCATTTACTATCTTTCTCCACAAAGTTCCACGAATGATAACATATGCAATAATGTAAGGGTCAAATGCCCCTGGAAGCCAAAGGAGTTCCTTTGAGTGGAAAGTCCTGTCATCCCATTTGGCTCGAAAACAGTCCTGTTTGGGGCCTGAAAGGAGTGATGTCAGACTGGCTAAAGTTAGGAATGAATAGGGACCTCATACATGTTTTCATGGCTATCCTCGAGCCAAAACTTTGCCAGCTTGCAGCTTTCCATCTCTCTATGCTGGCAACCATTGGTTTGATTATAGATATTTCATGTAAAAAGACCTTTGTGTTTTATCCCTTCTTTAGAAACCCCTTGACATCTCAGGGTGCAAACAAAGTGAGCAGAGATCCAGGTCAGAGGATCCAGAATCTTAACTTTCTTGTCCAGCAAATCAAGATGTTTTATCTGGTGAGTCCTGGATGTTTTTTTTCCATCTTGTTTCATAAAATATTAACAATTCACTGCATACAAAGCTTCAGATAAACCCAACATCAGTTTATTGTTTCTGTTTCTATTTCTACGACAAAATTTGCCACTATTTTGCATTATAACTCACACGCAGGCCCACACATGCACAAACTACGTAGTTGGTAGCACTTGTGTCCCAGCAGATCAACTAGCTCTTGTTAAGATGCATGCCCTAAATATCAGCCTTGTACACACATGTGTAATCAGCACAGCATTGAGGTTAGAGCCCAGCAGAGAGCCAGAGTAAAGCTGCAGTCAGAGCAGACAGACTGAGCTTTAGAGTGACACATAAAGTCACCAGATTCACTTCTGTCTGTTTCAGAGTTATTAAGTAAAATCCAGCTGAGCTTTCATCTGGTAAGATCTGTTATTGTAGCAAGAAGTGCAATTCACTGAGGACAGGACAGAAAGGCATAGCACTGTGAAAAAACATCCATGATGAGTGTGTAGTTTGATATCGGCATTTTTCTCAAACACAGCTGGTAAATTTAGTGAATCATGAATTACTTTGTAATCATTGTGACCTTAATAATCTCAGTGCAGCTCACCATCAATGACGTAACAGGATAAAAATGTAGTTCATCCATATTTGCTGCCTCTGTGAAACATCATATTTGAAGCTGGCTTTTTAGAAGTATGCCCTGCTTTATAAATAACTCTCAACTGAGTACAAATCAGTAGAAGTGAATTTAGGACAACTAACTGCTGTCATGGCCGTACTCTATAAATTCAGGTCTACTTCAGGTCATTTTTATTTCAGCTGAAGGATCTAACTTTCACTCTGATTGTAAATCCTGACAGGAAAGTCTCCTACATTTTCCGGTTGGTGGATTAGTGTTTCAAAGCTGAAGTTAGTCAAGAATAAACTGACTGAGCATACAATATAGCCTGTAAGCATCCTTAGTTCCTTAAACTAAAACACACAGAACAGCTGAGGTCATTCTGGACTGATTATGGTGGGAAAATTCACAGGATCACCAAAGTTATTGCGTTTTTTTTCTTGAGAGTGACTGTGAACCAGATTTCATGGGGATTCAGCCTTGCAGTGGCACAACAGGAGGAGTTACTGTCGATAATCTTCACTGTCAGTAGGAGTCATGTCTTAATAAAACCCCTGCTTCGAAATTCTCCAAGAAGACTTAAAGCTGTTCACAAGTGACATTAAGGATAAGTCATGGTTTTAACTTTAAAAAAGGAATGACAAATGTGCACAATGTAGTCATAATCTTGGTGTCAGGTTAAGTAAATTCAGGGAAATGTCTTTTTTCACTTACTTTAAGGTGATACTGTACAAGGATAGAAATGTTCAATTTCATTCCCATATTTCTACTAATACATTTCCTGAACAGAGTTTTCTAATACCCCTGAAGATTAAGACTTGCTCTCAGCACCACACTCCATAATCACACATAAGCTTGGAAAGTAGAGGATGATGGGAGATTCACGGCCATAAGATGAACTTTTCTCTAAGGCTTGTGGCAGCAGTCACTGGAAATCTAATTGTTGGTGCAGGTTTTGTTTTATTTCATCAAGACTTAATAGCCGCAGTCAACTGTAGCTTTTCATGCATGTGGGAATAAGTAATAGTTTCCTGGAGTTTAATGGGTAATTTATCCTCATTAGGAGTCATTACAAGTCCCATTTACCCTGCACACACACTGTATGCACACATGAACTCAATCCACTTACAGCCAGATAGGAGTTTTGGTGACTTTAACCACTGCTGCAGTAAAAGTGGGTCTGTCATGAACCCTTTCAGAGAGATCCTTCACTTTTTGGCTGAGCTTCTATACATTTGTGATGCAGCTGCTATGTGCTGTACATACATACGTCCCTGTCCATTCAAGCTTTTTGGCTGGGCCATTCTAAGTTGTTTCCTTCCTTTGTTTCAGTTTGGCCTAAAATGTACTTGTGTTCCTTTTTCTAAACTCATCCCCCTGGTCTTGCTCTTGCTTTTCTTTTGCAGGAGAATCTGAGACAATTAATCATGATCCCTTTGCCAAATGTGCTGCTGCTTGGCAGGACTCCTTACTCTGGTATGCTCGTTCAGAGTTTTCCTCATTTATCGTCTCTATTGGAGCTTTTATCACAGGATATGCAAAATACAAGCTGTTTGGTTTCTTGAAGTTTTTATAGGATAAAAGCATCTGTAATATAGACATGGTGTTATTAATACATGTACTACAAAAAGGAATGTGCTTTAAAACCCCTGCAATGAATATCAAGTGACCCAAAAGTTAACCAAACAACTTAAAACTGTTGTGACCATGAAAACCAAGCAGAAGTTTTCCTCAAAACTTATTTTTACAAACTAAAAAAGTATTTCCCGACAGACTCTTTCTGAAACCATTTATATTCAGTCTCACTCTATCAGTCTGATAACCACAGGCTTTGGCAAGTGGTGACCTAAATTGACCAGCCAGTACTTTATTCAACTGAAATCCATGTCAGCAGCTCTCACTACCACAATCTGACAATTATATTTCAGATAATGATTTTTTCTTTATTCCCAACAGAACAAAGTCTGGAGGAAATAAAGAAGCTTTTACTGCTCTTATTGGGATGTGCAGTGCAGGTAATCGCTCACTGTCAGACAGTTTGTGCTGCAGAAAACCTTTTAGAAACCTGAAAGGGACTGCAGGAGCGTGTGAGATCTAAATCTGTCTCGTTTTATCTTGATCTGTTTCTATTTCTAATCACAGAGCGAAAAGAAAGAGGGGTACATCGAGAGGATCCAGACGCTTGACTTTGACACCAAAGCTGCTATAGCTGCACACATACAGGAGGTACCTGATCTATCACGCTGTGTCCAAAAAATATAAGGAATACTGAGGATAGGGTGGTTTCACTGCTACCTGGGGATAAATGACATATTGTACCTTAAATGCACTTACATATCTTTAGAGATTTAGTTTTGAAAACATGACAGAAAGATGAAGAGAGCATCAGTATTTTCCTCTAACTAAGAAGTGACTTTTCAAGGCTGTTTTGTAGCTGTGACCTTTGGATTATTCACACAGTATTGATCATTACTTTTGTATCAGCTGACTCACAGTCAGGAGAATGTTCTGGATCTGCACTGGTTGGACTCCTGTGAGGTGCACCCCGATGAGCTGGAAGCCAGTGCAAGGAACATGGCGAGGCACCTGCGGCATCTGCTGGACCAGAGGGACACCCATTTGGAGGTTAACTCACTTCTTTCTTTGTTAATTATTCTCATTTCCAGTTTCAGAGACACTGATGGCCCTTTTTACCCATGAGTCTGACAATATGAATCCAAACATAATTTTAAACAAAGTTATATTTTGGAAATAAAGTGTAAATAACAGCACATTAGAATTGACTGTAGTTGTTAAAAAACTCAAAAGGACATGTTTAGTGTTTTCGTGAATCAGCTTTTGAGTCAGGTGGTATGTTAAAGCTAATTTTTTTCTTTCTGCAGACTATAGCAGAGCTAATGCAGGAAAAAGAAGGTGTGGCGAGCTTGCTTAGTAGCCCCTCCAGCCCACAGTCAGCCAGCTTCTCTCCCAGCATGCAGCTGCAGCAGCAGGCTGGGACTCAGCAACACCTAGCGGTGGAGCTAGCGGACTCCAAGGCCAAGATCAGACGACTTCGACAAGAACTGTAAGTACAAACTGGACAAAAAGAGTGACATCCTCACTGTAGAACAAGTGACAGACTTCTGGCATTTTAAAGCAGCAGCTGATATTATTTTGAATAATACAACAAAGCTGAGGGATCCAACTTCCTCTCTTGACATTGATATGTGTGCAAATTCTCACTTTTGGCCCAGAATGCATTCCTTCTTAAAAAAGTTCATACAGTAAGGCCCACTAAGGAGTTGCTGTTAATATTGTCTCTAGGTGAACAAGTGTCTCTAAAGGATGGCTGTTGGTAAAGAAAGTAAGTGTTTCCTCTCGGGGACTGCCAACAGAAAGTGAATGAGAGGCAGAGACAGGGAGAGAGGGACACTAGAGATGCCCCGGGGAGTTTGGCCCACATTACCGCCTGCTTGGCAGGTTCAATGGCTGTGCACTACCACTGACCCACATTGGCTCTGAATATCAGCGGCCACTGCAGGCTCACACACACACACACACACATACCCACACACTAATCCTGATCCGATCAAGATCTCAGTTCCATCTTTCCATCTCATCTCCTTGGCTGTATTGTCCTCTCTCGCTGGAATGCATGATTCACATTCCACTGTCTCTGAGCAAACACAATACACTGTATATCACTGAAAGCATCAAGTGTGGATCATGCACGTCCTTGATGTGCATATTTATGTGTAACATGTAAACGCTCTAAGAAATTGCAGGGATACGGCTGTTAGATTGGCTCTACAAATTTTTTCGAATTTGTGCACGTTTTGATCGATATTGTTCATATTGTCAATCTTACCCCCTATTATCAACTTCAACTTCATTATTGCATCTGCTGCTATTATCAAAAGATGACTTTGATTGCCATAAATAACATTAAGATCAGTCTAATATCTTTAACATGCTGTCCCTGTAGATAGAAAACAAACACACACAATGTACTCCATTATAATTGGCACTGTGACATTAAGTCTGTATGAACTGTTGTTGTTGCTGTTGTTCATCTCTCCAGCGGCAGACGACTGTCTAACATGACTCTGGTTCTGCTCTAAGTTTCTGCCTGTTAGAAGGAAGTGTAACCTTGCCGCTGTAACTTGCTTCATGATGCGAAATGTTTAAGTCATGGTGGATTTAGATTGGAAAGAAAGAATAGGAAGAAAGAATAGATAAAGACTGACTAAATGACTGAGTTATTAACCAGAGTCATCACATGCTTATTTTTTCTTAACAAATGCACAAAAGATGGACTACGTGTGTCTTGTAAAGATTTACCAATCACTCTATTTGTCTTTCTCACTGCAGAGAGGAGAAGAGCGAGCAGATGCTGGACTGCAGACATGAGCTGGAGAACATGGAGGCAGAGCTGAAGAGGATCCAGCAGGAGGTTTGAAAAGGAGAAATAAGAATAGATTGTGACACACAGTAACCTCCGCAGATTATACAGATTATTGCACGGCATACTTCGGTGCAGAGCAGCGATTAATGACAACACATTTAAACCTCTGAACTCTGACTCAGATACAACTTAAGCGTCAATGGATTTGTCTGAACAGGAAATCTACATTTGTGATCTCTATGTAAGCTTTGTTGTCTCTATAGGCTGTGCAAGTTTGCATGATTCATGTATTTCCATCCAAGCATACTCTGGAGATAAGCAGAAAAAGCGCTAACATGGCACCATCTTTTTTGCCTGTTTGTGCATCCAAGAGGCACATTTCAGCATCATGTAAAATAGTCATTCTGTTCGATTAATCATCTTTAATTCAACATAAATACTGCACTAGCTATGATTTTGGCCCTTTTGCTAAATACTTCAGATACTAGCCACAAAAAATGTCCTTCATCCTTCAGTACTTGTAGAATAGCATGTGTCAAATAGTAATAATCAAAGCTACATGCTAAAATCAGATGTTCTTTAAACCTATAATAATAAATGATTCAAGCTGTGAGACAAAAGAATGATCTGACACTAAAAAAAACACTAAAAATATAAGGGTAAACAAGTGAAAGGAAACCTGCAGTCTGGTGATAGTTCTCTGTAAATTAGTATTTAGATACTGAGTTAATTAATTGATGATATGAAAACACATAAATGCAGTTTTAAACACAGTCATAAAACAAAAATAACTGAGAGCTTTAATATTTGGAGATTTATCAAGCTGTGTCTCTGTCTGAATATCCACCAGAACTCTCAGCTGCTTGTAGAAGCCAGAGCGGCCCGCACCTACCGTGATGAGCTGGACGCCCTTCGAGAGAGAGCCATAAAAGCCGACAAACTGGAGAGTGAAGTGGGACGCTACAGAGAACAACTGCACAAAATTGAATTCTATAAGGCCAAAGTGGAGGTTAATGCAGTTTTACTTATGCTTCAGAGCGATTTGCCTCACTTAAATTTGCAAAATCTCTGCACACTCTGTTGACAGATAGAAATAAAGACAAATGCATGAATTGCCTGGAAGATGAAATGTACAAATCTTTCAATTCTTTACATTGTTGTTCATGTTAGGAGTTAAAGGAGGATAACAGAGTTCTCCAGGAGACCAAAGAGGTGTTGGAGGACCAGTTGGAAGGCTGGAGGGCACGCTCAGACAAAATCCACCAGCTGGAGAAGCACAGTCTGCTGCTCAAGGCACGCGTCCATGATGTGGAACAGGTCAGACATTTAAACACAAGGAGGAGACTTGGTGAAGAATTTGTGCTGCTTTATTATAAACCTCCTCTAAAACAGGCAAAAGAGAGCAGTTACATAAAAATACTCAACATGCCATGCTTTTCATGCCCCACAATTACTCTTTTTGATTGATTATCTGAATCTGTTCTTATACTTTTTTCTGATACTTTGTGTCCACTCTCCAGGAGAGGGAGGCGGATCGGAGGTGCATTGACAAGCTGCAAGAGGAGAACCTAGCTCTGTGTTTGGCTCAAAGGAGGAGCATGGAGGAGTCCCAGCACCTGGGTTGGGAGTTAGAGCAGCTGTCCAAGACTGCTGAGAACTCTCAGGGTACAAACTGGTCACAAATTTAGATTAAGTTAAGGGATATTCAACAGAAGTGATAGACTGTGATGGTAGAGTCCGTGAGCTAACACACAGTATGATTATGTTAGTGTTTTTCCTGCACAAAAACATGCAGGAGCTCTGTTTTCTGTTTGCACACCTGGACTAGAAGTTGATATTTGCACAGATCTGCAAAACTTCCACTTATCGCTAAAGGTTTTAATTAATGCATTTATTTAAGTTGGGTCTGTTCTCAAAGTTAATGTCACCATTATAATCCTTCAGACTTAGAATTAGGTATCTTAACAGGGTGGACTCAACAAACATCAGCATCAGGAACTTGAAATCAGTGTTGGGGAAGTTTCTAGTTTCTTCTTTCAAAAGTAACTCAGTTACTTTAAGTTACTCGTTACTTTCAAAGTAACTTTTTTTTTTTTTTACCCTAAATTCACTTATTAATGTGTCGCCTACCTTACTGGATAGTCAAGGAGGTTGCCAGTCCTCTGCCTTGCTAAACCAAGCTTCCGTTGTTTGGCTGGAGTGGCTCCTCCTTTGGCGTCAGCGGAGCTAACGTTAGCAGCATCACCTGTGTTACCTTCAGGGTCTTCTTCAGCTAGTTTGGTAGATGTGTGTTGTTTCTGAAGATGTTTGATCAGATTTGAGTTTCTTATCTTTGCTGTGGATAGAGTTTTCGAAACTCCACATAGATCACAGGTCACCACAATATTCCTCTTCTTGTCTTTTACCGTCAGAAAAGAAAAATAATGTGCATATTTCCACGGGAGAAATCCCACGACTGGACAGTCGTCGACTGCCGCCATTTTTGTTTTTATCCATTCACTTGCACGTCGCAGCGTCACGTGTGCTTCACGTCCACCACGGAAATTGTATTCCTGAGTTTTAAACGTGAAGTAACGAGTAACGAGCCTGTTTAAATCGCAGTAATGATAAATGCGTTACTGATTTTGACTAAATAATTAGTTACAGAACTTGTTAGCGCAAAAGTAACGTAGTGACTGTAACGCGTTACTTAATGATGCATTAGTCCCAACACCACTTGAAATACACTGCATGTATTACCTTTAAAAGCGGTCTTCTTTTTGCATTGTCTGTTTACTCATAGGTCAGCAGACTCTGAGTGAGGAGGTGAGTGAGAGAACCCGCAGTCGGATGCTGAAGCTGGAAAAGGAGAATCAAAGTCTCTTAAGAACCATAGAGGATCTCAGAGCCGCCTCTATGAAAATCTGCCCACAGCACAAAGACCGACAGCACCTTGAGGGTAGCCATGTCTCTGAGGAGACCTGTATAACCAACAAATGCAACTCATCAACAGGTGCAAACATGGGGTCCAACTCAATAGAAAACTGCACCAATGTAGTCTTGCAGAATAGAGATTCAAACCACCATCAGCCACTTGGTGCAGAAGAAGCAGATGGAGACCGGAGCGAGGTCCTCCTCACAGATGATCCACACCTTCATATTCAGGAGAAAGGACTGCTAGAGGATGGAGCTAGTGGATTCAAAGAGCCTATGTCTGAGCTGGAAGTGTTAGAGAACAATCACAATCGACTTCATTGTTTTGTTGGATCTCGGGATCGTTCCCCTGGCTCCAAGAGTAGTAGCCCCTGCCATGACAGCATCCTCACAGGTCTGCCAACACGCTCCTCATACGCCAACAAGCACACACAGCGGCTGGAGGCCAAGTGCAGAGCTTTGGACACATTTAATCAGCATCTGCAAGCTTCTCTTGATAACACTGGTAAATTGTGAGAATTGAGAAATCCAGTAACATTATTATCTATTATTCATTCAGTTTGATTCTCACTCCTGTTATCACCTCTTTAGAACGGAAGGTGCAGCGCCTGGAGGCAGAGGTTCAGGAGCTGGAGGCAGAGAACCAGAGTCTGCAAGCCTCTTTGGAGGAACTGAGGATCTCTGTGCGACGCCTGGAACAACTGGAAACAGAGAAGCAAAGCCTGGAGCAAGAAACCACGGTCCTGGAGAGGGAAAAGAGGCAGCTGGAGAAAGAAAATCGCAGACTTCGTCAGCAGGTAGATAAACTTTTATTTTCCTGGGGGGGAAATGTGTCTGTTCACAAACTACAGGATGACTAATGCAAGATTTGTGTTTCCCTTTGATTAAATGGCCACTAATGCACTTTCCTTTATCTCAGGCTGAAATCCAGGAAGCCAACTTAGACAGCAGCAACGTCTGTATGGCCAGTCTAGAGAGGAAGATGCGCATCCTTGTAAAGGACATGGAAGGGTTAAAGGAGACTGCTGAGAGGGTCAAAACCCTGGAAGGAGACAACCGAGAACTGAACAAGCAAGCAGCTATTGACCAGAGGACCCTGACCACCCTCAGAGAGGTGAGGGGAGGGAGGTCGGCTGTTCTGTCGACATTACACTGACTAAATGAATTACCTGCCCTGGCGTTTTCTGGTAGAGCACAGTTTTTTTACAGCAGGGGTGTAGATGTGGGTTTAGAAAGAGTTTGTGGTAAATACCAGTTTATCTCTTATAAAAGATGCCCGCGCCATGCATTGAACCGCTGATACTCAGATATAGTTAGAGAACCTTGATGACTAAAAACTTTAACAAATTATCTGTGTTCACTTTCTTTCCTCAGGAGCTGGTGAGTGAGAAGCTCAAGTCGCAGCAGAAAGATAATGAGCTGGAGACGCTGGCCCATGAGTTGAAAATGAAAGCACTAAACCAAGAAAATACACAACAGGCTGAACCAGAAGCAGCAGACAACAGGTGTTTATATTCCAGCAGTTTTCATTGTGAAACTTTTCATTTTGATATAGCAGGAAATTTTGATAGAAATTTCTTTTATCCTCCATGTAGCAGGTTCAAGATGCTGGAATCAGAGCTGGAGTCGTCTCTGAAAAGATCTCTCCAGATCAAAGAGGATAAGATGGCAGCTCTGGAGGCCCGTCTGCAGGAATCCTCCAGCCTAAACCAACATCTCCGGCAAGAGCTCAAGACTGTAAGTTATGAAAGTTCACATAATCAGGTCTGCTGATATCACATTTGAGAGGAATCTTTTTGTGTATTTGATTCGATGTAGATAGATGTGTCTGACTCATTTTACCCACCAGGTGAAGCTGAGCCATGAGGCCTTGAAGCAGAGGCAGGAGGAAGAGTGGGCAGCATCGAGCTCCAGCCCACCCAGAGAGACGGGCAGGGTGATGAGTGAATGGCTGCGTGAAAGCCAGGAAGCCACCAAAGAATTGCTGAAGCTCAAAGACCGTCTCATTGAAGTAGAGAGGAATGTAGGTGGTTAACGCTGACTAAAGTAGATCATTTGCGGAGAAATATGTTTGAAAATTAACTGTGACTTTCTGGACGGAGTAACACCTTTTCTTTATTTTCTTTCCGTCCTCTGCAGAATGCCACTCTGGAGGCAGAGCACCAGGCTATGCATACTCAGCTTAAGCAGCTGGAGAATCAGTCACACGGCCAACAGGCTCAGGTCCTCGCTCTGCAGAGGCAGGCTGCATCACTGCAGGAGAACAACACAGCCCTGCAGACACACAATGCTAACCTGCAGGTGCCACTACAGTGAAACACTTAATTATATACTTAAGTACACAATTAAAAACAATCCTGCTATATAAACTCCTCACAAACAATCTTTTTATTTCCTCTTTGCAGGTAGAGAAATCCACCCTGAACTCACAGAGTGCGTCACTCATGGCCCAGAATGCTCAGTTGCAGCAGCAGCAGTCTGGGACAGAAAGCGAGCGAGATAGCGCAATACGGGAGCGCGAGGAGCTGCGTGGTGTTCATGAGCAACTTCTTCGAGACCACGAACGACTGGCTGCTCTGCATGAGCGACAGGCCATGGAGTATGAGGCCTTGATGGGTAAACATGGCTGTTTGAAAAACGCACATCGCACCCTTGAGCTGGAGCATCGCACTCTGCAGGACAGGTAAGGGAAGGAGACACAACCACTGGACTGATTGTTGTTCCGTGTGGAGCAAAGTCCCTGCATGTTTTTATGAGTTTTTAAAGTGTGTATTTGATGGATATCTCTAGGTATAATAGCCTGCTGCAGAAGAGGACAAAACTAGAGGACCTGGAGAAAGCCCTGAAGGAGGAGCAGATGAGGATGGCTTTGGAGAAAGAACAGCATAGAACCACTGCTGCTGAATGCTGCAGGCTCCGGGATGAGAAGGACTGGTGAGGAAGCACAAGCATGCACCCGCTGAATATAAAGAAAAGAGTGCTCACCTAAATTATTATCTGTACATTAGCTTTGACAAGAGAGGCATCACTGCACACTTTCTCTATAGGCTGAACCAGACGTACCATCAGCTTCTGAAGGACAATGAGGTCCTGACAACGGATCACAAGCAGCTGAAGAGCCAGCTGAATGAGGCCAAGCTGGAACACACCTGGCTGGAGGCTGACTTCTCCAAACTCAAGAAGGACTTTCAGCAGCTGGACATCACCTCCACAAAACTCACCAACCAGTGTGAGGTACAAATACACACACAGCAGCTCGTGTTGGTTTGGGTTTGACGATACCTTCGATACACCCTTGAAAACATGACATAAGTGTCAGGGCAACATCTGGACATCAATTACTTGATAGTTTTGTTATTGTTCTTGTATTCATACTTACATGCATGTGCATATTCCTGCTCGTCTCTTTATTGTTTAGTTGCTGGGGCAGCTAAAAGGCAACCTAGAGGAGGAGAATCGCCATCTGCTGAGTCAGATCGAGACTCTGATGCTACAGAACAGAACTTTGCTGGAGCAAACCATGGAGAGCAAAGATCTGTTTCACGTTGAAGAGCGACAGTATATGTGAGCATTTAGGGCCGGCGCCATGACAACCTAAAGCAACATTAAACAGGATTTGATGTGTGGATTTGCCATATGCTACACTAATCTATGAATGACTTGATGTATTACAAAAACAGCACTCAACACTTGTCTTTTAATGCCCCAGTATGTATTTTCAAGCATACCTTTGTATTTGATGGAACTACTTTTCATTTGTGCCTGTGTCTGTTTAGTGACAAGCTCAATGATTTAAGGAGGCAGAAAGAGAAGCTGGAAGAAAAGATAATGGACCAGTACAAGTTTTATGAGCCTTCACCCCCTCGCAGGTAGGTTATCTGTAATGGTGTGTGAATGAATCCTTTTTCTCCCTCCAGCACTGTCTACACTGTAGTCCCTGAATGTTATTCGGGTTTTTAACTATAAGGATTTTCTGATTTTGCCTAATTTTCAGCTTATAACCATAATTTCTGTGTCTTCTTGTGTACCTGTCCGTGAACAGGCGTGGAAATTGGATCACTCACAAACTGAAGAAGCTGATCAAATCCAGTAGTCGTGATCATGGGCTTGATTCCCAACTGATAGCCACACATTCAGGTGTTCATGAGTCTCAACTCCCAGTTCATGACAACAGCTCCTTCATCAGCTCAGATGGCTCTGGAGGCTCCGCCTCCGCGGGTGACGCCATCTCTCCACACCGTCACAGCAGTGAGTATGACCTTTTGGAATTCTCCAGATCGCCTCCTATTGACCGGGCTGAACCAATAACACCCAAGTACAGAGAGCCCTCCCTCACTGCCTCAGCGATAGACCAGGGAGTAAAAACATTGCCAGAGACAGGGTCCAAAGGTCCCTCAAGAGTGTGTCCGATAAAGGCCAACCCCTTGACCACAGTACAGAAAGATTTGGGCGATCAGATAACCACGGCAGTGTTATCTACACGGGAAGCTGCATCTGAAAGCCAGAAAGCCTCTGAAATTATAATAAAAATTCCCCTTCCACCTGGATGTGTTTTAAGGAGGCACAGAAATGTGAATAAAGAGACTTTTAAGTGAATCTTCAGGAATGTAAATAAAGAGACTTTTAAGTGAATCTTCTCAAACACTTTCTGTTGGTCATGCCCACTTGACACAACCTTAACTCGGACATTTGCGAATTTTAAGCCCCAATTTATTTCTTTACATGAAGTTTGGAGAAATTTAGTTAGTAACTTACTCTTTTATAAATTAATAAGAAAGTGTATCTTTTCGTGCAGAGGATTAAGTCAGTCCATAAAGACAGTATATGTGCGTGTGTGTCATGTCTAAAGGGTCGTCCTCCCTGATGCATGTTTGTGGGCTTTCCTTAACAATCCTCGGTATGTCCTCCCTGAGTCTGTGTCGTCTTTTAATGTATTTCTTCACTCTTCTCATCCTCCCTCCCCTGTCTTTTCCTTTCCTACCCGAACCCCTCTCTGCTTGCATTTGTCCCTTTGTCTCCCTCCCATGTGTCTGCACTTGCTGTTATACAGCCACTCTGAAAATGTTTCCCCGCATGAGGAACAGGATGAAGGACAGAGACAAAGTCAAGTCCCTCTTCCGTCGTTCCATGTGTAAGAAAGACTGTGGTCTTGTGTTTACCCTCATTCACTGTAGTCTGTTATTTTCATACTAGTAACTGTGGATTGATTCAGGTTTATTTTGGTAGTTGTAATGCTTCCCAGCAGGTGTAAAACTCAGCTGGTGTAAGTTTGTATGAGCATGTCTCCTCATGTCTCTTTTTCCACTGGTAATATGAAATAATTTCATATTTACTGTTTAAGCATATGCAGTCATTATTTTCCAGTAGTGTGACCAGAATTGATGACAATCTGGGGTATTTTAGGAGCTGAGGTCAAAGAAATGCTGCATTGCAGATGACACTGGTGCTCTGTCCTACAAAGAGCTGGCTGTGCAATAAGGAAACATAGATTGTAAAAATAAAAACCACACTTCTACAATACTGTGTGCAAACCATCCCTTTGTCCATGTTCTTCATATCATACATCAAAACTCACCCTTATCTCCATGAATCTTTCACCGACATGTTCACCCTTCCCTCATCCACCTCTTCCGTTCCTCGGTCTAACTCTCCAGCCCTGAGCAGCTTGGCCCACCCTGCTGCCCAGTTAGAAGCGAAGCAGAGGACAGAGAGTTCTGAGACACTGGACGGCACTGAGGAGGATGGAAAGAACACACTGACCTCATCTCTTACCACATCCATCTTGTCCATCCTTCACCTACATCATCACACCACCTTACCATTTGGCCCTGACATTTCTACAACCACTGACGCAGCCAACACTGCTGTAGACGTTCCTGAGCTGTGGGTGACAGGTAGAAGCATCCACGAGTCACTTTTTGTTCATCTTTGGTAGTTTAACGGTAGAAAAAAGTACAGTTCAAAGACAGCAGCCTCATAGGCTTCTCATTCAGAAGTTTAAGATTTGTCAGTGATATAAAATCTTTATTTATTGCTCATGTTTATGTCCCACAGACAAGGATTCGAATGACAGTGCTGTGCCATCTGGATTTGAGGACAACGACGAGCTACAGAATAACGGTAAAACCAAGTGGATACTCGTTTAGAGGATTCAGTGAGCATACAGATGTATTACCCGCTCAGGAATTAGAGTAAATCCATCAAATTGCAATCATGACCTCGTTTCATATTAATCTCTGTGCTGACAACAGATGCAAACAAATGTTGCACAGAGGCTTGACTCTGCTGCCCCCTATTGGTCATATAGAAAACTATGTGGTCATGATACACTTGGATGCGTGGATGATGCTCTTTATGAAAAAATTTTGTCCTTCCAGGGGTGAATGGCATTCAGAGTCGAGCCCAAAGCGAGAGCAGCGGCGAGTTCAGCATGAGTCTAGAAAATGAACCGTGGTCAAACGGCAGCAGCCCCATCCAGCAGCCCCCATCAAGACGCTCCTCCTCCTCCTCCCAGCAGCCAGCTGATACCTCAACCCCTCAACACACACAGAAGCAGCAGTATAAGGAAAAGGCTGCCACCATGCCAATCACCTACAGCCAAAAATCGGAGATGCAGTTAGTACAGAAGCAGAGGGAACCTGGGCTCTCGCAGGACTTCTGGCTCACACGTGGTACAAAGAGCATCCGGAGAGGTTCGAGAGCAAAAGTTACATGTCGCTCATCAGATACAGGGAGTACAGACAAAACAAACCCAGAGCTGAACAGGATGAATCCAAAGTTGGGCTCAGGGGAAGTTGAAGCCACTCGAGCCTCAGCCTGTTCTCCCATTACAGTGTTATACGTTCAGGGCAAGTCTTCATCAATGTCTGGTTGCCTCAACTGCTTCTCCACTCCACTGGGGAAAGAGGGGCGACTAAAAGGGCCAAGGTCCCCCAAAACTCTCCCCCGGGCCAGCAGCGTCATTTCCACTGCAGAGGGATCATCCCGACGTCCGAGTGTAAACAGTGACTGCACAGTGACCGTCAAGAATGAGCAAGTTTCAGTTCAGGCTCCACAAGACTCTGAGAATCAAGAAAAAACTGTGTGTAAGGAACAACCAGAAACAGACACCAAAAAAGACGAGCCTGAACCCATCCCTCCTGTCAAACCTCCCAGAGACCCAACTGTCATGGTTTCTCTTGACCCCAAATCCCCTGTGCAGGAGTCACTTTTTGGCTCCTCATTCACTTTTAACTCTGTCTTCTCAAATACCATCTTTAGTGATTCTGTGGTCACCACCACCACCAGCCTTGATGCCCGGGGAAACAACCAGACCTTTCTCTGTCTGAATCCACATGTTATGCAAAACTGTCCACTTGAAAACCAGGAGTCTCTTCCTCACACACCACAAACGGAAACACTCAACATGGAAAAAGAGCAGAGCCAAACTGTCGAACATACAGTGGGGTTGCAGGAGAAGGACAAGCTGCTTACAGTTGCGTAAAAGCAGCAACTGTGTCCCAATCATTCCCTTGAAACTGCAGGTGGCTGCAGGACATTATTTTTCACATCCTTTGAGGCACACAATATGAGTCAGTGTAGTCAATGTTGTATGTCACATTCTATTTTACTGACCTCCTGTTTATTAACCTAAAGAGATGTAAATAAAATACACCTGATACCTTTGGTTTTTATTCACTCCTCTTTGCTTCTGTAACATTCTGGGCTTTTGCAACTCAGTTATGTTACATCTGTAAAAGCCTAGATCTCAAAGCTCTCTGTGTGGTTTTATTCCATTTGCCTTTTGCACAAATTATGTTTATTAGAAATAACTGAACAATTAGAGTAAATGTGTTTTTAAAACTGTATCAGTGTTTTCACTTGTCTGCTTTTCTTTCACCTAACATACTTACAACCTGTAATGTCTGTTTGTGTTTACCAAAATGTTTGAAGCTCTCCTGTTTCTATTTATGAGTTGTTTCTTGGCAGAACTTTTAATTTATTTTATGTTGACTGCTGTATTTGTCAGATTTAATTGCTGCCTGTGGACATGTTTTGTTTACACGTGATAAACTGGGTAAGTCTTTTCAGATATAAAGTGTACCTGAATGCTCTTTTCCCTTCAATAAAAAACTCCTGAAAACATTTTTTTCCCCCAGACTTCATTGACACGTCAGGAATTACATCAAAACACAAAACGAAGAACAATATAATACCAGGGGGTCACAGTATTCCGACAGAAAACAATGCACTGTTATTAGTTCGATTCAATAAGACATTATATAAAATGCATAACTCTATGGTTTTAATAGATGCAATGGAGCTTTTAAGAAGCATAACACTGGACGGAATAGCGTCAAAACGGCAACAGCAAACATTTTAGTACTGCTACTGATGTAGGCTACGATTCTTACTGCAGATATGTCAAAGCTCCACTACCATTATGTGCATTACATTTTGAGATTAAAATCCGTATCTGGCACCCTGAACATCATACATCAGTCATTCATTGGTATTATTTGTATGGTTGTATTGGTATTTTTTATGTTGTTACCTAGGCCACCCCCTTGAATGTGTAAAGACCCGACAGGCGCATTAAGTTTATACTGTAGAGGGTGTGTGAATGATCAACAATCAATACTATTGGCAGAAATAGAGGGCCCTAAAGTCAAATCTTGTTTAGGGCCCCATTGAGGCTTAGGTCGACTCTGCTGTGAGGTGAGAAATTGCGCCTGTAAACTCATATAAACAGAAGTCATACTGCCCTTCTTTTATGACGCCGCGCGTGGAGGACAAACCTTTCCATCGATGTTCTTATTGGGCAACACATCAGTCACGTGACGAAACGCGGAAGTGGCCATTTTGAGCCGAAAAACAAAACATTCGTGGGTGGTGGAGAAGAGTTATTCAATCTGCACTGACGTAACTGGAGGTCCACTGGAGTGGCTGCGCAAACTAAACCGTGTAATTCGACAGTTGTACCCGGGGTTTGGCACGATGCTGAGCGCCGCCGCCGCAGAGAGGAACAAGGAGCCGATCCTGGCGGTTCTCCGAGAGAGCGTGAACATCGGGAGACCCCTGCAGGCTCTGGAGATCTCCTCCGGTACCGGACAGCATGTCACACACTTCGCTCAGGCCCTGCGGAATATAATGTGGCAGCCCTCAGAGTATGACCGACAGTCACTGGCCAGGTAAACACAGACAGAGTCTATTCATTATTATGTCTATTTGATGTAACCTGTTTTATATGCAGGTTGACATAAGCTCAGGTAGAAGCTGTGCAGAATTATGAATGCGTAACAAACCCCAAAACACGACTGGTGAGCATTTACACCAGGTATTACGGTAGTTGTGAAACTCCTACTGATAAAGAACAAACGCACTTTCCTGGTTTAACGTCTGTTTTTGTGGAGTCTGCCTGCATTAACAACAATAATGTCCTTTGTTTCCATTCTCAGTATAGAAGCGTACAGAGCTCACTACCAGCTGTACAATGTGAGACCAGCCATCCACCTGGATGCTTCTCTGCCCCATCAATACTGGGGAGGTATCCAGTCAGAGAGCCTCGATCTGGTCGTTAACATTAACATGATCCACATTAGCCCCATGGCTTGCACAGAGGTAGGACTGTTACAGATGTGTACATTATATACACACTTCCAGTTTTGATTATTTTGTTTTTTCAAGTATTCCCACAACAACGTTATCTGACAATGGAGTGGATTATCTATGGAAAAATGTGTAATTTGTGGCAATTTTAAATGGAAATAGGGTAAATTTGTCTGCATTTCCAACATTTAATACACTTCTGAGGCACAAAATCAATTGGAAGTGTTAAATGTCGTCTCAGCAGCTATAGTCATCTGTATTTGGGCATGTGACATTGAGCAGACAAACAAAACAGAGTCTGAAGGCCTTTGATTTGTTTTACAATGATTATAATTGGTTTATATGAAGTAAAATCTCACCTCTGACTGATGCCTTTGAACAGTCTTTGTGTTTTCTGTAGGGCCCTCCTTGCTGATTAATCAAAGTCTGTATACCTTTTAAACCCAGTGCCCCTGACAGGCAATAGCAATGAATTATTTTCATGCAGATGAATTTTTTACACTAACATAAGTAAAAGCCTAAACTGTGATGTCATCAACCCAGTCATAGATAACCTTCATCAACTCATGAAAGCAGACATTAGCCAGCATATGCTACCCTTTATACCAGACCGAACAAAGCTACAGTGTTTAAAACTTGTAGTTTATTGAATTGGAGACGAGGGTTTGATTGCTTATATATGCAACTCTTCATTTGAAAGAGAAGGACTGTGTTATTTCTGGAGGGCTGGAGTAGGTGTCATTCCTCCCACTCACCCTCCTACCATGTGTGATGTAATTCTAGTGCCTTGATGCATCTCTATTCTTTTCCAGGGTTTATTCAAAGGGGCTGGGGCAATACTGAAGCCACAGGGTCTTCTATTGACGTACGGAGTGAGTGAAACAGCATTTGATGTTGTTAAGAGCATGTACCTACTGTATTTATGGATTTTCTCACAGTTACTCACATTTAAATATCATAGAGCAGTATTTTGTGCTACCTAATACACCTTGTCTGTTCACACAGCCGTATGCAGTAAATGGTCATATCAGTCCTCAGAGTAATGTGGACTTTGACTACAGCTTACGGCAGAGGTAAAGTGTTTTATTATTTCAGATGCTTTGTGTGAGTTAACTGTGATATAAAAAGATCTTATGTTCAAAGAGATGCAAAGGTGATGGTGTATGGATTAAAATTATCCTGTTTTACCTTTACAGGAATCCAGAGTGGGGACTCAGAGATATCTCCCTCCTCAGTCATATAGCACAAAGTAGTGGTTTATTCTTGGAGAAAATAGTAAGTCAGCTGCCTATTCAACATATATCTATGTCTGATATGTTAAAAGATGAAAACATCATCATCATTCTTGTATGATTTTTTTTTTTTTTAGTTAATTTTTTGTTTTTTTTCTTCTAGATTGACATGCCTGCGAACAACAAGTGTCTTCTCTTCAGGAAGGAGAGTTTGGTGTGAAGGATCCTGCCGGCCCTGTGCTGGACCAGAGCAGGGCGGTCAAAATGCCTTAACTTACACTTGAAGCTCAGACATAGTGCCAAAAACATTTGAAAAACTGTTAATGAAGAATTTTACCAACAATTACACAAAAAGACATAAAACAAAAGTTGAGACTGAAATTATGTAATCACTTATATAGCGTACTCCTGAATTGCACACTTTAGTAAACTTAATAATGCTTGTATCCTGTACATACGTTGTCTGTGTGGTATGATTTCTTTGATGCACCCACCAACACATTTTACTTGACATTTTATTCAGTTTGGACACTGTCAGTTAAAGTCAGTCAGCAGAAGTGCTTAGCAGAGGGTGATATTTCTAAACTGGTGTTTTAGTCATATACAGGAAGAACACTATGTAAAACACTGAAGAAAATAACTAAATGCAAGCCAAATTACAAAGTACACATTATACAAAAAAACCATAGACTTTATGATGTAGATGTCCATTTTGTGAGCACCACAACCTAGGGAAGTTTGTCAGCTTGTGTTGTTGCTATTCTGTATATTTTACTTTCAGAATACAAGCATACAGACCTACAAAGAAAACTATATATTGAAAAAGAGCATTTCAGCAGGACTCACAGACCATTTGGATGGTAAAGTAATCAGTGGGTGTGATGAATCTGAACTGTATGTACAAACTACCTTCCATTGCTTCATCAGCATACGCTGTATATATTTCTGTTAAGTTCTGCCTGTATAAGCTTTAACTGTGGTGGGGTTTAGCTACTTATTGCCAGTCCTACAAGTAAAGGTGAGCGCAAGTATGAAGCCATGGACTTTTACAATGTCTCACATGTCTTTTTACCCAGAGCCTCTTGTAGCTTTTTGAGTCTGCGTTCAGTTATAGCTCTCACGTAGCTGTCTGACTGAATGATGGCCATGCCATCCTGCACGACACCCATTACTAGCAAAGGGTTCTCCTCCACTGTGATGTTTGGGCAGGGACAGCTCCAGTCTATCTTGGCAATAGTCACTTCAAGGTGTTTGGTGTTGAAGAAAGTCAAGCCCATCTTTTCATCCCTCAGGACCTCCTCCAGGCTGAAGCGGGCTAACCCAGAGTCCAGATCCTCAACCAGCTCCGTCAGTCGCCCCACAATGGCAAAGTCACTCCGACATAAGCTTGGCACCATTTTCCCTTTGACCCGACATGTCTTACAGGGTTTCTTTTTAGCTTGAGGGCAGTTTGCCTCACACTCCTTCTTGGTGGGAAAGCTGTTGGCGTTCCCATGGCAGCCACCATAAGCAAAAGCTTGACACTGTTTCATGATGGAGTTCCAGGCCCAGCGTGGCTCCCAAGCCTTGCAGGGGCCCTGGACTGCAGGCAGAGAGCATATCCCCATCCCCTCTCTTTGACAGGATGCCTTGCACTCTTCAAAAGTCTCGAATCGATTGCGGCTATCATCACATCCACCATTGCTGAAGGCCATGCAGGAACCAAACTTACTGTCATAGTACCAATCAACATGGCGCTCACTACTGCACACTCTCACATCGACTTCAGCCAGACAGTCTGCTGGGGAGAACGGCCGCCCCATGGGCATCTCAGGGTCTTCAGAGAAATCATCATCAGCTCGCCGGATGACAGACAATGGATAGTCTGCACGAAGAACTCCGACAGAGTTCCTAGCGATGCAGGTGTAGATACCTGTATCCCACACCTGAGCATTGTAAATCACAAGCTGGCCGATGTTGGTGATGACCACGTTGCCATACATCTGGTCAGGCCTCATGACCAGACGTTCACGCCTCTCACTCTGTTTCTCCCAGGTCACATCCGGTCTGGGGACGCCTATAACATCACAGTGGAAACTCACAGTGCCCCCCACATAGATGGACTGATGGTGAGGGTTGGAGTACAGTGTGGGGGGTAAGGGCTCCTCCTGTGAGGATGTAGGGGTAGGGTTAACTGTGGTGTCCTGTGGAAGTGGACTGGTGTTGGGCCCAGCTAGGTAGAAGCGGCAGGTGACCACGGTCAAAGTCACCCCTCTGATGCACGCCTCAGCGTCCATGTAGCAGCGGTTGAAGTAGGTGAGGCCATCAGAAGCACAGGTGAAGTTGGGCTCTTTCTCACAGCGGTCCTGGCACTTGCAGATAGGCTGTCCATCCCAGATGTCACAGATTGCTCCCTGTTGGCTGCAGATGAAGCCCTCACAGGTAGCCGTGGAGGTGGGGGCATCGCCTCCTTCTCCTCCACCCTGGCCGTCTGGCTGGGCAGGGGTGCCATCAGAGAAACGTGCAGCCACACAGCTGTTGAGGCCACACACGTTGGTGCAGCACTTCTCAAAGCTAGCACAGTCCTACACACACGCAGACACGAAAAACAATTAGAACTAGATGAATTACGACAAAACAACCTCAAATAATAATTAATAACAGAAAAGATCACCTCGTCGACGTTGCATTCTCTCTCGCAGGTGCTTTGCGCATCAACCCACAGATTGGAATTCAGTTTATTGGGACAAAACCCTTCGTGTTCAACTTTGGATGCTGCCACACTTGCGCACAGAGAAAGTTCTGGAAGTTTGCAAACGCAGAGCATCACGAGAACCACACGTACCCATCCTAATAGTTTGTTTGAGTTGGACGCATCGTGCCAAATGAGGCTGTTTTTCCATCTCTCCTCTGAAAGTTTTGGAGGGTACTTATGCATAGTTGCTCTTTTGCATGGGTTTTCCTCCGAGTAAATCCATTCCTCCTTTAGGTCCTGAAATTAGAGGTTATTCTAACTTCGATAGTTAAACGTAGTCGTCCATTTTGTGCGTAAACATTGATAAAATCAGTTTGCAGTGAATAGGAAGGCTGCAATCCCAAGGATTAAGACGAGTGCCAGTGCGCTTGACTTCAAATGAAAAAAAGTAAAATCACAATCACCTCCAAAAACGCCTTGAAATCCAAATTTTTTCTTGAAATAAATGCCTTGATTATCAAACAAAATCCTTGGGTTAATGCGAAAAACACAATCCCATTCAGTGTTATTTCCTCGAACAGCGAAATAAGCGAACCAAAGTGCACAATGAGAGAGAAAGACGCAACATCAGCCTTTCAGAGTGTGAATGGAGGTGGAAAGGGCAGCCCCTCTGACCGCCCCCAGTGCTTGTCCAGCGTCTGAAACTCTTATGAAGCAGCACCATGCACCAAGCAACTGGACAAACATTGTAAAAACATCAAAGCAAATGTGTGGCTGTAGTGGCAAGCTGTCCCAACAACATTGCGCACAGGGCTACACATTCCGGTGAGAAATCCAGCGTTTAATGTGTCCAGACTGAATTTATAGAGGTGCCATTCATAGAGCAGGTAGTTAACTTTGATAATTAAGAGGGCTTTGGATCAACATTAAATATCTGCTTTTGGATTTGAAGTCCGTGAGTTTTGCGCAATCCAAAACCCATGCGCACACTTTTTCTCTGCGGAGAGGGAAATATGTTTATACGTCGCCTTGAGCTGAGCGCAAAGCGTGAAACCCAAACACGGGGCGTGCCACAACGCGTCTAGAAAAACATGTTGTTTACGTCCGTCTTGTCTAGACGTCGCTCAGTTTACCACCGTCCCTCATTCACACGGAGCTCAGAGATGCCACGGTCAGGTGGGAAGGCGTAAAGCGCCACATTTTCAATAGTGTGCGACTCATCTTTGTCCTCGCACAGCTCCGGGGCGATGAGAAGCAGCAGCCCTCATCTTTTCATGGGAGGTGACCCTGCAACCTTTGGGTGACTTTTGACCGCGCTGCATTCAAGCGCTGCAGCGATGTCCCGGTTATCCAACTCTCTGGCCAATACCGAGAGAGCAGCTAATCAATTCAGCACCCCCCACCGTTTTATTGCACTTGAGCACCGGTGGCCCCGGGGCTGGACAAAGGCTACAAAAATATTCCCACAACGACCTTGATCAACAGGGCCGGCTGATGGATTTTGGCGGCCCTAAGCAAGATTTTGTTTGGTGGGCCACCAAAACACTCCCTGCACATCCCTCAAACAAAACATTTGGGGGGTAGGGATGTGATGCCCCCTCCCTGTTGGTTGTGGTTTTGGTAGGGATGTGATGGGGCCCCCATATTCGTTGTGGCCCTCCATTTTGTTGCATTTTAAACAGATGATGACTTCATGATGGGATATCTTGAGCTTCTAGATCGCCCAGAGTCTAGATAAGTGGTGGGCAACTTTGATGATGGAGAGGGCCACTATATTTCCACACTCATTCCAGGGAGGCACATTACATATACTCTCAGTCCATTCAATGTCACACAAAAGTTGCAAAAATAGCCGATCTACAAGCTCCCTGGGCTGCCAGTTGCCCATGTATGGTCTAGAACAGTGGTTCTCGATCCAGTCCTCGAGGCCCCCTGTCCTGCATGTTTTGGATGTTCCCCTGCTCCAACACACCTGATTCAAATGATCAGCTCGTTATCAAGCTCTGTAATGGCTTAATAACGAGCTAATCCTTTGAATCAGGTGTGTTGGAGCAGGGAAACATCAAAAACATGCAGGACAGTGGACCTCGGGGACTGGACTTGAGAACCACTGGTCTAGAACTATCTCGCTAGTTATTTTTGTCTTGTGTTACAGCACACAGGCTTATGAGATGACAAAGCAGCCTTGTAGTTTTAACCCTTTATTTTTATGGGTGACTGTTTGCAATGCAGATGAAGTTATAACTGATCCCGTATTCAAACCTGTAGATATACAGCTCCGATAACAAGTATTAACTACCAAACGTTTACACATAGTGCTTTCAATGGCACACAACGCTTCTGTTAGCCTTTTGTATTGGTCTACATCAGGAGCCAGTAGAAAACATGCACCAAGTTTTTACGCCCTTAATGGTCTCAGCACAGATATCCAGTCATGACACTGGGAATGTTTGAGTGGAAATACAGCACGATAACCAGAGGTGGGGGGAAAAAGAGAAGATTTCAACAAAACCAAAGTATTGCTATGGATTTTACAGTTGTTTAAAAAATACCCACACATTCTGCTGTTGTAAACCCTGCGGAAATATGAACTTATCTGGGCATCAGAAGTACCTACACTCCAACAAGAGGCAACACAAAATGAAAATACCAATGAAGCTTATGAACCAGATGATTTCCCCCCCTCTAGATTTGTTTTTCCATATCATCCATCACGTGGCCACAGAAAAGTAGATGTATATTGGTTTACATTCATAAATACGTATCAAATACATAACATATTCAAAAAACCAAACATTTTTCATCTCACCTCACACACGTGACAAATTCATGTGAAGAGCCAAGAAATGACTGCAGCATTTTTGAAGGCAAAACACTGACCCAAAGGAAGAATCTGTACTTACAATTTAAAAAAGTTTCCCCATCAGCACCGAGCAATCTCAAAACTTTAAATCCAAATTATGATGGTTATTAGAAAAAGAGGCACAAACAGCCAGAGAAAGTACACAGCTGAAGAGAGATAACTGATGGCGATGGTGGTATAATCATTCAAACTAGAATTTAGGGCACCGCAGGAAGTCTTCAGAGTAACAAGTCTTGGCTGGATAGCTTCACAGATTGAATTATGCTAAATTAAGTTGTTTCTCAACATTTCTTAGTACAGATTTATTTGTGAAAACATCACTGCCCTTTTCATGACATTCAATTTCAGCTGGTCTAATTTAAAACTCATCTGTGTTTTAAATAAGTAGCTCAGCACCGTTGAGGCTGCAAAGGGGAATTTATACAGTAGACAAAAAGGGAAGAAGATAGACAAATTGGTTGTTACACCAAAGCACGTTTCCCAAACTTTCAGGACAAAACAAGCAAAGAAAGCTTGCCTCCAAGATCAATCACCAGACAAAGATTAGAATGACTAGCACACATAGCTTATTTACAACTTCAAGTCTGACATTAAATACTTGAACCCTCCATTGCTGAACGTTCCTGCATTCATTTGTAGTGTCAAAAGGCGAGTGATAATCCTTGATTCACATCTGCTGGTCCCAGGGAAATCTTGTTGGACTTGTTCACAGTGGGTCTCTGTAGTTAAAGTAGGTAAACAGACATCCACAAGAGGGCACCAGCAAGCACAAAGAGAACAGAAACCAATCCAACCATCCAAGTCAGTTCCCAAAGGTCATTTTAAGTTCACGGCTATTTTCATCCCGGCTGAAGATTCCTGTTTGCTCGACTGCTTCTCAGCTGCCTTGCGACCCCTTGGAGCAACAACACCTTTAATCCTGATTCTATGAAAGAAACGTTCCCTATGAAATCTTACAGTTCCCAGTAGAGGAAGATGAGTTCTTTGGTGGACTCTGAGGAGGCCTGAAGGACTTTGATCGTTTCAGGCTGTTTGCTTTGCTTCCACTGCCACCACCTGAGGCCGAGCTGTTGGCCACTGAATAGGAGCGTCCATGCATCATGACTGCATTCATACCATTGGCCATGGAGAAAGACTTGAGATGGGACTTTATGGCAACAGGGAGGGGCAGTTTGTCAATAAGGTGCACAGGTGTGCAGGAGACAATCGAGCGGCAGCACAGATCCTGGAGGCTGAAGACTGTAGACAGAACACACAGAATATAAAAAAACTCTTAAAGCTTAGATCAAGATTCAAGACAGGTACTCACATATACTGATGCAATTCATGTGGTTCAGTCAAATTTCAAAAAACAAACAGGGTAGCAGGTATTGAAACAGACACTGAGAAGGGCTGCACCTAAAGCGGAACTTTGTTTTGAACTCACAGAAAGAGTATAAAACTGATTTGCTGATTTAGTCACAAAATATTGTTAGTGAATGTGGTGTATATTTTTTAATTACACTTAGGTAATATGTGTCCTTATTTTAACAAACTTTACAGATACCACTGAAAACAGCCAACAAGTAACTGTTTCAATGTGCAAGGCAATTCATGACAGTCAAAAACTAAACCATTTTAGTTTGAGTTTAAACTTTTAATGTTTGTTTATAAAGCTCTTAATGTCCTCGCTCCCATCTATTTAACTGAGTTTTTGACCACTCAGGAGCCGGGTAGAGCTCTGAGATCATAAAACCAACTCCTGCTGGAGGTGCCCAGATAAAAACACAAACACTCTGGTGACCAAGCCTTTCAGTTGTTGGTCCCAGGCTCTGGAATAAGCTCCTCACTGAAATTAGACATATTTCCAACCTGGGCCTTTTCAAATCTCGATTAAAAATGTATTTATTTATGCTGGCTTTTAATACCCCTAAAAAATCATACTTGTTGAAATAAATGTAGAAATCATCCAGCATAAACAATCCATTGTTTCTCACTCAGCATGTAAATTTTACCTGTAAGATGGAGGTCTGGGTATCATGGTCATGGATTTAATCAAAACAGGAATTTATGATTCTTTATCAACGTAACCACAGACCTTTCCCCTTTAATAGTCAAACACATGCGTTCCTTTCGTGACAGCATTATATGAAAAAGCTTAGATCAACTCACCCCTGTTAGGCTTCCAGAATTTCTCCATCCCATGCCTCATCAGCACGATGCGGGACAGTTCTGTGAAGGACTCAATGACATTGAAGTTGCACAGTGGGCTGACCTCAAAGAAAGTCATGCTGTTCTTTTCTGCATAAGCCCTCGCCTGCTCAGTGGGAACTTGCCTCTTGAAAGCAAGGTGAAGCCGGTTGCCCACAAGGATTCTGGGAACACCAGGAGCATGCTGATAGGAAAATAAAAAGTAACGTTGCTTGAAAACATGCTGCAAATATAGCAACCCTATGTGATAATTGCACTATATCACAGACAGTGTCATGGGAGTTCTCATGGAGATGGAAATATGATTACCTCATCAATTTCCCGAATCCAGCGGTTAATACCATCAAACGACCAACCATTCGTGATGTCGTAGACAAGCAAGATGCCCTGTGACATAAAAGTAAAACAGTGCAGATACAGAATTAAAGGGATATTCTGGTGTAAAATCAATATGGGGTCAAACACACCATAACACTGAGTTGGCCCCCCGACTCGAGAGATGAATGTTGCTGACCGCTTGCTTCTCTAGTTTTACCAACTTTAGTAACAACCGCAGGATAGCAATACACAGCGGTCTGAGGAGCCATAACCAAACCTCAACTAAAACGCCACTCTATAGCCACAAATAATGCTCAGAACAGCACCTAACCTCATCAACAGTACATATAGGGTCCCAGCCATAGCACTGGCCACCAAACATCTTTTTAGATTTGCCTGATTTCTTTAGCAAAGAGACAAAACACAACTCACCTATTCTCTTTCAGCAGCCGCTTCTTTGTAGCGCGACCTCAGGCCAGTCCATTACGGACTGCTGCAGGGTGACGCAGCTCAAGGAAGAACATTTATGATCATTACTGTATCATTTCCTTGAAGTAAATGTAAAGTAATTAATCATTTTGCACTGAAGACGCAGAAGTTCTTCTGCCTTAGTGTCTCGGTCTGATTGCATTTCCATGAAAAAATGAACATAAATGTTCCTCCTTGAGCTGCGTCACCCCGCAGCAGTCCATAATGGACTGGCCTGAGGTCTCACTACAAACAAGGGGCTGCTGGAAGAGAGTAGGTGAGTTGTGTTTTGTCTCTTTGCTAAAGAAATTAGGCAAAGCTAAAAAGATGTTTGGTGGCTAGTGCTGTGGTTGTGACGCTATATGTACTGTTGATGAAAATAGGTTCTGTTCTGAGCATTATTTGTGGCTTTAAGATTTCTGTATCCCTCACCTGTGCTCCACGAGAGTACGACCTGAAGATGGTGCAAAATCTGCCCTGTCCCGATGTGTCCCTGTAACACATAAGCAGGAGGTCTTAAGGTCTTAATAAGTTTTTTTTTTCACTGCTTTTATAGTTCACATACAGACAAAAGTCCTATTAATTACACGAAGGGACTTACCATAACTCTAATTTGACTCTTCTACCATCCAGTAGAATTGTAGTCGTCTTATAATCAATCCCTGAGAAAATCATGAAGAAAATATTGAGTAAAAACAGGACTTTCCGGTTCATCCAACTTTGACTTGAACTTTAATTCTGAGCAGAAGCACACATAGACTCACCACTGCTGTAGGCGTAGGGGGACTCTACTGATCCGTCTTGCAGACTTTCTAAGATCTCCCCCTTTCCCACATCGCTGTCCCCCACCAGAAGAAATTTCAGGAGGTAATCGTAACTCTTGACAGGACTGCTCTGGGTCCCCATCATCCCACGCATTTGATCCGGTTCACAGAGAGCTCTGAAAGCTCACTGAGGGGGTCCAAACTTGCAGTCCTGACCAGAGACAGCGCTGCTGGGGTTTGACGTTAGCAATCAAGCTAGCTGCTGCTGCACATTCAACGATTTACATCACCTCTCGATCTTTCAACAATCGCAGGAAACAGCTCCACTGGTGTGAAAGAGTCTCTCCGTGGGTGTTTAGTTGAGGGATAAAGCGTCCAAAAGCCTGCCGGGCTATCGCTCTTGTTCACATTTACAATCAAAACAACTTCACTGTTAGCTGTTAGCTTCACCGCTAGCCAGTTAGAAGGAACGAAAATCACGCATACTCAAACAAAGCTTAGAAATAAATGAGGACGATCATTTTCGATATAACATTATACTCTAATACGAAAAAAACCAACAGATTTACTTTGTTCGTATAAAGATAAGCCAACGAGAAATAAAGGGTACCGAGTACAACGTACAGTTAGCAAGGCGGACAGTAGCTGGCATCTACAGTTGGAACTTCCAGGTAATGACGTATTTACTGCGTAACATCCGGTGCATGGTGTAGAAAAAATAAATAAATAAATAAATAATGGTCTTTTTGATGGAATTATTTGGAAAAGGGTTTAGATTTACTACAAAATGTAAAATAAAACTGAAAAAGAGAGATATTATTTTTTATTTTGAAAAAAAAAAAAAAAGAATATAGACCGGTCATATTTTTTGTTAAACCTTTTTACTTTGTATGGAAGATTTTATATTTATAAATGTAAATGGTCTGAAAAACAAAAAACAAATATCCACCAGTTTAAAAATGAAATGAAGATATATTTTAAGGCACTAACTCAACTCAACTCAACTTTATTTGTAAAGCACTTTAAAGCAACCACAGCTGAACAAAGTGCTGTACATAAATAGCCAAAACAACATAGACATAAAAAACCAATTAAAAAAAAAACAATTAAAACAATGGACAAAATAAAAGCAGAAATTAAAAAGTAAAATATAGTTTCAATTTTAAAAAAACTAATTTAAAAACAATAGAAACAAAAACTAAAAACAAACCATAAAACACTAAAACAGGAGCCGAGTCTCATGCAGGATTGAAAGCCAATGAATAAAAATGGGTTTTAAGAGGAGTTTTAAAAATGGACAGTGTGGGGGCTTGTCTGATTTGGAGGGGGGTAGCTCGTTCCATAAATTTGGGACTGCAACAGAAAAAGATTTATCCCCCCTGAGCTTCAGTTTGGACCTCGGTACCTCCAGGAGCAGCTGATCAGCTGACCTGAGGCACCGAGCAAGGGTGTAGGGGTGGAGAAGCTCAGAGAGGTAAGATGGAGCCAGACTATTTGAAGATTTAAAAACAAATAAAAGAATCCTAAAATCTAAAAAGATTTTTTTGTATATTCTGAGTTTGTTTATCCATCCATTGAAGTGGGGCTTAATCTTGAAGTACTTACATCTGTGAATGAAATGTTTTCCAAGTGTAATTAAAATGTTCACCATGAAGTCCAAGTTCTGTTCCTTGAACTGTAGTCCAATCTTGATTTACATCCAGTTTAATGGGGGAAAAATAATTTGTTTAGATAACGACCAATTTTGAAATAATGTCCAAAAGTGTACAACATGCTCACATTCAAAGAAAATTTGTTCCACTCTTTTAATTTTACTATCACAAAAACCACACATATTGTTATCCCAATTAAATCTTATATGTAGGAGGTGGTTTGATGGATAAATGTCATTTATGAACAAGTTAATTGTGAAAAAAAAAAGTAATACTTGGAGGTTTTGAAAACTCTTGCTGGTTGTATTTGACAGAGAAAGGCAGTGATGCTTGTTGAGGGTGATAATCATTGGTCAGCTCTCATTGGTTGTTCTTGATTGGCATTTGCAGCAGCTGAGGGACCTCTCTCTTGAATGCAGGATACAAAAGCTAGATGAAACATTGCTGTCAGAAGTAACCTATTTAGGTGAGGGGTCAGTGGCGTCACTGGGTGGCAGTTGCAGGAGTGGAAATGGCACTGATGCATGCTGGTCTCTTATTATTGCTGTTTTGCTCTGCCCATAGTAACCAGTTTAGGGGTGCACCTGGTCATGGCCTGTTTGTGGAAGATCCTGAATTAGAGTGGGAAAGAATGGAGACAGTAATAGGGGAAGCTAATACAGAAGCTCCAGAACCTGATGCCAAATTCTGGAGGAGCTCATCTAGCTATGGGTCTTCACAAACTGCCGCTAAGAAGGTTCCTGAGTATGTGATTGTTCCAGCCTCAAAGATCCAGAAAGAGGCCTTCAAGCCAGAAAAGGGTGCTCGACCCCTCCCTAACTCAGTCAAGGAACTCTTACTTAGCAGTACAGCTACTGCCAAGGCATCTGGAAAAGCAGCCAGACCAAAGATGATTGAAATCCTGTGCCACGTTGACAGAATGTATGTAAGGATCAGAAGAGAGATTTTCAAGACCAAGGATGCATACAAGGATTTGAAACTAGGTAGCTGTCCTGTTAACCAAGGTACCAAAGTACATTACTTCTTTCTGTACCTTCTGAGTAGTGATTGTGGATTCAAAAAAGAGGTTGGTAAAAGTTTCTTGTTACTTTCTTAATCAAAAACTAAGTCATGACTATGAAAACCCACTTGCTTATTAATTTTTTTTTTCTTCTTAGAGTAACACGGATGATGTATCAATTCGCAATGTGCTCCACTACAAGCCATCAACTCCAGTCATCAGGGAGATGCCATTTGACATTCCACTGCAGTGTAAATTTCCAAGGTAAGATTTATTTGCTAAATTGCAAAGACAAGCCTAGCAGTATTTTGAATCATGTGACGTCTGTAACGTAATAAATGGGAGCGTTCACTCTTTTGATATTATTATAATGCCAGCTCTCACCTGACCACTGCAGGTTTTTCCACTCCTATAAAGTTGGCTTCTACCCCAAACTAAGGGGAGGCACAGTTTTCAAAGCTCTCCAACCAAAGAGCGATTACACCCTCACTCCTCAAGATGGTATGTGCCTTTCACATGAGCAAATCTCCTGATCAGTATAATCATTCAGAGATGAATAGATGTTTTTTGTTTGATGCCTCTCTAAATCTTTTTTTTTTAAATGCAAATTATTGAATAAATACAGGACCATAAGGTTTTGCGTTTCTTTAGATCATGACAGTAAATGTTCCTTAATTGGAAAGCTGACAAAGTAGATATAAATACCTCGGAATTGTGCTTCAAATTTTCCGTAACCTTGAAATTGTGTGACATGGTGGAAAATGTTAGTCAGCGGGTTAATTGGTTTATCTTTGTTCAAAGTGCTGTTCTACATTGGAGGGAAATTAAGGACATTTAACTTTTTTGGGGAGGGATAACAGACTTGGGTCTGATTACAACTTGAAGCCAAATGTGCAACTGTTGCTGACTTCAACTTTTTTTTTTTTTTTTTTTTTTAAATAGACAAAATTTAATCTTGCCAAAACCATTTTATATACACAATAATCAGGCACAGAACAATGACATCTGAATTCAACATTTATTTGAGCAAGACAGAAACTTAAGCACAATTTTTCACACATAATTTATGGACATGTACAAGAGCTTAACCTGCATCAAACTGTGGCTTGATCAACTGATCTCTCATTCTTGCAGCATCAGGAAATGAAATCACTGGCGCTAAAACCTACACCTTGGGCCAGCCAATGTACTTTGAGGCCAAGAAACCAAGTGGCAGAGAAAAATCTGGAGATCAGAGGATATATGTCAAGAAGTGCTTCATGACAGCTGCCAAAGACCCCAACTCTTCCCCTAAATATACAGTCATTGACAACCAAGGGTAAGAAATTTTTGTTTCAGGATATAGTTATGTCACTTTATTATGAAACGTTAACTAATTTTTTTTCTCTGTAAATGCAGCTGTATGATTGACAGCAAGCTTACAGACCAATCAAAGTTCCTCACTGGTAACTCTAAGACCATGCAGAAATTCAGTATAGGAGCCCTGGTTTTCAAGGACTCCGTTTCCTCCTCCTCGTCATCACAGGTATTTGCAAAAATGGCACATAGATTTATTCAATCAAATTCAAAGGTTTTAAACACTTAAAACTGTCTTTCAGCAACTCTACATGCACTGTGAGATCTCTATGGGAAAACTTACTCCAACCACGAGTTCAAAGGCTTGCAGTTATGACGCAACATCTAAAAAGTGAGTTATCTTTTTAAATGAGGTTAAATAAGAACAAGGACATTTTGCTTTTAAAGCAAAAACTGCTTTATTGGTTTGCAAAAAGCTGACAAACTTTAGAAGAGTTAAAAGTGAAGCTATTGGGCATATTGATGTGTTCCAGTTTGGATATCAATCATGATGAAACCTGTCATTGCTTTAGGTGGAAGGAGCTATATGGTGAAGACTCCATATGCACCTGCTGTGAATCCACTTGCTCTGCAACATCCCCTAAAGGCAAGTTTGCACATTATGGACTTTGGTTTAAGTTGGAAAAAATGAAGCATGTAAAGGCATAAAACGACAAACTACTTAAGCTAAGATTTTTGATTTCTCAACAGCTTCAAGGAATCTTGTTTCCAGTCACTCTTGGAAGGTTGACCTGAGCAGTAAGGACAAAGACATAGAATTTGAACCACTTATGAAAATGGCTGACTCGTTCGACCTGGAGGATCCTGAGATGGAAGAGCATAAGGACTTCCTCAACTACTGGGATAATGATTATTAGATATCATGTTAAAGTGATCAAAATTTTAATAAATGAATTGCTTTAATTTCATGCCTGAAGATTCTTGTGCTCAATACTGTTGCAGACAACATCCAATCTCCAAACTGTGCATTTTTAAATGAGTCTTTAGTTATTTTTTTTTCAAACGGAGCTGTTGTCAGCGCACTGATCGATGTAGTCTTGGATCAGCATGTGTGCATTTTCAAGCATTTCCTGGAAGTGCATAACTGCATTTCTGTAGATACAATTATGAACCACAAGGGGATGGAAGAGATTCACCATCTTTGCTTTAGTGAATTCATCAGGAAGTTTAATAATCTTTTGAGTTGAAGAGTTTCCAATAAGAGCATGGTGCAACTGCTTTTTCTCAAGGCTCTTCTTCATGAATACCAGTAAGTCTTGTAACCTTTCCGCCACATGGTCTGGTTTCCACTGTGGCGGCTGTGTGGTCAGCAGCAGGTGCATTACAGCGGTTTTAAAATGAAAGTCCTTGAGCGCACTGCTCCCTGACAGTGCCGTTTGTCTTCTGTGAAGAAAACTTGCAATTTCCAGAGTCTGACTGTGGCATGAGTTTTCAGGAAGGAGTTTAGAAATTTTTTCCAAGAAATGATTTTCATATGTGGTCAGAGAGAGAGTCCACAAAGTATCCAGATTTGTGGGGGCACAAGGAGTGATGAAGAAATACGCTTCAGAGTTGGATCTAACCACAGGACTCATACTGAAGATGATCTTCTTCCCTGACCTGAATCGAACCACTAGAGCTCCCGGGGCTTCAAGGTAGCGTATGTTCAGCTCAAACTCATACTTGTGCGAAATCTGTGCCCACGCTTCCTTGATGGTGCTCTGAAACCACCTGGTGACCTGTGATTTAGAAAGGAACGGGGAGTTCTTTGCACAAAGAGGGCCATCGTGAACATCAGCGATCTTCATCTTTACCTTCTCTGTCCCACAATGCAGCAGGCAAACCATATCTTCTGCCTCAGCAGACTGACAGGGGCAGCCCTTTTGGATTTCCTGTCTTTCCACCAGCTTTATTTGACCACAAACCTGCATCTCTGGAGGCAGGTCACTCACCTCGTTGTTGTGGAGAAGACACTGAAAACCCCATGGATTAGGTGGAGTGAAGGGGACGATGATGTTATACACATCCATCATCTGAAAGTGTTCAATCACCATGCCACCACGTTTATCAGACACTTTCTTCATGGCCTGTATTAGATCATCTGCAAACCCCTCCAGGAACTCCTCTTTCCACCTCTTATCGGCAGAGACTTTCACATATTTAGAGTGAAACCTCTGCAGAGTGTCGTTGTCCAAAAGTGGTACTTCGGCAGCAGCGCAGGTCAGTGGGAAAACGCGGCTTTCTCCTTGTTCTGTTTGGGAATTTCCCCACAGGTATTTTCTCAAGAGGCGGATTATTGAAATGATGGACAATGTGTTGCATAAATACCAGATATAGCCCTCCTCCCAGAAAGCAAAGTCTGTCTCTGCACTGTCCTTTTCTGATGTCTGGGTGTGAAGATGTGGCTGAGTAGACTCCTGGTCTTTGGAGCCGATCTTTTCTACCTCCTCAGCCTCCTCTTGTGTCACTTCTGGTTTTCTCAAATCTCCTAAAGCATCACCAGTCTGAACACCTCCCTGCTGATTATTCTGCATGTCCAGCTGAGAATTTCGGCCTTGTTCATGCTCAGTTTGTGCAGTCTTCAGAGGAGTCACATCTTCCAAATGTGGCATGTGTTCCTCCTCAGGAACATGTCGAACAGATGTTTCTCCCTCCTCTGGTATGTTTTGTTTGTCATCAGGAGGCCCTCTGCTGTCTGTGCCTATCCTCATTATTTCCTCATTGGCAGCCTCCATGAGGTTGTCCAGTTTGTTTCCTCCTCCCATTAGTCTCTGTTCATACTTTTGCATGCCTGTTAAGGTCATATCATCAGAATCCTGAACACTGGGGTCATGTCTGGGATATGTTAGAAGACCCACAGCAACCACAAACATTCGCAGCAGGGTGTCTTGCATCCTGAAAACTGTGCATAAATACAAGAGGATAAAAAGATGTTGAAACTAAGTTATAAAAGAGTAAAATTGTTCTTTAAAATAAACAAACGAACATAAAAAACTTGCAATCATCCGTGTTATTGCATTCTTTATGAGGAAATTATGCGAAGCAAGGGCAGAGGTTACTTCCTGAATGGCCTTGAAGCATCCTTTATACTTATTCCTCTGATAACACTGTGTTACTGTACATCACATTAAAGAGAAGATCAAATATACACACCCAACGAACTGATGAATTTCTCCAAAGCTGCAATGTCCTGGTAATGCTTGAGCAGGTAACAAACGAGGGAGGTTCAGGCCAACCTTGCAGAGCCGCAGTCTCAGTGATCTCTTCCTATTTTAGAAGCAGTTATAGGTTGTCTTTCGTGACTTATTTCCTGCACACCCTGCCCATGTGTGCTCTGCTGTAACATCTTCCTGTGTGACACAGAAGAAAACTGATAGCCCAGACTTCCTGTAAGTTTAACTGCAGACAAAGACTGCATGAAATCAGCAGTTTGCTCTGCGTCACCGAATCAATCAAACAGTTTCAATGGCCATGGATTTTTTTTTTTACATTACGAAGCATAAAGCATTATATTACATTTTAAGGTCAAAGCTGTGCAGGAAAATGGTTTGTGTGTACAAATAAGAGAGTAAGCCCTTGTCTTTGATCCTGTTGTGGGTCTCTAACTGGTTTGTCAAGCTCTGTTGAAAAGGTGCAGCTGAGTTCACACGATTATGCCAAGTGTAGTAAGAGCTCTAAAGTATTTTTCACACGGTTGGACTCTCTAAATTTGTTTGGTTCTGATCAAACTTGTAGTAGAAGATTCACCCTCCACCTACAAATCGGCAACCAAATTTTCCAGCCAAACCCACAGACATTTGAATTGTTCCAGAGGATTTTTGCATGACCAGATTGTGATGTCTGCTTTTGAACAACACTGCACCATAAGGGTCACAAAAGTTGATTCGTTACTTACCGGGTGCATAAAAAGTGTGTAAAAACATAGTAGAGAACTTTAGAAGGATGATCTTGTGGTGTTATTTCAGTAATGTACGACATTAGCTGTGGAGAAAGTGTATTTTCAATAAGGTGCTGTTACGTCACACTAAACACAGGTGCCTGCTCAGGGAGGGGCATGACAACAGATGATGTGGTTACTGAGAGTTCGGGAAACGCCTGACAGACAGTCAGAGCCACAATGTTGAACAAGTGGATGGAGAGTAGCAAGGTGTACACGGTGGTTATCATCACTCTATGACTTTTCTCAATTCTATTACGGATAACAGATAACAGGTAAGTGTTGGAGAGATGTGCTGATCAATAAAGAGATGAATAACTTTTTATTATCTCTTTGTGTAGAACTACGAACACTGGTATTTTTCCTTCTTCTTGAAATCTAGTCAACTTTAAAAGTCAAGAGCTGATTTTGATCGGATGTTTTGGTGCAATTTTCTAATAGGGCCTCTCCAAAGATGAACACATTCAGAGTTAATGAATCAAATACTGATGGTTGATGAAAAGCTGTTTAAGAACTGTTGGGCTTTGAAAACTATTCTTTAAAAGAGAGAAAATCTTCACTCTCATCTTCTCAGAAAGTTTTCACATTTCGTGCTGCAAACTGCTTCAGAAACCAGCATGCCCTGGTGCTTTTTCACTAACTGATTTCAAACTTAATCTTTTTATTTTTACAGACTTATTTACTTTACTTGAATAAAAGTGCACCACAGCTCCCAAGATGGATAAGTTGCGTATGATGTTCCAGTTCCTCCAGTCCAACCAGGAATCGTTTATGAATGGGATCTGTGGTATCATGGCTCTGGCCAGCGCTCAGATGTACTCCTCCTTTGAGTTCAACTGCCCCTGCATGCCTGAATACAACTACAGTTATGGGATAGGAATGCTCATTATTCCACCTATATGGTTCTTCATGTTGGGGTTTGTGTTGAACAATAATGTGTCCGTGCTGGCAGAGGAGTGGAAGAGACCCACAGGGCAACGGGGGAAGGATCCAACAATCCTACGCTACATGTTTTGTTCAATCACACAGAGATCCCTGATAGCCCCTGCAGTGTGGGTGTCTGTCACTCTCATGGACGGGAAGAGCTTCCTCTGTGCTTTCAGCATCAACCTGGATCTCAACAGGTTTGGGAATTACAGTCTTTTGAGGGGGATGTCAGAGGCGGAGAAGCTGCGGATGCTGGCGAGGATTCCATGCAAAGACCTGTTTGAGAATCAGGAAATAAGAGCAGCAGCGTTGAGATACATTAAGTGTATATCACAGGTAGGATCCTCCTTCTCTTTTCTGTGAATGATTCATGCTGAGGGGTCATTAAGGTTTAGAAAGGGAAACAGCCGGACTCAGATGACCTTTTTAAAGCACAAACAGCCAAATAGCTCAGATCAGAAATACTTAACAGTGTGGACCAAAAAGTTTTTCAGCTTCATCACAAGATCTGATGACTCAGGGAATCTATTTTTTTTCTTGTTTTATTCCAGAAATGGTACTTCACTTAAATCTCCCTACCAGACTCTGGCTTTGCACTTTGAGCTCTTGAAGCTTTCCTCTGTGCTTAATAAGGGCAAAGATAAACCTTCTAACTTTGTAACTCATGGAACTGGGATATATTTCAATCCAGTCGAGTACACCCACACTTTTATTTAGGTCTTTGATCAGACGAAGGGCAATTATTCAGGCTTAAAAGTGACATGGCTCCAAAAGTCTGTTCATAAACACACTCCATCAATGAGCAGAGAACCTGTCAGGAAAGTCTCAGAAATGCTCTATGCACCACATTTTAGAGTATTAGAGTTTTATGATCCTCAGTATTAGCTATGATTTGTTTTCTATTTGTGTTTTTTTTATTTATTACAGTTGAAGTTATCAAGTGTTCCAGTTGGTTAAAATCCTGATACACCATTATGTCTAATATTTTTATTTTGAAGGTATGTGGATGGATGTTTCTTCTCATGTTGACCCTGACAGCTTTCATGATCCGGGCTATGCGACCATGCTTCACTCAAGCTGCCTTCCTCAAGACAAAGTACTGGTCTCATTACATTGACATTGAGCGCAAGATGTTTGATGAGACATGTAAAGAGCACGCCAAGAGTTTCGCCAAGGTTTGCATTCAGCAGTACTTTGAGGGCATCAGCGGCGAGATGCGCAGTTTCCACAAACGCCACTCCAGTACTAGAGAGGATGATGATGATGAGGAGGATAAAACGAAAAGTGATGAAGAAAAGCTCCTAGGTATCAGGGCTCAAGATGATATGAACAAAGTTTTATGGAACTGGCACACCTGTAAGCCAGCACTGACCCTCAGGAAGGACCAAATAGATGGAGAAAACAATGGTCGACTGAATGGAGGAGTCAATGGAGCAGCAAATGGATTTGTGAAGGGACACACCCATGAGGTGGAGAAAAAGGAATGGGCGGTGTATTACAGTAAGGTCTGAAGAGCGAATGGGACAAAGAAATAATTCAGTGGCTCTTATTTCACTCTCAAAAACATTGTTTCAGAGTTTGTGAATCCTTCTGTCTGTGCACGTCATATTTAATAATTTTGTCATATTTTCTTCTGTGACCAACTAATTTATTTTTGACTTTGCATATAACATTCTGTATAAGTGACTGAATATAATGTTTGTCATCTGTAGTTTGATACTTGAGCATACCTGCAAAATGGAAAAATGTTGGACTGTCACAATATTTCTGGTCAAAATACACTTCAGTTTTCTTAGAAACGTCTGATGAAATTCATCTCCTTTTGAAACAAACTGGTACCTCTTATGTCAAATTCACATCAGATTCTTTCTTTAAAGCTGCAGCGAGCGACTCTTGGTTTGTGTCAATTCTGGCGCCCCCTGTGGATAAAAACATCTTATCACTGGACAAGTCTTCCCTTGTATATGCTGAGGTAGTATTCTCTAAGAAAAACTCTCTCAAACATTCTGCTTTCAGACAAATGTGTCACACATCGTGAATGTTTGCTGTAGAAGTGTAAAGAATGACATTCTGTCAGGGTGCTGTCAATCATCCAGTCTGACCATGAAAGTCTTAAAGCAGCTTTAATGTCCTCTATAAGGGAAATCACTATTTACAGTCCCACTCCTATAGTTTTTTTTACTTCTTAAAGTGTTCTCAGTGGTCTTTAAATTTTAATCATGAAGTTTTAAACAAAAACCGTGCTATCTGTGTCATTTTCAAGAGCTTTTCTTCTGCAGAGCTCCAGTAGCTCATTAGCAATTCGCCTCTGAGTCGTGGGCGGAGACAACGCTGCTCTGCACACTCGTCTTCATGTTAGCTTGTAGCCTATGATTGCCTGTGCAGTAGAAGTGACAGGTAAGATAGGAGCTCTTCAGCTCTCGGACACTGTTGTCTTTAGGGACACAATGAAAGTTAATATCATAATTAGCTTTCTTACAAGCATTGCAATCCACTGACGCACATACTTGTTCCACGATCGTTCACTGTATTTCTCCTCTATATGCCGAGTGTGGCCTGCATAACAGGGGTGGAGCTTGCAGTTGTGACAGGAAATCTCACTGTTTCTGAGCCTGCCGTTTGGGTCTGCCAGAGATTCACAGAGATTTGAATGAAGAAATACCCAGAAAAGCAATCTGGCATTTGGTTTTCTCATGATATGTCCTGTAGCATCAGAAAAATGCCATATGAACCTATAAAAAATAAGGAAAATATGACTTTCATCAGAGTGGGTCTTTAAGAGAAACAAGAAAGATAGGAGCATAACAGATATTCAAGTCAAGGCAAAACTCTACCTTGTGGATATTCTATGATTAAAAAAGTGGAGTAACTATATCATGTTGGTGGGGAAACATTTGCACATTGGATGTTTCTTATTAATATCACTGAGTAATGTTTGTTATTTCAACCACATAAACTCTCTGGATTTTTCCCAAAGCACAGAAGAGAAAGTTTTAATGCTGGTCATTAAGGTGATGAAAAAAACTGCAGTTCATGCCTCTGCTGTGCTTAACTTTTAACAAGACTGTGTAACTTTTAATGAAAGAAACCCATTACTGATGCAAATCTGAATTCATAAGCAACAATAAACAATCCTGCTTAAGTGAGCATATTTATTTGTTCCGCTGCTGCAGCCTCATTTTTAATAAAGTTACACAATTTTCTGACTTTTCTAGCAGTTCCCAAGATTTGGTTGGACCACATTTAAGGTCAGAGCAGTTCCTGTGCAGCAAAAGTTGCATATTCATCATATTGTCAAATACATAACAGCTTAATGGACTTCAGACAGGTACTCTTTCGTTACAGCAACATGTAACAAGAGTTCATCAGATTTCAAGAGGAATCATGTGGTTATAATTTGGCCATCGCTTCCAGCCTTGGCTTAGACTCTTTTTTAAATGAGATTTTTAATTTTAATGAGTTTCTCCTGGTCATTTAAAGGTTTCATTATAACCCTACAGTGCCACAGTCGTTCCTATCAGCTGAACCAAAAGCAAAAGGCTGTACCTGCAACAATAGTTTGCATGACACAAAGTAAACACGTCCAACATTTGCATCCCTCTCACTCCTTGCGCAGTCACACCTTTCCCTGAGCACCTGAATGATTGTCTTCTGAGAAAAAAACATTTACTTTACAGCAACTCATAACTGTCATTGTATTCATCAAATGTGTATCTATAGAAACTATTGATTTAATGGGCTTTTATCATATTTCACAAGAGGTCATGCCTTTATAAGAGTCATTGTCCTGTAAACACAAACAATGACAACATAATGCTGCTGTAGCCAGACTGAGACCTGTAAACATCCAACAATGCATCCACGTATTAATGCCTGTGCATCTGTGTCAATCCAGCTGTTCCTCAGCATTCAGCATTAATGTCATTACTACAGCAAAGGGAGGGGAGAGGGGAGGGAGCAGGGTGAATGAAAATGGCATGGGTCCCATTGAAGCTTCTCCCTCCCCCCACAGATTGGTGGAGCAGCTCTCCCCTTGACCGTCTCACAGCTCACCCAGTAGCCCAGCAGCTGTTCGCTCCCCCAGCAAATTGGCAGCCAGGGCCGCTGGTGTGGGGGTGGACATGCAGGCAGCGTCTTTGTCCAGACTGTGATTTTCCTCTGTGTTGTCTCCTTGTTTTTTTTCCTGATATTAGTCCCTTTCGAAATCTCTCACCCTCTGCTTTTCTTTCTATTGACATTTGCCTCCTCTCCTTTTTGCTGCTCCACCTGCCTCTTCCTGCTCTGCAAGGGTGACATGGTGTTTATATATAGATCAAACAAAGCAAACATAAAAAGAAGCTGCTGCAGCTCTAAAATTACTGTGAATGTATGATAGAAGGAAACAGTGACTGAAGTTTGTCATGTCTTCTTTTCACCCGTCTCCACTTGACACAAATGGCTTTGTTTTGGCTGTCAGGATACTGGCCATCCGCATGTTACTGACCAAGGCCTTGTTTGACTTTGCTGCAAACGTCTCTCCTGTCTTCCTCTCACAAATACATGCACATGGGTGTGCGCATACAGACACATACACATCAGCATGCTTGCAGGCGCCCTATTCGTCAGTGTCTGGCTCATTCTGCCTTCCTTCTGCCTACAGATTGGAGGACAGAGGTAGCGAGGGAGGGCTGAGGGAGAGGAGAGTTGCGAGGCAAAACGGCTGGTCACATGAGCAGAGATCTGTTTACAAACCTAAGGCAGAGCAGAGCGAGAGCAAGGGGAGGAAGGGAAAGGCGAACTGCAGGCTCTCTGTGAGCACCATTGAGGACTGAAAGAGGAAGAGGGGAAGCCTGCCATGACAAAGCCAGCTGGAGGTGGGAGAGACTAAATACGACACACGCAGACACACTCCTGCACACACACTGCCTTTGTCTCTGATTTTTTTTCTCAATTGAGCGAGCAGATGGTTAGAGGGAGAGTAGGATCCCCCCCCTCCCTCCCAACACACACTTACACAAACATACACTGACTGACACACAAACACACTCTCAACAGCAAAATACCAAACCCAGCTACAGGACTGTTGTTGCATGGAGCTGTCTTCACTTTGTTTGGGCTTAGAGAGGAGCACATCTTTGTCTTTCCACACTGAGGAGGAATACCCACTGCAAGATCAGAGGACTGGAGGAGGAGACAACAGAGGACAGGAGAGGGGGATGAGACTTGTGAAAATCCTCTGTTAAAAAAGCAGCTTTGGGAGGAAGACAAAGCACAGACTAATGCCAGATAATTACCTTCAGTGGACAAGAGCTGTCATTTTGAAAGGTGGCTGTCACTGGATTTGGTGAGGGAACAACGCTGCAGAGGCAAAGTGAAGTCAGAGAGACCTTTTTTCTGCTGAAAATGTGAGTATTTCTGCCACCAAACAGTCTGTGCTGATTGTGACATTGTAACTGAGGGAGATTCAGAATTTCACATTAACAACTCCTGTGTAACACATGGTGTGAGGTATGTGAAAAACAATCACTCCTTCTCAACAAGATTTCTTTGTCTCTCCTTCTCTCTCCTGCAATGACATCATTCTTACTGGGATCTAGGAGCACATGAGGTCTCCGGTCCTGGTCCAAGCCGCCCCAGTCCAAAATCTCACAATCTTTACACCGAGTGGTTAATCCAGATTTGGGAATGCTGGGCGTCACAGGCTGCTGAGCCAACAAAACCGCACCTCCTGAAGGATTTGTGGAATCTGAGCAAATCTGAAAATCTTGATGGTTGTTTTTTGAGGAAAGAACACCACCCCTGAAAGAGAGCGATTCAGGTCAGGGTGTCTGACTCCAGGCTCCAAACAGCTCCAGTGTCCTGAGCGCCGGCCCACGAGTTTGGCTCCTCTCCAAACCTTCTCCTGACAGGGCCCTGAATTTACTGCTGCTGTGCTGGGAGTCAAATTTCATGCAACCATTCCAATGGTGTAACGGTAAGTGAGCTGAATTCTCTGCCATCTGCCAAATACAGGAGACAATAGCACATGCACTAGTTCATAAACTCGAAGTTACAGCGTGCAGGCTTTTGTGATCCACAGCATGAGTGTTCTTGTGAGATGATAAGTAACTGAGAAAGTGAGGGAGCTGCATTCAAGGTCATGTTTGTTTGACAGCCATGGCAACTGGGACTAACAGTAATTCTTTCTCTCAACTAATTCCACATTCATATTTTGCCACTTTTGACCAACTCTGACATGCATCATTGCAACTCTCACCACTCCACTCCAGGTCTTCCCCACGCAAAACCCCTACCACGGCTTGTAAATCCCCCATCCCCCAGCCATGTTAAATCATTCAACCCATACCCCCCACAGTGTGCAAGCTGTACTCATTGATCCCCCTGAAGAGAGACACATGGACATCTAGAGGCTGGCAAAGAGCAGCCTCGCCGCAGATTAATAGGAACACATGTGGCCTGTGGAAGTGGGGCTTCCTCTGCTATTGTTTTACCAAATGGTCCTTTAGTCCCCAGAGTTCATTCTGTTTAATGGACCCCACCCCTGACCACCTGCAACATACACATGTACACAGACATGCACACAGATATATCTGTCAACAAATACACACACACAGACAGACCCCACCTCCACCCCAGAGCTGTCACACACACTCACACCCCACCAGTCACCTCGATGGAGTCTGTGGAACAGATGGTGGTGTGGCGGAAGTGTCGTCTCTCCTCCGTGTTTGTCTTGTTCACAGCCAATTAACGGGGAGTCCTATGAGTGCCTCAGTTGCCACCACAGTGCCAGTCACAGCTCTCAGGACACACCTGCATCCAACAAACACCAATAATTACACCAAATCCTCTGTGAATAATTTTGTTACATTTTTAAGCTGGATATTAAATCTCGAGTAAACTTATTGTGAAATTTCTATCTGCTGACAGTTACAGACTCGGAGCCGAGTGGCAGGAGAGGTCTGGTAGTGCAGACTGACATTATAGTTAATGATCAACAATCCCCACTTCACTGCCAAGATTCCTCTTGCTCTTTATTGTACAATATAAACTCACTTTTTACTGCTATTACACGGCTCACTCATTCATTGACAAAGTAAAATGATTAACTCTGATCTCAAGAGCTGAAATCCTCTCAAACTTTGCTTCGTCAGTACAAATTGTAGCATCTATGCTCAGTGCAACCATTTAGACTCCCCTTTGTAGACTGATATTGTTAATGCAATGTGGGAACCTGGTTAGTTGTGATATGAAAGTAAACAGTGAAGCTGTTCTACTGGATATTGTTGTGTTAGTCAAGTTCTCCTGTTAGGAGGTATGTCCTGTTTTAAAGCCTGAGGCTGACAAACATAAAAGTGAGGGAAAACATATACTGTATGTCTTTTAGGTGTCAGAGTCGTTTCACCATGTAAAATCTGGTTGAAGCAGACTCATTACACTAGCAAAAGCTAACTTACTGGACTCTGCAGGTGACCAGCTAATTAAATATAAAATATCTAATCTGAACCTGCAAACTCTTCCTTGCAGGATACCTGTGTGGTTTGGGTTTTCAGTGCTCTGAACACTACTGCAGCATGACGTCTGAAATCTATCACCTCCCGCTCAATGTGTATGTCATTGTGCTGGGCATCGGCCTCTTTGTCTTCATGCTCAGCCTCATCTTCTGTTGCTACCTTTTCAGGTAGGTGAAGGGTGTTTGCAATACTCGGCATAAGCAGGAGCATGAGTAGACAAGTCTGAAAGAAAAAAACATCAACAACAACAGACAACAACAGACAGGTTACAGAATTTTTGTGAAAGCCACTTTCCAAATACATATAAACAAGCACTGCCCAATCAAGAGTCCAGGACTAGTCCATGTCAGAGCTTTTTGGAGGGGGTGCTCATCACATCATTATAGTCTATGACTATATTCAACTACCTCTCTCAGCCAGTCTCATGTGACCAGCTAGCCTATGCTTGCAGGACTGTGCTCACTCACACTAAGTGTAGTCATGTGCACACAACAAAAGTACCTGTGGAGTTTTTATTTTTTTTATTCACAGTGGAAATTAATTAAAAAATAAATCAAACAACAAAAAACTTGAATCTAAAGTTAAATGTCCTACACCAGTACTAAAAACAGATCTGACAACTTCGTTCAGTGTGATAGGATCAGTGTTTGCAGCACCAAAACATATCACTAACTCTGCAGTTCTACAAAATGTCATGGTTTGGTTTTGACTCTTTCCTTTCATTGCTCTAATCACAGCAGTTTTTAGGGAAAAGCTTTCAACTTCCTGCCCAGTTAAAAATTAACTATCAAGCACAGTGATTCACCTACATACTGACCAGCTAGCTACACTTAAATAGGAACAACTACAAGTTAATTAAGAATATTACAAAAAATAATAAGCTGATGTTCAACAGCCACTGTTCCATATCTCCTTTAGGAGACAACTTTGTTTACAGCTTGTTGAGCTGCGTCAAAGCAGACAATTAATTATTCATGCATATTCACAGACCAAGTTTTCTAAAACATTACTTGTGTAATCATACAGTTGAACAGTGATAAAACCAATATGTTTTTTTTTACAGTGCCCATTTATCCAACATCATTCATCAGTATTTAGACTCCAGCACTAAATAGTAGGGATAACATAAGTCGGAGACTTCCAGCATAACAGCCACTGATTTCCTGATACAAAACCTCTCTACCTTGTCAGCTGGTTGCATGTGGCTAATCGTGCTGTTCAATCAAATATTCTAAACCTTTTAAATAAATGGACATTCATGAATAATCATGTAGAGTAAACCATATGTCCAAATGTTAATTTTAAGACAACTTTATATGAAAAAGATAATTCATGAACACTTTATAGATGAGTCTGAGAAATACTTTTAATGCATACATCTATTTGCTCAAGAAGCTGGTAATCAACTAATGACTAATGAGGAAAAAGTTTGTATTTTTTTTTGGAAGTGTTTATCAAATATTCTGTTCATATGAGGATTTATTTTGCACTTTGTCTGCTTGCATTTCCCTTTTTAGATCCTAAAAATAACTTCATCAGATCAACCTAAAGTGGTGAAATAAAATAAGTCAGAAGACAGACAAAGAAAAAGTAAACTATTATTTTGAATAGTAAATGAGATTTTTGAGTTGTTGAGACAGTCACTTTAACTGTACTGATGTTTGCTCCTCTCTGCCTCTGTCAGGTTGAAACAACAAGGAACGAGGGAGCAGTTCAGCTACAATGAGGTATGTCACAGCTGTATGTGTCAGTGGGTGAACATGTAACACCAGCTTCTTAGGCAGGATATAAATACTACAACAGCATATCACAGCGTTATTGTAAACAGTGAAACCCAACACCACCTTTAATAGCTGACCTTGACTCCACATGTAGTCTTACACTGATTCAAAGCTGTTCACCGAGTAGATAGTGGAGTGAGACAGCGTGACGGTAGAGGTGAATACACGGTTAGTGACTTTGTTCTCAGCTTCACTGACATTTGAACTCCAGCTGCAGCGGTGTCATTGACTGTATTATTGATGACAAATTTTCTCATTATAAATAAAAAGTGTGTACAATCTTGAAGGCATGTTAACAAAGTCTTTTAATCCTTCTGAACTGAATTTTTACTGAACTTACAATTTTTACAATATGTCACTCACATGAACCCTTGCTTCTCTCCCTAATTTTACTTTCTCAATTCCAGGTGGTGCTGAAGGGAGCAAGCAAGAAACTCAGCCTCCTAGGAGTAAGTCTGTCTTTCTGCAAAACATCCTCTCATGTTTCACATGTGTAAAATCTCTGCAGCTTACAGACCTACTGTTGCACGCACATGCTGCTTCTTTTCTGCATCCAGTGCCTGGGTGATCGGGTTGATAAACATCATAAATTTCTTATCTTGTATTTGATCTAGTTGCCACACAAACTGAGTCCTAAAAATATCTTGTTTCTTGATCGCAGCCTTTTGAACACAGTGAGTGCCTGCTTGGCTCTCACTATGTTGTAAAATGTAGGGCTCCAGAAATAACTGCTCTCATTCAAAATGCATTATAAAAAGGTCTTGTGTTCTGTGATTGCTTTTTAAGTAACGCCACTGTTCTCCCAAGGTAACTGTGGTTGTTAGGGGTAATTTTATTTTTTTCTTAGTTTCTTCTTTTGTTGCTACAAGCATAAGTTTATTCCTGTGACAGGTAAAAATAGATAGACAGGACAAAACTATCATTTTACCTCAGAATTTGCATATTGTGTAATGCTCCTAGTTAAAGTTCAATTGAATTTATATACAGCTTCAAGTGCCACTTTACTTTGACTTTTGCTTCATTGTTGAAAATCAAAGCAGAAAAAAAGAAGGCTAACGCAGCAGGGAAAAAACTTTGTCTCAGAGAGGAGAAGTAAAAGACATAAAACACCTTGCTGATATTTTTGGTCCTACTCAGACTGACCTTGCAGTAATTCCTGTTTTTGCAGCAAACTTGCGCCGTGTGTTTGGAGGAATTCAGGACCAGAGATGAACTTGGTGTATGCCCTTGCTCACATGCATTTCACAAGAAGTAAGTACCCAACTGGAAAAATATATAGGGAAAAGTAATAAGATGAAATTAACAGTTTGAAAAACACATTTGCCCCTGGCTGAGTATATGACAAAAAAGGATACGACATTTATGTCTGTAGGCTACAACAAAATCTTCAATTGTTAGCTTAGCATTAAGAGAGAAGAGCTAACACTCTCCACTTGTTGCTTGGCAACACCACATTGTTTATAAGGCCATCTTTACTTGAGGGCAAGACAAAAGTCTGGACAATAACCACAAGTTCTGTCTAACTCTGTATGGACTTAATGAATGAGTATTAATGTAATGAGCTGTCTAGTTTTTTCATACTTTAAGACACAGGTTAGAGTAGCTGTGGCCATAGATATCATTTCACTAGATGCCTCACGACCCTGCTTCGGATGCGTCAAGACCACCAAGATGGTGGCGGTCTCTTGATGTATGCGCTGTTGTTGTCTTATATGGGTTGTGAGGCATCTAGTGATATGATATCAGTAGCCGTTATGACATTACATATATGAACTTTGGAATAATTCACCACAATTTTTTGATTGTTACTTTTTGGTGTATAGAAGAAGGCTGTTTTTTTTTAGATGTTTGGTACTGAATAGTGATAGAGAGCTTTTTTTTTTTTTTGAAATGTTGTTAAGAGTGCACCCATAGACTATAAAAATACATGGACAGCACAGCAGCTCTCAAAAGTGAAGTCAAATAGAGCTCCCCTAGTAACTGGCTGCAGTGTCTTTTATGATGGATGGAAATGGAGTCAAACTAATACATTAAAATACACATCTGTCCGTCATATCAGTACATGCTGGTTCATGTCGCATGTTCCTCTCTCAGAGGTCAAGTTTTGGTCATTTAATTGTGAAACATAAAAAACCAAGACAGTCTCCTGCAGTAATTTTGAATGAGCAGAGAAACCATGCCTCAAATTATGACCCCACCACATATTGTCAGTGCCCCTCAAGGCTGTACTTTGGCTTCACCGCTTTCAGCTAGAGGAAATTTAGGGCCCACCGTCAATATTAATATTGAATCTAAAGGCACCTTAGAATTGTTTCATGTAAGTTTCTTGACTCTGTAAAAGAACCCCCCTGACTTAGTTATGACACTTTAAATTGTTACTTTTTTTACAATAAAAATGTTGATTTAGACAGTTGAAGTTATGCCTTGAAAACGAGAGTCTCACGTTAGATTGTAATTCAAGTGGTGACTGGTATTGTACTTTCAGGTGCCTGCTAAAGTGGCTGGAGATCCGCAGCGTGTGCCCCATGTGTAACAAGCCCATCCTCCGGCTCCATAATGATGCGCCCCAGGGTGCTGAGGGCCCACTGGACCCAGAGGAGGTGTGAAACAACTAAGAGGAACTTATCCTTTCAGAAAACACACATCAAACATGCAAAGGATGATGAACAGCGGTCATCTTTAACACATCTCACAGGAAATGTTGAAAATGATCCCAAGTGGCTGCCCTGCTGCTGACCTTTTACCAATATGCCTTGGTAAGACTTGCATAGTGACAGAACCAAAACGATTTGGTCAGACCAGTCAGGGAGAGGGTGGATGAACAGGACCTTTTCATAAAACTGCTCCAACTTCTCCTTCCATATTGCACTGTTCACCACTAAACAGATTAAAGGAGCCGCATTAGAGAGCAGGAAATCATTGCCACTGTCATGGATGACTGGTGCAGCACTGCCAGAGACCACCAACACAACGGCTCTGAGCAGGACATCAGAGTACAGGATCAGTATGGATACCTCTAATATCTCAGGGGTGTTACCAATACAGCCAGCACAAACCATATCAGTCACCCAATAACCCTGTGCCACACATGCATCTTTGATACTGCCAATGTAGGTGAAATTCTCCAGCAGTCAGAGCTAGCCACAATCTCTGGCTGAACACAAGACCAGCGGGATAACAACCATGACAATTAAGTAGACGATATTGTTACCAACTGTGACCCCAGCCCTTCCCTTTTTAAAGAAAGAGACTGATAGAAAACTAGTCTTGCCTGTATGTATTGTATGTAAACATGTCCCTATATATTGTTATTTTGTATTTGTTGCTTTTAAATAAAACGTCACGTCACATATGTAATACTGTAATGGAGTTCGGATTTATTCAAAGGTTGGTGGAGGTCAAAAAAGGCCCCTCAGGAATAAAGAAAAAATCACTAAAGTTAAAGATATCACATCAGTTGTTTCAAGCTCACACCTGTTCTCCTACAAAATCTGCTTTAATGTAAAGGCTGACATGTTAAATACTTCTTTCATTTTAACATTTGATAAAGATTACAGTCACCATTCCATGAGTCGTTATAACATCAGACTGAATTTTCAGTCTCCAGACCGCAACAATTAAAAAAGCTAAACAACAAGCTAAGGTGGATCACCATGGAAGGACCTGTGCAAGCACCAAAAATCCACCCCATGTTTTTCCAAAAGCTGAGGCTCAGATCCAATTCAGCACATGACAGTCCACACCTATACATAATGTTTACAGAAGTGTGTGTTTGTTCATGAGTTGGCCGCCTCTGTTCCTCTCGCTTCCACAAACTCCATGGCCTTCTCTTTGACTGCCTGGATGCTCTCTGGGGTGCCGTGCTTTTTCTCATACTCCAGGTAGCGCTTGAAGAAGAATTTGATCTTTTTCACGGCAACACTCAGGTGGATCACTCGATCAAAGAGCGCCCTGCAAGGGACAGAAGTCAGAAATTATAATGAACAATTCCATGTGATTGTAAAATTAGTTTTTACACCTCTCATCCTGTTGTTAAGATGTCACTAATCATGTAAAAATGTTGAGGTGGACAAGTTTAATTTGATAACTTTTTAAGTTAACAGAAAAAGCTCGAAAAAAAAAAGCCGTTATAGAGGACAATGGGGGTCATGTAGAAGTTAAAAGGCTACCGCTTACCTGACGTCCTTTTGTGTTCCATGTTTGACCATAAGGTCGATGAAGACGGACCAGAGGTCTGTACGTTTAGGATAGCTTGTAAGGACTTTATCCAACATGGTGCGACCTTTCTCTGCGTCCCCATAACGGAACTCCAGCTGAGCAAACTTTGCGATCACATCCACACCTGAGGGGAAGCAATTCAATGTGTATAAAGTTAAAAAAAATCAATGGAGAGACACAGCTGAGTCATGGCAGCAGAATCAGTGACAACATCTAGAGGAGGACATGCTTGCTGTGGTCACTGGTGGGTGTATAGTCTAAAAAACCAAACAAGCACTATGCCTCAAATGTTTCGACAGGTCATCTTACTTTCTTTGGAGGGCAGACTCTTCAGCGCCCTCTGCAGGAGAGCACTAGCCGCCTCACTCTGACCCTGCTGGAGCAGGAAGGTGCCATAGCTCAGCCACACCGCCTTCATCTGACGGAAACGCTTCACCATCGTCTTATACAAGCCCTCAGCCTCCTGGATGTAAACACAGTGAAAGCCATGTTGACATTACTGTGACAAAAAATAGGATTTTGTAACAGTCTTAAAAAAAATGACTTGGCTATGTCACTGAGGAAAGAGAGTGATAACTAAAACAAAAAAACATCCCACCTTGATCTTCTCAGACTTTGCATAGATGTCTGCCAGCTGCTGGTAGACCGGCATGGGCTCACAGAACTGCAGCGCCCTCTCAAACACTTTCTTCAAGCTTTCCTCTGTGCCATACATGTTCTCCAGGTTCAAAAGGGCAACCCACACATTGAGTTTCTCCTGCTCCTCCCTGGGACCATCAGCAAAAGACAGAGAGATACTTTTTGATTAACTTTGTCTCAAACTTATTAAAACAGTCCCGTCCAGGAACAAAAGACAGTAACAGATACTGATACTTCTGCTGCTGTATGATTGTCTCTGCAGAAAACTTCAGCTGCTCTTGTTGTAAAATTAACTTATTTTTATTCATAGTATGTATCACCTGAAGGAGATAGTTTTGAGGGCCCTCTCAGCCACAGCACGAGCCTGCTCGATCTGAGTGGCCTGCAGATGGTGAGCCATGTACTGGAGCCAAAGTAGAGAGCTGTTGGGAGAAGCAAGAATCAAACGCTCGAAGGCCGCTGCATCTTGAGGCTGCAGGCTTGGATCCATCAGCTCCACCTCTCTCTGCACCAAGGCCTTCTCCGCTGCCTTCTTCTCCTGCTCCAGCTCATGGCGAGACTTCTTCTGGGGCTGCCAAAGGAGAGCAGGACATGGGTCAGAGGACGGTAGATGCTTACATCAAGAGAGAGACACAGGAAGAAGTTGTAGTCCGCTCACCTTGACTTTTCCTTCCTGGTCCTCCTCGTCACTTGAGTCGTTTCCCTGAGCAGCAGAGGCAGGCCTCAGAGAGCTGAGACCCACATCCCAGGAGAAACCTGCTGCTACTTGCAGTCTGGATGGACCTGCTGGGCTTTGAGACACCTGCTAAGACAAAATGTATTCATGTTGTGAAAATCTGAATACTGTGCTTGATCTAGGAAGGTTTGTTTACGTATGAAAACCCTAAGCTTAAGTCCATCTGCTTACTTTAACAGATGTGGATTTTTTATCCTCTTCATCCTCTTCTTCTCTGAAGTACACCTCCACCCCGCTGTCGCTGTCATCGGTCTTTGTTTTCTTCGTTTTCTTCTTTTTCTTTGGGACCTCCTCCTCTGCTTGTTTCTAGTAAATGAAACAACAGTGAAGACCGTCATGAAGAGTCAGGTAAACAATAATTCAGAAAAACTACGGATATGGAGAGAGTTTTAAATGGAGGCTGTGATCAATGCAGAATTCATAACTGTTCACCCAAATGATAATGAATGACTGATAACTAAAGCCTCTATCGATCCACGTGGTGGTGCTTTTCCCTTTATCGAGTACTGTCCTTGTTTACTGAGGGAAGAAAAGAAAAGAGAGATCTTTGCACGGTTTCTTACCCCTTCGCTCTCAGACACTTTGCGTTTGGTCTTCTTGAGCTTATCATATTTCACCTTCTCCTCTCCAACCAGACGCAGAGGCAGACCCAGAGACTCTGGGAGGATGTCTGGCTTCCCGGTGTCTGCTGGAAGCAGAGACAGGTTGACAAACTCCTCCTCTCTGTTGATACTGGGACAAAAATAGAAAGAGATGCAGACTGAAAATGACGCTGTGACCATATTGCACTCATCGGACACCATCAGCGGTACGGCCTGATTCTTCCTCTCTTTTGTTTAAATCTAATTCTGGATGTTTGTTTGATGAATTCACCTTTACCTTTCCATTCCTCTGTTTTTAAATACAAACATTTAGTTATCTGAGCTTTCTGTACCTGATGATCTTGGTCGTGAGCAGGCTGTTTGGAGGCAGGTGTTTTGAAAGGACATCAGAGTTCTTGACAAAGTAAGTTGTGGACTGCTGAAGTTGAGCTCTTCCTGTGATGTTTCTTGATAATCTAGAAAAGAAAGGCATAAAGACGTCTCCATAAACTTGAAGAACATGAAACTTAATTATACTGATAAATAACATTTTGTCTATTTATATGTATTTCATGAAGATCTAGATGAGTATTGCTCAGGTACCTGATGAAAATTCCCTGCTCTCCCACAGACTTGACGTAACCTCTGATGATCTGACCTTCGTGCAGGTTTTCTATAGACAAAACCTCCGGGTCCTTCGCCGGCTTGGCTTGCTCTGGGTTTAGCCTACAGGCAGGGTGAAAGTCAGCTGGAAAGTATGACAGGTGCGCTGTGAAGGTCTTGACATGTTCAAATCAAAAAACACTTGCACATACCTTGATGGACGTAGAGACAGCTGCCACTTTCCATTTTCATTATCAAGAAGGTAAAACCTTTGGCAAAAAGACACACATGCAGATATGACCTTTACAATCTGCCCTTCAAGCTAAACAAGTGATTTTAGAAGCATGATAGAGACACCTAGAATATATTCTTCCTGATGTCAACACACAGTATTAATGTGTCTTCAAATACACATACTCACACACAAAAAGATGAGTGTTTGAAATAACACAGCAAACATCTTTCAGTTGTTCGCATCTACAAGAGTGGCTATGTGATCACAGACTACAACCTGCTACTATGCATACAATGTCACTATTTGTTTTGTGTTGTTTATAGTGAAAATACTTGTATATTATCTCTATATTTTTACTTATTTTATCTATTTTATCTTCTACTTTATCTACTATTTATCTCCTCTTTTACTGTTTTTACTCTTTTTAATTTTACTCTATTTGCACTGGAGTACTGTAACGAAAGTATTTCTGATTCTGATACTTGTTAACCCCCTCGTAATAACACTGTTGTTCATGACTGCGCGCTACATGCTCACTGATGCTTTTGACCGGCCCCGCTACTGTAATAACCATTCTTCTAATCTACACACAACATTTTTTTCCCTCATTTGTGAAACGCTGAAATCAGGGACATTTCCGGGGACAGCTTTAGCCGGGGACATGTCTTCTAAAACGGGGACAGTCCCCAGAAATTGGGGACATCTGGTCACCCTGATTAGAGGCCTATTTTTAGATAACTGAATAACTTTGATGGAAGTTATAATAAGTTAAAAACCCAGAATTCAATGGACACCATTAATAGCTTTGCACAATGGTACGATACATTATAAATCATACATTCAAAAGAAATTACATTCACAGCCTATAACACTTCTCAAACATTAGTGCTATTAGTTGCTATTAGTTACGAATATATATAATCACTTAGAAGGATTGTTATAAAGCCCTATAAACACGTATATAAACCTGCTCATAATGCCTTATAGTGGTGGGTTTGTGTAAAGTGTTGCCAACATCACTTGTTAAAGAAATATCTCCATTACTTTGCTGACGGTTCACATTTCCTTTTATAAATCAAGAGGAGGCTTCAGACATCAGAGACATTTATTTTGACTTTTTTTCCAACCAGCTAAAAACTCCCCAGCAGAACTTAAACCCCGCTTAAAACTGACCTGAGCAGCTGATCCTTGCTGTACCGGTCCAGGGGATTCGGCTTGTATGCATCAGCCAGCTCAGTGACACAAACAGACCCCAAGCCGCCAAATGGAAGTTGGACATGAAGGCCAATGTGTGGCTGAATGTTTGTCACCATCCCCAAACTAATGCTGCCTTTCTCCAGTTTATGGACTCCTTCAAAAGTAAAAAAAAAAAACGGCGTCAAAGTTGTTGAAGGTTTTTCCTTTGAAGAGAGCTAGAGATGTAAAACGGTAAACAAAACAGTTGTACACGGAGGCTGTTACCTGTGAGTGACAGAGCAAAGCGGACTGGATTGGCGCTTGCTTCAACCACTTTGGCGTACACCACACTGCCCAGCTTGTAGCGTTTCTCTGGATGGCAACCATCCTAAACATAAAAAGGTCAACTTTCTGAGTCGGCATGTACCCTTCCAGTATGAATGAAAAGCTCCAGTTATATATTACACAAACTTTAAACTTACTCTGGGTTCAGTGATCATGGCGAGCAGTTCAACTGTCCCAGTTATAGATGGATCAGTGGTGACCTCCAAAGACTTCTTCGCTGGATTAAACTGTGGACATAAAACAACTCAGTGTCATTCTAGAGCTGAATTGTACTCTGTGAAATTTGTTAGAATACACCTGAACTTACCTTCGAGACGAAGCATGGAATTTCCTCCCCGACCTTATAACTCTCCAGTTTTTCTTTAACTTTGATTGCTTTTATTTCTGTACTTGGGTCCAGTTTGCTGAGAAGAATGAAAAAAACAAAAACAAATGAAAAACAGACCCATGCAAAAATTTATATTCAGGTTGTCATGCTGGTTATAATGGTAGTTTTGTCCATTATAGGAGCTGTTTGATTAAGTTACCTGGGCAGAAGCGTGAGCTCAGGAATGGTGTATGTATATCTGGGATGGGAGAAGGGCAAGAACCTGAAATGAGACAGTTGGGATTGTTCAACAGTAGATCAGTCTGGCAAATGGCGTGAAAACAACATAATTAAAAAAAGGTAACTCATGATAATAATGTCTTCCCTCCTCAATAAGACATTCCTGCAGTTTGTACCTGTGACTGGAGGCCTCTCGTCCCCCGATGACCCTGGCTGTGACCACGCTGCCCACTTTGACTGAGGATGTGGGGAAGGCTCCCTGACAGAGTTCTGAAACCTCCCGGACCTGAGACACGTGCACGCTGCCTTTGGTTCCATCGTCGAGTGTGACCTGAATGGAAGTAGGCTTCACCAACTTCACTTTGCCTTCCACAATTTCACCAAACCTGTAACCTTTGGAGTCTGGCTGGTTCTCAGAGGTTGTGCGCTGTCTATTTGGTGAAGTGTTCTTCCATGACACTAGAGGGAGCCCTTGCAGCTCCTGACAACTGGGGTCTATGACCTCCACAGACAAACTCCTCCCTGGCTTCAGACTCTCCGACTCAAACCGATGGATCTCATTCAGGTGGCTGCGGGCTTGGATCACAGTCAGCTGTGCCATATTGTCCAAGGAGATGACGGCAAAGTCTTTGTCAACATGCTGCACCATCGCTGTGTACGTTGATCCTTCAGTCAGCTGTAAATACAAATGAAAACACACAACAAAGATCAATCGCTATATGTAACAATTACAGTACAGAGTGTTCAAATTATGTGATGTTAGGCTGCTTCTTCAAAAGCTGGGTGCTGCACAGGCAGCCACAGTTAGATTGAACATAGAGGAAGAGCTACAGAGGAGCTGTGCAAAAAAGTAAACAATGGTAATAACACAGTAAACTCACACTTTTCTTCTTTGCCACCAGCTTGTGAAGAATGGACACAAGGATGCTTGAAGACATGATGTCAATATAGAGGATGACAGCAGTAACCTTTTGGCCCTGGGTCAGGTTGGCACCTGGAAACATAGCAAAAAAAAATGTACAGGGTTTGCACTGACAACTTAACAACAGTCCATGTGAAGAAAAAACAGCAACCTAAATGTTGAGAGAGGATTCTAAAACAGTCAGTGAGAGCCTACTGCAAGACGCTAACATGGGAATCAAGAATCCAAAATTGTGGTGTACAGTATTCAAGACAAAAAGTCAAGACTCTAAAATGTGTGAATTTCTCTTTAAATGGCTATATCGGCCAGCCACAACATTATGAACACCCGGGCAATCTAATCCAACCGGAAACAACATCCCTGCCTTCAAATTCTACCTTCAGGAAGCTTCTGAATTTTTCATTTTTTCTTCACATGGTCAGAAAGTGATCACTCTTCTCTGTATTAATTGTTGTAGTTGGAGTTGTGCTCTGGAGTGCATTAAATCGACAGGTGTTCCTAATATTTTGCCCTTCTTTCACGTTTGCTAATGGAGTGGACAAAATATAAGGACCGCTTCCAATAATAAAAACTGTAAAGAGCAGTAATCACCTGTTATTATCAGTATTACACATACATTTACATGTTTCAGCAAAGACCAAAACTTTAATACTGTTAGAGTTAAATGTTGAAGACTTTAATGAGTTTCACTTGATTCATGGTCATAGACTGCACATACCCATGATGTGGTACTTTGTGGCCGTAATCGCAGCTCCAACCAAATCGTCTGATTTAAAGGTGGCACTGCTGTCTGTCACAGTGTCCACAGTCAGCTTCACCTTTTCACCAACAGACAGAGCAGCCAGCTGCTGATGAAGGTCACTGTTATCTACAAATGAACACAAGAGAGATTAGACAATGAGGAGAAACTTTCAATGAAGAAACTATGAATCTCAAGATCAGAGCTGATCCAAACTACAGTATGAGCGAGATTCTTGATTCTTGAACACAAAACAGAGAGATCCGATGAAAGTGATGCAGTTGTACCTCTCATAGCGAACATTTCAGCCACAGTTCTTCTCTCCTGCAGACCATTTATGAGTCTGGTTTGGGCGTCTCCCTCAGGGGTCGCGATTTCTGAAATCTTCAGTGTGACCAGGAAACGCCGCTTTTCTTCATCTATGTTGGTAACTTTAGCGATCACAGTCTGGCCCAGCTGGAAAGCAGAGGTGGCATCACTGACGAACTTGTCGGTCATGGCCTAAGGAAGACAGAGCAGAGGAAGATGTTATGGGCTAAAAGTGAACAACTTTAAGAGTAGAATTGAGGCAGAAGGAGCAACTTCAATCATTTTACTCACAGACTTGGGTGCAAGACCAACAAGGCCGTATGGAAACTCCACAAAGACGCCATAGGACATCATGTTCTTAATCCAGCCAATTAGCTGCATTCCCACTGTGATTTCAGAGAAGTCTCTGGCAACCACTCCTTCCTCCAGGGACCACCTGACTGTTGGTTTCTTGGTGAGAGTCTATGATAGAGGAGCAGCTCAGGAAAAGAGCATCATATCGCCTGCTGTTTATTGTAGTTCAGATCTGAAAAGTTACTGGGAATTCAACTCCAGCTCGCACCTAATGCCTGTTAAACTGGTACTTCTTAGCTCTGATCACGGTCACAGATTTCAACAAAAGGATACAATATTCTGCTTGTTTTTGTTGCAGCAGATGAGGTTGGAGATGTTGTCGCCCTCTTTGAGGGTCTCCCACAGCAGAGGGCAGTTGGAAACGTGATCAGAAAGGTGCACTGTAGGCAGCAACGTACGGATCTCATCAGGAAGGATTGCCACCTCAAGACCATTTAGGGTTTTTTTCAGTATCCTGGCCTCCAGCCTCTAAACCACACAAAATAAGGTAAGGTAAACTCTATTATTCCCAAGGAGCAAAACACAAATAAAAGAAAACAGAGCAAAACACAGTCACACTATAATCACATAATTAAAAACATGCTACATTGAGGAGTCTGATGGTGGCAGGGACAAATGAATTTTTATGAATATACATTTGAGAATCTAAATTCGATGAAAAGAAATATGAGAAAAAAAGAAAATGAGGAATCTTACCTGCCCGACTTCACAGTCAAACTGAGGTTTATCAGCTCCCTCTGTTTCTCCCTCCACTGCAGCCTTAAATGACAGAATCATCTTTGCCATGTCGGGGTTACACTGAAGAACTTTAGTCTTTACCACCTAGAAGAGCAACAAAAACAAAAGAATATGCTTCATATATTTCCAAAAAAAACATAAGTATCAAGATTTTATTTGTTGATTATATTCATAAACTAATAACAAAGGAGTTGTAAATCATTTACAATGGCAGACACATTGTAAAGCATTCATTTAATCCAGACATAATCCATCATATCCATTCTGTCTGATTCCTCACCTGGCCCACATAGAAGACCTCCTCAGGACTGATGATGGGCTCAGAGCTGAGCTCCTTAATTGGCACCAGACCCTTGACATTGTTGTAGAAGCGAACGATGCAGCCAAAGTCTTTAATACAGACAATGTGTCCATGCGACACACGACCAGGACGCGCATCTTCATAGCTGAAGAACAATGGTAGGGAGCTGTCAACCAGGGCCTTCTTTTTGGTTAGGTACAGCTTCCTATTCTGAGGATCCACTGACAACACCTGAAGGTATAATCAACGAAAAAGAGAAGGAAAAAACATTAGACTGAGAATTTGACATTTTAGACTTGTTTCAGCTACTATTCTTCAAATCCTCCTTAAAACAGAAACTTGACTGACCCGACATTTGACCTTCATGCCCTCGGTGAACTTCTTCTCAGGGTTCTTGAGGACAATATCAGACAGGTGATTCCGAGGTACAAGTCCTTTAATGTGGTCTGACACATGCACCATCATGCCATGATTTAGCAGGACTGACACTGTCCCCTATGAGGGAGGGACACAAGAACAAATTCGATTTCATCAACATTTCTACCATCTCTTTTGCTTTTATTTAGCTATTTGAATTTGGCAGAAATAAACCCAAACCATGAAGTTAAATTCTTTTTTATTTCAGTGAACAAAAGTCATGATATTTCAGGCAAGAGTGATACTTGGCTGAGAAACTGTCCATTGCATACCACAGCATAGAAACTTGACATGTTTTATAGATTTAAAAGAGTTTCTGGTGTGCTGGTACACAGATTATTTCGAGTTCAGCCAGTGTACCTGCTGTTCATATTAAAAGAGCAATACATAACAAGAACCTAGCTTATAAACTTATCCATAAGTGTATCAAAAAAGTACTACTTATTATACAGATTTGCTATAAAGATTATGTTTTTACGCAGTATTTCTGATCTTATTTTTGCCTTGTGTTTAAAAAAGAACTCAGGTATGTAGAAAGTTTCTCACCTCTACGACCTGGCCAGCCTGAAGATCGTGGTATCTAAAAAATGGCTTTGAAATTATACTCCTGAAATAGAGACAAAGATGATGGTGGATTAAGTTAAAACAGTAAAGTTTGTGTATGTTATGGAATGAAATAAAGAGCTGCTACATACTTGCGCAGACTGGCAAAATGAATTTGGTCTATGAGGCTGTAGTCCAGAATCCTGCAGGTGTGCCCTGACATGGCCATCACTCTGTTCTCATTGGCTGAGACGTTCGGCTCCTTCAGGTGATTCCTCTGTCAGGTAAAGTGTAAAGTATGTAATAATGTTAAATATGAAGAACGTTCAAAGAGAGCATCTAATCTACTAAATGTCACAGTAGGTTTCAATGTTTAGAGTGTCTCCTCACTCACATGTACAAAGGCTGGTGTTTTATCAGGAAATTTCAGCATGGCCCCAGACATGTGGTGCATGCTGGACATCTTGCAGTCCTTCACCACCTCACCAATACGATCTCCTCCAGCGTGGAAGGGTTCGACTGTGGTCCCAGGCTGAAGGAGGTAGCTGCGTAGGCTCAGGCCCACCAGGCGAGCGGACGGCTCCACATACAGCACGCAGGCTTGCACCTGAGTGGATTTTTAAAGAACTCCAGAAGATCAGAAAACTGACAACATTTCTCACTATCTTGGTTAAGCCAAAATGGCACACAAAGTCTACCTCAGTGCCCTCTGTGTATGCCTGGGTAGGATCCATGTGAAGGAAGTCCACTTGGCCGTTGAAGGAGGACAGGAAGTCCAAGAGCAGACCATGTTTGGTTACCTGCAAGATCAGCATGTAGACTATCAAAACATGACAAAGATTAGCTTGAAGAGTAGATTATTAACTATAGAAACAGAGTGCATCACAAATCTTTACGAAAATCTAATCTCATATTTTCATGATTGTTGACTCGACCTTTTTGATCGTAGCTTTCATGAGCAGACCAGGCAGGAGGTTAGTGAGGGTCCAGGCGTGCGCAGATTCAGTACAGGCCTGTGCAAAACTCAGGGGGCCGACAGAAAGGCGGACCACACGGCCTTGATTCTTCACCTCCTCCACCTGAGGAGTCACATACTGACCCACTTTGAGCTCTGGGAACACAGAAGCACACACATGCTTGAAAGACACACTGACAAATCACTGCAACCCACCAATGATTTCACAGGTTTCACACAAATGACATACAAATGCATGTAGTTTCAGATACATGAAGGAAAACAAAAATACTTTTCATACCAACTGGTTTGTTTTGAATGTCTTTTACGTTAGTCTTGGGCAGGAAGCCTTTAGTTCCACTGATGCCAAGGTCAACTAAGTAGCCATGATCCTCCACACTGTCCACACATCCGCTCAAGATCTGAGTCGCAACAAAATCACAACAGTTACCCATCGCACAAAATGCAATTTGAAGCCAGAATAATGTATGAAACTCACTGATGACTTACCATGCCAACTTTCAGAGAGTCTGAAGAGAGCGCCTTGTTGACCAGCTTTGGATTGACTGATAACCTGATGCTGAGAGACCCTCCTTTGGCTAAATCCAACTTGGCGACAACACACCGGATCACCATGCCGGGGTAGAAGAGGTGAGGCAGAGAGCAGATATCCTGTAAAGTAAGAAAACAAGATTTAACTTGAACACAACACAAACTATTCTGTGACATGATGAAATCAAAGAACTGGATAAATGAAATTTTATCAAACGTAGGCAAGTATCTTAGTCCCAGGCCCCGCAGAACCAAACTGAGAAAATTACAACTATTTTCAAAACATGTGGAAATCTGTGGAAAGCAACCCCAACACAAACATGACGAGTATTTCAGAAGCCTACCTCAGTGTCAGCTGAGTCCAGTTGCTCACTGAGCATCTTGGCATATGAGTCACAGATGCTGTTGATGCTGAGAAAGCCTTGCAGGCCACAAGGAAGGCTCACAGACACCTCAAAGTCTGTAACTTCCTTGACACAGCCCAGCATCAGCATCCCCTCCTTCACATTCTGTGAAATCCAAAATAAGACACAATGTCCAATGCTGTTCCAAATAACACTGAACTAGAAAATAAGACTGAGTGAGCTACACACCAGCTCTGGACTGTGAAAACTGTATTACCTTGATATGAAGAATTTCCACACATTTGGCTGCTGCATTCAGTGTCAGACCATCATCTTTCGTTTGGTCTGTCTTTTTCTTTTTTAGCTTCTTTCCATCATCTTTCACAGCTCCCTTTCTTTTCTTAGTTTCTGCTTTTTCAGTTGACTGCAAGACAGAAGACACACATTTTTAATAGTCTCCTTTTAACACATAATCAAATGTCCTTTAAGTTTAAAGGACATTTATCATAAGTCAAAATGATGATTTATTGTCAGTGTTTTGTCCCATCCATAGTGTTCAAGATAAAATTAAGAGAAGCTGATGCAGCTCCTACTTTATCAGTGCATTTGAGTCAAATGACAGAATGTGTGTGATGGAAATGACAGTAACATAAGGACAGAGGATAAAAGAGGGAAGAACCTGGAATAAGTTGTCCACTTCTGCTCGCTGCACCACGATTTTACTCTCGCTGGACTTCTTTGCTGTCCCTCCTCGGGGGAAGTCCTCCTCCACTGTTGCCATGTTCGTTGTTCAGTCAGACCTCTCTGAAACCCAGTGTCACAGATTATTTAAAAGCCTGTTATCCTGCTCGTGAAACTACAAGTCTTCTTATGTTTAGTGATGAATGGATGCAGTAAAGTGTTAGACACAGTTTGATCGTTGGTCCATTTGAGATGTGAGTTAAATGGTATAACATTTCAGATTTAGCAGATCCATGAATCTTAAATGCAGACGATGTGTAGTCTAAAAAATAGCAGCTTTACTTTACAAACAGACCACCACTATTTCAAATGTATGAGAGTAAACCAACAACCAGCAGCATTTAACTCTCATGGCAAACACAAAACAAGTTTTCCAGTAGACAAATCAATTGTTTTGCAATAGAGGGAAAGAGTACTGATTAAATATACCTTGGGTCGTTATTTTCAATATTAAACATAGAGAGTTTTCTTACATTTAATCTTCGTCTCCTTCGTCCAAACTCACATGTTGTTCAGCAACACGCCGCGATCACAACCCGGAAGAAAAACTCATCCAGGCGTTTCTAAGTATGTCCAATCACAGACAAGAACAGGTGATTGGCACTACTTACAGCCAATTACTGATCGTTTTGGGATTTAATTTTGATTGACACCGACTTGGACCAATCATCGTACAGGTTTGACTGTCCGAGAGTAGGCGTGATTTCCTTGTTAACTTAGCATTGCGGCCTCCGCTGAAGGACACCTGTCTCATTCTGTTTCCGTAGGGGTCGTGTGCTAAAGGTAAGGCTAACTCTTAAGTCATTTAAAAACGACTTAAGTGTTTTTGAGACATGTCGAAACACAGTAGTGTTATATTTCAAGGGTTTCTGTATGTAGTTTCTTTGGAGCAAACGCTGTGTGGTTAATCTAGCATGCTGCTGCGAGATGTGTTAGCAGAGAAGCTAAAGAGAGTCTGAACGGATCAAAGTCAGTCTGCAGGAAAAGTCCAGTTTATGCATTGTTCCACCTCAGTTTAGGGACATTTTAGTTAGACTGAGTTTAAATACTGATTCACATTAAACTTGAATATTGCACAAAAACTTGTTTCATTGAAATAATACTGATGGCATTTTAACCAACATCGTACTGAATGTCCTTTACAGTTTTACAATAACGGCGATCATCTCAAACGCTGGTTAAAATTGCATTAAAATCTCATGCTTGTTATACTTAATAGTGACATTTCTAAAAATGAAAAGACATTATGTACATTAAACATCCTTAAGTGATGCTGGTGCATGTCTGACACCTCTGCGGGTTTCTTTAGTTTTATCTATATTGTGACTGCTTTTCTTTGTCACATTAGTATGATTTTTCTTTTTAATGTGTAAGGTATTTTAAAGAGAGAGTGAGATTTTGTGAGTCGACATCTTGATTTGCTCAGGCCAACAGTCCTGAAAACAGAGAGAGTTTCTAATTAACCTACACTCTTAATTTTGTCAAGTTAAAGATTTCAAAGTGTGAAACTCTTGTTGACTACTGTTTTTGCACTTTATCATTTAAATGCATCAGCTTCAGATTTTTGAGTCACCAGTTGTTCCCAAGGTCACTGTGAGTATGCTTTAACTCTGTCACCCTTCTTCTGCTCATATTAGGACCATTCTCAAGCCATCATGGGTGGACACGATGCAGGGTCTCAGCACCAGTTCACTGGGATCGCCAAGTACTTCAACGCTTACACAATCACCGGAAGGAGGAATGTGAGTTGTTTGTAACTAATAACTTTACACATTACCTGCATTCACATAACTGTAAATGTTAAACTGTCTAACCAACTTGAATTTCTTGTTTTCCTTATTTAGTGTGTCTTGCTTACGTACGCCAGCATAGCAACCATTGCTCTTTTCTTCAAATTGAAACCCAAGAAACAGGCGGCTGTCACAGAAAAGTGATCATGTAAGTGCGTTTTGATACCAACATCCTGTTACTTTCAGAATTCAGTGTGCGAGTTAAGTGTCACCTCCTTTTCATTAACTCGAGGCCCTTTCTTGTCTCCTTACAGGTGTCAGTTTTGGCCATGTCTAATAGCTGGTAGTGGTGAAAGCGACTGGATATGCTTGTGATAAAAACTTGGTTTGCCTATGTTAACAATAAAGAACATTTATGCCCCAAAAATAGAAAACACTTGTTTTATTTACAGTGTCCACCAGTATAAAAGACTATAGTATAGTCAAAGTCCCAATGTCAGCATTTGTTGCTGTACTCATGGCAGTGATAAAAAGAAAAAAACAGTTTCTCAATCTTCAATGGCACTTTTATCAGTCCAAGGCTTCAGACTGAGGGCCACAATCATAGCTGGCTATCTTTATACACAGATGTATACAGGTGTCGATTTGTCAATATTATAGTTTGTGTTCTTCCAACTGCACAACAAACTGTTGAAGGTGCTCGGAGAGCACAGGTTTGCTTTCTCTAGACTGTCTGTAGGTTATTCTCTCACAATTCACTGATGTCTCATGGATTGTAGGCCCCGGCAGCCAGCAGCAGATTCCTGCGGCTAAAGTGAAGGTGAATTACAGGTGTGGATTTGGTCATGTAGGATCCCAACAGAAGCTCCTGGGAGTTGTCTTGTAGATGGATGTGTCCTGTAGCTGCCGTGAAATCATCAGTTTCTAAATCGTCAAATGCTTTTGTAGCATCCCACAGACGAACCGTGTTGTCCATGGAGCCTGGACATTAAAAAAAATGAAACAAGTCAAATGCAAGCCAATGAAGCCACATTATGAATGTATTAACATCAATAAATCAATGACAGTAGGGACGGGGTCTTCATCATTCTCTAGGTCAGATTTTATGTTCAGTAGATGGAATAAAAAAATATGGGCCACCCACCAGACGCAAGAATCTCCCCATCCCTGCTGAACTTCAGTGAGTAGATTGTGTCTGTGTGGCCTTTAAGCTCTCCAATCATAATCCCGTGACCAATGTCCCACAGAAGAACTCTGCCATCAGTGGCTCCTGAAGCTAGAAACTTCCCATTAGGAGAGAAAGCCAGCGCATGAATGGGACCCTAGAAGATATATTAAGATAGAGTTAAAGACTGGCTTTGAAGACATTCAGGTCAGTACATATCAGTTCATCTAAAACACTTCGCTCTCTGAATGTGGAGAAAATTTACACAACAGTTAAACAACAAGGTATGAACTCTGCACTTAGTTGGCATGCGTGTCCTTCTCATTTCAGTGGGTTTCATTAAATTCATCTAGTGTGAAACTGTTCCTTACAGACAATAAGGAACAGAATTGCTTTGAATGTGGACACAAACACCAGCTTTGGTTACATGTCTGACCTTGTGACCAGTGAAAATCCGGACACAGTTTCCAGTCAGGACATCCCAGAGCCGGATGGTGCGATCTGAAGACCCAGTGGCGACGTAATTGGAGTTGGGATGAAAGCGGGTGCAAGTGACATCAGCAAGGTGACCAGAGAATATCCGCAGAGGCTGGTAATGATCTGTTGCCCATAGCCTGTAACACGAGTCAGACAGCTGTAGACAGAGATGCTGTGTATGGACAGTGGAGTTTATTTCTGTATTACATAAAAAACACAAGACGATGAGCTCTGCAGAAACTTACCGGGCGACTCTGTCATGCCCCCCAGAAACGAAATAGTACCCATGAGGGGAAAAGTGTGTGTCCCACACTGGGTAGTTGTGACCTTTGTAGCCTACCAAACACGTAAATGTTAGGAGACTCCACAGCCTGATTGTACCATCTTCAGAGCTCGATAACAAATAGTTCCTGCGAGGGAGAAGTAAAAGATCTTAAGAAAATTCATGAGCTACTTTTAAATTGCCTTCAAATTGTCAACACGAGTCAGTAATGCGAGGATTCCTACCTGTCTGGGCTGAAGCTGATGCCGTATACTGGACCGCTGTGGCCGTAGAGGATCTTTGACTCACTGGCTGTCTTCTCGTCCATGATCCTCTCCAACACATCATCTGACTCTTTGTCTATCAGATTCAAGTCTTCATGGAGAGGACAGGAGAAACATGATTTATGTGGAAAAGTTTTTTTTTTTTAAAGCATCCAGTGAAGTGGTCAGTCACACATCAGCAATCACTCTCACACCCTTGTACCTGCTGCAGACTTGACCTTGCGGAGCTTTTTCGGTGTGAGACTCCAAACGCGTACTGTCGAGTCAGCAAATCCTCCGGCAATCAGGCTGGAGTCGTCTGTAAAGTCCACCGCAGTCAGACCCTGCAGGGCAAAAGGTGGGGAAATGCGATCAATAACAGGCAGCCCCAAAAGCAGGGATGGGCAACACAGATGACACATCGATGGTGTTTTCATGGCCTCAGGGTCAAGTTATTACATACTGTGGGATTCTGTCAGTAAGCAGATTCTGCCAGTTGCCCCTCCAGCCCAGTAAAAGTGTTGAAAGGTTGGATTTAAAGTTTGTCGCTGTGATTTACTGTGAGTAGTTTACCTGGTAAGCATTTAGAAAAGAGTAGAAGCAGATGGACGGGAGGTTATCTGGTCCCAGGCGTATCTTCTTGGTGGCCTCCTTCATGTACATGATCTTGTCCAGCTTGTCTGAATCCTTTAATTCTGGAAGAGGTATTCTACACCACAAGAAAAACACCACCACATTATTCTGGACCGTGAAAAGAAGGTTTGACATGAATGCGTAAACTCATGATGCTCTCTTTTTCAAATGTGGATCCCTTAAAGTAGAACTTTCATCATCATGGGACTGACACCTGAAGTGGAAGCGCAGCTGACTGGATTGTTAAATTTATTGTCTTGTACCTAACCGTAACATGTGCAATGTTGCTTTTTTCTACATGAAAAGTTTTGGTGTTTGAGAAGTGAATAAGATCAAATACGAGCTTTTATTTACAAGTTTAGGTTAAAAAGGACAGAGTTGCTCAGATAGCTTTCTACCTGGTCTGTGAAGGTGCATTAGGATCCTGTTTTTTGCTTTTGGAGCCCATGCTGTCTTTCTTGGGTTTCTTCTTCTTAGGTTTACCCTCCTCATTTTCCGCTTCTTCATCCTCATCATCAAGGGGCAGCTCAATTTCTGGTTCCTTCAGCAGTCCGTAGTAAACCTAATTAGAGGATGATGGAGCAGGAACAGACCACATATTGACAATGTTGTTAAACACTGGAATACCATGACTGCACATTTTTAAAAGTCTGCATTCAAATCGAACCTTAGCTTTGTTGGCCTCCCGCTTGGCTTCTCCTGCCAAGCTGCCCGACATGGCATCAATCTGGCTCTTGCTGCGTGGCATGCCATCGAAGATGTCGATGTAGAGGTGCTCTTGGATGATATTCCAGATTTGGTTGTTCTGCCGCTCCTGGAGGTGCCTCTTGAGCAGCTGGTAAGAGTCACGAGAGATCCGCAACACAAACTTGCTGGTGCGAAAGTCCAGCAGGGTCTCATTGGCTCTCATGTGTTCCTTCTTAGTCAGGCCAGACAAAACACGCAGGTCGTCTTCATAGTAGCATTCCTGATCCCCACTGAACCTACGATGGATGAGAAAGGAAACAAAGTGATGTAGTTTTGACATATTTTATAATGCCTTCAACTGAGCAGATTGCGCAAAGCTTCAGGGACTCACTTCTCGAAGAACACCTTGGCCTCATTTTCGTGATTGTTGTACACAAGCTCCAGGTACATGTGCACAAACAGTGGGTAGAAGACTTGGGACAACTCTGCTCGATGACAGTCTAAAACTGATTCGATAAATCTTTTCAGGCCGCTGTAGTAAACCCCGTACAGAGCTGGGTCCCCCTGCTGGCTGTAAGCTGACAGCACCACATTGACGTCCGGCTGATCCTCCCCAGAAGCTGTGTGAAAAGAAAACATCCAGGTTAGACGTTTATCCTACCACTACTATCATTAAAGGCCATTCAATGACCTTTAAAACCAGCATTAACATTTCAGTAAGCTTTCAACTTAACTTTTTTCACTTGAGCGCTCTATCTTTAAGGGACAGAGCAGGTATGAAATGATGAGATGTTGTCCAGTGCCAAGCATAGCCTCAATAGGAATATTTATTTGAACCAAAATGTTAAAAGACTTTGATCATTTTATATTCTGTACAAGTTTATTCTTTAGAAAACCAGTTTGTTGATTCTCTTTTTCAGATGGTGGATAAAATTAAAGAGTGTAGCAATCAAGCCATGACAGGCATGGCGTGTCTTTTTCCCCATTTTTTCATCTTAACTACCAAATAATCAACTTATTAATTAAAGAAATAGTCTTTTGAGCAAGAAAAGTTATCCCTAGTTTGCATTTCTGATGTTGGCATCTGAGAAGAAATGGAAGATTTTTGTTTTTTAAAGTCCATAACAGTGAGACATAAGCACCAAGTGGTTTTTGCTAGTAAGGACAAATGATAAAGCTGTCAAAAAAACTTGATCAGGAAGGAACACAAGAGAAATCCATCTTCTTGACAATATCTAATGTATAATCAGAATGTGGTTTGGCATTGTTTTGCCAGACAAGTGTTCTCTGATACAGGCTGGCAGAGCCTCAAAACCTGAATATGTTGTTTAGAGTTAAACATGGTGCTCTATCACATGTGAAAGCAGCCTGTGACATGGACACTTACACTTGTGGGTGAAATTGTTGAACTATTTACCACAAATTTTGACAGATTGGTGAACCTCTTACCATCTTTATTTCAGTGAAAGTCTCTCTCTTTTCCTCCAGCCATGTTTCTAACCTGTTGCAGGTTAGAAAACTGTTGCAAGCTCACATCAATAACTTGGGGAATGTTTTTGAGTCTTTCAGCACATTTTTCTCTTCTTTGTTGTCCTCATTCCACCTTTTACAAATTTATTGCTCCATCTTTTAAATTTTAAAGGAGAATTGCGCCATTTGATATGTTTTATCTACTTATCTCGATTTGTGGATAGGTTTCAAACGATTTGATTTGATTTGCAAACGATAAAAAAACAACAACTTTGGATCAATATTTTAAAACTTTTTTTTTTCACAGGGCTGTTTTGCTAATCATTGTACATCTCTAAAATGTTTAACTGGAGTCAAACTTTTACCCTAAACTTTAGTGGACTGCAGCTGGACAGTATATCACTCAGAAATTACAACATTTAAAGTATATAACCGTGTTTCTCTCCTGAAACATCCGTTAGGTCGTACCTTTGACCGGCGCCTGGGGTGCAGCGGAGGATAAGGAACCGGTGACTCGGCTCAGGAGAGAACTCACATCTCCGCCTTCCGAGTCCGCACTGCCCGCTGCTGCACCAGAACCTGCCCCGGATGACTCAGACCCCTTTGAATCCGGTGAATCCTCCGGTAATCCCGCTTCACGACGCAGAATTTCGACGGACTCGGTGAGTTTGTTCTTCCTTAGAAACTGCAGGACGGCCAGCAGCGTCTGTTGGTCTTCCGGGGCTCCCGCCGCACTCTTGTTACTTCCAGCCGAAGCACTGGAGCTGGGGGACGGAGAAAGAAGTCTGCCGTCGTTTGCATTACTGTTTCCACTGCCATCATTTGGAGGTTCTGATTTTATTTCTTTCTCTTCTACCGCGTCGACCAGACCACCCTGTACGGCCGCCATTTTAAAAATGAACTGCGCATGTGCAGGGTTTGAAAACGGGAAACACTCATGCGCAGGATCCGGTTTCCTGATTGGCGCTTATATGCGTCAACGTCACAATACAGCCTAGACCTCGTGCCTCCCGCTTCCTGCTATCAACAGCTGTAAGACTTTTACAAGGAAGTAAAATAAAAACACCAAGAATAAATATATATATAACTACAGTTTTTAAACTTCCACTGCAAATACGATGTGTTTTACACTAATGTTCTTCACTTTAGTTCCTGTTTTATGTGTTACATCCATAACTTTTAAACTTCTTTTGCCATGTTTTATACAGCCAAACTTTATAAACTATAAACTTCAGCAGTAACTGTCTCATTTTAAGATCTTACGAGTTATTTGATGCTTTTACTTGAATTTGGACATAGAGTTCTTTTTTTTTTTAATCACATGTGTTCCAGTCTTTACCAGGTGGTGGCACTTTGGTCCCACAACAACCTTTGCCTTGTAGCAGGTGTCCCAACATAATAACCTCCTCCAACAATACTGATATAATGAATGAAATGTAAAACAACTGAGTATCATTTTGCTTGATTAATTTTCATTTCACCATATGTCCTTGTGGAGCCCTGTTACACTATTTATTTCATCCAAATAATAATCAAAATTAAGAGGATGTGGATACTACTACAACTGAAAACATTAACATTTGAGAGGCTAGGATATATATATATACTTTATTAGAAGAGCAATGCAAGAAGTAGAAACACAGTGCTTTATGAAACTGTATTGTGATCTTGACTAATTAATGATCAGTTTTATACATTACATAGATTGCAGATTCATTGCTGAAAGAGCAAAGAGACAAAAGACATGAAGTACACACATGTATCAGCAGTATTATGCACTTTGCATTCGGCTGAGGCTGGAGTTCTTTCTATACCATCTAACACACCATCTTCCACCTCTGTATACCCTTAACTCCCTGTCAGAGACGCACTCGCATACAGCTGAGTGTGCATGTTTCTGCCTGTATGTCATCTATTTTCATTTCTACTACACTGTCAATAGAAAATGAAACCTAATAGTATTTCATTTTATAATAAAACAGTATAGAAGATATGTTTACCCACCGTAGTGTTTTGCCATTCATCAAAATTATCATATAAATAGTATTGCCTTCTCTCAAACCTCTGTGTTAGTTAAAGATAGCATACGTCATTTGGAAAGGTGTTGACAAAACTTCACCAAAGGAACCACTTTGGCATCGCTGAAATATAATGAACCTATATCTAACATCTCTTGACATGCTCGAATGCACACATTATCCCGAGACTGATTATACAGCAGCATATAACATGCAGACTGAGATCTGTGGCACTTCATTGGACAAAAAGAGACAGGTTACAGCAGAGGGAGCAGGGCGTTGTGTAACATTGCGGTGGCACAGCTTTGTGGGGGTGGGGTTTGTTGATTGGAGGGTGTAGGAGGCACACATGTGCACATCGGCAGCTCAGGGCGTGGTCATCTGTGCAGGCAGCTAATTATGGAGCTTGGGTGCTTGCCTCCTCTAGGTGTCATCCACTGAATGACAATGCCAGTGTACAATGTGTGCTCTTACACTTGGATCAGCAACATTACAGTAAGCGGCTGGCATACCTGCCGTGTTTGCCTTTCCTCTTACCCAGTAATTATGCAAATGATCAGGGCTGGAACACATGTGTCAGGCGAGAGGTTACAGATTAGAGATCTATAAGTGTCTCCTTTATGTTGTGACTGACAAAGAGCTCCCTGAATCCAGTATCTGCACCAACATAAGGGGGAAAGTAAGGCATGCTTTTGTATTATTTAGGTGTTCTGATACAGAAATGACCATATAGACAAAAAACTACCTGGTCAATACTTAATGGCTGTTTATATTTATTTAAACAAACCTAAATGATTATATAAAGAGCAGTCAGCTGGTACTGGAGGACTGAATTGTAAAAAATAAAAATGTATTCAGATTAGAAAGAAACATGCACTCAGTAATTAATAATATTTTGATATTTTCTAATAGAAAATTGTACTTCTGGTTGCCATATAGTTTATACTCCTATATGATTTATCAAGACTCAAATTCATGTTCTCACAATAATGTGTCTTTATTCTACTTAAGCTGTCATTACATTTCTATTTGGTTCAAAGCTTCAAAAACCAATTTGAATGCCAGTAAATCACAAGTAACACAGGCATGTGACAAAGCTGTTGTCTTCCAATGTTAGAAATCAAATGAAACAAAGTAAATACTGTAAGTGATAACTCTTTTGTTTGAAATCTAACCTTCTCTTTATAAAACTAGACATGCCCCTTTCAGTACTGACATTTACTCGGACACCTCTATCAAGAACTTCCATCTTTTACATTATGAGGAAGCAATCAGTACAATCATATGTGTATTTGAGAAATATACCAGTGATAGTTATTCTCCTTATTTATTCACTCTTTAAACATTCATTCGCACTGACTGTTGCCACAACCACAAAATTCACACAAACAATAATGATGAAGCGGTCGAATGATTCAGGGCGAGACGCATGTTCAGTCGAATCCTTCTTTTCACACCTCAGTGATGACTTCACTCAGCCGCTCTGTGTGTGTGTGAAGAAGCTGAAGGGCTCCCCTGCCACACCCCCTTCTCTTTCTCTCTTTCTCACCCCTCCCTTTCTCACTCTACTCCTCTTTCTCTGCTACCTCTCTATCTCTCTCACCCATCTCCCTCTTTTTCTCTTTCTTTCTCCCCTTTTCTCTCCCCCTCCTTGTGTGTCAGGAGGCAGCAGGGTGTGGCTTCACCCAGCAGAGGCAGCTCTGTAGGAGCACACAGACCCTCAAAGAAAAGACTCTTTTATGTACATACAAACCCTTATAACATCGCAGCATTGAATACTCTACACGATTCAAACATTTCAGACCATTTTACCGTCTTAATCTATTGTCATGTTAATTTCTAAGAGCTCACAATCACGTGTTTCTTTCCATTTTTGCGCTGATTTCACTAACATGCGTCACTGGCTTTAATGAAATGGCGATTGCTCAGTGTTTACATGGATAACGCATATCAGGACAGAGATGGGTGTCCCCTCAGGCTGTTTATGTGCCAGCCTCTGATGAGACTGGAAGGGAGGGTCTATAGCAGATGTGCTAATTGGCAGTGGTGGCACCAGCCCAAGAATGAGGAAAATCTGCAGGTTCTCTGAAGTGCTTTGTCAGATGGAAATTTCAGAAGTTGGGTTTTTGTCAGTTGGAAATCACTTTTATCTTCCTCATATCCTTTAAATCTTAAAAAGAGACAAATGACAAGCTCCAGAATTGCAGATTTCCCTTGCTGGAGTGTGTGAGCGCACTTTAATGTGTAAGTCAGCAGAGAGGGATGTAGTCCTGGCAGTGTAGGGTGGGGCGTGGCAGTTTTCTGGTTGCTTTTTTCTTCTTTTACGTTCGGTTTGATGAGTGCATGTGCAGAGCATGGTGCAGCTCTCGACACAACAAATTCAGCATCTCCATAAAACCGAGCAGATGATGTTTTTCAAAAAATGTCATAGGCCACTCAAATGATGCTTTCCTGCTTTTTAGTTTGTGTCCATCCTCACTGTCTTCTACATACTGTATTCATATTTATCTCTTAGAGGTACCCAGCCGAGGATCTGTGGTACCTACCTGCACATTTAGAGGAAACATAGATTTTGCCTCACAGAAAACCCTGCCTGTCCATCATGTTCAGGAAACACAGCAAAATCCCCTGCTGAGTTGCATGTGTAAATAATTCATGAGATGTGACCCTCGGTGGAGGTGGGAGTTGTCCAAGGAGAAGCAAAGAAAGAGGGCGGCAGGGATTGAGGGAAAAGATGAAGGCAAAGAGGGGAGTATGGCGAAGGGGAAAGGATGCATGGTGGGTGGGATGGGGAGTGGGTCAGGGAATTGTAGGGGTGGGGCAGCACATGGGGAGCCATAATAAGACCTAAAGGAAGGTTCCTCAAACACAGGGAATTTTTTTAAATAGATAAGCTTCAGTAAGAGTTTAAATGTGAGAGGTGATTTTTTACAGTGAGATGCGGGTGTAAAGAAAGGTGTAAGACGTGTGAATGATAAGGAGAAACAGCAAATGAAAAGATCTGACGACAGAGCAGCTTTTTTCAGCAGTTTAAAAGGAATAGAAAGGGCAAAGAGATTTCTCTGTAGCCATTAGCAACAAAGGAGAGTTGCATTTATATCCAGTTTTATCACACTGTGGTGCAGCAATAAAAACAGAGCTGCAGTGTTTTTGATTGCCGTAATAAAAGGCTGATAAGTGCTTCTATGTTTTAATTCCATCAGTGATTTCACCAACATACTTTGCACACTTTGAGTTAGGCTCAAGTATGCAGCCTGAAATCCATCTTTATGTTACTGTAACTTACACAAACCTCCAGAGAGCAGCAGCTGCTCCTTTCTCCTCTGCCTGTGTTAGGTGTGTGAGTGCGTCGGTGCACTTGTGTGTGCGTTCATGAATGCATCTTGGAGACTTTTGCCCATTCAAGCAGAATGATGGGTGTGAAGGCAGAGCTGCAGCACAAGAGATCTCCATTTTAGCGGATGAAATGTGGGGACCCTGCATTATTCAATACTGACCTAACTTGAGAGCTAGATGCTGCACGCAGTTGTAGGCTCTGCTGCTCATATTACAGCAAGGTGGTGGTAGATGCACAGATGTAGGTTTGTTCAAAACAGCTAGAACATGTTGTAACAAGCTGAAGTGAGCAAAAGAAAAACACTCTTTACTTTGTCAATGTGCCCTAAAGCAAGGCATTTAATCCCCAATCACTCTGAGAAAGCTACTGCAGAGACCACCATACAGGGCTCATTTCTGAGTCAAAGTGTCTTCCCTATCCCAACACGCATACACTTTTTTATCAAGTAAATGAGTTCTGTTTAATTTATTTTTTAAAAATCTAGATTTAAATGAATCTAGATGCTGCTGGTGAAGTGTTATGATTGGCCCAATGTAGTTTGTAATCTGGGTTAG